CTTTAGCTTACTTTCTCTTACTTACTTACTTATAGTTATTTATTAATTATATTTCTACTATAATATAGCTCTTATTTATTCTTATCTCGACTTCTTTTCTAGAAACTACTTTAGCTAATTAAGGCTTTACTAAGAAAGAAATAGGCTAGAATCTTAGAATATTACTTATCCGATAAAGTATAGATTAGCTTAAAAGAAATAATACTATAATATACTCTCTAGCTTAACTAAAGAGTATTTCTTATATAATATAGCTAACTAATTAATTACTTCGAGGTAGTACTCTACTAATACTAATTATACTAGATCTAAGAATAGGAATACTTACTACGATAATTACTTTTATAATAAATTATACTTAGATAGTATATATTATACTATTATATATAAGACGAAAGCTAGATAGCGTACTCTATACTAATAATATAATAGCCTAAACCTAGTAAGGAGTATTACGATTATATTATATTATAGGATCTATATCTTTTACTTACCTAGTATACTAATATAAGTAAAGGAATATAAGAACTATATTATTTAGATCTAACTATATTACTAGAGTAAGATAGGACTATAGTAGGAAATCTATTATATCTAGAACTATAGTAGTAACGAAAAGTATAAGAAAGATTAGAAGAACTTATATAAGAGTAGAAACTAGATAACGAGATACTATCGATAGTATTTATATATCCTAATAGATCTAATATAACGCTAAGTCGGCGTATTAGGAAGTTCTATAGTTATAATTATAGTATATATAGATAAGGATTATCGAATTCGCTCGCCTATCTTCGCTTTATATTTATATATAGCTTTAACCGAATCTTATATACTATAGCTAACTCTTATAGTATATAATAAGCTATTACTAGACGGCGATCGCGCTAAATTTATAGAATTAATAGAGCGCTAAGTAAGAGTTAATATCGATCTTATAATTAGATCTTAAAGTTCTTATATATAGAAGAAGGGAACTAGTTACTAAGACTATAACTTTATATCTCGGTATTTAAGATATCTCGTTAAGCCTAACGAGAGTAAGATCGCTTATCTTTATACTACTATAGTATACTAGAGTAACCTAAATATATAGAGGAATCGATTTATAGCGTTACTAGTCTTCTACTACTAATATCCTAATAGCTAGTTCTTTTTCGAAATATATTATAGGCTAGTTACTACCTAGCGTAGGAGCTATACGTATCGATTATCGGCTCTAGTATTAAGTAGCTAGAACTAAGACCTCATTTCCTTTCAAAGGTTCGACTCTCTTCCGCTTCTACCTTAGGGTCGTGTTCCATCGACTCTTCCCAATCTATTTGTCTAGGCGAGACGTTCCGCCGCCGACCGCAGCAGCACCTGATATCGCTAAAGAACAAACCAGCAACGGGCAACTGTAAGCCCGCGGCTAGCAGACCCGTCAGAGATATTCCTGTCCAAACCATGCCAAAATAAGATGCCGGGTCTTGATAGTTCAGGATTAACACGACGATGACTGTGTTTGGCAAAGCCGAAAGTCCTAACACGGACTTAGTGCAGGACTCTCGCAGCAATGGGATCAATACGTACCATGACACAGAAGCCCGAGGCCAGATATGGCTTCCGCAGTCAACCTGCGACTATGTTGAACGCTCGTACGGCCCCGTACTGTGAACTTTCGTAGAAGCAGCACGACTCCTGTAATGGCCATGAGGCCGTCGGACAGGCTGGCCATCACGATTGCGTAGTACACAGCATGGTTACTGACGATCACGGCCGTCGAGCTCACTACTGCCAGCCAGACCAAGAAGAAGATCACACCAGTCCATTTGCGAATAATTCTAGGCGGTGCGAGAACCCTGATCCCGATCAGGAACTCAATGGCGACATGTTGTGTGAAAAAGATCAACTTGCTCGAGTTCAAATCAATGTCCGAAAGGAAATGTACTGAGAGCAACAGAAATGTGATCGCGAACGTGATGCACAAGTAATGAAGATCCATCATACGTGTTGTCGAAAATCCCACAAGACCCGAGAAGAGTCCCCAGAATAAGAGCTGCTGGAAGAGACCTTGGAAGGAGATCACAAAATATGAGTTAAAGAGTGCCAGAGGACCACCTTGAAGCAAGTACTTGTTCGGCGTCTGTAGGACAGGAGGAAATAGCCGTGGATATTCTGGATCTGTTATCGCAATGTCTGATGTACGATTCTGAGTCAGCTGGTTAACGCAAGTGAAGGTTGTCGTATTGCTACTTACGATTCATCGTCGAGATTGCGTTCCCCATCTTGTTCAGAGCGAGAAGGCAGCCTCGTCGGGAGCTTCGTTATTGTCGGAGTGTCTGCTGTCTGGCCAGAATTGGTAATTTGTTCAGTCAGCTGAAATGTGAAAGGCATGCGTCAAACGAATTTTAGTTGTTGGGCCAAGACTAACAGTCTAATTATAGTACTCGAGTGGTCGAACTGATCTTCAGCCTGTGAGAAGAACAACCATGTCTGCCGGCCATCCCTGATGACATGGCCAAGCTTTATCAGCTGTCCTACCCCAGGAGTGAATGTGGCGTTTCATCAGCAAGCGCACGTTCTTGTCGTTGGTGAATGCCGAGACGCGATTGTGCCTCGAGCAGGGGTGGGCATGGCAGATGTGCTTGGAGTAGCTTATTAGGTGAGTAATCATTTTGTTACTTCATCTTCACACGTTTGCCATACGCACCCAGCATTTCAGTCTCTGCCCTAATAGCACGATCTGCGGTGACAAGAAGTCGCATCATTGAAGGGAGGGGCAACCATGTCAGTCGAGACTATTTTTACGGTCTTGTGTCTCGGCACTGTGAGCCGTATACCAGGTTTCAGGTGATAACAACATCCTCTTCGTAAGCGCTAAGTACATTTGAGGGTCAAACTTCAACTAAGCCAGGAGTCGAAGTCATGATGAAGGATCCGTTAAATGTGACACCAGCCCGATTTGGTTGCATCGCATGGGTGAATACGATTCCTCAGTCTCGACGCCTGCATGAGTGAACAACTGAGCTCAGCTTTGCGTCAAGAAAATGTACATGCCGAAATGCACCTAGTCAAGGCTCGTAACAACATGTGCGATCACAATCCTGTCTTCCGCATCGTAGGTTCGAAGGCAGGCTGATCTATACTTCTGACACGAGCTTGTCGTGGTATCCTTTGGGACGGAACAGTTCGGGTCCAGACCTTTCGAGACAGCTCTGGGGTCAAACGAACAGGTTCATTCCAGTTCATTCTCCAAAATGAGGCAGCTGTGCGACTGTGCTTCTGAACTCGCAGACTCAGCTGACCATGTGTTGGAACGAGGAACTCATATGCCCTGGCCCTCGAGCCGGCAACAGTCTTACCTGCACAGATTTATGGCTGCCCGATTTAGCACTTCCCTCGCCTTGTGTCATGTGAGAAAAGTCCCAACGATCGACTGTAACCGATGAGCTCAGCACTATTTGGCACATATCATCTCTTTGCCCTAGGTCACTGTACGCATCCTTCTCGAGCTGGATCCCTCACCAGTGGAATCTCGACAGCGAACTTCAAAAGATTTATCATTCTCTGAACATGTCAACTTACTCCAACGAGTCGGATTCAGTTCGCGGTCAATGTCAAAGCAGACAAGAGTATCAGCACTCTGATCTGTCGACCTGTTGCTCCGACGAGCTTTCAGCGGACCATGAATTCGCGCCTGTGGCAATTACGAAGCGCGATCTAGATCGTCCAGACTCGAAATACCTGACGATCGAGCCTGAGTATAATTTGCTGCTACCTTCTCAAACCGCGGCACGCAGCGCCACCCAGGTACCGGTGGCGAGAGCTCCGCTCGACATCTGTCGACTGGTTCATTTTCACTACCGCACTTTCAGAATTACCGGTTCTCTGAAGAATCCAAGATGGACATGGAAGAGAGCGCTGATAGAGGTTTTGGCAGTCCGAAAATCTTTCCCTGTTGTTAGGGACAATCGAGGTGCTCTCCTGGCTATGACAGCATGGTTTCATGTGCTCTGCAATATTGATGACGAGATCGAGCGACTGGACAGTGAAAGGACGAGAGCGATACTGGCATGTTCGATCTCGATGCTGCGAGACGCTAGTCCAGACCAGGAAGAGTACAACCATGACACGGCGGCGCCGGTTCATGCTGCGGCAAAGATCAATGTGTGCACTAGCGAGTCTCAAGACCCTAGCCGTGACCGGATCATCGCTCTCTCGCAGAGTCTTATCGAACAGTGCCAATCGCACTTGCCTGGGCACGCTCTATCTAGAGTTCTCTCCGACATCATCGACGTATTGGACGCATTGAGTCTGGAGTCTGAGATCCGCGACAGCCTCGTGGCTCCTTCCACCGCAGAGTATCTCAGTCTCAGAGTCCGAACGATCGGAATCTCACCATTCTTCACGATTCTGGAGACAGGTCTACTGGACCATGATCGCAAAGAGTTTCAAGACCTCGGCCAGCGTGTGCCGTGCAATGTGACAGATGAAAGTCCTCAGGACTACGACATCAACAATATCGACACTTCTGCTTTCTGGACCTCGCAACACCACGTACAATTTCGTGGCTACGTCAATCGCATCATCGGGCTACAGAACGACATCGTTGGACTACCCAAAGACTTGGAGAACAACGAGATGATGAATGTCATCTTACTGCTCGCCGATCATGGCAGCAACCTTAAAAATGGCGACGAACGCGTACAGACAGCGCGATCCTTAGCTGTGGCCATGCACAACACTGCGGTGCAAGAGGCGATGACTCTGTGGGCAAGTGTAAAGGCATCTTATTGCTCGCATGCGGCTACAGTATACGTGGACTCATTACTAGCATTTACACTCACGCACTTCAAGTGGGCGAAACGTACAAATCGATATCAGCCGAAGCATAGACTCATCTCAGACATCGTTGTGGGTGCCACTGAGCGCACGGCAAAGGTGATGACCAAATTCAGAGCGATAAGGAACAACAAGAAGCAAGAAACAGGCGTCCATACAATAACGTAGCAGGCCATAGGCGATGGGTGATAAAAATACTGGAAAGACTGCCTGCATCGTGAAATGTCACTACATCAACGAAGGCTGACGGAAAAGGCAAATACGCGACTGCGTTGTCTCGAAGCACATGCTCGAGACCAAAGCTCTTTTGGAAGTGGCCAAATGAAGTTCCAACAGGCAAAGGCACAAGGGCACGCTGACCTGCAGTCCATCGGACCGGAGACATATTCGAGCGACCTAAAGCTTCGGGCCAGCCAAAAATCGCCTTAAATAAGAAACACGACAAGAAACTGCACTTTTAAGCATAACAAACTGCGCGATTTTAAGACTAAGTTTGCGCAATCCCTAGTAAGTTTCGAAGTAACGAACTATCTTCGACTATTAGCTATACTTCTGTTTACGTAGGATACGGTATAGGTATATGTCGCTATCGCTATTCCGATACTAGTTCTCGAAGTCGACGACGAAAAGGCAGCCTAAGGCCGATGCCTCGGCGTTACGTAATAGAGTTAGTATTTACAAAAGTAACTTTGTCGACCTATATAGCGTTGCAAAGGACGACAAGAAAGGCAGGGTTACGACGAGGATTCGAGCGACAAAGAGGTTAGTTTGTCGTTGCGTTTCGTTGTTAGAGGCTTTTTAGGCTGGCCCGAAGCTTTAGGTCGCTCGAATATCTAGCTTCCTTAGAGTTTGAATTTGCCGTTGCACTTCAACTGACACTCTTTCACCGCACGGCAGAGTTTGTATTCCCAATCTGGTGACCCAGAATGGCGTGGTACTTTGGTGTATGAGCCGACAGCAGCACGATAATGAAGTGCAAGGTAAGAGCGCTCCTGACAGCAGTAGAGCTACTGCGGGCTCCATGCTCTCAAGAACGACATGCCGGCATGTGCCAATGTCATCGACCAAATGGAGCGGCATTCCGGAAACCTGGGCACAGGAATGCCCGAGGCTGATTCAAGCGACTGACAGCGAGACGCGTTCGCCGGGACAGGAGGGCTATCTTGCAAGCCTTCTATCGATCCGAACTCTTGTCGTCATCCCATCACTAGGGGAGCTCGAATGATGCAAAATCTCGTGATGTGTCGTCACACTGTCTCAAGCTTCACTCCGCTCAGGAAGAAACTTCCAGGGCGTCTAGTATGAAGATGGAGCACTCGCGGAGTAGTGTACAACACTGAAGCGGCCTATTGCAGTGTAGTTGGGAGGGAGCCAAGGAACAGCTCGTTTCTCGATAGCTTACATAAGGTAGGTCTCTGAGATCGTGGAGGCTCCAAAGGTGGATCAAGGTCGTACAGACGTGGATGATCATGGTTACTGCAACAATAGGTCCATCTTTGATGATGCTCTGACGATTTATCGTACTGAGAACGCGCATCGGAATCTCTGTCGTGGACTATGAACCGCATGCGCTCTTGACAATTCCATACGGCCTCGCAAACACGAAGATTTGCGGGTCAGATCTCCAGGTCGGTGAGTCGAATCTGGGCCGACCAGGCCTTTCACATCTACCAGACCAGCTGCCAGAACCTACCATCGGTTGGGACGTGGCCTCAAGCAGGGCGGCGGTGTCGAAAGAGACTGGCTGTCGCGCGATGGGCTTGTGTCACAGGTGTAAATTGTTTAACAAGGCTTTCAATTTGCTTTCAATTTGCTTTCAATTTGCAATATGTCGCTTGTTGCTCGCTCAGGTGAGTCAGTAGCGTTCCAAAATTTGTTGCGAGGGCAGTGGCACGTGCGAGGGTCTGGATACTACGCGTCTTCTTTCTCTTCTAAGCTTCTACCTTTTTCCTCATCCTGCGCATCCGATCTTCTTCCGCACATCAGTCGTTCTGCAGTAGTGATATCTTCCTACGCATCCAGCCATGGAGTCGACATCGGCACCTATTGCCACATCCGCTGGAGGCAGGAGCACAGCGCCAAAGCAGACATCTAGCCACAACATTGCCGGACAGTCGTGGATACCTGGTCAAAGACCGCCAAAGCACAACCACACCTGCAAGGGCGAGGGAGGAGAAGTCTGCGAAAAGGCTCACATCAAAGCTCGAATTAAATTTCACGCTCTGGCAGAGAGAGGCACTGTATTCCCTCCTGATGATGGCCAGTTCAACCAGCGCCAAAAATTCACTCTGAAACAGGTGCACAACAGAAGCATTCTACTGTACGTCGTGCTTGAAGATGACATGGCAGTGCACCATACAGTCAAGTCCAGAGCAGCATATTCAACAATCGCTGAGGTCTGGCACGAGGCACATCCCACCTTGATGCTCAAGAATAGGTGGTTCTTTCATCCCTGTCAATATCGCGCTTCGCGTTATCCACATCATGATCCAGAGAATCACCTCGACGACCTCGTAGAAGACCACATCAGCCTTTGCAACTGGTTCCAATCTGATGAATGTCGCGTTTGGCAAGAGAACAGTTGGCGTAGATTTGGGTTCCAACCTCGTCTGGATGACATACTCATGCCGACCGTACGGGCCATACTGATGCTCTACTGGCCACACATCATTCAAGAAGAAGACGGCCACGGACTGGCAGCGCTGGTCCTTACTGGCGATGATGCTCATCTCTTGTCAGGGCCAACCTCTTTCGCAAGCATTTCGAACCAGAAGATCCCTGGATATATGGGAAGCGAGCAGATCGCGTACACTTCACTCTCTACTGCGGTAAAATTTCTCTCTGACCTCGACCGAAGGGAAATTTCTGCAGATCCCACACTTCGGGCCCGAATCGCTCTACGCGCAGAAAAGTGCCGCCGAGAGAATATTGATTTGCCAGAACAGCACGCATTGCCAGAGCCTGAACCAGAAGTGGAACCTGGACCCCCTCAAATACATCTTCCAGAAGCACAAGCGGATCTTGTGGAGCCACTCTCGAACCAGGAAACCGCAGCTCTGGGCGCTCGAGCACGATTGTAGCTTGGCGTCTGATTTGCCTCAAATGTCGGGCGAGAATCGAAGACCTTCTTCGACTGCAAGACCATGGACTCGTGTATTTTCAGTCGAGCAAAAAGGCTTGCACATGGAGGATCGACAACGCTGGGATTCTACAGGCGAATGCTGCATTCACCTACTTCTCTGCACGTAATCGGGGCCCCGAGCCAGGAGTTTGCTCCGAGCACGCCCCAGGATCCTGGTCAGGAGCAAGACTTGCCACTTCCACACGTGGGTACCACATGTGAAAGATCTAGATCGTGCAGTACAAAGCCTCATTGGCTCATTTTCATCGTTCGATGACGAGATTCGTGTCCCGTCTGCCGTGTGGCAATCTTCGGGCTTTGGTTGAGGGGAGCCAGCAGCTTGCCGATACTCGCCTAAAAATCCGACATCCAATCGGTAGGAATGATCTGTAACACTCGACGCGCACTTTATATTGGGCATTCGGTCACGATCACAAATTGTTATCGTTGGCCTACGACATGATCATGCAAGGAGACTGCAGGCTACATAGCGTTGACAATGCCATCGGTCAATATCACGGCATGGACAGCATACTTCTGCGCTCTGATCTTTCCGTCTCGCAAAATCGGCTAATCTACCGTCACGCTGAGATTCATCCTGTATCCCATCACTAACAATTATGACACAACCATGGCCGACGGCGAGGGCAGTCGTGTCCGAGAATAACATGCAATCAACTGGGTTCAACTTTGACTTTCCAGATCCCCTGACAGTAGTCAAACCGCGGTCAACAGATGAGCAGCGCGAAAGTGGCTGGTATGGTAGAGAGCTCTACTCAAAAGCGAGGGCCAATTCGGATGGACATCAGCACCAGTCTCATGGCCCGTTTGAGCTGCAAGCCAACGACAAAGCAACTGACGAGCAGACGAAGCGTGTATCTCCCACGGAGAGTGCGATTCGAGTGGACAGCGCGCGTGCGTCAGCGACCCCCAGCGGAGATTCATCTGAGCCCTCCTCTGCACGCTCACAAGACCCGACAAATGGGAGTGTCGTGTCTTTACCACCTCTTCCCGATGGGTCGTCCCAGGCCTATAGTGCCTATTCTGCATTACGAAAGACGCTAGAACCTGGGGCCAGCCCGAGGATGATGCAAGACATCTTGAGCAGGGAGACATTTCTGGATGCATTGGATAACCCACCAGCAAAATATCGTTTGCGCGAGTTCACAAAAGTTCTGATAGGTTCCAAGCACATGTCATTCCTGGACCAGGTAGGGCAGGCTGGCAATCGTGTCTTGGTCAATGCTGATGGGGTGCGCAGGTTCAACAACATCGCAAGATCATGGAGGAATCATACTCGGCCATCGCCAGCATTGATGAACGATATCTCAACACCACGCCTCCCGCACGTGTCGTTCTCCCACCTCAGATGAACAACGAATTGCGTACCAACGTCGGGACCGTACTGCGAGAGACTCAGCCAGGTATGAAGAATATGTTCAATGAAGCGGAGAACACGGTGCAAGAAACCATTTACACGCAATCTTATCCACACTTTGTCCGTTTGCAAATGACGCTGGGAGCATCGGAAGCATTGAGCGGTGATCGTCACAGGTTCCAGGGACTAGGTGACTGTTTCTGCCTAACAAAACCAAGGTGAGCATCATGACGGACTCAATTGGAAACCACGCACTAAGTATGGGTCTAGTCAAGTCGATAATCCCATTGTGTATGCCTCGGATGGATTCGTTGCAGTGACCGGGTATCAACGCAAAGACATCATTCCTCGAAATTGTAGGTTCCTACAAGGAAGAGACACAGATGCATCATCAGTAGATCGGATCCGTCATTGCATCCGCACTCAAAAGGAATCAGTCGAGTTCCTGCTCAACTATCGGAAAAATGGCGAGCCCTTCTGGAACCTACTCTACACAGGTATGCATCGTCTCATTGCGTACAAAGCACACTCAACTCTAACAGCACATGCAGCCCCTCTACTAGATTCCCGTGGACAGGTGGCATTCTACATCGGCGGCCAAGTCAACTGCTCGAGCACGATACAAGATAAAGCGGGCATCATGAAAATCCTAGCAATCTCGCCGGATCACCAGTCCGAGCAGGAACGAGAGCAAACGAGTGAACGTACCAAAAACGAGAGTCCGGCCTCAGAACTCGCACGAAGGGTCGAGCACCTCAAATCGCTACGCTATCGAGAGAAAGCTGAAGTTGCTCCCGAACCAGGACTTGAAAGGAGCTTGGTCGCGCGGAATCAGGACATAGCGTTGACAGATCGAATTGAGAACTTCTACAATGCATACTCGAAGGTAAGCCCATTACGCAGTGGAGTATCAAAGTCATTTTGACAGTATTGGATGCTAATTCATGGCCGAGCAGTACCTCGTCATCGGCTACCCAAGCATGACGATCCAATTCTCTTCCGCAGGAATCTCCTCCGTCCTCCTACCCTCCAACAGCAACGCCATGACCGCCGATCGAGCCCCACGACCAAACCAATACACTTCACGACACGTCTTCAACTTCCTCAAAGACAATATGAAAAAGCGCGAGAAGACTGACTGGACGTCGAAAGTTCGGAGTTCGTTGAAGAAGGGGAATCCTATCTCGGTAGCGTTACACTTGCAGACGAAACGATCAGTGGTATATCGAGGTGATGAGAAATTCATGACGCATTGGACGCCTTTAAAAGATGTTCAAGGAAAGACAGAGTGGGTTGTGTTGTGTTTGGCGTTGGTTGGAGGCGGTCAAGCCTGAGTGCAAATCGCAGGACACGTGGCAAGGAAAGCCAGGTGCGGAAGAGTGAGAGTGAAAGTAAGGGCTTTTATTCGTCTATTCTACAACGATCATCGTCTATCGTCTTGGATGCAACGATGCAGATGTGCGCTGTGATCTATGGTCCCTAGAGACTTGCAAAGCTCGTTCATGCGGCTGTATGCATCGCTCGACCCTGGCATGACCTGCGCAGGGACTTTGTAGGCCGTCCCATGCAATTTCGAGTGACTTCTGCCCTGAGAGTCCTTGGGGCCGCGGTCAGGTATGTAGAGGCCGTCGTGCGCCATTTGTCAAGTAAACACGCCGATTACCAGGTCATGTCTGTCGGGTAGCGGCTCCTATGCACCCAGCACCAATCTCCCGAATGATCTTAGCTTCGAGCGGCATTTTGCCTAAGACAGATCATTTTAAGGCTCGCAAATAGCCTGCTTGGACGAGTCCATCTTGCCTGTGTCATTTGTGACCACGTTTCCCGATTCGGTCAACTTCTTCTCCAGCCAAGTCTTCAATCTAACATTTCCTCTGACCTCGAGCTTCTTAGCTCGCTGCGCAAGAGCAACGAACTCCATGAGACTTGGATTCATCTCGAATGAGGTCCGCCGTTCGACAGAAGCGGGATCCTCGTATAGACACATCTGAGGAAAGACAGTGGCTGGCCGCTGCAGCACCAGCGTCTTCGGAGCTAGATCGGGAAACAAGATAACAAAACCATGGGCTTTCCTAAATGATGGATCAAGTTCACAGAGGCAGTGAAGGTCGATCTGCATGTGATCGATCATTTGTCTTACTTCCCGCCCCACAATACCCAGTGCTTTCTGAAGCTCTTCTAGAGAGGGAAAGTGGAAGAGGTTGTTGCGGTAGAAAATTGGCAGCGTTTCAGAGCAGATCTGCTTGGACACCCGCAGAATAGAGAGGACCTCGCGCATCTTCGGTAGGCATACCAGCTCGTATTTGCGTTTCTCGAAAGCTTCCCACACTGCAAGAGGCGAATCTCGCTGTCTCGGTGTGAGCACGAGACCTACAAATCCATCCGGGAATGACGATGAAATACATAGCCCGCGCTTCGGATAGATAAGCAGCATCTTGTAGACCTTCTCGCGCAACTCTGCGGGCAATCCCATGAAGTCAAAGGTTCCCAGGCGCTCAGGCTCCAATTGATGTCGCAAATATATGCGGGCGGCTGGCAAGAAGATCTTCACCAACGTTGAGGCGTCCTCATAACCTGAGTGAAACGAGTCGATGTATTTGCGACGTACTGGCAGCTCAGAATCGCGCAGCGCATCGTAGAAGTCATCGATGGGCGAGTCAAATCCTTCGTCCAGTCCGTCGTCACACGTCTTTTCGACTATGTACGTCAAGGAGTCAATTGCCAGATTGCAATAATAAGAGAACCTTCGAAGAATGTTGGAGTGTATCTCGGTTTCAGACATCTGCTCCTTCCCCATGATCACGAAGACAATCACGATGAGTTCGCCCGTTGTGAACGGTGGCTTCGTATCGGCATTGCGCCATGGCTCGATCAACGCGGCGACTTCATCGCGCAGTGGTGTCGGCTCCGGCGTGGGCACATACTCCAGTCTTTCAGAGAGATCGGTGGTGGCTGTACCGGTATCTAGTACTTCGGCCGACATTGCCAGCAGCGTCGAGTTCTGAGCTCAGGGGCGTCGTAGATGCAGCGGATAGCGTTTGAAGGAGTTGTCGTGAGCGTGTCAGGAGTCTGGTGGTGGCGAAAATCGTATCGTCGGCTTGAAGAGCACCTTGGCGCCTTGGGCAATGAATGTGCGCGAGTGTTCGCGACAAGGGGTAAGTTGAGTGAAAGTCCGTTCGAGCGCTGCAGCACCTCGTGCAGGAATTGGTGTACAGGCGCAAGATGAGTGGTGAAGGTGAAAAGAGTTGTGTCAGAATGACCGAAATTACGAGACCTCAAACGCCTCAGGCAGCAGACAGCAAACAGCAACAACATTCTCCACTTCACATGCATACGCAAAATAAAAAAAAATCGATCAGACTTGACCTGAGGCAAAACCTGAGCGACATATGCGCATGGTGGATTTCGACCTCGAGCCCACGAAATGCACTGCGGAAGCATTTCGAATCGTCTCTGCATCTCTCAAACTGGATGTAGCGGAGGTTTGTCCTCGCAGATAGACCGCCTGGTCGCAACGTGCACTGCCGCGGATGTTTGGACTGCATAGCGTGGGCATTCCTTGAGACGTCCACTGTATTTCGACAGCCTTCCATGACTCACGCTTCGAGACGGCTGTCCGCCGCGGCCACTGAGGCGATGATTTGCATTCGAAGCATGTCTTGCTGCCTTCCTCTGCCACGTTCAGATTGGACCAAGTACCAACTTTGGCCGTCCGATGCTTCTTCGCCACTCTACGCGCCTCTCCCTATTCTCTCACGTAGCCACGGCACCAGAAACCCATCGCCTACGACTTCGGGGTTTTTCGTGCGCCGCGCAAGGGAGATGATGCCATCCAGCGCCTTGATGTAACGGAGCTTGTACATTTCCATTGGTCGACGAGATGCGGCAGAGCCGTACTCGTGGCCAATGTCGCCGCAATATGTCCAGAACTCGGTATTGCGTGGCACCATCAACACAAGCTTCTTCAGAGACAGCTCGCAGAGCAAAAGCTCGAGACCTTGCAATGGGTACCTCTCCAGGCACAGATCACGATGCTCCATAACGATGCGAAGGCTCTTGATCTGCTGCAAAGTGTCGCACGACAACATCTGAAGTTTGCTAAGCAGCAGATCGAGTGAGCCAATCTGGAAGGCGTTGCGGCCATAAAATACGGGAAGAGCCTCGTTTCGGATCTGCTTCGAGATGCATAAGATCGCTAGAGTTTTCGCCAGACTTTCGACTTCAATGTAGTTCCCTCGAACATCCCACTTCTCGTAGTCCGCAAAGTTCTCGTCACTCGTAGAGTATACACCCACTCGAGTTTCCGTGAGGTTTCGCGCTCGATCCTTCTCGTCTACCGTCAACCCAGGCTCAGGGTATACCATGAGCATCTTATAGATCTTCTCGCGAAGCTCTGGGGCGAGACCCATGAAGTCGAAGGTACCTTGTCTTGGCTGCAGCTCGAGTCTGTCACGCAGGTAAAGACGGGCAGCAGAGGGACGGACTTCGAAGTCCGTACTGCAAAACTCGACGTGGCCTTGCAGGGTATAGTCCTGAAGGTCGCCGATACAGCATGGATGATCGAAGTGCTTTACGGCCTCGAAAAACCCCGGGACGACGTGCTGGAGCCTGTCTTCGAAGTGGTCTGCCTCAGCCGCGATCTGATTATTGTATGCGCGTACCGATTGGCGGAGGTAGTACTTGTATGTTTCGAGAACAAAGAGGTGCATTTCACTGAGACCTTGGCCTCTCTCGTTGTTGAGAACCAGCATGATGACGACCAGTTCCCCAGCAGTAAAAGGCGGTCGCTCCGAGCTCTCCCGCCAGGGCTCGATCAGTGCCAGTACCTCTTCTTTCAAGGGACGGAGAGGAGGAGTGGGTTGATACAGCAGACGCGTCAAGCGTGGTTGCGATGTGGGTGTTGAGTCTGGGGCGGAGCCGAGTGCGCTTGCCGTAGCACCAGGAACAGTGCGCCCGTCAACGGCCATCGTATCGAGCTTGTAGAATGCGGGGCGTCGATGAAAGAGCGACTCGAAAGTGCAATGTTGCTGATTGTCGCAGTGGCTGGTGACTCGCAAGCCTCGGTATCGAGTGTCGTCGTGATGATGTGAGTCGCTTCGTAGACACACGAGGTGGGAAAGCGAGGACGGGAAGGCGAGGAATGTTTCACGTTAGTGCCTTGGAGTCGAGAGAATGCGGTCGAAGCCCAAAAGGTGCGCTGACTGCTGACTGGAGAGACAAAGCTGCAAGAGGTGCCTAGCGACTTCCACAATCGGCGGACATGAGCCACACGCCGAAGTGAACGAGTGACGTATGCTCCGACTGACGCAGTTCGTGGACAGGTGGCAAGTGAGGGCCTATGCAGCGAGCACATGCTAGACAACATGAGTTCCACGCTCTGACAATTGCCGACCAGCCATCAAGATCCTCAAGTTCCTGGGGTCATCGACCTCCTGAGCTTATGAATACTGCCAGACTAGACTAGTTTGAAAATTGTCTTCCATTGGGCTGCGAGAGAGGGCTTGGCTTTCTGTGCTGGAAAGGCTATTCGGCCATCGCACGTGCAGCATAACCTCAAAACGGGTAGTCCTGACGCACTAGTCTGGAGCTGGCGTCTCTCAAAGTGGCAATGGGCAAGTCCCCAATTCGCTTCCTCGTGCGGTTCACCTTCTTGAAAGAGCGTGTTAGATCCATATCGTCCGAGTGGACTGCCTGCAAAGCGGGCAGCTCATGAGGCCGCGACTCCTCCTTCTGACAGATCAGATGCTGCAGCAGACGCCGGATGCGGGATTCTTTCTGCCTCTACGAGTCCGGCTGCGCACAAGATCGCCGGAACTGATCAAGTCCCCACTCAAACCCATATTGACGCCAACGTTCAGGCGATTCCCATCTGCCACAATCTTTGACTTCCATGCCCGAGATGTTCGCGCCCGATTCAGCGGTTTTCTCATCCATTACGACCTCAAACCTGTCGACAAGCCCATAGACTATTCCTTGGTTGCAGACTATCGCGACAAAATTGCGAAGTTGGTCGGCAGTCCTGAGTCGGCGATGGAAATTGGTTACAGAATCCATCCGGTGCGTTCTCGGGTCCAAGTCGGGGGCAGATGGAACGATAGTCAGCTTGTCAATATACATTGGCTCCGCCAGCGGTTTGTCAATGTCCATGCGAGGCCCACAGTGTAGCAACACATTGAGAGATTGAAAGAGCTCGCTGACAACTGGCACAGGGCCACCATCGCCAAAGAAGCTACTGGTCCGACCTCCTTCTGTCCGGAAATTGACGATCATGTGCTTGACCTTTCGTGGATTGCAATCTATTCTGCGCCAGAAGAAAGATCCTAGATAATCTTGAGATCGTCGCTCGATGTCGCAAATGTAGAGGCCATCGATGGTCTTGCTCATGTATGCTTCGAGCTCAGCGTGGATCGACTTGCAGGTAAGGAGCAAGCTAAACCAAGGAATTGCAAGCTTGGTCTGTTCGTCTCTCCTTGGTCTTGACCAAGATCCTTGGCTTCCATAGCCTCGATCCCAACCTTCAAGGATCTTCAGTCGACATCGGTGTTGAGGACTGCATCGTAAATGGCAAGTCGAAGCTCAGCCGGGATACCGGGTAGGCTTGCCTCCTGCGAAGCTGTCATCCTCGATGCAGGCAAATGTGAATGGAGGACCGCACGGTAACAAGTCGCGTGGCAGGGCAGGTGAACGTGGCATCGAGATTTAAGAGCTGAGATTGAAGAGTAGAAATGGGCACAGGTGGGAGAGCAGCAGGCAATAATTCTTTGGCATTGCGGACTGTGTCACCGTGTCACCAAGCGGGGAACTTACTGGTGTAGCAGTTGGCCTTGATCTGTGACCGCTTTCAGGCAACTTGCGCAACGTAAGACAGCGAGAAGGCGCGGTGCTGTGTGCAATCAGGAAGTTGGAGGTACGACTCTCATGCAGTGTACGGTGAAGGTGAAGGAGTTGTCGAGGTGAGGTGAGCCGGGGCGAGGAAGTTGGCCGGGGTCTTGGCTTTGCTTGGCTGCAAGTGAGACCACCGGCCCGGAACCACGCCCGAAAGATCTTCCATCTCTTCTTCATCAACATGAAAATGTAAGAATTATTATCGATTGCCACCATGGCAGCTGAACCAAAGAGCAAGTCCGAGAAAGCAATCAAATCTCACGCTCCAGAAGTCCAAGATGTTCGTCCGCAGTCATGGGCTGATCCAGGAACCTGGTCGGCTTCAACAAAATGGATGCCAGCATATATCGCCGTGGCAGCAGTCGCCATCGCACTTCTCTACGTACGATTCTTGCGACCGTCAGGGCTAGACACTTCCACCTTTGATGATTGTATTGCGACATTCGATTACAGCTTCCGCATCAATGCTGCCTTGTCCCAAGCACACGAACAGGCCACGCACAGCTGGGAAATCGGCTATGCCCATGAAGCGACAATGCAGATCTTCAATCCGGAGAGATCTGTGTTCGGCTCAGATCCGTTTCCTGGAGGCGAGCTTCCTACTCTTGGTCTGCGATTAGATGAAGCCTCTCTGTATGCCCAGCCCAGGATTCGAACACATGACAAATCGCTATTTGATGAAGAGAGTGGCGCTGTGTCTGATCCTGCTGCACTCGGTATGGCAGCTTTGATGCTTGGTCGGAGATCGTGGAACAGTAAAGCGTATCGAGAAGCTGCTGAAAGGCAGAAAGATCTGCTGCTAAGACAAGCACCACGATACGTCAACGGGGCGATCAGCCATCGCTGGGAGAACGCCGAGCTGTGGTCAGATGCGCCGGCAATGTTTCCGCCTTTTCTGGCATATTATGGAGTGGCTACGAACGACACAGACCTTGTGCATGAGGCTGTGGTGCAGATTGGCCTTCATAGAGATGTGCTGCGAAGCGATGATGGTCTGTGGAAGCATATCATCGGCTCACCAGATGATTCGGACGAAGGCTATTGGAGTAGCGGTAATGCTTGGACATCATATGGTATGACGAGACTGAGGGCAACGATCAGTGCATGGTCGCACAACAATGCCACTCTTGCAGACGATCAGAGAAAGTTGGATTCCTGGATCAAAGAGCTCCTTGACGCTGTGATCTCCAGCGACGATCACGAATCTGGACTATTACGAAACTACTTGCAGGATAAGGACTATGATGGCGAGACCTCTGGTACTTCGCTCCTGGCTGCGACTACTTATCGCATGGCGATATTGAACCCGGAAGTCTTTGGTCAACGCAAATATCTTGATTGGGCGAACGCGAAGCGACATGCCGTGGTTTCACGCGTTGACGAGGACGGTATTGCGAGTCCGGCTGCCAACCCATTGGACCACAAATCAAAAGTGCCTGTGGACATTAGCCCAGAAGGTCAAAACTCACTCCTTCTGCTCGGCGCGGCTTGGCGGGATTGCGTCTGCAACGGACTTTGCATGGAGATGTACGTGGAGGAGCATGGATTGGTAGGTACTTCCGTTGATCAGCCTTTCGATTGATGATGCTGACTACTATGATAGACATCGCAGTCAGAATTGACGCCCAAGACAGTCGCGGGTCCGGCTTGGAAAGAGCTATGGCAGCGCGTTCACAAATATTTTCAGCCCATGTAATCGAACCTTTCCGCATATGAAGCAGAATATCACATATATAGAAGACAGTAGAGTCTTTCGACATTACCTAAGAGCTGTGCGCAGGCGCGACATGTTCAGAAAGTTTGACTGAGGCAAGAGCCGAGCTTGGTGCCTCAGGCATCAAGTGAATATACTGCACATTTTCACATCGATGTCGAACATCGCTGGACCAGATCACAGGCCAGAAAACCATGGGGAATAAAAGCCTCTCGTAGCTTAGAATCAAGTGCGATACACGTCACACTTGCCTATAATCCCACTGAAGTGTTGCTTAGTCGGGGGTTAAGCAAAACAAGAGGAATGTCGAAGAATCGCACCGTTCGCGTACGTTCGACTGTACTCCATGATCCTTAGCATTTTCCGTAACGAATAATACGCTTGAAGTGTGTGAGAGCTTCCTACTTGGCCGGGACGACCCGGAGTAAGGTCCCTTCACATCCGAATTTCGACCAAAATGGTATTTTCCCGCCCTCCCTCACACAACAACACTTCCTTCACGTCTTGAGGTATATTAAAGCAGCAAAAGAACGGGCTCAACTCGGAATTGAACCAAGGACCTCTTGCAGAACGGAGCAGTGAGCTACCCAAAGCAAGAATCATACCACTAGACCATTGAGCCGTAGTTACAAGCGTACAGCGCCTGTGATGGATGAGGGAGGTCATCCTGAAACCATTATGACATGACCCAAACTTCTGCTAAGGCCAGGAAGCTCCCCGATTACTGCCAGGTCGTGTCTCGCTCGTTGAGTTGAAAGCAAACCCTGATCGTAAGAGCTGCCAAGAAATCGTCGAAAAATCTCAAGGCCTCTGTCATGGTGGGAAAAGCTAGTTGAGCCGTAGTCACAAATCTTCCATTGATACAGAAATGCCTGGCTCCAATGCCGTGACATCGCGGAGAGCTGCTGACACATGCAGATCAAGTTCTTATGCAAATGGGTCCCAGGTGGCGAAGAGCCTCTCCGATCGTCGTCCGATGACCTCACCAGTACCCGAGCGGCAGAGCTCTATTACTTGTGCAACCTCTGATGCGTCGGACCTCTGTCAGCGATATACTGGGATTAGCAGCAGAAGCTCACATAATCCGTTGCAGAACAAGAACGAATACTCTCAAGATGGGCTTACCACAACGACCAGACGAATCCATCTCCTCCGAGACCCCATCAACCACCACAAAAGCCTCCTCCCTCCCTCCCGAAGCCCTCGCCCTAGCAACCCAACTCTTCGACCACGCTCGTACAGGCCAGACCGCGATTCTCTCGCAGTACATCACGCACGGCATACCCGTAAACCTGACCAATGACAAAGGCGACAGCCTTCTCATGCTAGCAGCCTACCATGGACACCTCGAGACTGTCCAGATGCTCGTTGAAAAAGGCGCAAATATTGATGCTCTGAACGATCGAGGGCAGAGTATTGTGGCAGGAGCTGTGTTCAAAGGTTACGATGATGTCGTGAAGTATCTGGCCGAGCAAGATGCGGATCTGGCCAACGGACAACCCTGCGCGATTGACACGGCACGTATGTTCAAGAAAGAGGAGCTGCTAAGGTTCTTTGGGTTCGAAGAATGATGAGATTGAAGGATTTGAGGGATAGAGGAAGAGGAATATGATCATAACGCGCCCTCTCAAGCCATGCAAGGGATCAGCCAGAGGATTAAGCTTGACATAATGCTGCAGCAGAACAAGTACTGCCTGAACCATCTTTTCAGCTCTCGTGGAGACTGCTGGCGATATAATTGCAAAGAGGGCTAATGAAAGAGGAGGGCGCAGTGGGCAAAAGCAACACTTATTGAAAGGGAATGAAAAAGATGAAAGGACAGTCGTGAAGAGCTTAGAGATATGTGAGTAAAGATGGAGGGCTTCTGGAAAATCCAGAAAGTGTGCTGAGTAGTAGCACTGGTGGCAGCACGAATGTTGACCTGGCACGCTGAGCAAGCCGAGAATACGTGGAGTAGTCGCACATTCCTCTGTCTCGACGACGCAGATACAGCAGCTCAGTAGTGCCTGTAGACCGGGCATTCTCAACATTGGTCCACTTTGTGAACATTCGCGAAAACACCGAGAGCCAGGCGACGGTTCCACAGAGCTTTTGTTGGCAGGTGGGTGGCTCCCAGATCCGTTACGCACTCGAACGCCGTGGCGGTCGGACTCGACAACGTCTTCGGGCCAGAAAAGGACTTGTGTTAGGGCGGGAAGACTTGTATTTCTACGAGTGGCTCGCGTGCTCGGATCATTGGGCCAGAAGAGTCGTCACTTGACATTCTTGTCGCAGTAAGTATGCAGGCGGTCTCTTGTCCCCGTCGGGCTGCCTTCAGTGCGCACGAAGCCAAGCTGAAGTAGCCACATCAAAGCCGGTGCAAGGAGCCGAGTAGCCGGAAATGCAGAGCTCGAGACGGCTTCTGGTCTGCCTTTTCGTGATTTGCGATCGAAACAGATTATATCGTGGTCCCTGTCGTCTTTCCTCGAGCATTCCCACCTCCGAGGTTTTGTTCGTCAGACCGGCATTCGTTCAGAGACGGTGGCATTCCGTTCCCGTCAGTATGCAGTGTCACTTCTTACCCTTCTTCCTCCCACCATCCTTGCCCGTGCCCTCTTCAACAACGAAGCCGCCTTTCACGACCGCATCCCTCGCGGCCTGATTGATCAGTCTGAATCGATCCGGGCCCAATTTAACGCCTCCATACCACCTACTCACAACAACCATGACATTCCACAATCCCATTAATTCCAACAAATGCAGCAATCTTCCACCTGCGGCATCCTCTCCATCATCATCACAGTCCTGAAATTGCACTCCGTTCTCGCCACGTATCCGCCAGGCTGTGATATTATGTGTAGCTTTGGCGACCTTCTTGTCCGTAGCAAGTAGATGGGCCAAATATGATTTTGCCTCGTCGACACTTGAGACTTGCGCCGCACGAGCCAGGAAGACGGACTTCTTCTCTGTGACAACATCCGACTCGGCCCAGGGTGGCGGGTTTCCAAGTTCTTCTATAGGCTGAAAATGAGTGGGGAAGTCAGAAGCTATGTTCTCATCCGGGTACTCGTGGTGGGAGGGCTGACCGTTCGCTTCAGTAGCTTGTTGTTCCGCGTCCTTTGAGCTGGAGTCCAAGCCGAGCTGCTGAAGTCTCTGGGTCGATTCTTCAATGAGGTCAAATATGCAGGGTGCACCAGGCGTGTATATTTCTGCCAAGATAGAGCGGACGAGGTCGACGATGGCAGTGCCTTGACCTTTAGCCGTATCGTGGCCAACATGTTGGGTGCCAAGAAGTGATGGCGGCGCATCAGGATAATCCGATGGGAAGTCTATCCGCAAGGAGATGTCGGGCTGAGATGGGATAGTCAAGGCATATAGATTGGGCGCTTCTTCGAGAGACGTGATGGTTTTTTCGCCGTAGATGGCATTGATGGAGTTGACTTCATCGAGCAGTTCTTCTGACATGGCGGGTGCGCTATTATGAACAGATCGGAATTGGATCCATAGTCTTGTCAATATTAAAATTCTTTCTCACGAGCGCGCCAGTTATGAAAGTATCTACATGTATGTAGAGCTTCCGGAAGGAAGTGCGAAGTGAACATAGAAGCCGCGCGCGAGTCATGCGGAATTTGGCCCGCTTTGCTTCACAGATTTCCGACTGCGACTACACTTCTCGTCTTCCACACCAACAGCACAACCACCATGTCGCGCACGTCGATTCTCGGCTCTCTGCCAAAGCCAAAATACAGCGGCGAAGATGAGGAGCTCCCGACACACACACAGCAGAAGGGGCCGAAGGTGATCGCCGCGCGAGATCTGGAATCCTCCCAATTGACCGTCAAGCGGAGCGGACCACCACCATACGGCCAGCGATCAGGATGGCGACCTCGAAATGCGGAAGACTTTGGCGACGGTGGCGCGTTTCCCGAAATACCTGTCGCACAATACCCGCTGGATATGGGAAGGAAGAACGTGCCATCGAGCTCGAACGCGCTCGCGCTACAGGTCGACGCCGAGGGTAAGGTGAAGTACGACGCGATCGCGAGACGAGGACATGGCGAGACTCGAATCGTGCACGCGAGCTTCAAGGACTTGATTCCACTGCGACAACGGGCAGACGCGGGCGAGATCAATCTGGAGAAGCCAAGTGAAGAGGAAGTAGAGGCAACAAAGCAGAGAACACAACTTGCACTGCAAGGACTGGTCAATGGAGCGCTGGCAGCACAGAAGCCCAAGAATGTCAAGGGCACCAACAGACCAGAGCCGACATTCGTGCGATATACTCCTGCGGATCAGATGGGCGACAAGAGCAAGAAGCAGGATCGAATCATGAAAATTGTGCAGAGACAGCAAGACCCTATGGAGCCGCCAAAGCACAAGATTAAGAAGGTCCCTCGTGGACCTCCATCCCCGCCACCGCCCGTCATGCACTCCCCGCCGCGCAAACTGACCGCAGAGGATCAAGAGAACTGGAGGATCCCACCACCCGTGTCGAATTGGAAGAACTCGAAGGGATACACTGTGCCGCTGGACAAGCGATTGGCAGCAGATGGCCGAGGCCTGCAGGATGTGACCATCAATGACAAATTTGCACAGTTCGCTGAGGGTCTCCACGTCGCAGATCGACATGCCAGGGAGGAGGTACAGCAGAGAGCTAAGATGCAGCAGCGACTGGCTGAGAAAGAAAAAGAGGCTAAGGAGGAGAACCTGCGCCAGCTGGCAATGAAGGCACGTGCAGACAAGGAGGCAGCCATGGCGCAGCGGCGTGGATCCGATCGTGGACGTTCAAGGAGCCGGTCCGTGGATAGCAGGTCGTCTTATTCATCGTACTCATCCCGATCACGAAGCGACAGCAGGAGTAGGAGCCGGAGCCGGAGCCGGAGCCGAAGCCGCAGTGGTGGCCGGGACGATGGGGAGAAGGAGCGAAGAGCGCGTGAGAAGGCCAGAGCAGAGCGGAAACGCGAGGCTCAGCGGGAGATGCGACAAAAGAACATGGGCCATGAGCGAAGGATGAAGATGATGGCTCGAGAGCAGGGACGTGATATCAGTGAAAAGGTTGCGCTGGGGCTGGCCAAGCCAACACAGAGCAAGGAAGCCATGTACGACTCGCGTCTCTTCAATCAGAGTTCCGGCCTCGCTGCTGGATTCAATGAGGACCAAGCGTACGACAAGCCTCTATTCGCGAGCCGTGATGCGTTGAACTCGATATACCACTCCGGGGCAGCAGACGATGATGGCGAGGACGATGGAGAGACATTGGAGAAGATTCAGGGCACGAAACGGTTTGATGGCCTTGGAAGAGCGCCGAAGGACGGATTCAAAGGCACAGACACAGTCGAGAAGAGGACTGGCCCTGTGCAGTTCGAGCGCGATCGCGGCGACGACCCCTTTGGCGTAGAGGCGATGATTGCAGAGGCTTCAGACAAAGCAAACAAACGCTCCGCCGAGGATGACGGAGGCGGCCGCGGGAAGAAGGCGAGAGTGGACGATGAGTGACATTGAAATTGTACAAGGTATGTAGCAAATCTCGCGTTGGGGCGCAGTTTCTCGAGCGACATGCAGGCTTCAGCTCTCATCGATTTTCATCAACGTCCTTGCACTCGTGAAGGCGAGCTCAACGCTGCCTTTGTACACAGTGCACGATGTCCGAAGCACAAGTCTCTGAAGTCTCGCGCGCTTCACTACCGCGCAACGAGGAACAGCGCCTTGTTCTGTCTCCATTCACCAGCGCGTCCGTTTGTTCACGGTTGCACTCGTAAGTTATACTGATGCAGCTCCTGCAACGCTTCGTACTTCAGCAAACGTCTCTACTTCTCGAAACACAAAGTCCATACCAGTCGCGCGACCCTACTAGAACAAGCCCTTTTCAAACCTTCAGCAAACGGCCGCAAAGCCATGCCGCCGCACTACATTCTCGCCCGCCGCGTCCTGAACAACCTCGACTCAACTGCTGCAGCGAAACCACAAACTTCGTCACTCGGCGACCAATTCCCTTCGCCGGCCGAGCGTATGACACCCATTCCCTTTGGAACTTCTGGCGCACTCGGAATGTCACCAACAAGTCTCCTAGCCTCCGCACAGCAAGCTCGCTATCCGCTTGCCTCAACCACCACCATCCCAGGCACAACAGCTTCTTCAGAAGTCTGGCCGGACCTCTTCCCAGATGTGCCAGATTTCTTGTCCTACTGCCTCGCAGGCGGGCTTGGATTCGGAGTAGTCACAGCAATTTGCTTGTTGATGATTATGTACTGGCCGCGAAGACCATCTTCTCATCCCCAGTCCGCCGGGGAAGGAAAGTCGAAAGGCATATATCGCGCAGTACCGCAAGGAGACCTGGAACTGCAGGATCTTGCTTCTTCCTTCTCTTCGTCCACTTCTCATCGTCACGCCCATTCAATTGAACAGCACACTGAGAAGGAGATGCTGTTGCGGCAGAGAAAAAAGGAGCTAATGAAGAAGACCCTGCGAGTCGATACGACAGGCGAATATCGTGGATTGGGTATTGTCGTGCCGCGTGAGGAAGTGGATGCGCCCCTTTGCGAAGAGGCGCCTGATGAGGAAAAGCTGGCAGAAGGGCAGCATTGGAAGGTACCGCCGAGAGGTCGTGGTGAAGTCCCATGTGCGCCAACGATACAAATCCATGCACCAGTAAAATCAACACGCAAGCCTCCTACTTCAAGTCAAGAAGCACCAGACTCCGACAAAAATCAACTTCTCAATAACACGCCACCTTTTGATCTTCACCATCACCACTCCCACCACGACCTCGAAACCGGCATGCTACACGACGCAACTCAGCTCGGGAGCTCATTTGCCCCATCCTCCTTCTTCGCCCGCGGCAGAACTTACTACTCCAATCCCGCCTCCCGGTCTCCCTCCGCCTGCTCGTCCTCTGGCAGCTCAGCACCGATCAGCAGGGCCAACTCAACACTCAACCTGCTGCTCGAAAAAGGAGAAGATGCGATCGATTTTGCTGCCCGCAAATTGGCGAAGATGATGTGCGACCAGGTCAATCGGGATAGAGATGTGGAAGCGGATCTGCTATTGCCTGTGAGAGCGGAGGAGAGGGGATGAGGAGGATCCAATTGGTGGTGGAACAGATCGGAAGGAAGAGCTTTGTTGTGGCCGATCGCTGAAGGCATGCGAGCGACTTGTGCAGCCACGCCGCGATATCTGATACCTTGATGTTCGTCTTCATTGCTGGGAGTTCCTCTTTTGCCCAGCTCCAAAAGTTTTCTCACATATCCAATGAGCCGTAGAAAAAATTACGTCTTCCACTGCACATTGAAATCTCGCGCAGGTTGACTCTTGAGCTTCCATCCGCTCAGCTTCACATTTTTCCAGCCAAGTATTTGACAACTCACAGTGCCTTGGAACTTATCACAGTTGTTGCCTGAGAACACCAGATATCCCGAATCGGTCACGAGCGTACTACCGCCTTGCAATGCCACCGGCACTAGAATCTGGTCTGGAATTTCCTGAATCTCGTCTTCGTGTTTTTCAGGAATATCATGCTCGCTAGAAGATGCCTCGCTCAACATCTCGCCTTGCCATTTCAACCAAAACTTCGGACTGCGGAAGCTGTTCTTCTCGAACTGCCGATGTCGTTGCTGCTCACGATCATCTTCTTCATCCGACTGTTCATCCTCGTCCTCCACATCATCCCCATCTCCCTCTTCACCAGACCCCTCCTTGTTCTCTTCCTCCTCATCATCCTCAAAAGCCCTTACAGCCACCTTCATACCCTTCCTACTCCCAGCCAAAATAACAGTCCCACGCAGCACACCCGGCAAAATCAACTCCCCAACCAACGCATTCCCCAGCTCATTCAAATTATAGATCTCAAGTCTCCCAACCTCAGCATTCTGCCCTCCATTCTTCGATCCAATCTTTCCCGCAGCAGGACATTTCACCTCATATGTTCCAAACGTCTTATGAACGTCGAATGCTCCATTACTCTTCCCGCCTTTCCCGCGTCCTTGCTTGCCGACTCGGTTGTGGAGGTGTCGATTCGTGAGTGCAGCATCTTGCCATTCGTCGTCCATGGTGCTGGGGCGTCAGTGTACAGTCCCAGGAATCGAAGGTGAGAGGTAAAAGTTGAGGAATGGGAAGCAGATCAACGTTGAAGTAATGTTCATGGCAAGCGCGTCATTGACTGTCGTACTTGGCTGGCTCCTACCTGCACACACGTCGGGAGTCTTCTGCCAATACGAAATGGGTCTAGTATAAAAGCCCATGGGGCTTCGTAGTATATTCCACCATTTTCAAAATAAACGAAGAAAGAAGAAGAAGCAGTCGTAGTCCCGAGGCCGACGAAGTTGTTGCTTTCCTTCGGCCTTGGCACAGTGCATTCTTATTAGTAGGTTCCAGTAAGTCAGCTTAGGGTTGCGACTTCACAACGCTCAATAATCAATTCCACAGTAGTCACACTGGTATCGAGAAGAAAGACTTTCTATCACCTATAGCTTTGATATGCTATCAAGGCTTATTCCTTAAATAAAGAAAAGTTATAGTAAGTTTGCTCCATTTTCGAAATAGTAGGCTAAATTCTACACTTTCCGAGCAATAAAGTACTTTCAATGCGTTGGCGGTTTGCATAGGCATGAGAACATGTTGCAAGGTCAATGGCATCGCTAAAGCAGAATTATCAATGGAGCTAGAGCCGTTCCGTAGACGAACATGTCAAGCCAGATCTGACGGCAATGCTCTACTAGTGAGGGGAGAATCTGGAATGTTTTCATCGTGTTTTAGACAAGGACATATGAGTGAGGAGCATACCAAAACGACGGCGGGTGTCGAGAACATGATCTAGCGTGAGAAGGAGACCAGTGCATCATGAAATCAAGGAACAAAAAGAAAATTCATCCGATCCATTCAGAGTCTAGTGTTACAATCAAGACCTAAGAAAGAAACCCCGAAAGCATTTCATCATTCTTGTCGCCCTCGCTCGTTCCGAAAAGGACCTCCGTCTCGCTGGCGCGTGCGTGTGTTGACATGCTCGCATGTGGATCGAACTGCACTGTCCCAGCCTTGACTTTTACGCCTGGCTTCAATGGAAATCTGTATGTGCTTCCCGTTCGACCTCTCGCCAGCGGACATGAGAACCTCCCTCGCCACCCGCCGTTTGCAACAGCCTAGCACTCCTCCACCCCAGAAGTGAGTGCCGAGCCTCCCACATCCCCGCCCGCCGGTTCCCAGTCTATGTGCGCGGGGGTTCCGCAATGTTGTTGTTGTGATGGACGTCAGTTTCAGACACCCTCATCTCTGCCATTTCGCTCTCGAAATCGATTCCAGTTCCTCACTTCTCAGGTGGTGGCTGGTTTCTTCGTGGGTAGCGGCTTCCACTCGGCTCTGCTGGAGTCTCGGTCTTATCCTGCCTCTGAGCCTGAGCGATAGCGTTGGCGTTCTTCTGATACTTGTAGACGGTCCAGTCGAAGACGTAGTCGTACTGGAAGCCTTCTCTTACGAATAGGTCTCGGAAGATCTTGCGCAAGTACGAGTAATCCGGCTTGTCGTCGAATCGGAGACTTCTGGCGTAGTTGAGGTAGATGGCAAACTCGTTTGGAAAGCCGCGGCAGAGCACTTCGGTAGGAGTGGTCATCTTCTTCTCCATGATGCGGTCGTACTTTTGCTTCTTGGTGGTAGCTTTGAGACCTTGCCAAGGAAGAGAGCCTCGGCAGAAGTACAGGAAAACATAGCCCAGGGATTCGATGTCGTCGCGGCGCGATTGTTCTGGAGAGGTACATTAGTTTTCGTGCGACATGTGTCATGCATCTGCTCAGTGCAGGTACATTGGAATGCAGACTCACCGACGCCAAGATGTGTGTTGATGGAAGCGTAGCGAGCTGTTCCGGTAAGGTTCTTGTTCTCGCGGTATGGAATGTGGAAGTGTGTCTTTGGGTCGCGGTACTTCTTCGCGAGGCCGAAGTCGATGACATTGACCTGGTTGCCACGCTTGCCAATGCCCATGACAAAGTTGTCAGGCTTGATGTCACGCTGCACGAGATGGTTAGTAATCGTATCAGGCTGTGGCGTTCTGCAGCTGAGCTCAGAAGGATAGACAGAGGAAGAAACGTACTGCATTCATGTTAGCAAGCATGACATGCAGGATTTGTGGAGCGCAACTGACCATGAATAAATGACTTGGCGTGAATGTACTCGATGCGAGAAATGAGCTGATCGGCGAGCAGCAGGACAGTCTTCAGCGAGAACTTGCGATTGCAGAAGTTGAAGAGGTCTTCCAGCGAAGGACCCAGTAGGTCCATGACCTGTCGCAGTTAGTACTCACAGCAGCCTCCCCAGACCTTCTGTGCTCCGTACCATGGCATTGTAGTCACATTCGGTGCCAAACCACCTCACAAAGGGAATTCCGACGCCGCCGGCGATGGACTTGTAGACGCGGGCCTCGTACTCCAGCTGGGGGTGCTTGGCCTTGACGCTTTCCAGCTTGATGGCGATTTCCTCGCCGGAGATGATGTTGGTGCCCAAGTAGATGTCGCCAAAGGAGCCGCTTCCGATTTTCCGGCCGATGCGGTACTTGTTGCCCACGCGCAGGTCCATGCCCGCCGAGGTAGGCATGATGTGTGGCAGCAGCAGCAGTCCTCTGGAAAGAGAAGAGGTGCGGCGGGGTGGTGGTGTTAAGATGTGTTGTCGGTGTCGGTGGGCTGGTGTTTTGGGTGGGTAGGATTCCGGGGCGTGTCGCGAGGTTGGAAATAGAAAAAGAAGTGGAGCTGGGTGGCAGCTGGGCCGATGCTGGTGCGGAAGGGAAGGGCAGCTGCAGGCAAGCGCCGCGCCGTGATTTGATTGTTGATTTGACGGCAAGGCAGGCACGAGGCGCGGAGGCAAGGCAAGCAGGCAAAAGGGCGAGGCAAGCGCGGTGACTACGACAAGAAGGAGCAGCTCGTGCGGCAATCGTGTGACGTGTACAATTTGCGCCCTAAGTTAGATGCCTTAACAGTCTCATTCACGCGTGTCAGTGTCGGTTGGAATTCAATTCATGACAGCGCATCGGGCAGCGGCCTTGGCAACATTGCGACACGTGGAGAGAGCGATAAGCCCATCCCATCCGCAAACCGCATCCGCAACAACACCACCCGAGATTGAGAACAACCGGCGACGACGACAACTACCGCCCATTCTCTGCTTCCTGCTGTCTGTTCATTGCACGTCTATACGAATCGCCTACTGCAGCGCGATGCCCGCTAACGCCCAGCGTCACTCGCCTCCGTCTGGTCGGTGAGCTGAAACACTTCCCTCACCGCCGCCCACAGCCTGCGAATTGCCTCATTTATGCCATCAAACGGCGCAACCGCAGATCCGTATATCGCTGCTTCTGCTCCTGTCGGATGCGGACGTCCATGTCGCGTGACAGTGCCCAGGCAGAGGAACATGTCGGCCCGCGGCATACTCCACGTGACGAGGCGTCGGGCAAACATCGCTGACAGGCTGACAGCAGCCTTCGTGACGTGCAGTCTTTTGGCAGCCGAGATTCGAGTGTGAAGAAGCCGTTATTCTGACGCGGCGCCCCATTGTACTGGGCCACAGAACGAGATTCGAAGGCGTGCGGAGCACCGAGGACGTTTCGAACGGCATCCGCCGAAGTCAACAACAGCATGAGATCTCTGATGCAAGTGATCGTGCGTCGAAGCGATCGAGAAGCCCTCCCTCCCATCGTCGCCAGACCGGGATTCTGAGCGGCTTCATCGTCTCTTCACACCCGTTGATCTGTCTCAGTAACACCAGTGAGTATATGGCGACCCGCGAACCTGCACAAACCATAGCGGTACGAGTCTACGTGGGTCATTTCACATTCTCAGACGTGTCCTTCTTTCTGCCGCTCTCGTTCAGCCTTTGTGATCAACAGTGAGGTGGGCCCATGCAGCAACAGGAAGATCACCACACTCAGCAGGCGACCATTTCCAGTAACTGCCAAAGCAGGCTCTTGAAAAGGAGTTGAAATGGAACAGCCACGAAGTGTATTCCTCTGTTACGAAAGGAACTGGTTTCTCTATTCTAAGCCGATGGACTGGGCCTGGCACATGGCATAATACAACCCTTTGGCTCGAAGAAGTTCCTCATGAGAACCACACTCGACAATCTTCCCCTCACCGACCACGAAAATCACATTCGCATTGCGAACTGTACTCAGCCGGTGAGCAACAGCCACGACCGTTCGCCCTAATCTGGCACTCTCCAGAGACTCCTGGACAATTCTTTCGCTCTGCGTGTCCAGTGCAGATGTAGCCTCGTCAAGAAGAAGCAATTGCGGTCTCCGGATCAGCGCTCGCGCTATCGATATTCGCTGTCTCTGTCCACCAGACATCTGACTTCCACCTCCGCCGCATGCAGTCTCCAGCCCTTCGGGCAATGAGCTGACAAAGTCAAGACAATTTGCCATGCGAAGTGCTTCTCGCACACGATCGTCGGATACCTCTTCGTCGAGGCCAATCGTGACGTTATCCCGAATGGACCCTTGAAACAATCCCGGCTCCTGCTGCACGAGCGATATATGCTTGCGGTACAGGTGAGGCGACATGGCTGATACTCCCTGCCCATTCAGCATTATCTGGCCTGATAACGGATCGTAGAATCTTTGGATGAGGCTGATGACTGTGCTCTTGCCGCAGCCCGAAGGTCCCACGAATGCCGCGTACTGACCAGACTCTATCCTGAAGTTCATCCCCTTGAGAACAGACACAGTCGGCCGTTTTCGATATCGAAATTCCACGCCATCGAACTTCACTTCTGCTTGGCTTCCAGAGGATCCTTTACCCATGTTGATCGAAGTCTCCCGAATCTGGCTCTCAACCGTGCGTAGCCAAAGGATGTAATTGACCGCAGATCGAGCTTTGGCCAGCGAGCTACTGAACGAGAAGAACGCCGCGGCAGCTTGTCCGGCAAAGATGATCGCTGTGAAGACGACCATGAACTGCTGTGTCGTGTACTCGCGTCTGGCCACAAGACGAGACCCATACCAGAATCCGAGAGCGATGATCAAATACTCCAACGACTGCGACAAAGCATACGGTGCCGTAGCAAAGACGAAGTACCGAATCGACTTCATCGCATCCTTCCGCACAGCCGCGTTGTATTGATCCATCACCTGTGGCTCCATCGTCAACGACGCAATCGTCCGGATAGCCGCAGTAGATTCAATCGCCAACGCAGCACTATTCGCAAAATGCTTCGCATTCTGTTCCTCGTATTGATTCTCGCACCGGATCTTCACATAGCCAGCGCCAATCAAAATTGGGAGACCGCCAAAGACCAGAACAAGTCCGAGTTTCCAGCCCCAGACTATACCTAGAATACTAGAAGCGACCAAGCTCACCAGGACGATGGAAATCACAACCATACTCGACGACAAGAGCTCTCGAATCGCAGCCGGAACATCATTCAATTTCGTCGTCAAATTCGCAACATGATGTAGATCGAAGAATTCTTGATCCATGCGTAAATACCGATCCAGTAGTTCCCGACGATACTTTGTCGCGAGTCGTTGACCGATGATATGGCAGGTGTAGCCTACGCAGAAATAGCTTATGGCTGTGGCGAACGCCATGGCGAGAAAAACGAGTGCGGAGAAAGTCGCTTGTCGTTGACCTTCCTTTTCTGGCAAGACAAAGGCATCGTTGAGTTTGGAGAAGAGGATCGCTTGGATTGGGTTTACGGCTCCGCCGATTGCTGCGCCGAAGGAGAGGATGAGGTAGTGGTGCCAGTGGGAAGGGCGGTTTTCTTTGAGCATGAGGAAGAAACATTTGAGGAGGGAGTGTTTGAGGCCTTCGGATGTGACGCGGGGAGTTGAGAGTTCGGGTCGGGCGCGTGTAAAGTCTCTTGAGGTCCGGTTGCAGGTGGCATATGAATGGATGTCTTGCCGTTCCAGTTCCATGTCGTCGACATCTTCTTTTTCCTCGACATCATCATCTTTTTCATCACTCTCGTAGCTCCCCTTGCTATCGCTGTCGAAGCTCATCCTCGATCCAGTCTGATGATAATCCAACAAATCTTGCAACGAAAACATCTCATTGCTCAGCCGCCGTTTCCTCTCATCCTCCTCCTCCTTCAGTCCTCCAACCGAAACCGAACCACCCAAATCCTGCGCCCTAACCATCCCCGCATACTTCCCATTCTCCCTCCTCATCAACTCCCCATGACTCCCCTCCTCTAGCACCTTCCCCTCCCCAAACACCACAATCTTATCCGCATTCCTCACCGTCGCCAACCTATGCGCGATAACAACCGTCGTCCTCCCCTTCATCACGCTCTCCAACGCAGCTTGCACTACTTTTTCCGTCCCCGGATCCAACGCACTCGTCGCCTCATCCAACAACAAGATCCTCGGATTCGACACAACCGCTCTCGCGATCGCAATCCTTTGCCTCTGTCCACCACTTAACATCGCACCCTTCTCCCCAATATTCGTAGCATACCCTCTTGGTAAATCCATGATGAAACCGTGCGCGTTAGATTGTCGACAGGCATCTTGTACTATTTCCCTCTGAGTCTGAAATGGAAGGTTTTGTTGTTTATTTGTGAAACCCATTGCGACGTTTTCAAATACAGTTCCGGAGAAGAGAGTAGGTTCTTGTTGGACGAGACCGATGTTGCTGCGGAGGTAGCGGGTGTTGTATTGAGAGAGGGGGATTCCGTCGAGGGTTATTGAGCCTGCTTGGTCTGGTGAGGAGGATGACGGGATTTCGTAGAAGCGTTCGAGGAGGGCGATGAGGGTGGATTTTCCGCAGCCGCTTGGGCCGACCAGGGCTGTGGTTTTACGAGCTGGGATGAAGAGGTTGAGATCCTTTAGTACTTTGATCTCTGGTCGTTGAGGATACGCGAATGTAAGATTTTTGATTTCGATTTGACCTTGTTGCATACATCTTTGGCCGGATTCTGATAATGGATCCAGAAGTGAAGGTCTGTCGATTGTCTGAAAGAGGGCTTTTGCTGCTGTACTAGCATTCGCGACAGCTTGCTGTTGAGGTCCGATTTGTTGAATGGCACCGTTTGCCATGCAGACTGAAAGCAGAACAGTAAACACCGGTCCGCTGGATCCAATATCGCCGCTTTCGTACAATTCATAGCCTTGCCAGAAAGCCAACACGAATATGCAAGACACGATAAAAGCCTGAGAAGAATAGAGAATCCCATAAATCAGTGGTTTCCTGCGTCCGGCTTCATTCGCAGCATCCAGAAGATCATTATGCTTGGCCAGTAATTTCTGCTCAGCACCAAAAGCCCGCACAGTCTTGATAAGTCCAAACGCGTCCTGCGCAACGTTCGTCGCTTGGGAAAGTGCTTGCTGACTCGCAGCTTCGATTTTAGTATCCTTGGAGATGGCGAAGCCGACGATGATGAACCATGCTGGGATTAAACTTAGCGTGATGAGTGCGAGTTTCCAACTCACAGTGAGAGCCACTACGATGGCGGCGAAGAACACTGCCAGACCTTGAATTAACGACGATAACTTCTCTCCGATTCCAAGATTGATCGTATCGCCGCTGCTCGTCAAATGCGTTGCCACGGACTGCTGTTCTCTATCGAAAAGCGCGATCTCTTGGCTGAGAGTTTTGCGGAGGTAGTCTGCCCGGAGAGCACAGGTCACATGTGTTGCGGCGATGCTGATAAGTAAGTTTGCGAGATATGCCAGTGCGAATTTTGCAGCAAAAAGGCCGGCGAGCATGGCGGTCGCTTGGTCGACATCTTGGAGGAATTGGTTTGCGGAATTTTGCGCGGAAACGAAGTCGTTGAATTTCGTGATGAAGCGGCCGAAGACTATTGTCATGAGTGGGCCGATGGCTCCCAGGGCGATGGATGCGAGGATTGCAATGGTATAGAAGATGGTATCCCAGGCTGTGGCATATCCGAATACTCGCTGATGGGTTCGCGTTTAGTATCTAGAGTGGAGAGAATCATCGAAGAACATACCCAGTAGTATCTCATGCCACCTTGGGGATCCTCCTTCTTCGTATCTTTGCTGGACTTTGCCACATCTTCGTCTGCGATACGTACTTGCGTATCTCCAGTTTTGTCGCCTAGCACTTCGAGTTCGTGGCCGTCGATCTCGCCTGGAGTGAATCCAGAATGTGTTTCACCCATTGCTCTGCATGAGTATCGTGGATGACATGCGACGCTGCGGGGCCGCAAGCAGTAGTCTATGAGACTCTCCTGGAGACTTCATTGTGTCCCCGGTGTTTTCGGGCTATTATGTGATACATCTTCACGGGGCGTGCTATTCTCAGCCAGAGTCAAGCCTTTCTCGCGCAGTCACCGAGCTTCTCGAACAGAAAGTATAGCAGTTCTGATGCCACATGTTGTTGAGGTTGGCTGGAGAAGAGCGTTGAACAGTGTTGGTGCAGGCTCGAAATGTGCTTGTTGGAGACGAGCAGTCTACAGACATGGAAGGCAACACTCGGAACAACGAAGATCCGTTCGCCCATGCATTACGCCAAGACTATGGATGACAAGGCATCGAAGCACATGTACGGCCTTAAAGCACCGTGACAAGCCGCCGATGAACACTGGCATACTTGGGACCATACAGCGATGACGAGGCCATTCCACCTACGATAAGTGCGGAAAGCAGGGCCTCATCAAGCGAACAGTTGACGGAAAGTGAAGGAGAACATTAATCGAGACTGAGGACGTTTCTCATTATCTACAAGTTCTTTATGCCTTTCAAACTCTTACAGGCTGCTCACGGCAGCTTACTACGAAGCACTCCCAGGTGAAAACACAAATTCCGCCAATGCCCTGAGGTTCGGCATGGTGAGAACTTGGTTCAGAGCCACTTCGTGACCCGTCTCTCGTCGTATCCAGTTCCGCAGCTCAACAGTAACCAAAGAGTCCAAACTGTACTCGACGAGATCAGTATCAGGATCGACTTCGTCAGCATCCATCACTGCCAGCGTTGCAACTCGCTCCATCAATGCCGGCAAGAACGATTCAGCATCACTATACTTGCTCAAGCCTTGCGTGGCAGCCGCCGCATTGTCTTGTTGACGCAGAGCAGAGTACATGTGCAACCGCTCGCCAATCGCAGACATATCTGGAGATTGCTGATCTCGCACAAAAGCGGTAGCTCGGACGGCTTCATCGTACTGGCCGGTCTTGCATGCGATGATAGCTTCTTCGACGAGGTGTTCGATCTGCGGCATCTGCAGCCAAACGCCCGTATTCTCGCGCATAGACTTAGTCATTCCGTTATCTAGTGCATAGCCCGCGTCTTCAATCATAGGGAGCTGGATCGAGATCGCTGGGAGTCCTTGCTCTCTTCGGTACGCCGAAAATGCTTCCAAGAAGGTCTAGATCGATCTAGTCAGCCAAACTTCCGCGCAGGGGCAATGGTTAAGAGTGAGTTTTACCGTTGTACCTCCGTAAATGCTCTGTCCAGCATTTCCTGTCACGCCAGTGATGGATGCCAGAGAAATGAAGAACTCAAGTTGAGGCAGCAGCTCATGCAGATGCCAAGCAGCGTCGATCTTGGGCGCAGAGACCTTTTGCCAGTCGTCGAAAGTCGTGTTCGTAAGCAAGGCGTCCTGTGCGATGTCATTAGTAGCAGTTCATTTAGCATTGCATGTCCCCAATCTTGGTGACTTACCCGAAGATACAACGCTCCGTGGATTACGCCTCGAACGGGAGGCAAGTCGTGAAGGCTCTTCAACGCCTCTTCAAGGCTTGCTCTGCTGGCCACATCGCATGCAACAGCTCGAACACCAGGGTGCTTCCGCGTCAGTTCGGCAATCTCAGGCCTTGAGGATCCACTCCTGCCTAGCAAGACAATGTGTTTCGCTCCATGCTCGAGCATCCACAATGCCAGCGAGCGGCCAATTCCTCCCGTGCCACCAGTGATCACATAGGTCACCTTGTCAGTCAATAGCTTTCCGCCAGCTCCAGGAGGCTCCGCGAGAACGGTATCAGTCGGTGATACTTTGACCACGACCTTTCCAATATTGTCACCTGTCTGCAACTTCCGCAGTCCGGACGCAACATCAGAAAGAGGGACCTCAGTACCAGCAATCGGGCTGATACCACCTGACTCAAGTCTCTCTGTTATGCTTGCGAGGAATCGTTGAGCTTCTTGCGGGCGCTTGAGCAGCCTCTGCCTCAAATCGACGCTCGTGAAAGAGATGCAACGTTCAAATGTGCGGAGTCCCATGTAGTTGTTGTCGAGGATGTCTTTCTTTCCAATCTCCACGAACCTGCCAAATTCGGCAACGATATCCAAGGTGCGTTCGAGCAGCTCTCCACTGAGAGAGTTCACGACTACATCTACACCTTTCCCGCCGGTTGCAAGTAGGATTTGGTCATGGAACTCTGGCGTTCGGCTGGAGAAGATGTTCTCTTCTGGTATGCCCAGAGTCTCGTGCAGGAACAGCCTCTTTGCTGTAGTGCCGGCTGTCGCGAAGATGTTGGCACCGAGCAATTTCGCGATGGCGATACAAGCTTGCCCGGCTGCGCCAGTCGCAGCATGGATCAGAACGGATTCTCCCGATTGAAGGCGAGCAACGTCTTCCAGACACCAGATAGCGGTGCTGTACGCGACAGAGAGCGTCGCACCCTGTGCAAAGGTCCAACGATCCGAGAGCTTTCCGGCATACAAATGCGACATGCGGACGTAATTTGCAAATCCACCTTGCATGGACGAGTAGAACACACGATCTCCAGGTTTGAAAGATGTCACATTGCGGCCAACCATTGCCACCGTGCCAGCTCCCTCGAGACCTGGCTCGTGCCATGGGAGCGAGCCAAGTACAAGCAGAAGATCGCGGAAATTGACGCCCACTGCCTCTACCTTGACAATAATCTCGTCATCGCCAAGTTCTTGAGCGAGCAGGTCAACGCGGCGGAAGTAGATGGAATCGAGGCTGCCGACGGAGTCGACTGTCATTTGGACAGTGTCTTTGATCGACATCTCGCCACTTTCATCGAGTGCCTGAATCCGCTTCTCGACCTCTTTCTCCTCAAATCCAAGAAGCTCCGCAGCATTAGGGGTCGGAACCAGTCGAGGAACGAGGAGCTCGCCGCCCGACAGAACGAACTCCTGCTCCGAATGCTTTGCCGCATCAGTGCCAGACAGTCGACCAGCAACACTTGCAATTGCCTCAACGCCTGCGTCGTCGATGCTTACGTCTCTTATGAGCAACAGAGGCCTTGGAGCATCCTCGAGACGTAAACTTCTAAGGAAGCCTATCATGGTGTGTGCTTCTGGCCTACTGTGCTCTGGCATGACCCAAATGATGCCCGCGCTGCCCAGAAGCAGCTGTCGCATCGTCTCGAAAGACTTCTCGTCGAACGTTCTCGTGATACTCTGAGATCCGTTATCGATGAACATGAAGTAGGAGCTTTCATCTGCAACGAAGCCATGATATGGCACGATGCGGGCGTCGTATCCAGGAAGTTCTCTCAGACGATCGGATACATTTTTGGCGAAATCTTGCTCCGCGTCGTCTCGCAGAACGCCACTGACAGTGATTGAGATGCTCGGTCCGGATTTGCTCGCCTGCGGCAGAGCTGGCTGAAGAGGTGCAAGATCCCACTTGTACGTCTCGGCTTTCCCATCGCCGAGGAATGGATTTCGCTTGACTCCAGAATTATGTCTCGAGGTCAAATGGAGGAGCTCTGCCACAGGCGTGAGAGAGCCGTTGACATGCGCAAAAGCGGTCGTGCAGGAAGTAAGACTGCCAAGCTTCTTGTCTTCGCTGATGAGACGAGTGACAACTGTAATCTTGGAGGACTCAGTGACAGGCACCTTGTCGAATATCCTCAACTGTCGACAATACACAGGGATCAATCCCTGCATGTCTCCGTTCAATGTCTTCAACAGTCCGGTACCATGTAGCAAATTGTCGCTCGTTGCGATACTAGTTGCCAGATTGAAGTCGGAATCCGAAGGTATAGACATATCCAGATCTTTCATCTGGATCTCGAATACTGCAGTATCGTCCGACCAGGCGACCTGGGTGATGAGCGCAAAGCCAGGCCCGTAGTCCAGACCTACGCCTCTCATCGTTTTGTACGCACTGTCCGTGTCAATAGCTTGCAGGTCGTCACGATGCAGGAGCTTCGCAGATGCCGCGCTGTCCGGGTTGTTGATCTCTGTAGAGGACTCGACGCTGACTTGGCCCTGAGCGTGCACGATCCATCCTTGCTTGTCGGCCCATGTCATGACCTCAAAGGTCCACCAAGTGTTTGACAAAGTGTTGGGTCCAACCGCAAATGGGGTGACTTTGGTCGTTAGGTCAATTGGCTCTTCTTCCGCAATCTGCAATCCACGCTTGGCATGAAACTCTCGCACGACGAAAGCGCCTACCGCAGTGTTGGGGCTGACACTGCGCACTGCCTCGAATGCAAGCGCAAGGTAGCCGGTCATGGGGAAGAGGACCTCGCCTGCGATACGATGACCTCTCAGCCAGGGCATCTCGTCCAGTGTGAAGACTTGTCGAAAAGACCGAGACTTTCCTTCATTGTGTGGACTTGCCCATCCGAGCAGCGCGTGATATGCGTTTCCTGGTCGTCTTGAATGTTTCGTTGTACGTGAAACATGGGCATATCTCTCAGATTTGTCCCATTCGTATCGAGGCAAGTCGGTAACCACATGACACTCGCCAGCATCGGTTTGGTTGACAGAGGCCAGATCGAGACTGATTCCGTTGGTGAAAGCAAGTGCTGCAAATGCCATAACTGCATCGTTAGATTCTGTTCCCCTGGTCAGGGTCGGCATGTAGGTCACGTTGGCTGAAGCCTGAGAATTTTCCAGAGCATCCAGTGTTTGCTCGAAGGGTCCTTTGAGTGCCGGGTGGGGTCCAACTTCGACCACGATGTTCGGAGCAGGTACGCGCGATGTGACAGCTTCCGAGAACATTGTTTCAATGGCGGAAACCAGGCGCACAGGTTGGAGAAGATTCCTCACCCAGTAAGACGGATCGATCGCATCTCCAGCCTCGACTTGACCGGACACTGACGATACAAAGATCACGTCGGTCATCGCGGTGGGGTGATCGCTCTTCTTAGCATAGTGTGGCTTGACATCTTCCAGGTAGGATTCTGCGACCGACTCCATGTGCCGTGAATGATAGGCAACATCCACTTTGAGCTTCCGGGCAAATAGACCTCTCGAGGTTGCTGTTCGGTGTAATTCGTCGATAGCGTTGACGTCTCCCGACAACGTAATGCTGCTTGGGCTGTTGATTGCAGCAATCGTGGCGTATCCAGAGTCACTGCAGGACGACAAAAGTGCAGTGGCTTCCTCTACATTTGCGCCAATGACCATCATAGCGCCGCGTAGGTTATCATTCTGCGAAGCACGCGTAGCAGCTTCACCTCTGAAAAAGGCAAGTGCTAGAGCGGTCTCAAATGATATGAACCCGGCGGCATACGCGGCTGCAATTTCCCCACTCGAATGGCCAGTGACAATGCTCGGAAGTACAGTCCAAGAGCGAAGCAGTTCCACCAGCGCCAACTGCACGGCAGTACAAGCAGGCTGGCTTACGCTGGCTTCGTTGACGTGCGAGTCCTCGGCCGATCTGTTGAGTTCTTCTCGTAATAGCCATGTTGATCCAAAGCTTCGCAAAACTTTCTCAGCACGCTCCAAAGTAGAAGTGAATACAGGGTGCTGCTCCAGTTTCGTGGCCATCTGAGCCCATTGCGCGCCTTGCCCAGTAAAGACAAAGGCTACTGTGACCTTCTTAGATTTCGTAAGCTTGCCATCGCTCGTTCCCAGGCGCACGACTTCATCTTTGAGCATCGAGAAGCTGTTGGCTGGAATTGCCGTTCGATGCTGAAAGTGGGTCCGGCGCTGTCCAAGAGTGTAGCAAATATCCTGTAACGATTCAAGCGAATACTTCGCCTGATTCTCAAGGTATTCTGCGAAAGACGCAAGATACGCACGCAAGCTGTTCTCTGTCCTCGCGGAGCACGTGAATAGAAGCTGCCTTTGTGCAGTGCCTCCAAGGCTGTGCTCGGAAAGCGATGAGACAGCCGCGCCAACCTCCAAGTTTTCAACACGACCATTGATATCCAGTAGCTGTGAGCGACTCTCGGTTTCATAAGCTTCAAGAAGAGCGGAGGCATTGGCTCCGCCGAAGCCGAAGTTCGAGACGCAGACCCTTTTCGGTGCGTCTTGCGGCCACGGCTGTGGACTCTTCAGCACCTTCAGCATGCCAGTGTCTGCCACCACTGCATTGGGCGAATCGAAATCAGCTGTGGGAAGAATGATGCCGTGCTGTAACATCATGATCCCTTTTATTACGGCGAGCAACCCGCTAGCGTTCTCGGCGTGCCCGATATTAGATTTGATCGAGCCGAGGAATATCGGGTTCCCTGGTGGTCGATCTGCGCCGAAGACTGTTGCTACAGACCGAGCCTCGATCGGATCGCCCACCAGTGTCCCGGTGCCATGACCCTCAACAACTGTCGTTTCCGCGGGGTTCCAGCCGATCTCTTCGTGAACACGGCGCATGAGATTGACTTGGGCATTCGAAGATGGTACAGTGATCCCATCTGTCCTTCCGCCGTGATTACAAGCTGTATTTGCGACAATAGCCTGAATTGGATCATTGTCAAGAATGGCCTTGCGAAGAGGCTTCAGCAGCAGACAAGCTGCGCCATCACCACGACCAAAGCCGGAAGCCTTTGTGTCGTACGAGTAGCTTCTTCCTTCAGGCGAAAGAGCACTATCGGCGGTCAGCGAAACTACAAGTGCCGCAGGAGATTGCTGGCACTAACCCCATGGTATCTAAAGTAACCCACATAGCCGGTGTCATGGCCAAGCTGGACGCGACCACGAAAGCCGACTCGCACTCTCCGAACCGAAGATTCTGCACAGCCAAGTGAAGTGCCGAGGAACTGCTTGCACATGCTGCATCAATCACCACGGAGGGACCACGCTAGGAAGTTCAGAATCAGCATGGCTCTGCTCGTCTACGATTATAGAGACCATGCTTACAACATCCAGGAAATATGATAATCGATTGGCAAACATGCAACAGGCTGTGCCAGTCGCGGTGTATTTCGAAGTCGTGGGCAGATCGGCGATGAGTTCGAGAGCGGTATCAACGTTTCCGTTGGCAGCAAAAATGCCTGTATTGGAGCCGGCAAGCTCATTGATTGTGATGCCGGCATGTTCGGCTGCCTCAAAGGCACATTCAAGAGCCATGCGTTGTTGCGGATCCATTTGGCGAGCTTCATCTGCTCTGAGATTGAAGAAGGCAGGCTCGAAGGCGTAAGCATCATCCGGGAGAAAATGGCCTCCTTTGGAGGCTATACAGCCGGCCTTGTCTTTATCGGCATTGTAGAATGCATCATGGTCAAATCGTTCTGCTGGCACTTTCGACCATGCGCATTTGCCTTCCTCCAGATACTCCCATAAATTCTTGCGGCCTGTCCCTGGTGCTCTGTAGGAATAGCCAATGACCGCAATGGGTTCTCTCGTGTTGATGTTATCCTTCATGGTTGGGGAGGCTTGAGTCACGTCCAGTCTTCCGTGTGGTATACAATTGAGGAATGGGGCGAGGCCAGAGGTCGACCTCTTAAGGAGTCGAACCGGATGTTGTTCGAACCCGCCATCCCGACGGACATAGGCAAGGCATTTCTGTTCCGTGACAGCCCCAGCGATGGCCTATGGTGTGCCGGGGAACACATGTTTGGACCACATGTTCCATGATCGGCACAGGATCGGAGAATCGGTGGCGAAGGCTTACGGTCTAATGTTAGTCGGGAGAAGGCTGGGTATCTCGCGTCTTCGACTGAGCCATATCGCTGGCGAGTAAGATGCGACGCAGAGCACGCTGAATAGTGTCTAGAGTAAGTGTGAGTGATCTTAGTCGAAGTAAGCGTCCTCGCGCCACTTTCATCTTGATTATGCCGCCCTTCAAAGGTACGAATAGTGATCAATCCAAACGAGCGACACGAGATGTCGTGGTGACACTTGGACCCTGCGGAGACGGGCTGGGCCGCTGCGGACCGAGATTGGCGCCTTAGCACTTCGTACCTGCTTAATAATCCGGCGTTTTCGTCAAACGCGCACCATCGCTGGCGACATATGTAGACATAAGCTCATATCTACTCCGCAGCGCCCACGTGCTTGCGGATCGGCTAGCGCTGACGCAACGACTGAGATGCACACCACTCCCCTCTCGGGTACGGCGCTTTCACCAAGATCTCAGATGGCGCGTCCACTGGAACTTCGCCGGCGGGCTGACTATCTTACTGATTGTGGCCTCGGGTGTCTATGGTATCAGCACGTGTCTAAGGAGGTGTTCTGATAGTGCGGAGGCTAGTAGAGATGTTCGCCGAGCCTTAGAACTCAACCTAGCAGGTAATGCATATGACCCATGCGGCACTAAATAGTGAAGCACTGCCTTGTCCTGCCACTCCTCCTTCTTCTCATATCAGAATCAACAGTATTAAATTGATACTACAGGCCAAAAACACCAGGAACGACAGAGCCAAGTACACAGACTATAATCCCAGACAAACCCTAGACGCAGTAATGGAAGGCAGGCGAGATATACTTCAACGTCTGGGAGACGAGGCATTATTGGAAATTGCAGCGGCGTGCGAAGTGAAAGTCGATGATATCGAGGACGTATATCCTTGTTCGCCATGGCAACGTGCAGCTATTGCCGGATCGACTAAACAAAGCAACACTTTCTTCTTCCGCTCGATCACAACGATTCCTGCAGACATGGACCCAGACCGAGTCTGCGAGGCTTTCCATACGATAACGCGCCGCAACGCTGTGCTGCGCACTCGAATCGTAGACCTTCCCGCAGGCCTTGTGCAAGTCGTTCTACGGAACCCACCAGCCTTTGACCGGAGTACGGACTTGGAAGAATACCTACGACGCGATGAGGCGGAGCAGAAGCAGATGGGCTTAGGCTCACCCCTGCTTAGACTTGCACTTATCGAGTGCACCTTGGTCATCACGATTCATCACTCCATCTATGATATTACTTCTTCGAAGGCATGGCTGCAAGATGTAGCAGCGCAGTATCGAGGGCAAGCCGTCGAACAGAGAACGCCATACAAAAATTTCATCGACTATCTATCGACCATCAACGAGGAAATGGCTCAGGCATTCTGGAAGGGCCGATTCTCACACACACCAAGCATTTATCCCGCGCTTCCAGAAGGTCACGTACCGCTCGCCACAAATTCCATCTCCAGGAAAATTGCGTGCCCTGCGCTGACAAGCCGCAAAGTCACAATGTCTCAGATCCCATTCTACGTCGAAGTAACATGGGCGATGGTCGCTTCGACATATACCAGTGGCGACACTATCGCGTTTGGCCAATTACTATCGGGCCGAGTGCCGCGGCTTCGCCAGCTTGCAAACACACTGGGACCAATCGCAACCACAATACCTGTACAGGTCAAACTGGACTCTAGTACGACCATTGCAGAACTTATCAAGATTCGCGCTCGAGAACGCCGCCAGGTGAATTCTAGTGATGCGCTTCATTATGATATGGCCAAGATTCGTGCCGTCAGTGAGGAGGCACGGGTTGCATCATCATACCAGACCATCATCAATGTTGACCCGCACGTTGCGGGAGGGCGTGACGGAGGAACAGGTTCTCAGGGCTCATTTGTTCAGGGTCTGGCACCCTATTGCTTGTCTCTGGCGTTTCAATTGGCAGAGAAACATGTCGTCGTGGATGCCTCTTATGATCCCCACGTCATGGATGAACGACAGATGCGCAGAGTTCTTCACATGTTTGAGTACTTCCTACAGATCCTGACCAATTCTCCTCCGACGCTAAAACTGGGCGACATACCACGCATCAGCCCACAGGATCTCTCGGAACTGTTCAGCTGGAATTCGACCTTCCCAGAACCCGTGGAGCAGTCTTTACATGGTATTTTCCAAGCGCAGTCTTCTCGTGCTCCCCAAGAAAAGGCTGTCGACGCATGGGATGGGTTTGCAACATATGCAGAGCTGGATGATATGACCACTCGCTTGGCACAAGAACTCATTCGCAATGGTTTGGTCGTAGGCGACCGGGTTGCTGTCCTTGTGGACCGATCTCTGCTTGCTGTGGTGTCGTTATTAGCGATCCAGAAAGCGGGTGGTTGCTGTGTTCCAATCAACATGACCGATCCTCTCGCTCGCAAAGTGCTCGTCATTGGTAAATCGGGCGCGAAGATTGTACTGACATCAATGGAGGAGATATTCGAGCCCAGCAACGAGGGCGCGCAACTCTTGCGAATCAACCTCGATACCATCAAGGAATACCCTCGATCTCTCGAAGCAGATCTACCAACTGTCTCGGCCAATGATTTGGCTTACCTGCTCTTCACCAGCGGAAGCACTGGCACACCGAAGGGCGTCATGCTGGAACATCGTAGTCTCGCTACTGCGTTGACATCTTTGCGCGAGCCTTTGGGGCTGGGTATTGGAGATCGGCATTTGCAGTTCGCATCCCTCGTATGGGACATCAGCCTCTGCGAGATCTTTGGGGCTCTTCTATTTGGCAGCTGTGTCTGCATTCCGTCAAATCAAGATCGCGAGTCGGGCTTAGCTGCTTACATTCGTGACCAGCGCATCGATTTCGCCATCTCGACTCCAACACTGATTCGTACTCTCTCGCCGTCAGAGGTACCAGCACTCCGAAGAATTACATCAATTGGCGAGGTGGTCGACCCCAACGCCGCTTCAATCTGGGGAGACAAGATCCATTTCGTCAATGCCTGGGGACCATGCGAATCTTCCATAATGAGCACTTGTCACAAGCTTACTCCGGATGCGCCGTTCCAGGACACCATCGGTCGGCCACTGGGCTGCGCCGTTTGGATCACGGATCCTGCAGATCCAGACAAGCTTGCTGCCATTGGGTCAGTAGGAGAACTGCTAGTCGAAGGAGTGACTGTGGCCAGAGGGTATATGGATGAGCCAGCGAAGACAGCAGCGGCTTTCATACAGACTCCGACTTGGGCTAAGAAGCGATCGGTTCAACCGCCGCATCCCACAAGATTCTATCGCACAGGTGACCTGGCAAGGTACTATCCGGATGGAACCATCTCGTTCATTGGCCGGCAGGACAACCAAGTCAAGATCCGAGGAGTCAGATTCGAATTGGACGAAGTCGAGCACCACATTGTGTGTCAAGCCGATATCGTTCGAGACGCTATGGTCACAGTACACTCGTCTTCTCCAGGCCGCAAAGACGTGGTGGCCATTCTTTCCTTCAATGATCATTCTATCCCAAACGATGTTTCACTGGGTGAGATACCTGGCGATCATCACGCCAAAATGGCCAAGCACCTGAAGACCGTGCAAGCGTACGTTGACACACGGCTGCCATCCTACATGGCTCCCAGGTACTGGCTTGCTGTGCAACGACTTCCTCGGACTGTGTCTGAAAAGCTTGACCGCACAGCAATCAAAAAGTGGGTAGCAAAGCAAGATCCGTCATCCTGGCTTTCACCGGACCAGCAACATACCGAGTCAGTCGACGGCCTCACCTCTGTCTTAACAGCCCAAGAGATTGCAATGCGAGCAGTATGGTCATCAGTACTTTCTATGCCGGAGCCACAGCTTCATAAAGAAAGGTCTTTCATTGCGCTGGGAGGTGATTCTATAACTGCAATGCAGGCAGCCACGAGGCTTCGGAAGGCGGGCTACAGGATTTCTGTGGCATCACTACTGCTCAGCAAGAGTCTTGCAGAAGCCGCTGAGAAGGCTGAATCAATCACGGAGAAAATCTCAGAGGTGAATAACTTCGACGATGTAGCCCCAGTCGCAGATGCCGGGCCTGAAGGCATAAACACAAAAGAGATCGATGAAGTGATGAGCGAGCGTCTCACGCAAGTTGGATTCACTCCATCGGACGTAAACTCTGTATTGCCTTGCACGCCAATGCAGGAGGGTATTCTGTTTGCGCAAGCAAGGGATACTGAGGGAGCTTACCTGGATCGCATTGTCTTCAAGGTCACTTTTGCGCAAGGCCAAGAGAAGATCGATGTCAAGAGACTGGGTGACGCTTGGAATGCTGTGTGTTCTGCCAATAGCATACTGCGAACGACTTTCACAAGCGGCTTGATTGACGATAGCGCCTTCCAGCAAGTCGTCCTCGATCAGAATGAGCCTGAGGTTGCATATTCTCACCTGTCATCGCTTATGGTCAGCGATCCGAACGACACAGCCGCCCTTTTGGAATTGCCCAGGTCGATGTTCCAAGATGGGCGACCTTCTCATCACTTGCTGCTGATCGAAGCCTCGGAGTCATTGGCATATATGGTTCTAGACATCTCACATGCGCTGGCCGATGCGACATCGATCTTCCTGCTAGGTAAGCAGCTAGGCCGCGCATACGGAAGCACGACCAGCCTTCCCAAGTCCCTCGATTTTGCGCACTACGTCTCTCACCTCAAAAAGTACGATGAAGCTTCGTCCCAAGCCTACTGGCAGGAGTACCTCTCTGACGTACGTCCATGCCTAATATCGGCACCTGGCGCCATATCAGAGCCATCTGAATCGATGATTGTTCGTGGAGCTATTGACGACTGCATTTCGAACGGGCCAAGAATAAACGCCTTTTGCCACGAGCATGAGACTACGGCCGCGAGTTTGCTCCAGGTCGCTTGGACTCTGGCGTTAGGACGCTACACCGGCTGTCCCCGTGTCTGCTACGGCTATGTCTTCTCCGATCGACACTCCGTGGATGGTGCAGCTGATATTGTTGGCCCACTCATATCGATGCTTCCAGTGAAGTGTGATATAGTGTCTGGCAGCATCTCTGCACTCCTTGCTACGACGCAAGAAGACTTTGCTCGAAGCATTGAACATCCCCACTGCTCGCTACACGCGATTCAAGGTTCCTCGTCCACACCTCTGTTCAACACTGCTTTGTCTATCCAGAAATTGCCACCACAGAATCTGGCCGAGGACAGCACGGCGATCAAAATCGAGATTGCCGCTGTACACGATCCTACAGAATATGCGGTGGTTCTCAATGTCGCTTATGACGAGGACGTGATCTTATGCAGGCTGAATTACCAGAAACAGCAGGTCTCTGATTCTGTGGCGCACGAGATCGTGGGAACAGTGAAGAGCGCGTTGGCTGCGATCATAACTGGACCTGCGAAACCTTCGCTCTCGGTGCTTCGCGAAATCACGCCGCCTTTCGCGAAAATGACCGCATTCGAAACCTTTGACAGCAAGACCGCTGACGAAGTCCGTCGCCAAGCAGCAGCACAATGTGAGCTTGTTAGGAGTGCTGTCGAGGACGTCTTTCCCTGCACGACTCTACAAACTGAATCGCTGGCTTCTTCAATGAACGATGCTTCTCAGAGCATGAAGCAGTACGTCGTACCGGCTAAGGAAGAGATGCCTTGCGATGATCTGTGCGCAGCTTTTGAAGTGGCACTGGCCTCCATTCCCGCTTTACGCACGCGTATTGTCAATCTCAGCAGCCATGGAAATTTGCAAGTCGTGACTAAGCCTCGCCCGCAGTGGGCTGAAAGCGAGGACCTCCAGGAGTACCTTGCATGGGACCAGGATATCGGCGTCCGCTATGGAGGCCAACTATGCCGTCTCGGGAGGATTGAGCAAGAGGATGGCCAAGATTTCGTCGTGCTTTCAGCACACCCGGCGGTTGCAGATCGATGGACAGTCCGCAAGTGCTTCGACATCGTCGATCGAGCCTTGCGCGGCGAGAAGAGTCCGAAATTGTTGTCGATGGCTGGCATCATTCATTCGCTGAACGATGGAAGCTTGACAGCAAACGGTATAGCAAGCTGGGCAGCACGACTTGAGCATCATGGCGATGCTGTTCGTTTCCCTACACGGGCTGCCGTCACCCAAAGAGGATCTTCAGAGGTATCAACTGCATCTCTTGTACTCGATAACAATCTTCACAACGTGAAGAGCCAATCAGCATTGCTCCAGGCTGCCTGGGCGCTCTGTTTGTCCAGGCGAACCGGTCAGTCGAAGGTTTTGTTCGGTGTATGGATCGATGGCCACGACTCGCCCTTGCTGAATGCTGAAAACGTCAGTGGAAGACTTGGCACTGTTCTGCCTTATGCCCTTGATGTATCTCATGAGGATTCTTTCCAAAAGCTGCTAGATGCAACGACCAAGTACTCGGCAGAAGCTTCTATGGTCATGCACAGTCTCTCCAGCTACCGTTCTGGACTTGACCAGGCAGAGAAAGAGAAAATGACTGCTCACGTGCTGAGGATAGACCAGCAAGATACCAAAGAACATGACCCTGTCGCCGGCACTTTCAGAGACGTCCGCACGAGAGACGCAGAATTTTGCACCTTTGACTTGATGATCGATTGCATCGTGGGCTCGGAGGGGACGACAATTGAAATGAAGTCGATCGCCAATATCCTCGATGCCCGTCAGCTGAATATACTGATCCATCAGTATGACCACGCCATCAAACATATATACGAAGCCTCACGCGAAGATGGGTCGAGAAAGCTGTCGGAAACTCTAACGATGAGCGACTACGAACTGGAACTGCTCCGACAGTGGAATAGCAGCAACGTCAGCACAGTAGAAGGATGCCTTCACACGCGTATTGCACATGTCTCCAAACGGCAACCGAGTGCTCCGGCCGTTTGTTCGCCGGACGTTGAACTCAGCTATACACAACTCGACTCTCTGGCTGAACGTGTTGCTCGCCGCTTGCGCGGAGTTGGAGTACGCGAAGGACAAGTGGTACCATTTCTGTACAAGAAATCGGCAACCCCGGTAGTCATCATGCTCGGAATCTTGAAAGCAGGCGCGGCAGTGCTTGGACTGGACTCAAACTCTCCGACACAACGTCTGCAGGAGATATGTCGAGATGCTTGCGCGTCTGTGATCATTTGTGCTTCAGAGCTACAGCACAAGGCTGAAGCGCTGTCTTCTTCCGCACGAATTTTGACTCTGGATCTAGACATGATTCGGAAGCTGCCAGATTCTAACGAAGTGGCTGCTATCGATGGCGATCCGTCGAATCTTGCCTACGTGATTTACACCTCGGGAAGCACAGGGAAGCCTAAAGGTATCAAGGTGCGACATTCCAACATCATGACTAGCTTGATCAGTCACCTCGAACCCTTCGGGATCAACACGAATACAAGAATGCTACAGATTTCCAGCTTTGCTTTCGACATGAGCATAGTCGAGATCTTCCAAACCTTGCTCGGCGGAGGCTGCATCTGCATCCCTACTGAAGAAGAGCGTTTGCACGATGTCGAGGGTGCCATCAGCCGGACACAAGCCAATTTCATGTACACAACGCCATCTCTTGCACGGCTGATGGACCCTTCTATGGCCTCGACATTACAAACTCTGGTACTGATGGGAGAAAGTCTAACCATGGATGCAGTCGAGCTCTGGCGCTCAAAGCTTCGATTGATGGCATGCTACGGTCCTGCAGAGACTGCCGCGCTCTCCAGCTGCACTGATATTAACGTTGACCAGATCTCCAATCTGGGTTTACCAAACGGCTGCAAGTACTGGGTTGTCGATGAGACCGACCACAACATCCTTTCGCCTCTCGGGCGGGTCGGCGAGCTGCTGATTGAAGGACCTATTGTGTCGGCCGGGTACATCCAAAACGCCGAGAGGACAGCAGAAGCCTTCATATCGAGGCCAATATGGGCTGGAGCAATATCGTCGTCGAATCGCGAGCAGATCTTTTACAAGACTGGAGATCTGGTCATTCAGAACGCTGACGGATCTCTTGCCCACTGCGGCCGCAAAGACCTCCAAGTCAAGGTGCGTGGATTTCGAATAGAATTGAGCGAAATTGAGTACCACATCAGGAAGAAATTTGTGGACTGGCACGCCACTGCGCTACTCGTCCGCCCTCAGGATGATACGGAGAACGCACTCCTTGTCGTTTTCTTAACAGGAACGAAAGGCAATTCGCATGCCCGTGAGGACAGCCCACAGCTCCTTGCGCCGGTGCCAGCCCTGGCAAAAGCTATGCGCAAGATTTTGTCAGGTTGCCTTCCGCCATATATGGTCCCAGACATCTTCGTCCCGCTCTCGATGGTTCCCCTGAACGCCTCTGGCAAGACAGACAGACGCCTGTTGAAGGCTCTGAGTGAAGCGAAGAATGTTTCAGAATTGCTCAAGTACTCTGCGCTCATCGATCGCCCTTTCGACGGAGAAGCAGGAGCGGCCGTGACTGAGGCTCAGACGCACTTTCAGCCGCTTTTGACATCAGACGAATTGGTTCTGCGCCAACTTTGGTCGGACGTGCTGGTGCTTCCTGAATCTTCCATTACCAAAAGCAGTGACTGGGTGGCCTCTGGAGGAAACAGCCTGAAAGCAATTCAGTTGGCAGCAAAGGCACGACGACAGAAACTTCCCATTACAGCCATCGATGTTATCCGACACCCTACATTACACGGCATGGCACAATTACTCTCCGGGACACAACCGCGAACGAAATTGAAGTCGGAGCCTGCAGGAACAGCAGTGGTGAGGCCTTACTCACTCCTGTCAACTGACACAGCTGTTGCTCGATTTCACGCTGCAAGATCCTGCGGCATTGCTGGAGGTGACATCGAAGACGTCTATCCTTGCACTCCAATGCAAGTGGCTATGATGTCGCAAACGCTGCAACGTCCCGGTGATTATGTGGCACACTGGAATATGGTCCTTCCAGACCATGTTGAGCCATCGCGCTTTGCGAAAGCATGGACCACGGTTTGCAGACACATACCCATTCTTCGTACAAGCATTGTGGATATTCCGTGCCAAGAGGGACTCGTACAAGTGGTGCACGCGCCCTCTCTAGTCGACGAGCTATTGCCAGAAGACGGAGACGAAGAAGAGCCTGGAGCGGTTGCTGTCATCGATCTCGGTGCTCCCTTGAGCCAGGCGCGACTGAGGAGATGCAGGACTACCGGCAAATATCAATTCAACTGGACAGCATTCCATGGCATATATGACGGTTGGTCAGCTTCACTCATACTGGAGGCGCTGTCGACGGCGTACAAGGGCCAGAGCCTCCCTCAATTCACGCCATTCCATCCCTTTGTCGAGCACACCTTGTCCGTGACCCACAGTGCCAAATCTGAGGCATTCTGGCGCAGGCAATTCGAAGGGATCGAGGTCACGCATTTTCCACCACTTCCTGAGCCAAGCTATCTGCCCCGACCAGAGTCTGCCTTTAGCTACAATGTCGAGAACCTGCATCCTCCGACTCAAGGCGTGACTTTGCCAGTTATCCTTCGCGCAGCTTGGGCAACATTGCTTGCAAGCTATGCAGGCACAACCGAAACTGTTTTTGGCGCGGTGGTCAACGGCAGAGAGATCGACATTCCAGGCATCGATCGAATGCCCGCGCCGACATTGGCCACTGTGCCTGTCCGAGTTTCTGTTGCCTCTGATCTCACCGTCGAGATGTTGCTCTGCAATGTGCAAGAACAGACTATGGAGATGACTCCGTGGGATCAAACGGGCCTGCGACTGATTGCGAAAGCGAGTCCGGAGGCGGAAGAGGCGTGTCGTTTCCAGACATTGCTACTTGTCCAACCACCAAGCGACAAGAGCTGGCAGAGTGCTAATGGTGAAGTAATCATTGAGTCAGTCAAGATCCGATCGAACTCAGCCGCTGCGCTTCTTGGACCATACGGGGTCGTCCTGGAGTGCGAGCAGCATGAAAATGGTAGGCTCCATCTGCAATTCAATTTTGACGCCAAGGTAGTCGACAATGCAAGGATATCCCGCATTGCTCGCCAGCTTGAGCACATCCTTCGCAAGTTGTGCCAAGTCGCTGACCAAAAAGATGAGAATACTACGATAGCCATGGTCAAAGCTGCCGGAAATGAAGACCTCCAGCAGATCTGGCAATGGAATGGGTCAGTACCTGAGACAGTCGATGAATGCGTTGATCATCTCATCGCAAAGACCTTCGAGACTCGACCAGCCGCTCCCGCAATCTGCGCCTGGGACGGCAGCTTGACATACTCAGAGCTGAACACCTTGTCGGCACGACTTGCGCAGTACCTCGTTCAGCGTGGCATCGGACCTGGGAAAATCGTGCCTCTACTCTTTGAGAAGTCGATGTGGAACCCAGTCGCAGCTTGGGCAATAATCAAAGCCGGTGGTACTTCGATTATGCTCGACGCTTCCCTGCCAACAGATCGCCTTGCCACTATACTGGAACAGGTCGACGTCTCATTGCTTCTTTCGTCAAAATTGCAATGCCGATTGGCAGAGTTCCTTTCGAAAGGTGTACCAGTGGTTGTGGTCGACCGTGAAAGTATCGAGGCTATTGCTGTCTCAACACCATCCCGCAAACCTGTACGAGACATCTCAAAGCCTAGCGACACATTGTACCTCTGCTTTACATCCGGCAGCACAGGTCAACCCAAAGGCATCATCACCTCGCACGCAAACTTTTCGAGCGCTCTCCGCCACCAGTCACCCCATCTAAGCCTCGGCTCAAGCAGCAGGGTCTTCGACTTCTCTTCATACAGTTGGGATATGGCATGGTACAATTTGCTACACACCCTCTACGCTGGCGGCTGTCTCTGCATACCAAGCGATGCAGAGCGTAAGGAGGATATCTCGGGAAGCATGATTCGACTCAACAGTAATTGGATAGCGACCACGCCGACAGTTGCTAGTCTCATTGACGACGACGCACTGCAGAATTTAGCCCACATTGAAGTGGTGGGCGAGACGCCGGGACAAGAGCTGCTCGCCAGACTCAAGCAAGGTGGCCGACTTCGGCATCGCAACATCTATGGGCCAAGTGAGTGTACTGTTGTTGCTACTGGATCATCGGACATGCGCGACTCTGCTCATGTTGGCTGGTGCGCCGGACTCGTTCCTTGGATCGCAGATCCTGATACTGGCAAGCACTTGACACCAATAGGCTGTGTGGGAGAGCTATGGCTGGAGGGACCGCTTGTCAGTCAAGGCTACGTTGGGCAACCTCAACTTACTGAGGCGTCATTCGTGGACACTCCGCCATTTGCGGCACAAGGCAGCCCGCGACCATATCAGCGAATGTATCGTACTGGAGATCTTGTGCGGTACGAACCAGATGGCAGTCTCTCATTCTTGGGTCGCAAAGATGCTCAAGTCAAGATTCGAGGGCAGAGGCTGGAGCTCAGCGAGGTGGAATTCCACTGTAGGCGACTGCTGAACAGCCAAAATGGGCATCAAGCTCAGGCGGTCGCAGCTGAATTGGTGAAGCCTCATGCCTCTCGAAAGCCTGTTCTGGCATTGTTCATTCTGCCAGAAGGAGCACAGGACATGGGCGAAGAGGAAGTGGTCCGTCATGTGCAGTCGATGGTGATGGAACTTGATCCTAGACTTGCTGAAGTGGTCCCTAGCTATATGATACCAAGCATATACCTTCCGCTGACCAAGATTCCGATCAGCGCGACGGGCAAGCTGGATTGTCGAGAGCTCCGCAGGCTGGGTCAGACTATCAAACCAATACAAGAGACAGGATCAAAGCCAGTGTTCACAGCACCAGCAACGGAGAAAGAACGCGTGTTACAAGAAATCTGGGCAAAGACTCTGACACTGCCTGTCTCCTCACTGTCGGTCGAGTCCAGGTGGTCAGACATCGGAGGCGACTCAATCACAGCCATGCAGGTAATAGCTGCGGCTCACAAGCAAAGGATAGAACTGAAGATGGGTGATTTGCTCCGCTTCCAGACCATTCGGCGTCTTACAGCCGCGACCGACACCGACGACGACAAAGCCGATGAAGTGCTCACAGTCTTCCGTGGAGTCAAGCCTGTTCGGCCTGACGAACGCGTTGTGCTTTCTCCTGTGCAACAGTGGTACCTGGACAACCACTCCTCCGCCGATGGCTTCGACATTACAGTGTACCTCGAGCTCAAATCTAGGACGACACCTCAGATACTTCGTGCTGCCATCGAGAAAGTGATGGCGCGTCATGAGATGCTTCGAGCTCGATTTGCGCGGGACGAGCAGTCGCGGTGGACGCAGTGCTTCCACGAAGACTCCCAGTCTTCGTACGAATTGCAGGTCGCTACGGGAATCGCCGAGGAGAAACGCCTGCCCTTGATGCAACGCTGCTGCCAGCAGCTGAATTTCCACGAAGGACGATTGCTGTCTGTGGTGTTCTTCGACGGTACGCCTTCAAGCTCTGATCAAGACCTGTTCATCACTCTGAATCATTTGGTCTCTGATTATTGGAGCTGGCGCATCATCGTGCAAGATTTGGAGCATATCCTTGCTGGAAAAGAATTCGTAAGCGCGGCTCCGACCAGCTTCTTGACTTGGGTGCGTGCTCAAGAGCAATTTGCGATAGCACATCTGAATACAAACATCACCAGATCCTCCCAAAATCAAACCGTCCAGGCGCAGCCAGAATACTGGAGCACGGCGAAGAAGACCATGCGGATAGTGAACAGCTTCAACGTCAGTGCCCAAGAGACGTCGGCCATTGTCGACTACTTCGCTGCGAAATTTCAGGCTCGGCCCATCGAGATCATCGTCGGCGCCATCGTTGCCAGCTTCGCAGAGGCTTTTCCAGAGCGGGCAAGCAAACTTCCACCATGCTACTGCACTTCGAATGGACGCGATGCAGGCGGAGTAGACCTTTCGCGCACGGTGGGCTGGTTTACGGGCGTATTCCCAGTCCAAGTGAAGCTGAAGGAGGGCGAGGAGGCGAACCTGCAGACAGTCGTGCAATCATCCAAAGCCGCTCACAGCGCCTTGCCTCGATACAGCTGGTCACATCTTGCTTCGAAATACTATTCTCCTCACAAGCAACAGAAAGATTGTGAGGATGTGTATGAGCTGTTCCTCAACTTTTTGGGAGATTCGATGAAGTCGTTGGAGGAAAAGAGCGATTCCATGTTTCAGATTCGACCTACGCCACCGGGAGCGCGTCCGCCAGAGTCATCTAATGAGTGGAGGCTTGTGGCCAGTTTCGAGGTTTCGGGACATGTTGCAGAAGGAGGATTTGCATTCTCTGTTGCGTATACTTGTGAAGCTGAGAAGGGAGAGAGGTTTGTGAGGTGCTTTAGGGACACACTTCATCGGATGGCCATGTTGGCAGAGTAGACCAGAAAGCAATATGCGTGAGAATTGCAGTTTCCAATGAGCGTTCGTCATCATTTTTTTTTCTCTTTCATTGTACCATAGATCGGTACCTTATATGCCTCGCTTCTTGTCAGCAGAACAGATGAAGTCTGAATAAAGCTCGACCACTGCATTATGGGAAGGCGGGCTTGGAGCTTGTTCATGTCTTGGCAATGCAAGCACAATTTGGCATAACCTCGGGTGCTGCCTTGGGTCAATCTCCAGCATGAGTGCTTGCTGCTTCGCACCTGTTCTCATGCATCTGGCCGCGGCAACATACAGCACCATTTGAGCGCCTACAGTAGCCGCCTCCCACCCTGTCCTCAATGGCGTTTTCGATGATCGCATCTTATCTCGGATCCGGATCTTCAAGCTTCCACGAATGCTGGCCAATGAACCGCACACGTGTCTCAAGATTGCGAAGCTGAAGGCGTGCTCTGGACGAGGAACTGGCGGCCAGAAATGCCCCCTCATGGCAAAGACCATTGTTTATCACACGTGCATACTGCTGCGCACAGCCACTTTGACTTCGCCCCCCGTGTGATGAAGAGGCCGGCACTGCATCAGCAGTGCAATGAAGCAGGCATCTGCCACATGGTATAGGGCCCGGTATGGCCAGTCTCGCCGCCTCATCATTTCATGACCGCGCAATAATTCCACTTTCCGAGCTTTTCCGCCTCTCACTGCCAAATCACATTGACTGCTACTAGATCCATGGGATAGTCTACGGCAACTCCTGCTGCTTCTGGGGCAGGAGAATACATAGCTAGAAGTGTAGACACTACACCCGCCTGCACACGAGGGCCGTGCGATCCGACATCTCGCCGAGCATGAACTCTCCACTGCTGTCGCGGAATGATGTGCTGATGCTGTCCCAGACGGCATGCCGAATTGGCAGGGCCTTTGCGCATGGCAAAGACAGTAATCCGGTTGAGTTTGCCCAGGTGGAGAGAGAGTTGAACTGCCTTGGCGGAACTCTGAAGCTAGTTGCTGGAGCGCTGCGCGAAGAGGACAGTGTCTTATCTCACGCTGATGATGAAACAAGAGGCGCGATCAACGAGATCCTTCAGTCTGTTCGGAAGACCCTCGCAGCCCTGGAACGCTTTGTAGACCGATATCAAGTGATCCAGAAGAAGGATACTGGCCATGGATTTGTCGTGGAACGGACCTGGAGTCGGATTGTGCTTGAGAACTACAAGACTTTCAAATGGACCATTCAAGGCTGCGACATACAGGCGCTGCAGGAAGTCCTCCTGATGTACACGACTTGTCTGGAATTGATTCTGCAGGCACTCCAGTCGCGGGCGCCGGGAAGACTTGCGGCAACTGTTGTCTCGATAGCGCAGCACATTGCGCCGATCCATGAGAAAGGCGGTGGAAGTGAAAGCCTCAGAAAGGCCCTCGACAATTTGCATCAAGTCATTGTGGCACTCACAAGCCGCACTGAGTCGCTCAAGCCGCACGGAACCTGGACACGGCCGGCATCCATCCGAGAAGACGAGGTTGCATACACTCCATCATTATCAGACATATCGCTTAGTGAAGAAAAGAAGTACGACGACATAAGCTCTCGCATCTCGAATGACAGTCAGCATCGACTTCATCAGAGGCGCAGCCTACATCAAACGTTCATGCACGCTGGCTCAACGTTGAACTTCACTTCAGATGGCAACCTCACAGCAGCCGACGCGCTTCAGCAAGCCATTACCGGATCACAAACATCCGGCTCGAGTACCTCACTTAAGCCACAACACAGCGCGTCAGAGAGCAAAGACTTATGCGCATCGCCACAAGATAGCGCGTACGAGGGAGAATCTTCGTTCAGAACCTCGTGGCGCAGAGACTCCGCAACGTTACCAGCCTTGTTTCGTGCATTGGAAGAAGACTCTCGAGCGACCGCAGGCAGCACGCGAAGTCTGAGTACAGAAGAAGGCGAGCCGCCACCCTTGCCGGTGAAGAGTAAGAGAAGGTCAATGCCACCACCTTTGCCTATCAGAAGATCAGCACAGCGTGTGGAGCCCGATTTGCTTCCGCTGTCCGCAATGGAAAACACCAAAGATACAATCTATGCTGCCGCCAAAGCATCCAGCGTCTCGACAGAACCGCGAAGGGCACACAACGGCGCTGATGGAAACTCACCGAGTAGCAAATCAGCAACCAAGACCGCGTACCAGCAGACCATCCACATCGAAGCGAGCGGCATCAATGAACGTCAAACATTCGAAAGACAGCTCTTCCGCAACTCCGCCATCCTATGCGACGTCCGCGGCCGACTCATCGAATACGCGCAACATAACCCAGAAATCGCTGACATGCGCTACAACGTCGAAATGAAACCCGCCTGCAAGGAATGTCGGATCCTTGTCATTCGCAGGCGAGAGAACCGAGAATACGGAGGTACCAAAGTCGCTACATCAGTATGGTGTCTTTCCGACGACGACGAGACTCGAATCCAGCAGAAATTGTCCGAGACTCAAGAAACAGTACCCTACTGCTCATACTTCGAACCCGAGAAGGTTTCTCTGGCAGGAAACACAGAAGAAGGCGGACAGGTTTCACTGAAGTTCCATGCGAAGGAATGGGGCGCAATGCTCGAAGCAGAAAAATCAACTAATTGGGTAAACTATTATTTCGCCATTGAGGTCGATGCTGTGATGTTCCAATCTGCTGTTTTCGGACGCAAGCTGTTGGGATCCTTCCGAACCACAAAAACGACTGTCATCCACGAAGGATTGAAAGGTGCCTTCGCGTTCGAAGAACAGTTCGCCAACATCGAAATGCTGAGGTTGTGGGAAGAAGATGGAGTGGAGACGCCAGGTGCTGCTGGAGGTGTCATGGCTTTGATGCACATTTCATCGAACTTCGGAGAAGGATGGGCGAGGTGGTGGATCAACAACATTCGGCAACACGTGAGGATCAAAGAGGATGGGAGTAAGTTCGTGAAGGTGAAAGGAATTGATGTTACAGTCGCGAGACCTGGTGCTACTGCACGGCAAGCGGAGAGAGCAAAGATTGCGAGCATGGGAGGAGTGGTAAATGCGAAGGCGGCGGAGAAGGACGCAATTCTGAAGAAAGTCGGTGGAATCAAGATCGAGTTCAAGACCGAAGAGGAGAGGAATAAGTTCGTCGAAGCTGCCAAGGAGGCGCAGACAAGATCGTTGCCGTTGCCGGAGTTGTAGTATGACTTTCGGAAGCATTATTGGGGCGCTTGTTGTCGGCCATGAATAGAAAGCTGCCGCTTGCATTGGTTGCGATTTGAATGGAGGAAAACGAGGTGGAATCAGCACTCAAAAGTAGATCCCGTTCTCCTAAAGCTCGCTGCCTGGAACTTGGCCATAGTGGCACCGAAGTCCAAAGCTGGCCAACGGCAGCCGTACCGTACAGCAAGATAACTTCATGGCTTGGACATAAGGAAGTTCAAGCTTGCAGGTCTAGTCACACTTGCTGTGCCACCTTCTCGGTCTCTTTCTCATCTGAGCTGATATAGGTAATGGCCCGCCCACAATGCCAGAGCGTCTTGCATATCTGAATAATCAAGCAAGACACCCCGACACAACTGGCGCTGCCAACCATTCGATATGACAGCTGCTAGATGCGACCGAACCCAAGCGCCAGAGCACCGTACTCTTAAGGAATTCGGCTTCAACCCACAAGCCGTCGCTTCAGGTGATGATCTGACACTTAATGTCAAGATAATGGAAGAATTGGTTGCTCCATATATACCATACGATGAAGGTAGGCTTCTTCGACCTGATCCTTAAACGATCTGGTTCTTCTCCGAGCATACAATGGTATTATATGACAAGCACATGGGACGAATTTCTGGTAGCCGTGGGACTACAGTCTGCTATTCCGCAGACTGACAGTCGAGCAATGGGAGAAGGCTCGTAGGGATCCTGGCGTGCAGAAACTGGTCAAGAATGGTGCTGCAGATATGGATAGAACGTTGAGAGGGTGTGCTGTATCTCACTGACAGCTGCGAAGTCGAGTTTGATTATCACAATGTGCAGCTGTTCATGCTGACATGTTCGAAAACCTGCTTGGGGCTCATGTGAGACCGAGCGGAGTGCTTTCATACCGTCGTCTCTTCATACTTCGATAACTTTTGTACCTCATCCTGAGCAGCGAATGGAGCTAGTCTTTGTCAGTGCAGATCAAAACATTCCATTGTCAGTCTCACAGCTCTACTTGCCCAGTGCAAAGACCTTGTCAACTTTGGTCATAAGCATTTGATTTCCAGTCACTTCCAACTTGCCCCCAAAGAAAAGTTGCATGATTGCGGTCTTATCGTCGACGGCCTTCTGGAAATCCTCAGCTGCAAGGGTCATCGTTGCATCGGGGTTTTTGTCCTCAGGCGCTAGGCCCTTCCCAACCTGACCACTTTCTTTCGCATCAACGAACCACTCTCCCCCTCCGTCGCCGGTGAGTTTGAACGCATAGAGGCCGTTGATGTCTTTAATAGCCTGTTGCTTTGCAGAGTCCGAACCGTCGAGCTTCTGAGCGATCCTGTCGAAGATTTGAGTTGATGGCAAGTCTACGCACTGACATGATCAACAAGCCGCGTCAAACGAGATCTGTGCACGCCGAGGTACGATTGAAAACGTACCAGTAGCTAGAGACATGATTGCTGTGATAACGAGTTCTCTTCTGTCTGGTGAGGAAGTTAAGTCTTATGGCGTTGGTGATCAAAAGAAATCGGGCTTCCTGTCCTGTGGGGATAGAGAGGTGTATATATATACATATGTTTGGTTAACTTTGCAGACCGCCAGCACGACTTCACGGGACGATCTCCTGATCCCCTAGCTTTGACTGTGCATGGCGCATAGCTGCTGCATGAGAGCTCTACCGGGGATGTCCGTTGCATTCAGGACCCACCACGTAGTTGCGTCGCTTCTCACTTGGAAGCGAGAACTAAGAAACATCGACTTCAAGTTCGGACAGAGACTCGGCGGGCTTCTTGGAGCAGATTCAGAGGACACTGTGTGAGTCGTCTCTACCTTTGAGGACTATGTTTGCTCCAACACCCCCACGACTTTGAGGCCAGCTCATTTTTTACCCATTTCCAGAATCTTGACAATTTGTGGCACCAGTGTCTTGTCGCCAGATACATTCAGCTTGCCTGAGAAGGAATATTCCAGTGCCTTGTACTGAGGATCGTCAACCAACTCCTTGAAGTCGGAAGCATCAACAATATAGGTTATATCTGGACTTTCGCCCTCCACATAGTCTTTGCCAGCGACTATGGTACCATTATTCTTCAGGTCCACATACCACTGTCCGCCGCCCTCGCCGTTCAGCTGGAACTTGAAGATCTTGCCAAAATCTTTGATGGCTTGCTGTTTCGCAGACTCTGACGCCAAGTATTCGGCGATTCTGTCAAATACTTGAGTGGAGGGTTCGCCTGCGTTAAGTTAGCGGGCTGCATGGTATCGATGCCCTGAGTACGATGTTCTAGGTACCCACCTGTGGCTAGAGACATGTTTGCTATGTTGGATTTTGTTGTGTGGTATAAGTCGGATAGATGATAATTGGGTGTTATCAGCTACGACAGTCCGGAAAGTCTGTGCTGGTGAGGGAGGTCTATATATGTCTCAGCACATTCTTGATTCCAAATACATCTGCTCGATACCTACTCTCGTCCACTGTTGGATCGCCGGACACTCATTCGATGAGCTTTCCACCGATCATTGGTCTGTTGGACCTCGATCATACATGCAAGATCGCCTACGGCTTTGGCCGGGTCGCGATGTTGCATTTGCCTATTTCGACAGATTGCGTTGTCTCGAGCTGACCCGAGTGCTCTCGTTTGAGTCTGTTAGGTGGATCAATCACTCGCGCCTACAACCAGCATCATCGGTAACTTTGCAGACAATAGTGTGCAATAGAATGATCGTGGGAGGTCTGTGAACGCGAACTCTGTCGTGTGTGTTGCGACGCAGGATGCTAAATTTCATAAAACCCTCACCTAGTAGGAGACAGTGTCCCGAAACTAGGCACATTTCTACCCAGCTCGAATACCTTGTCTAGGTGGACTGCCAGTCCTGTCTTCCCGGATACCGTCATTCTTCCTGAGGACGTGAGTTGCGATGATACCTCATCTGTTTCCTCATCGGCAAGTTGCTCGAAATCAGAAACATCGAGCTCAAACAACACATCATATGCTTTGCCCTGGGGCGCCAGGCCCTTGCCAACTGTGCCAGTTTCCTTCAAATCCACATACCACTCTCCGCCCTCGTCGCCAAGAAGCTTAAAGGCAAAGATCCCTCCAATCTCTGCAATGGACTTTTGTCCGTCCTCTGGGTGTTCCTCGAGCCAGTCGCGCATGGTGTCGAAGATCCTCGTAGAGGGATGATCTGAGCATTGAGGGGTCAGTCAATAGCGGTGCGTTCATTGCGGGCACCCATCGAGCGTACGTACCGCCAGCAAGATGCACCATATTGTTAACGAGAAGTCTTTGAGACACAAGTTGAATTATTACTGGTTGTCGTCAGTCACGAGAGGCAACATGCGATGCTCTTCGAACGAAAATGTGTATGCTTTCGTAGAACGCAAGAATACTTGGATAGATTGTCTTCTCCTCTTCTAGTCTCGGCTTGCACGGCGTCCCCCCAACCCAAAGGCACTCCACTGTTGATCACACATGCTTCCCATGATGTGCAGCTTTAGTCTGCAGGCTACGCTGTATTTTCCTATTTTGATCGGGTGCGGAGCTCCGGGTTGATCCCTGGTAATGCGTGCTGCAGCTTGGTATGCGATCCAACCATCCACGGCGTTGCTGCGAGCCGCATTGATTCAGATCCTGCAGGAAATGACCCTCAGTACATCGATCTGAAAGCTATGCAATATTGCACGAGAGGTGTTTCCTATGTCCGATTCGTCTGCGTGGATGACCGTCAAGGCTTGGATGTTGACACATGCTTTCACATGTCACTTGATGAAGATCCGCCCTGGTACGCTCATGCTCGGTCCTGAGCACCGTCTCTGGAAGGGTGTGGAAGGTGTCATTGGCTTATTGTCGGCCGGTCCTCAGGCCTGCATCTGTAGCCTATCACATGCTCCCAACGGCCCGCCTCCTTCTTTCCCCACTCTGTACAACCTCCTGTCTTCAGCACACCTCAGATCAGCGCTCGAAGCAGAGGTTGAGATCTCTCCATCCTACGGAAGGTGAAAGTATGCTGAGTGATTGCTCCCACGGATGCCCAGAGCAGTGCCACTGCGGGACAGAGGCCCGGATGATTCAGAGTCCATGAATGCACTTATCTCACGATCTCCAATGCTGTAGCGTTTAGCCATCTGCTTTGCTTATGCTCTGCAGCTGATCATTCGAGTACAGCATTTTCCGAGTAGATTGGTTGCCAAATCTTGAGTTGCTCACAAGATCTCCGAGTCAATGCGGCTTATAGGGCACAACAGCTATGCCCCACCACATCAACTCCATCACCTCGATCTCTCTTCTGATCACATAGCACGGCTTCAATGCTGCACGGAAAATCGGTCTTCACATTGAACACAACAGCTGAAGCTAACGCCTCAGAGTCATGGAGGGTCAAAGACTGACAGACATCACAGATCCGGGCAAGTCCGAAGGTGGAAGGCACCACGACACCATTATCATCATGAAGGATTCCAGATTCGAGACCCCAAAGCTGGCCAAACGTACCGTGTCCGAGTGAATGGCCGCTTACGTTCCATCCCAGGGAGCTCCACTTCACTCTGACCCCTACATGGCTGCCTTCCTCGAGGGCTACACGCTTGGTATGCACCGTGAACCTGAGGGGTTGGACTTTGGTGGCCTTAGCGCTGGAGCACAGTACCAGAGCAGTCTCGCAGACGAGGACCAAGAGTTCGTGTATCAAGACCCAGAGTTCAAGAGTGCAGCCAAGTCTGGCGCCGATGGGCGGGGTTTCAAGATCGCAGCATTCCGTTTGTATGCGTGCAACATAGTCCAGTGTCGCTTTCTTCATCTGTCGTGTGACTGCAATGCATAGATACTCTTCTCTGTCATGGGGATCAGTCTTTGCTACCCTCAAGCCTGAGGTTCTTCGGAGAAGTTCATCCTCGCAGGGCATGATTCTCCTCTTTGTCAGCCATACACAAACACGGACGAATCCTGACTGCTTACAAGCCGACCGTGCCCATATCGAGCTACATGTTCATTAGACACCACTAAGACGGCTCGCAATTTTGGCGACCGACGAGGAAGATCTCGTTCATGCGGAATGGATACCAGCTGGCCGATTATCAATCTCAGAAGCAGCATGGAACATCCCATCCAGGTTCAGGAGAATGGAATGAGGTGAGGAAATTGCTCAGCATGCCGCTCGCGATCTTTCGACTTAAACATGGGGACAGGTGCAACAGCGAGAAGCTACGAGAGACTGTGGTCAAGGTATCACAGGTCTTTCTGGCGCCAGATGAAGTGTCGAAGTGATCAGACCATGATGGTAAAGATCCAGTCTTCGCTGGTTCGCTGGTGCGCTGGGTGCGGCAGACTTTGCGAAGACGGGACCTCATGCCAAAGCGTACCTCCAGGACGGTCGTCGAGGTCAGATCGACAATGTGGTGTTCGACGTTACAGCCTGTCCAGTGGAACGATATGAGATTTTGGTTGAGAGAAGTGTCAAAGGGAATCGCGTCTTGAACGTCGCTCGGCTTATCGGCTCCGGACCTGGTTCCGTCCCCAGCAATTGTGCCACGCCAGCCACCAAACCGCCAGCCACGTGCTCAATGCCATTGGCTCAGCACCAATGCAAGACGATTCGTCATATCGCGGCAGAAGAGACGACTCCGGCTAGTGTCCACAGCGGTAGAACGAAATAGAATAAAATGGTGATCGCAGGTCGCATGCGGGCTGGATCAAGCGTGATTTCTCCTCCCACCTGTCTGTCAAGATGGTTTCGTCGATTCTATACGTCCTCGCGGCCAGCACAGGTCTCGCACTCGCACAATCCGATATCCCACTGTCCCAGCCTCTCCAGAAGATCCTCGCTGGAGCTCAGAAAGGCGAGAACTATACGTACCCAACAGATCTGACGCAAGGCATCATCCCCAAGGCCATTCATTCTCACAACGATTACTGGCGACCGATTCCTTTCTACTCAGCCTTGAGCGTGGGAGCCATTTCCGTGGAAGCAGATGTGTGGTTGCAGAATGGCACACTCTATGTTGGCCACGAAGAATCAGCCTTGACAGAGTACCGAACATTCGACAGTCTCTACGTTCAGCCCATCTTGTCAGTGTTGCGAGCACAAAATCCGAATTCGAGCTATGTTTCCGATCTGCCAACCAAGAATGGAGTGTTTGATACCAGCTCTGGGCAAACTCTGTACTTGTTCGTGGACATCAAGACTGATGGCGAGGAAGCATTTCCAGAAGTCGTGAAAGCGCTGGAGCCACTGAGGTCTGCGGGTTATTTGACAACATTCAATGGAACCGGAACAACGTCTGGACCTGTAACTGTTGTGGGGACTGGAAGTACGCCACTCGATCTGGTTCAGAGCCAAAGTCCGAGAGACGTGTTTTATGATGCTCCACTGGCGACGCTCAACTCAATCTCCAGCAATATCACTTCGGATGTCTCAAAGATTGCGAGCACCGCGTTCAGTGGCCAGTTCGGGACTGTAAGGAACGGAGTCTTGAATGCGACTAGCCAGGCTTTGTTGGAGAGCCAAATCGAGGTCGCACATGGCAAGGGTATTGCTGTTCGTTACTGGGATCAGCCAAACTGGCCCGTGTCGAACAGAGATGCCATTTGGAGGTTGTTGTGGGCCGCTGGTGTTGACTTGATCAACGTCGATGATTTGGAGGGTGCTGCCAATCTGTAGATAGATTGTACCAGCAAACTGAAAGACCAGACTAGATGCGCGCTCACCATGGGTTGATATATCGCAATGGCTGCGATGGCGGTCTAGACAGGCGAGTTGCAACAATTTCATGAATAGTTTTCTCGACTTCCTCCACACTCTGCCCAGCATCAACGGTAACAATGTCTTCTGCTTCATCGGCGTGCATTCGCATTTCCGCAAAGAGGCTTCTCACACGATCCTGCATTTCCTGCTTCTCGTATCTCTCGTTGCCGAAACCTCCCCGCTTTGCAGCGTCCTCAGCGGAGATATCGAGGAACAAGCACAAATCCGGTCGTGGTAAGCCAACTTCAGGATGCCGACACCAAGCGAGATCCATGGCAGGGTTCTGCTTTGCCGCGGAGTATACACAGCCGGAGTAGTAGTATCTATCGACTACGACTGTGGTTCCAGCTTGCAAATGTTTTTTGATGTCTTCTGCCGCCTCCCAGCGATTTGCGGAGAACAGCAGGTGGATTGCATGGTCTTCTTGTGTCGAGGTTCCCACCAGGTAGTTGTTTATCATTTGGCCAATGACTGTGCCTCGATTCGGGAAACGCATATATTCCACTTTTTGTCCTTGAGATTTGAGGTGGTCAATGAGCCGGGCACATTGTGTGCTCTTGCCTGATCTGTCCAGTCCTTCGAAGACGATGAGATGTCCTCTCCCGGAGTCTCCGGTCACGGACACTGTTTCTGCCATTCCAGGAAAGAGTTGAGTCGAGTCGTGCAAATGGGGTTAGAGCACAGAGGACAGGTGGGAGTAGACGCGTTGGTATGGCTCGGACGTGCTTTCTTGGCGCGTCGGGCCCACTTCCGCTGAGACAAAATTCCTCTGCCGCGATGACAATCACCTGTTCATTACCAACAATGCCTCGACAATGAACGGACATTCCAATGGGCATGCCAATGGCAACGGCAAGCTCCATCAGCTGCCCAACGACATGTTCCACGTGATCCGATCGACAGGCACCGCAGCTCGTTTAGGACGGCTTGCATTGCCCGGCCGCAGGATATTGGATACACCACATTACCTCGCTAACACCAGCCGCGGCGTTGTACCGCATATCACCCAGGACACCTTCGTCCGTGACACCAACATCAGCGGGCTGTACATCGCCCTCGAAGACTGTGAGTGCCCTTTTTCGCGCTGCCGCCCAAGCGCGCCCATTTGCTGACTACGAGGCTCACAGTGTGGTGATAGTCATCGAGAGGGCTCCCAAAGATGTCCCTCCCCTGTATCGCTTCCAGCATCCTGGCGGCGGATCCCCGCTGAGGAAATTCATCGCTGCTCCAGACGACGCTGTACTCGTCTTGGGTGCCAGACGGACCTCGCCGGTTCCAGCACCCGAAGCCACGTCGAATACCAACAAAACCGTCTCGATCTGTACTGCAGTGGGCTTCAGGGCACTCAAATCAGAGGAGTATGCGGAAAAGGCGGAAAGTTTGCAGGCGGACATACTGGTTGGTCTAGGCGACATTCCATACGAACGAGCACTGGGCAACAAGAGGATCGAGAAGGCTACCGATCGGAATATCGCATGGCTTGAAGAGCAAGTCTTCTTGCGGCGATCGGAAGAGAAGGCCGCCAGAGCACATCTGTTTGCATCGCTACTGCCCGTCTCGTGCGCCAAGCAGCAGTACTACATCGAGGAGCTCACAGGCCAGTTTGCAGACCACATATCAGGTCTGGCAGTTTATGATCTGGACTCGTTGGAAGATCTCCCGGCCGAGCTCGGCCAGCTTCCGCGCTTGAGCTTCGCAGCTCCCAAGACACCGCGAGACATCCTCTACCAGATACAACGCGGGTTAGATGTCATGGTAGTGCCTTTTGTCGGCGCTGCGACCGATGCGGGCATTGCTTTGGACTTTACTTTCGGCCCCTCGTCCGACACGACTACGAACGGAGACGGCGCGCATTTCAATGGGCATGAGTCCTCCGAGTTGCTCCCACTTGGCATCGATATGTGGTCAGAAGATCACGCCGTCGATCTATCTCCACTTGCGAAGAGCTGCCAGTGCTATGCTTGCACGACCCACCACCGCGCGTATTTGCAACACTTACTCTCGGCGAAAGAAATGCTTGGCTGGGTTCTGCTGCAGATCCATAACCATCACATCATGGACCTGTTCTTCGCGAGTATTCGGCAAAGGCTCGCAAATGGCACTTTTGAAGCCGATGTCATGCGCTTCGAGCAAAAGTACGAGAGTCTGTTGCCCGCAAAGACCGGACAAGGTCCAAGGTACAGATATCTGAGCCATGCCGCGAAGCTCATAGCTGATGAGGAGAATAGAATCCGAGGCTACCAGTTCAAGTCCCAAGGTCCTGGCGAAGAGAAGAGGAATCCCAAAACCCACACGCCTTTCAAGATGCTGAACGATGGCAAAGAGAAGCTCGCTGAAGCTACTTTGCCAGACCCGAACGCCAACGCGGATGACCTACAAGCGCAAGGTTTCGCCCAAAAGGAGAGCTAGAAACTCCCCGCGATCGCGACACAACCCTCGTCAACAGCATTGAGCTTCGAGAAGCACTCGTTTTCGGCGGTCCCATGTGGGCTTCCCTCCGCCCGCGAGTCCCGGCCACCCAAGGGCATGCCGCACATATTGCACCCAGCACACCCTCAGATGTGGTAGGTCACTTCTATGTCGCCACCCCTCGCACTTACATGATGACAACCATTTCGTTATACCCAGCTCACTTCGATGCTACGGCAAATGCGGTGAAAGCGTGAAATCACGGCTGATCTTGCTTACACTTATCGCCTTCATAAACAAACATATGATGAACCAGGGATCGTGCTAATTGAAGCTCAGGTGAACGAATCGACACATGAGGACGGCAAGTCTGGCACTTCCTGCGCCTGTACCAAAAGTCTGCTCAGAGAAGGCTACCTCAGGGCGGCTTAGACTCTTCAATTCATCATTGGATAGGCATAACAGGACTAGACCATGCATATTATGCATAATGAAACAGCATTTATGACAATATCATGATCTATACAGCTTGCCATCTGTTTACCTCTTCCCTACCCATGTTCGTATCGTGTTGATTCACTCATTTGTCGTTCCTACTCGCGCCGCGCGGAACTTCTCTTTGTCCTCTGTTTCGTTGGATGCCTGCACACAAAGAACATAATAGAGTCTAGAGGGTAGGGACGAGGGAAGGCATGGAAATTTGAACGATGACGAGAAACAACACGACAGGCACAGTATGTGGATTGTACAACGGAGAGTAAAGATCAACGTGTGCAAAGTGAATTCCAAGCTTGATGTTATTACGTATTAGTCTTACATGCAAAAGCCGTCTAGCCAGCCATGCTCAGAAGCACACCATTAACGTTTCGTCGAACCGCTCACTTCGTGCTTGCCGTACTGGTAGGAGTAGGAATACGAAACCAGTCTGTTGGATCGATCTTCACCCCTTGAGCGAGCAGTCGATCTCTCGCGCTTCTCATGCGATTCACCTCGCCAAGAATTCCCTTCTCGCCGAAACTCATCGAGACTCTCTTCTCCGGATCCACTCGCAAACAGCCGTACACGATATCTCGCAGGTAATTCTCTCTTGACAACGACAAAACTTCCTCGTCCTGACCGACTGGCCAAGAAGGGTACACGCGAGTAGGAGCGTCGTTTGCGGCTGTTGCAAAAACGAGGCCAAGGGAGTAGACGTCGTCACTGAGGTTTCGTTGTTTTCCGATGTCGTAGTAGATTTTGAGCTTTTCGGATCTGGTCAGGCGGAAGTCGAGCTCCTTAACCACGCACTTCTTGTAGCGCGCCGTCACTGTGGGTGAGTTCCAACCCTCCGTCCCACAATCAACACGAGGTTCTGGATCAGAGAGGAGTTTGGCGTGGCCAAAGTCACCGATGACAATGTCTGGCAAGCCACCGATGTTTCGAGACGACCAGTTTAGAAAGAAGTTTTCGAGCTTGATATCCCCATGAACGACGGCTTCGTGGTCTTCGTCTTGAGTGTAGCAGGAGCCTGTGGAGTGACGAAGGCCGTGATGCAGAAATGCGAACACGTCAGAGACTTGCACTATCAAGTGATAGAGGAAGACCTTTGGTACGATCTGTTTGCGAAGATGCCAGTGGCAAATTTGTTCGTGAAGATCTCCTCCGTTGCAGGCATCCATGTAGATGAAGTATCGTCCTGGGGCGTTCTTGTTCATGAAGAAGTCGTGCACGACAACGACGTTGGGGTGCGGTTTCAGTAGATCCTTGACGATAACGGCCTCCGTGGGGACTTTGTGGTTGCGGTCACCATCGAGGATTGTTCGATTGTCCACTGTGGCTCGGTTGTATTTGGTATGCTTGACAACGAATACGTTTCCAGACCTCAGAGACTTCTTGACAAGGACCTCGCCTTGCGTGCCCCTTTCGAGCTTGAGCGTGGTGACGGCTTCGTATTCATCGTCCTTGCTGTAGCGCGGTGCACGCTGCTCTATTTCGGCTTGAATAGTGGAAAGCGGTGTCTTGCCCTTGATAGCTCCGCGAGGTGAAGTAGATGCAGCAGTGCTGAAGGCGCTGACGAGCAAGATCTTGCTGCGGTGGAAGAGCGAATGTCGCTCTGTGGTTGTTTGTGAGTTTGCCATCTTGGATGTGTTGGAGTTCGATATGGGACTTACGGAATCGAACCTGTCCGGCAGGTAGATTATATTTGCGAGGCGAGTCAAGGTTCAAGGACGCCGTGTGAGGACCGCGAGTGATTATCCAAGATGTGGCCTCAACCACTGATTTGCGAGAAAATGTTGTTTTTGAGGACCGAAAGTTCTTCCGGATCCATAGGAAATGCTTGAACCTTATTGCACTTGTCCTGGCCCCGTCGTAAGGACAATACCTTTGTGTCCGGAGCACTTCAAGGCCGTAATATCTCGTTGTCTGTTGGTGCAACAAAGCCACCTTCTTTGTTTCTGAAAGCGCATGGTCCCGCATTGTTACCACAAAGACAGAGGAGACAGAGTCTGACGTCTGACCTCATCATCCGCGATATGCGGCGCTATAACACTTTCGCAGGCCCAGAATGTATGCAACTAGCGTATCTCTCTCATTTGGGAGAATTGGCATCATTTGCATTCAGACGACGCTGCAGATACACAAGCTGGTCTTGTGATTCTGATTATTCTCTTCATTCATTTTATCCTGCTGGCCGGGCCACCTGCGAAAAGGCATTCGCCAGCGAATTGTAAGTGCCGGAGAAAATGCGTAACTTAGCCCAAGACATGATCTTGGAATGTCTTCCTTTGGTGGGACATTTTCGTCGAGGCCAGAATCCCAAGGATGAGCAAATGATCAGCCCGACAGTACTCGCTCGTACACGAAGATCATTTCCGTTCAGAAGCGCCACAGGTAAGCGGCCTCACCGGCGGTTCTGGCACAAGAAAGATAAAGAAGCGGAGCCCAAAGCAGAAGAGCCCGCAAAAGAAGAGCTCGCAACAGAAGTGCCCAAAACAGAAGTGCCCAAAACAGAGGATCCCAAAGGCCCCGTCGTGGCGGATCCCGTGGCGAGCGTTGCAAGTCTTGCCATATCCGCCTTCGCTGACTTCGATGGCACACAAGCTGCCGCAGGCGTCAGCTTGGACCTTGACAAACTCACAGAGACACCCAGCTCAAAAGACTCTGAGCCTAGTCTGCCTGCGATAATCGACCCAGTGCCGGACCGACTCCCAGTAGCATACGAGCTCGTCAAGACTCTGAACGGCGCACTGGGTGTCTTCAACACACCAATCCATCTCGTCCGACAACGTATCTCCTCCAAGCTCTTCATCATCAAGCAAGTTCCCGTCCGCGACGAAACCGAATGGCCCAGCGAAGCAGCCTTACTCGAAGATCTCGTCCATCCGAATATCATCGGCATCGAAAGCGTGCACTATGACCACAACGGTCCCTTCTGCATCGCCAATATTGTCCTTCCGTACTGCTCCGGTGGCGACGTCCAGGATTTCGCACGCCATCTTTCCGCGATTGGTAAGTCCATGCCCGTGCAATTCATCCAACATTACGTTAGCAGCATGCTCGACGCCCTCCTCTACCTGCATAACGGCGAAACCTACGACGCCGCAGCAGATCAAATCACCCGCAACCCTTACCACTCCACCATCCTCCATCGAGACATCAAAGAGCGCAACATCTTCCTCGACCCCACCAAACCCATACACGGCCTCCCGCAAATCCTCCTCGCAGACTTCGGCCTCTCCTCCCACGAATCAACCTGCACCAACATCTGCGGCACAGACGGCTACATGTGCCCCTCAATCATGGCCACCTTCTCCCTCGCCGAAGCCGCCCCTAGTCCCTCTCTCCAACTCACCATCCTACAAAACGCGCCCAGAATGACCCCCAGCAGTGACTGGTTCTCCTTCGGCGTAACCCTTTACCAACTCATAACCCTCAGACGCTATCAATACGCCGAATCTGAAATCTTCCTAGATTTCGCTGCTTCGACTTCGATGGGCCAGACGGAAATTATGGAATTAATGGCTGATTGTTTGGAGTTTGAACCGGGGAATCGGCCACGGGCGGAGGATTCGTTGAGATTGCATCGGTTTTCCGCGAAACTCAAGAAGGGGTTGCAAGAGTGGTATGATGGAGGTGGAAAGTTGCTGGAAGAGATTTGGCCAGAGCCGTTCAGATTCGAACGTGTAGGAGCGGAAGCTGATGAGGAGGCCTCGGTTATGGGCATCAAGGGCAACTCGGATGGTACTGGGGAAGGTGAGTCGGCGCCAGGGTCTGAGGAGACGATATCGGCGATTATTGACTGGCTGGTGACCGGCGAAATTGTTGAAGGCGCTGAGGATGATGGGGAGGGGTTGTCCTTCTGCGTTCCTGAACTACCTCGGCCACCAGTACTTTCTCCACTGCCATCAATGCAGCCGCTGAGGCGTATTGGGGCGATAGATTGTCGTTTGGTTTAAGCTGTGGCCTGAGCTCCACGATCGTTTGCGACGCCAGTAGTCCTTCACCGTAGGTGTTCCTAGTTTCTGTTCTTTCCAATAGAACTAGTTCGAGTCAGTAGTATATGCCATTGCCCGAGTTCTTGTCAACACGGCGGAGCAAACATCTTCAATACCAACCAACCCTCTCTCTGCCCACGAAAGTCGGCCACACCTCAACTCATCTTTCAATTCTCCATCTACCTACCCACTACCTCCCCGTCCCCTCCCCGTCTGTCCACTCGCCTGCCCTCCTCCAGTAAACGCGTCAGGGATACTAATGCTACTTATCCTCTGCGCAAGTGAAGCCCCCACAGCATCAATCGCCCCCTTCGGACTCTTCAACGAGATTTCCTGACTCGCGCCCTGCCGTCGAAATAGCTTGATGTCCGTACTACTGTACAATCCTCCAGAACCTTGAAAAGCCTCCGCTTCTTGCAAGTAGATTCTGCTCCAGATGAGCGCGTTGTACCAGCCGATTGCTACTGCTGTCCATTGGAAGCTGACTGGGCCTCCTGTTGCTGGTCTGATATTGTCTGTTTCCGAGAGTATTAGCGCATGCCGTTCTGTTGCGGTTGCATGATGAGCGGCGTGGTGCGTACCTTTAATTCCGAGATGACCTTGTCCATCGGCTCCATATGCTGCTTGCGCACTGCGCCCACTGTCCGTGGACTGACGGGTGAGTTGGGCGGATTGGCGGGCTTCTCGTCCGAGGCCGGGTTGCTCTGCTGTAGTTGCGCTGCGAACGTCTGCCTTGTGTTGCTCCTCGGGCGCGCTGGAGGTGGAAGTTCTTGCTGAGATGCCATCTTGCTTTCGAGTCTCGCTGTCTTCAATGACTTTGAGAATGAGCTCGAGTGGGAGTTGTGTGTACCAGCTTTCTAGCCACTGTTCGGAAGGTTGGAAGTTTTGTGATGTGGTGACTGGCGTCAAGGTCGGTAGGCTCGTTGTTGATGTTTGGCGTGACGTCGAAAGTCGCAAAGCCGCCGGTTGCTTACCCCGAGCCTTTTCACTCAAACGCACGGGGTCAGGCACTCGATTCTCGCCACCCGCGTCTGGTGTCTTAGAAGCTCTTTGGTCAGCCTTTTCATCGACATCCGCATTTTCGTTTCCTTCATCGTCCTCGTCCTCATCATCCCCGATGGCGAACCGAGTGTCCTCCGGCACATTCGCCAACGAAGGCGTCCGCGGCGCAACGGGTCTACGCATACTATCGATGGATGAACCACGCGAGTGGCTGGTCGGGCTCAGAATATCCCCGCGATCTTTGCGTTCGATCGCCTGGCGCTCCGCCTCTGCAAGTGCGCCTTCAACGGTGATTTGCTGCAGGGCTCTGAAATGCTTTTTGCTCGCAATGAGTACTCTGACGAATTGCTGATTCTCTGCAGATGCGTTCTGATCAGCACACAAGATTCATGGCCAGCATAGGGCTTTCGAATGCCAAAGTGCTACGATGCCAATTACAGCCACGGCAGCGCAGTGCCAATCTGAGCCATCGTCGCGGGCCTGCGACGAGACCCGGGGAGCGCTAGCGGACACCCTTTGATAGCCTGGGCTCCGCAAAGAGCTCTAAACTCGCCAGCTTCGCTGAATGTGCAGGCGAGACATGTCTCTTGCCTTGCCCTCCTACTAACGGAGCAGCTCAAGCGAATGGCATGGGGGACGCAGAAGGGCTGCAACTAAGAAAGAGATTGGACATACCGCGACAATGATTATCAAGAATTGCATTGCAAGCATCAAGCAAGTTCTTGAGAATGACATAATTGGTATCGTTCTTCAAGCAGAAGCTGGGTGCCGACAGCATTTCGAACAGGTTCACCAGCTTCGAAGACGTCGCACGCTGCAAGTGCTTCGCGTACGGCGCCACATTCTTGATAATGTTGAACAGCGCAGGATAGACTGGCTCGAGTCGTCCTTTCGAAGCCGTGATGAGGCAATGTATTGACTGCGAGCCATCAGCAATCTGTCAAGACGTGAGAGCACGGGAAAGCATACACAAATCAAGAAGTCGGCATATGAGCCATGGAAGTTTTCTATCCGCATTACCGGCGGCAGGCTGCTGACATGGAGGAAAGGCGTATTGAGCTTCGCGCAGAAGGCTGCTTCGGCGCTGAGCGATTGGATCACGAAGATGACCATTCTCATCAGGCCTTGCTTTGTCTCATCGGCGACCGAGTCTCTCGCGTAGAACAAGAAGATGACCAGATAGTCCATGCCGACTTTGGTTTCACAGAGGTACCGACGGAAGCGCTTGTTACACTGGATCAGCTCCCACAGGAAGCTGATCATCTCGGTGGCATGATGGCCAGCATTGCTTTTCCCTATGCTGAAATTGCTCGTCGTCATCTGGGCTCAAAGTCAACAAGTGATACGCGAAAAACCATTGTGAATACCATTGCAGACTTACTGGTTGGGAAATCACTAGATTGACTCCATGATGGATGAATTGGAAGTCATCAGGCCGGAAAAGTGCTCCCATTGAAGATCTGAAGAGGTTCTTGCCCTCTGGGGGGATGTACACCATCGTCACCAGCAGGAACTGGATGCAGTTCAGAACGAGAAGCTTCTTCGTATCCCGAGCTCCTTGCCAGCCACTCGGTATCGTCCACAAGTTGGGGTTGAATCGAAGCACAGTATTCAAGCAAGAACAATTTATGGCATTTACGACGCGCTTTTCGAGCTTCGTCGTCAGATAAGTCAGAGCCCTGTTGTTGGCAAGTGCAACTTGATCTGGCCGCAGGTACAAGGTGCTGCTCGTCAAGGTGAGGAGTAACCTGATGACCTCGTACTGATTCCGCTCATGCTCGCTAGTACATTTCGAGCTTGTGCTGCAGCCAATACCCGTCTTCCAAACTTTGAGCTCATATCCTCTATCAGATCTGCCGCCGTCTTCCTGTTGCGATGGGAGAGTCAGGCCTCGCCAGAAAAGGTAGTCCACCACCAGGTCGATCAAGGTCTCGCCTAGAGGTGGCCCGATTTCTTTGTCTTTGTCCTCTTTTGAATAAAGCTTGCCGGGATCTAGGCCGTCGAACAGCTGGGTATGCGTATCACGCTTCTCGTCCCAGTTGAGGAATTGTGGCTTTCGTGGCTGCCAGAAGAACTTGTCGTACCATTCTCGCAAGTGGTCCGCCTCGAAGATGAAAGGCATCACCCGGGTCAGGATGCGCATGCAGTTGAGGATCTGCCGGGCGACAAGCTCATCGGGCTGGTTTGTGTCCTTCTGCAGTCTCTCCACATGTGCTATCGCATTATACAGCAGTGTCTCCAGATTGGTCATGGGCGAGCATTGTTCTCCTGGAGATGCTTTGCGCGCCCCTGGCTCGGATGGGTTGGTGTATGTCAAGACCCGAACGTCTCCACCCACCCACAGATCGAAAACATCGTCGACGCGCTCGGGTATTGTCCAGTACTTTGCGAAGATGTCGTTGTCTGGCTGCAGCACATCGTCCCCTATGAGCTTGAACACGCTCTGCTTGAACGCGATTTTGCTCTCCGACACGCCCATTGCCCTTGCTCTTACTCCCGGAAGACCAGCGTCTCAGGAGTTGTGTCTCGTGGCCTCAGCAATATTCGGCAGGTTATGTTGGAGGAGAATCGGATAGTCTGGGAGGGCGTTGCTGCCTCTGCAGCATGGTCGAAGGAGCGAGGGATGGGCAGTGCCTGACTTGCTACCGGAGGAGCAGGAACTGCTGGCAACTGGCTCAGCTGCAAGGAACGTGTGACTTGCGCATTCGGAAGCTAGAGAAAAGTGCTGAACAGAGGAGTAGCTGGAGCTGCACGATCAACGCGGCTATTGACGTCGTTGCTGGACCAGGCCGACGGGTCGACAAAGTGGATCTACGAGCACGAAACGGGGCTACGGCACGACTCTACAACCTCGTCACGATATGAATGATCTCAAATACAACGAACATCACCGCCATCGAAGGCACGGTATCCTACAGAATAGCTTGGGCTGGTGTAACAGGTGTTGGGTTGACCCTTCGAATTGAGGCTTTCTGCCAAGCCAAATTCTGCGGCGGCTCAAAGTTCTCGAGGGTAACTAGCCGCGACTTCACCAACACAACAACACCACCACCGTCGGCGTGACGCGTCCATCATCATGGAACGCGCATATCGCGTCCTCCAGCAGCTTCAAAAGGATGGGGTGATGACTTCCGAAGCCGCCCGGATCACGCGCCCCAGCAATGTGAATGAGGCACGAGCGACCTTTGGCGCAGCTCTTCGGCTCGCTGGTCTGCAATCGTACAAGGCAGACGCCGTCACTGCCCAAGTCTGTAAGACGTGCAATATATGCACCATTGAGAACATCCAGGTTTGTCGTTGACTCAGCCACTTGACTATCTTCCAAAAGTGCTCACTTACACTCACCTGTCACATTAGCGTTGCAAAGAACAGTTTATACACTACATCCTACCCTCATCACAGGCGCGCAAGGTATACTTCAAGTACCTGCAGACTTTGTGCAGATTGTTCGCTCCCGGATCCTGGAAGTTGAAAGCCGCATCAGGACTTGATGAGGTCCTTGGCCTTTCCGCTGGTGGCGCCACAAATCATCTGCCAGCATCGCATGCGAGACGAATACATACGCTTTACATCATCAACGAACTACTGGTCTCCCTTCTCGAGTTGTCGCGGCAAGACTCGAAAGTAAGGCCCCGCCCCACTGCAGACGAGGAGCGGAAATACGCGCGCGAAGCTCTCGATTCCGCCAAACAATGCTGTCTTGACATTTTCGAGGAGGCCGCCTGCATAACGCCGGGAGAAGCGGCAAAGCCGAAGAATGCATTGAATGATATCCTCAGCAATTGGACCCAGATCGTTACCCAAGTCTTCACGAAATCAGACATCGACCGACTTCGAAAAATAGCAGAGAATGCCGACAACCGCAAGCACGATCCGAGCCTGAAGAACCTTGACCTCACAACACATCTTCTCGCACAATCGGCGCAGAAAATGAGGCCCGCATTGAGGAATAGGCATGGTGTGAAGGATGACCCAGACGCGCCATGGCACCTGCTTCCAGCGGCAAATGGGTTGAAGTTGCGGGAGGAACGTGGCTACCCGCTGCTCTCACGTGCTCTGCCTCATGGCGGCTATCAACTCGTCAATGGAGGTGCGTAGCAACATGCACGCCTTGCTTGGTCAGTGCGCTGCACAGCTTTTTCATAGACTGATTTTTGGCAGGCAAGCCAGTAAACGAACAGACTCGAAAGGAAGCAGAAGGACTTCTCAGCGAGATGCTTCACTGCTTCGATACACACACGAAAGCAGACGAGGTCCAGGACATCGATGCATTAGGCAACAAAGTCTGGAAGGACCCAGAGCGTCCTACACGCAATTACTGGGGCTTCACGGAAGAGGGTCTACGCAAAATGAAAGAGAACAAGAAAATGTTCAACGCATCAGCCAAAGGCTACGCCGACATCCCGCCGCCAGAGCGTCCGAGATACGTCCGCAACAGCGAGGTGGAGCGTGCGAGAGAGCTGGCGGCTTCTCGAGGACGAGGAGGCCGTGGTGGAGGCTTCCGTGGGCGCGGCGGTGGCGGCGGCTACCGTGGACGTGGGGGATATTAGCAAGATCCCTCAGAGCCATGGAAGTTCGAGCAGCAACGCGCTCAGCGCTCAAGGAGCTATCGAGGCCAAGCAGATCGCCGGCCGTAGGTAGCGTCCAAGTTGACAACAAATGGAGACACCCATGTCGAAGTTCTCCCCCTTGCCCTAGCTCCATTTCCCATCAGACTTGGTAGGCATGTTGCAGAAAAAGGACAAGCGAATTCAATTACTCACGAAACAGAGTCTGGTGCCAGGACCTGTCTCTTCTCCCAAGAAACGGAAAGTTCTCTGCTCATCAGCCTGGCGCATATCAGAATCATGCTGCAAAAGCCTTCATGAGACATAGCCAAACTCTGCCAATGGCTCCGGGTGAGAAAGGCTATGGACATAAGTCACATAGCTAAGTCCGCTAAGCTTCTGCAACCTAGCTGAGAGTGTGCAGGGCTTTACGGCAGGTTCCAGAAGTCGGAAGAGCGCGGACTTCGCGTCTATGAACATAGCTTTCCGGCTCGTAGGGAAGGTGTTATCTCATTGAAATCAGTCCGATGACGGGCGGGCTCGGGTTTCGCCAGTCATGGTATGGGAAAGTGTTCTCGGGCACTCCGAGACTACATCCTGACGACAAGCTAGGAATTGAGACCTTAAGTTCAGATTCGCAAGCACAGACATCGCGTACTCCGAAATACTGTCAGCACTCTAATCGCAGGAGACATTGTTTCATGAGGGCAGACTACGTCACTCACTCCGCCAAGACACGTTTCAGCCCCACCTGCCTGCCTACTTCGTCGCCCTGGCCCTGTCCATGCCTCTCGAACAACACCAACAATATCAAAGCATCAGCAATCATGGCCAGCTGGAGATACGACCGCGTAAAATCTGATCGTATCACCACACGTGGCGCAAAGCTGACACATCACCACAGGATGACGACCAACACCACGGAATGAACCCCGTAGGCTACGATGCCGATACACAAGTCTACACCTACAGAGACGATCAAGGCAACTACTACCAAACCGAAGAAGGAACCGGACGACATGGAAATCTCAACTACTCTCATACCTCTGCAAACGTGGCTCCGCAATCTGGATTCAATGGCGAAAATATCCCCGCTGAAGCTATCGAGAATGATTGGAAGATGATGAAACCGTTCTTCTTGCTTGTGACGGTTGTGTTGATGACGATTCTCTGGTATGTTAATTCTGGAGGGAGCAATAAAGTGCCAGCGATTACGTGCGGTCCTGGTCTCGAGAAGTATAAGATTTCTCAGGGCGATACTTGTTGGGGGATTGCGGAGGCGAGGAAGACGAGTGTGGAGAAAATTGTGGAGGTGAATGATGGGATTGTTTGTGCGAACTTAAAAATTGGGAAGCAGATTTGTGTTCCTGAGGTGAAGTAGGGACTGCGGTATAGAGAGGTGCCGCTGCCGCTGCCGCGGATTTCGGCACCTTCGCTGGCCGCGTGAAGTCCCAAGACGTCAACCAGGACTGTAGGCAGTAGTATGGCGTGCTATGCTATGCTACTGAACGAGCACGGACATGGATATCAGATTGTGATGAGTGAGCACAGGGCGTGGTGTCCAGGATCTGGCTTGATGTCGATGCTTGAACACGGCTAAACCAGGAATCGCGGCTTGGCTCGGGACTTCTTAAACATTGCCTATCGACCTCAGACTATGCAAACAAAGGTCACATTGCAACGGAAGACGGACATTCAACAGTCACCACAACGATGGCAGATCAATACGAATTCGAGCGCAGCGTATCTGTCTATCCGGTCGATGGAAAGCCAAACCACTTCACGAGCGTCTATCGACCATGGAGTTGGCCACTAGTCCAAAGGGCGGCAGGCTCAGTGCCTATAACAGAGGGCACTGCGGCAGCTTACAAGACCGTGCCACCCGACTTCGAGCTACATTGCGCACAAGTGCAATTCCTCAAAGCAGGCAAGAACGAAGCATTGCGATACAAAGTCGTCGAACTTATGACAATGTCCAACTTCGCTTCGAGGAACGTCTTCGTAACGCAAGACAGCGACAGCGACTACAGATGCGTGCTCCTTCTGAGCTTCCAAAAACGATCCGTCACCTCTCGAGGCTGGCCCACACAATACGAATACACTAGACCACCTTCTCGGGAAGCGATCGAACTGGCAGCTCGCTCTATCGAGGACCACTCGCCAGATCTCAAAATGCTTCCACTAGGTGTCCCTAAAGGGACCCCCGACCCACCCTTTCTCTGTCAACGCATAGACATAACTCAAGAGTCGGATCCCAACCTCAAAACCTATCGTACCAAGTACCGCATCACCAGCCCAATATCTGGACCCACAGGACAAATTCTAGCAATTGTCTTCCTCTCAGATGTATTCACCCTCGACGTGCCGATGATCGTTCACAGCATCCCATTCGGGCCTCCGATCTTAGGCGACGAGACTTTGACGCCGACTCCGACACGTATACGATCATTCGCATCCCTTACTCACACGGTGCGTTTTGCGAGGCTCGAAGGTTTTGATGTGCATCAAGGGGTTCTTTGCGAGATGCAAGTGAGATGGACGAAGGGAAGGAGGGCGTTGAATACGATGTATATGAGGGACTGCAAGGGAGAGTTGATCGCTACGGTAGATCAAGAGGTAAGTTGTCATCTTGTGCTGAAATACGCGAGGCTCACTGACTGAAACTCCATGAAACAGGCATACTTTGTTTTCAAGACTGAAGAAGAGTTTGAACGAGATGCGAAAGCATTAAAATCTCGCTCAGCTAAACAGAAAGCTGAAGCTGCTAGGAAGACGAAACTTTAAGGTAATTTCCGCACATATTTAGGAGGTAGATAGTGCCCGCTTGGTTTATGCGATGACCAGAACACTTACAGCACAGATTCGTTGGCACGAAGGCAGCCAGCTGATTTATCGAGGCGACTGCAGTGAAATCGGTGGTTGGACGACAGCATCACAGTGGTGATCAACATTCTCAGCTCAATACTGCTTGCTGCTTCGGATCCCACAATGCAATGCCTTGCTGCTTCGACAAAGAGCAGAAATCGACTTGGCTCATAGAAATGGCAAGAATCTCGGCATCGGAGCTCCCAGTCTGAATAATGTTCTATGTGGACGCGTTTCGAAGCGTCGCACCATTGCGTGAAGGTGGCTCTGCTTGGGCAACTCACCGATCCGTTTTGTGTGCAACTCCGTGCTGTTGAGATTACCCACAGCACTGGGCACAGGTGCGTTTAGGTTATGTGAGATGTGTAGTGAAAGCTTTAACTCAGATATCTGTGGATTCCTACACTGCTGGGATGGACATCTTGACTGGTTAGCCGGCCAACACATACAACCGCACGAACGAGACTGAACGATTCGCGTCAAGTCAGTCATCAAAGGCCATCAAAATTGGCAGGCGCGAAAAGCCAAGTCGGGCTCAGAAGGAGACAGAGAAGATCCGCTCTGCAGCTGCGAGACTACATTTCCGGACGAAACCGACTAGGATGGCGTAGAGGAGGAGGTAGTAGTACATTCTTGCGACTAGTAGACTAGAACCTTAGACAAAATTGTTTCTGATTTCGTCGAAGACGTTGATGGCGCGATGATGGTGGAAGCATGTCATCTGTTGCTCAGGATGCATGGCAATGGGGCCTTTCATGGATTTATTTTACACGGGCGGCAATTTTGGATGATCCGTGGGGCGGCCTCAAATGCCTGCACAGCCTGTGTCACGATGGAAATTTCCCAATCGCGTGTGCTTCGCACCTCGCTTCGTTTGCTGCAGGAACTACCGACGTGTCGAGTCCGTTCAACCTTTTCGTACGCCATGGTCCACAAACTCCAGAGTCACTTTTCTTCGACCAAGTTTTTGACCTCCACAATCTCCTCCTTGCCTTCGGCGAACCGTCGAATGTGTTCCCTCCCCCACGAAGTCACGCATGCACAGATTACAACCAGATCTACTGCCAGCGAAAACAGAAACGCTGTTACAGCCGCTTCCTTCAATCTCCTTTCCTTCACGCTCTCTGTGAGTACTATCCCATACTTGTATTTCATCGTCAACCTGTCTACCGTGAAGCAGACCAACACAAGCCCCATAAGGGCAGGACCGCTCAAAATCCAGGGGCGACAAATCGTATCAATTGTTGAGGAGCAATCGTGACAAGTTGAAGCATTGTCCGAGTTTGCCGTCTCGTGGTCCCTGCTTATGTTCTTCTTGTTGGTGTCTTTGTTGGAATTGGCACTGGTGCTCTTTTTCTGAGCCTCCAACGATCGGTATCTCCAGACCCAGCGTCCGAAAAGCACTTTCTCTGCAGCTGCGAAACTGAGTGCGCGAGTGATGGTGAGGGTGATCACCGAGGAGAAGCTGTAGAGCATGCAGTACTTGAGAGAGAGTCCCATTCTGGTAGTAATTATCTCTTGTTGTTGGCCAGTTTGCCCATGAAGCAAGGAACTGTGTGTTATGCGTCGAAGAATTTTTCGCGGATGGAGGTTTTGAGCTTGGTCCACGGACGGGAGCGGACATGTATTATATATTGCTCACGACGCAAGAACCCTGCAGGAACAGCTGCAGTGGTGGGTCGTCCCAAGGAGTGGGAACATGAATTTGTTTTGTAATGATTCTTATATCAGCAGACATCAGTCCTTGAGGGCGGCCTCAAATGTCATTGTCAAAGTGCTGTGACAGCGCTTTTCGCCTTGCTTCGTTCTATTGTCTCCCATCAACTTTCTCACCCTCCGTGTTCCCCTCTGGAATCACTTCTCTCTGACCGGGCCTTCTGTCTCGGCACCCTCTTCCCTGCCTCCCCCGACAAGCTTTAGAAGCTTGTGATCAATCTTTCTGAACGTCCGCGGCAGCACACATGCACAAATGATCAAAACATCTACAGCGAGCGAAATTTCGAACCCCGTCGTGACCGCCTTCATCGCACTATCATGCAGCTCACTTTCCGGATAGATCTTCCCGTACTTATGTCTTGCTATCCATATATCGGCAGCCAAGTATGTAACCACACACCCCATCACAGCTGGGCCGGTCATCATCCAGGGGCCATGAATCGTATCCAGTGTGCAAGAGCAAGCATAGCAAGTCGTAGAAGGGTCCTGGTCCCCTTTTTGTATGTCTGCATGGTGATTATAAGCCCAATTCTTGTCGTTGCCATCGTTGGAATAGGTATTGATGTTATGGTTCTTGGAGTCCGTTGGCTTGTGTACCCGGATTCGCCTTCCAAAGAGGACTGTTTCTGCAACCGTGAAACTGATTGTTCGGGTGAGCGTGAGCAAGGTTGTGAGAAAAATCCCGTAGGTACTGCAGTACAGGAGGGAAATCGACATTTCGGTGACACGTATACCCTCGATGGAGTGTGATACTCGATCCGAACGAGGTCGTTTTCTGTACGTGGCAAGACGCTTTGGTTGGAAAAGTGTTTAGTGCGTTCCACGGTAGTATGCATGTGTTATATACTGCTAATCGCACAGGATCCCTGCAGGAATGATTGCACCTGCAGTAACGGAGTATCTCTCAAAGGCTGGCGGCCTCAAAAGCCTGTATCACGACAGGCTGCCATAGATAGTACCTATCCCCCTTGCTTCGCTGAGGGTTTACACACGGGCTGATCACGCTACAAGTAGACCATGCATGCTGTTATCAATTTTGTCATGCTAAGCTCCTTGGCATGACTACGGTTGAAGTCTTTTCTGGTACGTTAATCAAAGAGCAGGCGGATTGGACCAAAGATACAGTGACGAATGTGTGTCGTGGCCATAGCAAAAGATCTTGGTTCGAATAGCGACAATTCTCGAGAGCATCATCAAATATCTGTCTTACGAGGACCCGTGCCATGTATAGTGCTTGACTCTTACCTTCCACCCGACTTCTGTACAAGCCACGATCAGACATTCCCCTTCATCCCCTGATTGGTCTTCTCCTTTTCGCAACTCTCCCAACGTCTTCTCGGCGCCATTGATCAGCGCATGACCGGCTTGTATGTAACACCGTCCAGATCATGACCGAGTCAACGCATGTGATCCCTGCGAGTGTGACTGCACTGGCTTTGTACATGTGCTGTAAATCTTCGTTGTACCGAAGCGGTTCGCGTAAGAAGCATTGCAATAGTATGGCATAGACCAATATGGTTGATCCAAGCCAAAGACGACACAGTGCGCTTTTCGGAAGTGAATGAGAAGCCAAAGGAGGGGTCAATAGTGTAAAATCCGATGTATCGATCGCAGAGGCCACTGCATGGGTGTATTCTGAAGGTTCTCGTAAGACGCTTCCGCCTTATCTCGGAAGACGATGTGTTTCTTACAATTGTCTCTATCACTTTCCTGCGGCGGTCGACCGAACACTACTTGGTAGCTGAGCTTGTAGTTTAGTTCTCGGAGAATAACAGAAGCAAACAAAATTCCATGAAGACCATGCCTGCTCAGAACTGGTGGCTCAAGGAGAGTTTCATCTGAGCGTTCACAGGGGAAGCATGGCGGCTGTCTTTCTCATCCCTTCTCTCGTTCTTGCAATTGGGAGCTCCAATGGAATGTAGCGACTTCAACGGAGCTGGACTGCACAAGAGGGCGGATACAATCGATCGGAATGATATGTCCAAAGTTTTGATCGAGGATTATAGATTGCTGGTTCAGTGGCCATCGTGCTTGGATACCTGCCAAGGGCTGCCTCAAATGTGTTTCTACTCGAAGTCCTTGCTCCGCAGCGCCTATTTCGATTGATTTGTGACCTTTGTGCTACCTTGCTCTGCTGCGCCACAGTCGATCCATTCCTCATTTGAGTCTTCTCCGCCGTGGTCGATGCGCTCCTCATGGAAGCTCGCAACTTTCCCCTGTTCCCTGTCATCGTCGGTCCTCCTCCCATGCAGATCCTCGCAGGCTTGTTCTCCTCTCGCAGCGCCATTTCGGTTCGCGTACATCCAATTCAGCAAGTATACCCATGTCACCACCACATCAAAGCACGCAGTCAGCACAAATGCCGCTGTACTCGCTTTCGCCACGGCCAGTGCGTCTTCTTCTTGCCAAAGTATCAAGAACGCGAAGCAAGACGTCAGCCCGATATATAAAAATGCGGCCGAGCCGAACCAGTGATCGTAAAGGCAGCTCGATTCTGGTGGAGAACCAATGTCCAAAGGAGGAGGCAGTGAAGCATCGTGCGAGGATACAACTGTTGGGTCCAGTTTCGGAGGCATTCCCTCGGACTGTGTTGGGACAACCGCGTTACCGTTGCTGCGGCTGATATTTTGCTCAGTTGCGGGAACCTCCTTCATTAACTCGCTGAAATATGCTTCGGCCTGGCTGTCCTTCTGAGGCGGTTGACCGAAAATTATGCGATGACTGAAGTCGTATGTGAACGGTCCGAAGGGAATCAGTAGGCACCCAACGATGGGGGAGAGGATGAGTGAGAGAACGGCGGTGAGAAATGACAGGAATGGGGACATTTTGATGTAATTGCTTCTGGACAAGATTCGGCGTGCGTTCTCGGATGTGTCGAGAGTTGTGTTTGAGATCTTTTCGAACGGCGTTCGATCTCTTGGACAAAACGAATAAGACAATGTTGCTGCTTGAGGGAGAGCAGATTAATCCCTACGGACGAAACGATCGATGAGGCTGCATGGTCGGTATAGTAGCTCACTAAATAGTGGACAGCAGCACTTCTTGGTTGGCGGCCTCAAATGCTTCGACTGCGCCATTTGCAAATCCTTGCTTCCATCGCAGTGCCTGACCGCCTTTCCACAGAGAACAAATTTGAATGTGCTCTCCGCCTGACAAGCCCTCTCCCGGATCTCTTTCTTGACGCGTCTCCTTCTCACACTCCGCAATGACATCTTGCGTCCTCTTATCAGTCCACGATCTTCTTCTCCTACACATGCGCCAGTACGCCTTTCTGATCACCAAGAAGTCCAAGCACAACGTGACAATGAACGCAGCGAAGACCTCTTTTGTGAAATTGAACAAAGTACCTCCCTGCGAGAACACTTTCTTCCAAGTGAAGAGGGGCGCAAGGACCGTGATGATAAGTGGTCCAGAAGCATACTCAAGGGTTGCGCCAAAATTCCATGCCTTGCTTCGTTCTCCTTCAAGGCTCATCCGCGCCACGATCCAATCCCTTCGCATCCTTCTACAATATCATAGCACCCTATCTCACAATCTTTCCCTTGACGCCTTCCACAGCCCAACACCAACCTATCAACAACCCATCCGTCGCCGAAACGATCCCCAAAGCTACCGCAGCCGCTTTCGCGATCGCCTTCGGACCACCACCTTGCACAAAAATTGTCCTTCTGAAAACAATGGTAAGAATAACATAGATCAAAAGGCCAGATGCAACCCAGAATTCGCAAGTGAGAGTCTTTCGAAAACGACTAGAAGAAGAAGCAGAAGGCTCCGAAGGTCTGGATGATGTCTCCATTGTGTATTTTTCTGGGCCTTGTTGCTTTGCAAGGATTTGAGGGCAGCTGCCACTTCCAGAATTGTCATCTTTGTTGTTGACATTGGCAATTTCGCTTTCTGCGCTGAAGCTCGCATTTTCGTTCTGCAAATTCTCCTCCAGCCGGCCAAATGCAATGTGCCGACTTGTCATGAACCCAATGAAGCGAGAAATCGCGGCAAGAATACCAAACGCACCGCAAATGAGTAGTAAGATGACTAAATTTTCATAGGGCAAGACGATCTGTGCGGGAGGTGCAGTGTGACCGCTGCCAAATTGAGGCGGCTTCATCCCATGTCCGTAGTGGTAGAGGTTGCTTTCGGCCATTGTTTTGTATTGTACTTGATGGTCTGCGTGAGCGATTCTGTAGAGCTTGAAGGAGCGGTTGACCCAATGTTGAGCTATGAGAAGTTCGATGCCGCTTATGACAATTGAAGAAAAGCGCCAGTCGCCACGAAGGAAACAACTCCCGGCGGCGGCCCTCTCCAAAGGGTGCGACACGAGATCAGCGACCACCTTGCCTCGTCTTCGCCGAAATCTATTCCATGTGCCTCACAATCCTCAACCCTTTCCGCATCTCTGAAGTGCTCCACTCCAGTCTAAGCCTTCCTCAATCTCATCTCATCGTCTAAACACAGCACCCCGCTTCCCAAAACATGTGCCCCTTATGCACCGCACAGTTAGGCAGACACCAATCAGCAAGAAATCCGTTGCCACCACGACACCAAATGCAATCAGAGCCGCTTTCCCCACGAATTGAGGACCTCGTTCCTGCACGAAACTTGCTTTCGCGAAGTAAATGTGCAGTCCGATATAGGCTGCAAGACCAACGAGGAGCCACAATAAGGCGAGCAATTCTCGCTTGCGAGGAGGAGGGGGAGAAGTCTCAGAAGCTCTGGTGTTCTCTGTCGTCGACAGCTCCGGGCGTTCATTTGGAGTAGCATTGCCATTGCCACTGTACGCCGGAGGATCATTAGACTCATCCTTGCTGCTGTTTTCGGCGCTGGCGCTGGTATCATGCGCAGTGACCTCGTTACTGGCGCTGTATGCCGGAGGGCTGTCGTGCGTGTCCTCATTGTTGCTTTCGGTATCGGCGCTGCTCTGACTGGTTTGAGGCTTTTGCACTGGGCCGAAGAGTACGTGGTGACTCCATGCGTATCCGGTGACGCGGGAGATGACAATGAGGATACCAAGTGCGCCGCTGCTAAGTATTGAGAGGATGATGTGTTCGGCAGTGCCGCCACTCTTTGCGGTAGCTGTTGTGGCAGGGTGCAGATCGTATTGAGTGATGACGGGGTTGAAGTATTGTGTTGTTGTGACGGGGTCCCATTTGTATTGGGTTATCGTGGCGGGATCCCACGTGTATCGGGACCAGTCGTAGCCATCATACTTGTCGTCGAGAAGATAGTCTGCATCCATGGGATCGTATGATATTTGCTATTGTTGTTGTGAGGATCGATAGTGTGGATGAGCAATTGTGCTGTGCTTGGGCGAAGAGCGTTTGTCGACACCCTTTCTGCCTCCAGGTATTTAGCCGTCTCGAACAATCTGAGTCCTGTCTGCGCCTTCGAAGCGACAATCCTTGAGGGCGGCCTCAAATGCCTGTCTACCAAGGGAAAGAAGCAGCATCCTACACCTTGCTTCACGCAGTAGTCGGACTGCGCCACAACAAAAGCGAGGCCGGGGCACCAGTGTAGCCTCACACGATCTGTCCCCTTTGACGCACTGCCTCAATGCTAAAAATCACCGCATAACATTCCGCAAATTGTGTTGAGCTAGCCGCAGTGCTTCAAGGACCGAGCAGGCCGCAGTCGCGTCAAGGTGATGAACAACACCAGTGTTAGTCAACGATCGTCGCGTCAGTCTTTTGTATCTTTGCTTCTCTCAAGTGACCACCTCACTGCACCGCTCGACCGGAGTCTACCCGCTCAAATGTCTCAACACTGTCGTGCGGTGTCCTTCTGCAAGCTTTACCCACTTCAAGCACGTGACGATGCTTGACCACGATGCAGACACCAAAGGCGATGATGACCTCCGTCATCATGGTACCAACAAAAGCGCCGACGCTCGCTTTCAATGCTCGACTATAAGTGTCTAAATCCGGAGTCTGAGTGAAAGTGACCGCGAAGATCGCCGAACAGCCAATGATGTATGCGGAAAAGAGAACCTTCCTGATTCTCCAGCCTGCTTTGCGGATCTCCTCAGTGTACTCTTGGTCCGAGTCGCCAGGTTGTGGCTTGCAAAGGTCGCAGTAGGCGACCTGCTTGATCGTCGACGAGAAAGAGAAGGCTAGTGGTAAGAGAAGTCCGGCGACGAATATGATTATTGAGATGGCGATGCAGTGGCCGAGACCTGGTCTCGGATCCGGCTCGGAGAGGTTCGATTCTGTATCGCGAACGGCAGCTGACATGGCGAGAGACTGTGTTCCATTGAGGTGACCGCTTTACGGATAATCAAGAAAGCAAAGTATGCAGATCTGATGGTCACAGAGGTTTGTGTCAGTACCATCGTATGCCTGTAGCACATCTGCATCGTGATGCAAATCGAATTGCCATAGGCTGTAGAGTGCCAAGACCTGGATCCATGGTTTCAAAGCGACAGCTGGGTCCGCGCTCGTCCGCTGCGACAAAACAGAGTTCAGACTTCTCCAAACGTCCAGACACATTGCAACGATTGGTCATTGGTAGTCCCACGGAGAGAGCCGGGGTGGCAATTGAGAAGGTTCGTTCTTGGCATGGCTGCACCTGCCAAGGTGCGACAAAACCATGGCTGCACCTTGGGTAAGGTGCCACCAAGGGGTGGCAGCACCTTGGTTTGGCTGTTTTTGAGCTGTACATAGAATCAGAATCAACAAACATACCCCCTCAACTTTGCTTGTTTGGTGTCTTGTTCATTTCCTGTCTTTTCTCACGGACTCTCTGGCCACTGTCTCGGTAACGCGAAGCTTGACTGACAGCTCCTAATAAGCTTGAAGAAGATATGTGCTCTGCGGCGCCCAACTCATCTGCTGCCATCACCCAGCTTGTTTGCAGTTTTACACGGTACTGATTTTAAAACCATGGGTTCTTGTATCTCATTGCCTAGACCTGCCTCGTATCATTTCGAACATTGCGAATCCTGTCGAATTGCCGATATGATGAGCGCAAGAGCCCCGCAACCCGGTGGTGGCTCCGACGACTTTGGCGAAGTTCCCCGAAAGAAGCGGCCAAGAATCTTAGTCCGATCACATACCAACGCAACCGAGCAACGTGGCCTAAAGTGGCACGATTCGTACCCTGCTGCCCCCAATGACGAAAATTCGTGGCCAAACGAGAACCAGGATTCGACAGATCGGTCCTTCGGGTGGTGGTCAGAAGATCGCGTCCGACCTAAGGGTGAAGATCGCAAAAGGCGGCCCTTCGCGTGGTGGGGAGACAATCCCGTCCTACGTACGGGCAAAGATCCCAGAATTGACCCTTATCCGGGGTGGGAAGGGCAATACTTCGCGAATGCTGGTCAAGATCCCAAAAATCAGCCCTTCGCGTGGTGGGAAAGGGACCACTTCCGGGGGACAGGCTGATGAGGATGCCAGCGAAGATGGCGAGAGGGAAACCAAGGATGTTGTAAGATGGTTGGGTGGCGTCGTCTCAAGAATCTCTGGAGAGTCAGACCACATCGTGCATGCCACCGCGTTCACACAGCCCAGCCAGAAGAGCAGATTGCGTGTAGCAGATTAAAAGACTGCGGAAAACCGGATTCCAAGACCTCTGCGGCCGATTCTGAGTAGAACTGGGAAAGCCGGTCTCCTGTGAGGCCATCTAGGTCTTGCGGATACGATGAAAGGCTCAAATTGCCATGCCGCGATTCATCAAGCGCCTTACTCATCAGAATCCCAAGCTTCTTCCCTCTCCTGCTCCTCTCGCTTGATTCGTCTGCGGTCGTCCTCATCATTCATCTTTGATCTCACTAAGACGCCACTCTGCAGCAGTCTCGCCTCCAGTTCACTCGTGGTGAAAGAATCGGGCTTGTAGCCAATGCCTTCGAAGCCAATTATTCTGTCCACAGACTTGCCATCTATAAAGGCAATAACACAAGGCAAGACCTTGATGTTGAGTTTGACCACGAGGAAAGGCGCATTTTCGACATTGATAGAAACAAATCTCGTGTCAAAGTGCTTCTCTGCCAAGATGGCCAGCTTCGAGTCCATGTAGCCGCATCTGTTGAAATCCGGCTTCATGAAGTGAACGATGCAGAGCTTTTCGGAGGTGGATATTTCCATCAGACTCTCTTCTGACTTGATTTCCTGGTAGGTTCCATGTGCGGTCTCCTTCATCAGCTTGGCACGAGAGACTTCTTGATGGAGTTGTTGCAAACGCTTCTCACGCAGAGCGGAGAACTCGGTATCTTCGTCATTTTCCAGCTCGGCGATCAGTGCATCCTCGTCGTCCGAGTCGGCCTGCCGCGAGTCGAGGACTTTGGCGACTTTGGCGTCGATTGTGGCCATGGTCATGAGGAGGAGGTGATATTGAGCTGTGTGCTTTCCTGCCCGCTGAGAGGACGAATCGTTCTGCTCGTCCGCAGTAGCGGCGGGAGTCGCCGCTATGCCGAGAGCAGGCAAGACCCGCGTCGAATGCTTGAGGAGAAGGTCGCAGCGGCCGAGGACTTGTAAATCGCACGTGCAAATGCAGAAGCTCGACTCCGCAGGAAGCTTGATATAAGTGAGCAACACGTGCAGGTGAAGAATTGTGTTGTGTTGTGCTATAGTATTCGGGCTCAACAAAAAGCTGCTTGCGCGTCGTCCATTTCCCCAATCGCGAAAGACACGAACTCGGCGGACCCTGGCCCATCGCCGCCCCAAAAGTCTACCTGGCCTGGCCTTGAGCCATCACCACCCCATTCAGCTCATCCACTATCTCTCCCGACTCTCCTTTCTACGACACTCCACCTCCAACTCCCCCTCCACCCTTCTCAGCGCTCCGCGCACACGTCCTCCACCACGACTACCTTCGTCGGCGTCCAGCGATCCCTCGGTCCCAGTCGAGCCTGGCAGAAGCCGAACCCCCTTCTCCCGTCGCGCGACCCATCGCCGCAACCACCGCGCTACAGCGACGTCCCATCCCAGCAGTACGACATGGCGGACGAGAAAAAGCGGGACTTCACAATAGAGCTGGGCGACCGCCAGCCAAATGGCCATTTCGAGGCTGCTCCGAGGCCAGTTGTGCCTAAGATGGCTGCGCCCGCGGCCATAGTCAACAACCCGCTCTTCTCCATTCTGGCATACTGCGGGAGCAGTATTCTCATGACGGTGTCCAATAAATACTGCGTCAATGGCACAGGGTGGAATTTGAGCTTCTTCTTGCTGGCCGTGCAGGTAAGTTCCCGATACGAGCTCGAGATAGCAGGGGTCCCCAAAGGCTAATTGTGTGCTCTACAGGCCATTGTGTGTATTCTCGCCATCTCCACTGGCAAGGCCATGGGATTCATCACATATCGAGGCTTCAACGTGGACGAGGCACGAAAATGGTTCCCTGTATCGCTCCTCCTGATCGGCATGATCTACACCTCCATCAAGGCCTTGCAGTTCCTGAGCATTCCAGTCTACACCATCTTCAAAAACTTGACAATCATTCTCATTGCATATGGCGAGGTGCTATGGTTTGGAGGCTCCGTCACCGGCATGGCTCTCTTGAGTTTCGGTCTCATGGTCCTGAGCAGTATCATTGCAGCATGGGCGGACATCACCCACGCACTTTCGTCATATGGAGGAACTGCGGTGACAGGCGAGGCCGCTGAGAAGATCGCTACTTTGAACGCGGGATACATTTGGATGGCCCTGAACTGCGTCTGCTCTGCCGGCTACGTGCTGGGCATGAGGAAGCGCATTAAGTTGACTAACTTCAAGGACTTTGACAGTGAGTATTGCAGCGTCGCAGCTGCTACACATGTACTGACCATGATACAGCCATGTACTACAACAACCTGCTCACGATCCCTATCCTCCTCATCGCTTCGCTTCTCCTCGAGGACTGGTCCGCTGCCAACCTGGCCGTCAACTTCCCACCAGGACGACAGCAGCTCATGATCGCCGCAATGATCTTCACCGGCCTCAGCAGCATCTTCATCTCCTACACTAGCGCCTGGTGTGTCCGTGTGACATCGTCGACCACTTACTCCATGGTCGGCGCTCTCAACAAGCTCCCCATCGCCATTTCCGGCCTCGTCTTTTTCGATGCCCCAGTTACAATGGCCAGCGTTTCGGCCATCTTCGTCGGTTTCGTCTCTGGTCTTGTTTTCGCACTTTCCAAAGTCTGGTCGAGCAAGAGCAAGGACAACGTCCTTCCCACAACAAGCGCGAGTGCGCAGAGCTTGAAGGACTCGCTAAAGTCATGATCGAGAGTACGCAAAGAAAGATGACCAGAGGAGTAAAATGATTGATTTTGAATGGGGCGGGCAGGCGAATAAGATACCACAGCAGTCAGCGGCATTTGGGGTGCTGAGGTCGGGATGTATGTACGTGGTCTGGCGTTGTTCTTAATATTTTGATTGGGAAATGCCCTGTGTAGAAAAATTGTCACCTCGAGGGAGGAAGGCTTGCATTTGGGGGTTTTGTTTCTTTTTTCGCATCGTTGTCTCAATGGGAACCAGACTCTCGGGAGCAGGAATTTCACAATTGGGAAGTTATATATTCGAGGTTAGATGGGAGAGTCCTGGCTCTCGGATCGTTCGTCGACAAAACCGCAGATTTGTGCAGCATCAGCAGCAGATTAGGGACTCCTCTAATGAAGGACACGGTACGTTGCTGTCTTTTCTTCGTTCTCGCATTCTGGGGAATTCACCTGGCTGGTCTCTTTCTGAGTCGATCTCAGTTCGAACAAAGTACTCCCTTCGCGGGGCATCGGCCTTGAAGACAATTTCACGAACTTTGGTATCCCGCTTGCTTTACACAAGCACGACCGCACTGGCCAAATGCAAAGGCGTTTTCAAGCTCTATGCCGTAAATCCGTGGAGCCTCAACGAGGTAGCGAAGAGATAGACGGTTACTGGGCCTTGCGAGGAAGCAACATGATGCGGTAGCAGTGCTTGGTAGACCGGTCTTTTACCACCCGACGTCGATACAGCATGCAGTCGTTGTTGGCGTTTTGCGGAGGCCACCCGAAGCATTCGGGGATTTCCTCCTCCGAACACATCCTGGCCGCTTCGCAGGCTCTCGCAGACCGCTACTGCTTTCGTGAGCTGTCACGCAGCATTGCAAGATCCTCGCCATGGCTCCTATTGCTGTACAGCTAACTCGCTGACTCGACGTTTATCGACAGCCGTGAATCTCGGTCAAACATTCTAATCTCCTCCCTGCACCCGCATGCTTTCCCAAATGCGGTGCTGCATCGTCTCCCTCCCATTGTCAATACAAGACAATAAGAGTTTATTGGTTCGTGGTCTTGCTGACGAACAATCGATCGTTGACATAGATCCGAGGATCGCGTCCGTGGCGGCCATGGACTATGATGGATGTCTCTCCCTCGCGGCGATGCTCTCCTATCTCATGGACGCGGTACTGCTGGAAGACGATCGGTAGCCCAAGTCTATCCAGCACAAGCCGTATAGTGTTGATTTGGTTGGGCAACGCAATGTTGCCGCCATATACCGCGGTCAGGACGATGCTTGTCGTGGAGTCCGGGGAAAGTCCCGCTTGCTTTCTCGAGTTGTAATGCTGAATGACCGATTGCATCAAAACCCGCACATTGTCGTCTCCGGGTACGGACTCTGTTCTAGGGGCAATGTGAGCGAGCACACTTCCGTTCCTGGAGACAATCGCCACAGCAGTACACGAATTCAGTCCTTCCGTGGCCAGAAATTGCAGAGTTGATGACCAAGCTCCAGATCTGACTTCGTTCATTGGTACCATCAAGGCGTCTGACTTGTTGCGGACTTCAAGGAGTGTGATGGCCATGCTTTTGTAAATTCAGTCAAGGTTGCTGGGAAGTGCATGATGACAGGAATGATTTGGCTGATTTATATTGTCAAAGTTGTTTCCTCGCGCCTGTGTCTGAGGCTGTCGAGCGATTATTCATTGGACATGAAATATTTGCAGAGGCACCATAGCACCTTTTTCCGACGCGTGAACCCTGGGCCTGTGCTAAATTTGAACGAGGCCTGAGCCTCGCCTCGCGCGACGCCACCTGAACCAATTGTTTAGCGCTTCGGCTTGGCACATGCCCGCCTCCACAGTGTATCTCACATCTCCCTCTCGATCCATGACACTTCCCTCACCCGCAGCCGGTCATCACACTTTACTTCTACTCAACACACTGGAATTTTGAAATCGCCATGGCATGGCTTAATACGGATATCAAGTCGACGCTAGCATCTCTTCCACCACCATCTCTGGACGAGTTCGACTTTGACGCTGTGTTGAATCCATCTGATCCTTCGCTGTCTGCCGATCATACAGTGCCTGCTGACGCCATGTCACTCAGTAAGGAGATCGAGGGTGCCTCAGAAGCGGGCAATCTTACTGCCGTGAGACAATCTCTCGCCGCATATCGGCAAGTGGTCGACAGGCCGGATCATCATGCCGCCCGCCGCTCTCTTCTCCTAGCCATCGAACATGAACATCACGAAATCGTAGCATACCTGTTGTCCGAAAACATACCAGTTTCCCACGTTGAGGTAAAACAAGCGGTCTCGAGGGGAGACAGAATCATCCTCAAATTGTTGTTCGAGCATGCGTGGGCTATCAACAAAGCATTGTCGTGGGATGAACCGCCAGCGCTCGCGTAAGAATGCACTCTCTTCCCAACTCATGTCCCGGGAAACGGCGCTCACTCGTTGTCAGATATGCTGTCACGGACGAGGATCTCACTGCGTGGTTCTTGACGATGGGGGCGGACCCCAACGCCAGCTGCATGATGGGCAGGACACCGCTATCCTCTGCTATTCAATATGCTTCCTTCCGCGTCGTCGAAATGCTATTCGATCACGGCGGCAACATTGAGCAAAGCTCGTTGCTCCACGCCGCCATCGGGCGTGAAAATGGGCGCGAGCGCGAGCAGATGGTCGAGTACCTCTTGCAAAAAGGCGCTCCGGTGAATGCGGTGCTGCACCAAGACGACAGGCCTGAAGCATATCGGATGCATGAGGCCTTCGGCCTAGGCACTCCTTTGCATTTCGCCGCAGCGAAAGGCTACGAGGACATTTTGAGACTTCTCGTCAGACATGGGGCGAAGCTGGACATTAAAGATTCTTGTGGACAAGTGGCGTTAGAAAGGGCGGAGATGGAGGGCCATGAAGCTGCGGCGCAGTTCTTGAGGGACCAGATCTCTCTTATGACAGCTCGACTTTGATGGTGAATCGTCCGAACGATCCAGGAATTGATGAGAATATCCAAACAGATATTGATTGCAGCCTCACATGAACACGAAGTGAAGCGGGGGCGGGGACGAGCGGGCGCGCTTGCGGAGAACACCACCACCACGCCACACAAGCCCGCAGCAATACGACAGAGATTCGCAAACATCTTGGGCAAGTGGATTGGCCCCCGGAACGCCCTCCTTCCTCACATCCGAGCAACGGAACGACTCCAGACGCCTCTCCCGAATAAATCAGTTGCTGCCTCTGCAATGTTGCGGGGCTGGTCTGGTGCCAAGTCTCCAATAGATGAAGCTAGGGCTTCGGATCGGCATGCCGGCAGACATGTCGTGCGGATATGTGGGGAAACAGCGTCACATTACCTCTCTTTTTCTGCTCTCCTTCTGCTTTCAGTCTGGAAACGCTCGTCTTGTGGGCGGCAGTTGCTTTACGCTACCTCCGCTCCCACTTCGCTACTGCAAGTCTGCAAAAGAATAATGTCGTTGACCGGAGATTTTGTACCAGACGAAACTCCGTCCTGTGGTACATGAGAACTTGCTACAATGGAGAAGAGATTACTCAACAGTCGACATGCTTTCTCCATGTTCATGAGGGGTACTCTTTCTCGTTCGCTCTGTTCAAACATCGTGGTGTCAAAGCTGCACTTCTTCCAAGACTGACACAAGTTGATAAGCCATTTGAAAAATCGATATGGATCCCACCGCTGTGGAGGCAGGTTCCTCTCGGGGTCTATACTTGCAGCTGCTTCTAGGCGCCGCGATCCTGTTCTACGTTGCTCGGCCACTCGTTGTGGCAGTAACGGATCCGCTCAGAAGAGTTCCGGGACCTCTAGCTGCGCGCTTCACAAAACTTTGGCTCGTCCGGCAATACGTCAAGGGCGACTTCCATAGGACGAACAGACAGCTTCATGCAGAATATGGTGGGTGGCTCGTAGGCATTACTCAATGGAGAGCGAGCTGATGGTTGATTTCGCAGGTCCCATTGTCCGCATTGCCCCAGGATACTACAGCGTTGACGACTTTGAGGCTAGCAAACAGCTCTACGGCCATGGCACCAAATTCACAAAGGTGAGTTCAGCGGCTTGAATGCCTTGCCAAATCCTGGCATCTCCGAATACTGATGCTCACTGATCCAGTCCAATTGGTACGATACCTGGGCCGAACCCAGCTGGAACAATGTTTTCAACGAGCGCGACCCTCACATTCACGCCCAAGACCGTCGCAAACTCGCTTCCTCATACGCCATGTCCGCGCTGCTCGCATACGAGTCTGGTGTCGATCAGTGCAGAGAGATCCTAGAGCAGAGTCTCACGTTGAAAGCGAAGATGTCCGCGAGTATTGATCTCCCACGACTTGCCCAGTTCATGGCTTTCGATGTCATCTGTCAGATCTCGGTATGCCTTGCTTCTCTTCAAATCGTGGAAGACCTTTTTTCGACTGACTCGGAAACAGTTCAACAAAATTCCTGGCTTCGTTGCCAAAGAAAGTGACATCGACGGCTGCATCGAAACCCTCGACACGAGACTTTTCATGAGCACAGTTGGCGGACTCTTTCCCCGCTTACACAGAGGCGTTCTCAAAACCTTCCAATTCTTAGGACTACCGAATCCGATGACAAAACACCTGCTCAAATGGGTAGACCACGAGATCGATCGAAGACGACAAGAAAAGTCCAGCGGCGGGAATTTCAACTCAACTTCTTCGGATATGGTTTCGACATTGTTGAGTGCAGCCGAGAATCAGTCTGGGCGCATCACGGATACCGAAGTCCAGCGGGCTGCGATGATGAATGTTTTTGCGGGGTCGGATACTACCAGTATCGCGTTGACATCGATTCTGTTCCATGTCTATCGGAATCCGAAACATCTGGAGAGGTTACGACAAGAGCTGGAAGAGGCTGTACAGAATGGGACAGCATCGGAAAACATCACCTTCCAAGAGGCTCAGAAGCTCCCATTCCTCCAGGCCGTGATCAAAGAGGGCATGCGTGTCTTCCCATCTGTTGCACTTCCCATGCCACGTGTCGTGCCGGCAGAAGGATGCAACATTGCTGGAGTCGAGATCCCAGCTGGCGTAAGTCCTAAATTCGTATCACACGGCCACCTTCTCTCGCTAACGATCGAACAATAGACCGTCGTAGGAATCAACCCCTGGGTCGCACACGCGAACAAAGACGTCTTCGGACCAGACGCGGAATCTTTCGAGCCTGACCGATGGCTAGGCGAGAAGACTTCGATGCAAGACGCCTACAATCTCACAGTAAGATGTCCACACATCGCCCAAATTCTTTTGTCCCTATGTCTAACACTTGGATTCAAAATAGTTCGGAGCCGGTTCTCGCACCTGTCTCGGCAAAAACATAAGTCTCCTCGAAATCTCAAAGATCGTACCGATGATCGTTCGTCGCTTTGATTTGAACTTTGGAGATGTGACGGAACTGGAAGGCTTGAATCGCTGGTTCGTCAAGGCGGATAAGGTGTTTGCGAGAGTGACTTTTGCTTCGAAGTAAATGCTGAGGCAGGTTGCGAAGTTCTTTTGATTCCTCACCAGGGCTACTATATGCGATAATCCACTTTCTGCCCGCACACATGAGCTTCCTGAGCACTTCAGTCGAGCTCCTTGCTTGCATAATATACCGTATTGCGGTTCCATCCTTGTAGAACGCCGTTCGCCATCCCTACGCTATCATTTCCCTATGCACATGCGTTTCAATACGAAAACCAAGAATGAGGCTATGTGCAAATGCTTTGAGACTCAGATCTCTGTGATTTTCTTTTCAACTCTGACTGTTTCGTCTTCCCAGTCTTACGACTTCATTCCGTGTTGGCGCTTTCCCCGGCTGGCAAGTTCTCTGTCTCTTTGTGTCAAAAGCCACGGTCGCATGTGTTGCGTCGTTCCAAGCAGGTTTACGTCTACTCGCGGTGGCTCGCTGGCTTAGCTTACTTCGCCGGTCCGCCGGAGTGGAAAAGCAGTCACGGCGACCAGCTTGCAGATTCGATGCAGATTTGCGGGCCCGAATGCGCCGATCGCTTCCAAGATCGTGACTGCGGGTAGACTCACAATGACAAGGCCCATAGCTGGTTGTCACAAGAAGTGCTATCGCAAATGCCATAGCACGCTCCAAGAGATTCAGGCTTTCGGCTCCAAAGAGCCGGGCTTTAGAAGTCGTGTCGACACCAGGTAGCATCCTGAATAAGTACTTTCGAACGATCCGACTTCAGTCCCCTCATATATCGATGTCGGCCGCCTCATCCTGCCACATCCGCGGGAGGTAGAACTTGACGTTCTCGTACACCAAGAAAGTCACACAAGTGCTCGGCAGGACTCTCACCAAATTCGGCCCCAGCCCCTTATAGAACCCCGGTAACCCCTCATTGCGGAAAACCTTCGTCACCACATCCCATGCCCCATTGTATCTCTTTGGCGCATCGTACGTTTGCAAGCGCGCTCGCACCACTTGATAAGGATACGTGATACTCCCGGCGAACATTTTGCTAACAGCGGACAATTGGAGGTAGTCAAGATTCGTCAACCCTACTTTGCCATTTTCGCGATGCAGCGCCCATCGATTCTTCAACTGTTCATAGGCCATGAATTGGATCGCGCCATGGCTGACGCCAAAGAGGCTCGGAAGTAGGCCGCGGTAGAAGCCGCGAAGGCCTTCACTTTTGTACAGACTCGCAGTTCCGGATGCGATGCTCTTGTATGCGCCTGGTGCATTACGTGCCGTGCTCAACATTCGCGTTTTGATGACCCAGATTGGATTTGTAAAGACGGCAGTCAATATCCCACTGATGCCCGAGGCGAGGAAATAATCCGAGCTATTCAGTGTCGATTGGCCTGTACTGCTGTGTCGTGCCGCACGCACAAGGTCTTTGATATTCCCGTACCACATGAAGTACAACGCCCAACTGACTGAATTGCCTATCATGTTCGGCATCAAGCCTCGATAGAATGCTCGGACGGTCTCTCCGGACTGGGTGAGGGCGCCGCGATAAGCTTTGGGCATATCGGGAGAGGTGCCATGGACGGCTTCGGCGGCGATTTGGCGAATGACACGCCATGAGGCGCCTCGACGTGAGCGAAGTTGTTGTCCATTGTTGCTGCTGCTGATCTCGTTCTGCTCGATTTGTAAGCGGGTCTTGACGACGTCGAATGGGTGGACGACGAGGGTGGAGACGACGCCGGCAGTGAAGCCTGCTACCGATTCGACTAGGGAGGGCGAGATGTTGACTGCGGGCTGCCGGCCTTCGAGGGGAGGGTAGACTCGAGGCATGACGTGGGAGGAGGAGCTGGAGCGGAGTGAAGCCTGAAGTGCCTCATGCTTGCATAGTCAGTCGTGGTTGCCGGTTCGGCTTGTATATCGATGTTGGATGTTCTGGTGAATATTGTTTAGTGCACCAGACCTGTAATTAGGTCGGTATGAGGTGAACAGAGGCAGCGTGGTGGAGCTCTATGGTCGAAGCTTCGTAGCGCCGCAAAGCTCAAGCGTCGTCATTTCGGCGGGCGGTCGGTGAAGCGGAGCGGAGCGGGGGCCGAGAAAACCTTGGCTAAATGCTGCGATGTCCCGACTGCGCTTGCAGCTCGCCGTAGTCGTGTCGAAATGTTCACTTGAGAACAAATATTGCGTCGACACAATTTGGAAACGAACAATCAGCCAGAATGTCCGAACCAGCAGGACAAGCCTCGAATACGAGCGCAAACAACGAAGACAACGCTCCTCCATCAGGTTCGCCTCCATTCTTTCCTCTTCGAAGCCAAAATTAATCCATCCACTCCAGATTCTTCTTCCTCCTCACAAAAGACATGCGCCAACTGCAATAAAGCCGAGACCTCCACATCAGAAGACGAGCCTCAAATTCTCAAGCCTTGCACAATGTGCCATAGCGTCTCATACTGCTCTCGCGACTGCAAGAAATCACACGCCAAGAAACACAAGAAGGTCTGTGCGGGACTGGCCCAGGAATATGCAAAGACTGCGCCTGTGAAGATGGCGTCGAGAGCGCCACCAAAGGCGGATACCTTCCGCGGTGGGCTACAGAAGTGGCAATTTGATACGTGAGATGGTCGTTTTTTTTTTTCGATTGAAGAGGTGTTTCGGGGCTGTGGCGTTCACGATCTGGTGGGATCGGAATGAGGAGGGAGAGGGTGGTTCTACGAGTGCATGAGATAATGGCGATGAATCAGAGTAGCAGCGCTGGAGACCTGCCATGTACTTCCATCGGACGAATACGACGATTTCGCAACCGATATCTACATCCGATGGCTCACAACGAATCGATCCGCGAGAAAGCAGCTCCTAATAAAAGCTATACATTTGCGTATCTCCACAATGAGTCACTCCAGCTCGGCCTTTGCAGACTTATTGGCTTGACCTTGACAATCTTCAGCAGAGTTGGAATGACGGAATTGAACTCTGTGGATACGTCTATAAAACCTCTCTCTCTAAACAGGCTGTCTCCCACAGACAATCCTTAGCCTCGCGGGCTCGGCCCCGTCAACATCAACAGAGAAACGTCGAGTAAAACACAAGTGAAGTATTCACGGCTCAGGTATCTCTACTGAAACAAACACAAAACGTCCGCTGCGATACTCAGCATAATTGTCGTGGTCAGGACCGGTTACCTCGAGAAGTGTTGTGATCAACCATCCCCTCTCTACTGGGCGAACTACCCACGCTGGCGTCTGCTGATGGATAGAGTTGATGTGGGGGAGATGGCGAGCGGCCGAGAAGTGGCAGACGTGGTGCCTCTCCATGTTCTAGTATTTACGAGTAATTTCGATTGATCTCCAGGGGTGGCAGCGTTCAGCCGCAGAGCGCTCGCGGAACTGGATCCACTGCGTATCGACTCGACTCTGCTAGCAGCATCGTGCTATTTTGCTGTGGAGAGTCTGGCTCAGGAGCTCCAGAACGAAACTCACTGTAGAAGCAGCGGGAAGCCACTGCCACGAGGAAGGTTTCATTGGTCTTCTTGCAGCTGTGTGGCCTGCCCTTCCATGCAGAACACCAAATTTCCAGGATGAAGACGATAGACTCCGGAAGATAGTGAGCAGACGGCCATCGCTGAGCTTTTGGCAGCTAGGCTCACAGTGTTGAGATTTGGTAGGAGATATTTCGATTTCAGTCTGCACATATAAAGTGGAACAATTTCTCACGTCTTCAATCTCAGCAAACTACTCTCACAACTGTCTTCTCCTTGCTCTGTCCTGGAAGTGCTCGACAATAATGCTAACTTCGAATAGCTCTGCAAGCTTCTAATGATCCAGAGACGTGATTTCTAGTCGTCCATGTCTCAAGCAGCCTACGATACTAAGGTAGCTGAGCAGCTTTCGTTTAGTTGGCCCCATGGACTTTCATTTTCCGAGAGATACGTATCCCGAGAATGAAAAGTCTCGAGCGGTCTGCCATACGGACGTTGCCAGGTATCTTGCTTGTTATTGGCCCGCTAAGCTTTCAGGTTCCTAGAGACGTAATCTTCGAGCCTTAACATGTAGAAACAGAATCAATGAAAGGCTGATGAAACGCATGCCAGCAGCATTTTCATTGCCAAGAATTTATTTACTGTTCATTTCACACCTTCATTCTTCGGACAGCGTATGCTTGCTCTCATTTTCATGCAACACACCGATACCAAAAGGGAATACGCGCCAGCAAATTTACTCCTCCATCGTCAAGTCGATCACGACCTTCTCAGCCTCCTTCGCTGACTCGACCCTTCTCTTCTTTCTCCTCGGACCCTCCCTCGTGTCTGGTGAATGACTCTCTAATCGATATCTCAGTTCTCCGTATGGCATGGCTTCATTAATGGCTGGGGTGAATTGCATACCGACTAAAATACTTGCTGTTTCGGCCTCTCTAGATCGAGGACCGGTCGCCATCATCTCGGGGTTCCAGGTTGGCCGAGTACTTCGAGGGACATTTTTGTTGCCAGAGTTACGTAAAGAAGTCTGCTGGGAGATTGAGGAGGAGAAGGTGGGAGCCTCGGGAGCGGGCACAAGGTACGCGAGTTCGCGGTATTGCGCGCGAGCTGTGGTCGCAGTACCAGAGGAATGCTGAGGTCGGGGTTTGGCTGCACTTCGTTGCACTGCGCGGCGGGAGGGCTGAGCCTCGATCAACTTATTGCCATCATTCTTCCACTTGTTAGCTTCAATTCACAGATGTCGAGTAGTGGTTGAAGACTTGTACCACGTCATTATCGTTTGGTACTTGCTTCACTCATGCTGGGGTTTTCGCCTCTTCGCTGGTGGCACGAGGCTAGGCGCGCTTGACGACTGAGAGGGTTTCTTCGCAAGCTCTTGTTGCGCATCAACTTCGTTGACACGTGATGAAAGAGATAGTTGGAGGACTCCGTCACTTACCTCCGATGTAGCAGCAGCTGGTTGAGCCGAATCGCCGCCTTCCCCACGAGCGCGTCGCCAGTTGAATGGCAACTCACCGCGGACTGGTCGGTGGTCTCGCAGCTTCTCCATCTCGAGGAGGAATGGGTTGAGTATGGGCGCTTTCTGCATTTGGCCCCTCGTAAACTCAATCTGTCGACGCGCCTCTGAGCCAGTGTAGCGAATCAATTGGCGGGTCACATCGCTGGTTTGGTGCGCATCGCCAACCTCAGTGGTGTTCGCGCCGCCGTCCATTGCAGCGTTACTTGGATCGCCACTGGAGGCGGACGGCCTGTCGCGTGCAGACCGCAGTTGAGGAGCCACACGCTGGGAGCTATCTTGCCTACGCTCCCCGAGCAAAGGCGCGGCTTCCTGCGAGCTCTGGGGCGACTCTGGGATTTCAGGGCTGGTGCGGCGCGGTGGCGACATGGTTGGTGCGAGCTGTCGTTTCGGCGCAAGCTGGCGGCGCTTTGTCTGCGAATCTGCGCGCGCTGGCTGGGTTTGTCGCGTGAGGTATTTTTCCATGGCGATGGATCTTGTGGGATGTTGTGATGTACAAGTGCGCGCTGCCAGTGGCGTCTTGTACAGTGGGATGTTGAAGTGAACAAAGCTGGTGTCGGGGGCCAGCTTTGTTTTGAAGACAAAGTTCGTGTCGGAGCGCGAAAGGAACAGCGCAGTAATGTGCCGTTTGCACTGGCGAGATTTTAGCTGTTGCTGGCCGTTGGCGCGCAAGTGAAGTTCGCTTAGCCCGCCATGTCACGCGCCTCATCATTCACGGCCGCGGACAAACGGCCCGCGAAGAAAGTGAAGTGCGCTTGCTCCCGTCATGTCGCGACTCATCATCCGCGCCCTCGTGGTTGCGGATGGAAGATTTCGATGTCAATGTTGCGCTGCTGTTGTAAATGTCACTGTCCGGCTCCCAGGGCCAGCATCGTGCGTTTTGCTGCTTGCAGGACCGAGATTTTGGTGGCGGAGGTGGTTTTTCCAGCAGTGTCTCATTGCCTGCTGCAGCCAGCGAGAATATTTATAAGTCATGATTTAAAACTATAATGCCTCTTCTTTCGTAGGTGGTAAGCTACTCCGTAGTCAGAAAACATCTGAACAGATGAGATGTAGCCACATGAAGTACCTACTACACTGTTTGCTGTAAACAAGAGGGCGCAGGTAAGACACGGCGAGGACAACAAGACGCAAGTGTGTCTCTGCCGTTCTTTCTCGACCCGTCCAGAAACCTGTGCTGCATGATGACCTATTGGATTCGTGAGACATGGTGGCCAGGTGCATCGTGCCCAGGACTGCGACGGGCTATCCAGTGGCCTTGCAGCCATTCCTCCACACTCGCACCTGTTCTCATCGTGGTTTGGGTCTCAAAAGCTGCGTAAATTGCACGGCTATGGTATCATTCCCTCTGCTTCGTGCGCCGGACGCCTCCGGTTCATGCTCTTATGTACACGTGCCGCAGTTGTCGGCACCTCTCCTGCCTTCGCAGCTCCGCGATGCTTCTCCTACGCCACATCTCTGTCCCTTTCCCGCTCAATGGTCCCATGGGTGTCGCATGCCGAGTAGTACAGGCAGATCGTATCGTGCGCGGTAGAACAACTGTTCCATCGTCAGTGATGTCCCGTCACGCAGGAGTGAACGCAACACGCACGAAAAACCACATTGATGCTCCCAATCCGACTGCTGCGAATCTGTAGAGTGGCCGCGCTGGGTGGATGTGGATTGGGTGACCTCCGTGTCCGCCGGCCGGGCCCTTTGCTGCTGCTCTGAAAGGAGTGGCTATCGCGTGTCAGTGGCCGGCTTTGTCTCCAGAGTGACCGTTCACTCACGTCTCATGTTGGGCTTAAATGTGCTGCACAGCGGATACAGTCGTGGTAGAGAGCTGCGGTGTCAATGGTGAAGTTGAAGGACGATTGTCCGAGGAAGGTCTGCCGAAGGCGGCCGCGTTTGTGGCAGCAGCGATTGTGGCTTGACGGCTTGGTGGTGCGATCCCGCGAACCCTTGTTCACGATTGAAGCAGCGCGTTAAGATCTCCACAAACGCCAACTATCGCGCACGCTACTTTCTCGCCATCCCGGACATATTACATACCACCAGGACGCTCGATCGCCGCCTCCACCTCATGCGCCCAATCTTCGACTGCCTCTCCCATGCGGCTCCCTCTCGTTTTCCGATGCAACACGCCGCTACCAGCACGAGCGCGACAATCACCACGCGCCTCATATCCTTGAGCCTGGACGGCGGACCTCATTAAACTGCCTGCGCAATTACTGCACCTTCGCACAGCTGCGCTCACATCGTCGCCATGTCGCGCAGCGCATCGCCGGGCGTGTCCGGCCTAACGGATCCGACCCAACGGCGATTTCGAGGCAGCGCAAAGATTTCTGAGTATGAGATTATGAAAGAGAAGTTGGGAGAAGGCACATTCGGCGTGGTCAGCAAGGCCAAATCAAAACGTACAGGCGCCGTTGTTGCGCTGAAGAAAATCCTCATGCATAACGAAAAGGAGGGATTCCCTATCACGGCGTTGCGAGAGGTCAAGCTGTTGAAGATGCTCAGTCATCCTAATATCCTGCGACTGGAAGAGATGGCTGTGGAAAGGCAGCAAGGTAGGGTATCGTTGGCATCAACCAAGGGAGCTCGATGCTGACATGGTTTTGCAGGCGACGACAAGGGCAAGAGCGGAAAGAAACGCGCCACGCTTTATATGGTCACGCCATACATGGACCACGATCTCAGCGGCATGCTGACGAACCCGGACATCCGATTCACAGACGCCCAAGTGAAGTGCTACATGCTACAGCTGTTGGAAGGCGTGCGATATCTGCATGATGTGAGCGCTGGCCTCTTACTAAATATCTGCATGCATTCTGACGATCACTAGTCGCACATCTTGCATCGAGACATGAAAGCTGCCAACATCCTTATCTCTAATAAAGGCATACTGCAAATTGCTGATTTCGGCTTGGCACGACACTACGAGGGCGAAACACCAGTTCCCGGCCAAGGAAACGGCAAAGCGACAAGAGACTACACAAGCTTAGTCGTTACGCGTTGGTACAGGCCGCCAGAGCTTCTGCTGACCCTGAAGAGATACACTCCCGCGATCGACATGTGGGGCGTTGGGTGCGTATCGCATATCGTGCTGAAGTTTCAGATGCTAACTCAATGCAGATGCGTGTTCGCAGAAATGTTCGAACGAAAGCCTATTCTAGGAGGCGCATCAGATATTGATCAATGCGTCAAGATTTTCAAGCTTCTTGGCTCGCCGACGCAAGAAAGTATGCCTGGCTGGAATGAGCTTCCTGGTTGTGAAGGTCGAAATACCTGGGACAAGCAGCAAGGTGATATCGATCAACGATTTGGACGCCTAGGTCCGGAGGGACTGCATCTTCTCAAGTCTATGCTGTGCTTGGATTGGAGGAGGCGAATCAACGCCATCGATGCATTGCAGCATAAATATTTCAAGGTCGCACCCTTGCCTCTCAAGCCGGAAGACATCCCACGATACGAAGACAGCCACGAATTGGATTCGAGACGACGTGGCAAGCAGGAGAACCAGCGTGCTCTACCTCCCGCCCCCGCTGGTGGAACGGTCGGCATGGGACCAGATGAATGGGGTCATGGCCCACCCAATGGCTCATACCAAAATGGATACGATAGAAGTCGAGGCTATGGTCGCGAGCGAGGGGCACCAGCCCGTTACGACGATCGGAGGCAGCCACCTCTTCCACCCGGTGGTGGCCGACAGCCTACACACCGCGAACGAGATCCTCGAGATCGTTTACCTGCGCCTCCGAATGGACATGCGCTGCCCCCGCGTCCGGATGGCCTGCCTCCTCGGCCACCGGTCGGCATGGCAGATAGAGGGCCTCCACCTGGACCACCGCCGGCACGACGAGATTTGGGACCAAATGTCGACACATACATCCCGAGCTACCCGAGCGGTGGTCGTCAATATGATAGCAGGGCGCCGCGAGACGACTATGATCGCCCACCACGTCGAGATAGCCGGGAGCGCGAGCCAGGCTACAGAGACTCCGATGTTCCGCGATATCGCGACGCGGATGCTCCACCTTCCCGACAGTATCGGGATACGGACGCGCCGCGACCTGATGGACGAGACGACCCATACCGCGAGCGTGACCGACGCAGAGATTATCCTCCTGACTCACGGCGCACGAGAAGTCGTAGTCCAGAGAGGGAACGACGAGAACGAACAGAGAGATTGCAGCACAGGGAGCGGGAATTATACCGGCGGTGATTTGGGCGGTACTTGGTGAATTGTCGTTGATTAGTGTAGCGTTCTAGCGTAAGAATTCGTAGCGCGAAGCATGCATGTATATTCTTCGGAGAATGAAAAGGACAGAAGTAGTTCTATCTCGAAGCTTTTGCTGAGATCTCTGCCGTGACCAGAGCACTCACTCGCAATTCTGGCGGATACGAGCTTCTAGATATCTACGAATTAAATGGTACAATTGACAGAGTGTACACTGTCGATCCAATTGTAACTCGATCGAGCGAACGTCCATTCGACTCGTCATAGGCTTTTTGATGTTGGAGATGCGGGTGAGTGGGCCGATCGTCCCGCAACTCAATCTGCGAATCTTGCAGCACTGGTCTGAGCTTTCTTCGCATCGTTACTGACGACATAATGAACGCGATGGCAGAGGAGGAAACGGGTCGTGTGCGTGCAGCCATGACCTCGCCGCCGCGAGCTCATCATTACACCTCTCTGCATTCCTCTTTTCTCGACCAACCACCAGACATATGACCCTACGGTTGGCTCGTCCGGTGCAACGCCTGTTCACCATCACAACATCGACAACTCGATACACAAACACGACCTCGCGTATTACTTTTCCGCGTTTCTGCACATCAACCCCACTCTCGAAGAGAACCTTCGCGAGCACATCAGCCATGGCGAACGAAGTCAAGCACGACAACAAGGAGCCAGAGAAAGACGAGTCGGGCATCGAAGAGTGGAAGAAGCGAGCTCCGTACAAGATCCATGACAAGAACGAGGACTTCAAGCACCTCTACGAAGCATCTTGCCACTGTGGTGCTGTGCAGTACGAGTTGAGCAGAAAGGAGCCATTGGACAGCAAGCTCTGCCATTGCACGACTTGTCAAACTCAGCACGCTGCTCCTTTCCAGTGGGCTGCTATCTTCAAGAAAGACGACATCAACTTCAAGAACGGACATCATGACTTGGAGTGGTACGACCCGACCTCCAAGTCCAAGGAGCACAAGCTTCCATGCAAAGTGAGGTGCAAGCACTGCTACAGTCCCATCATGGACGAGGGACGCAACATGATCTTGCTGTTTCCAAGCTTGATCAAATTCAAGTCGGATCAGGAGAAGGCGAACTTCAAGTGAGTGATACTGATACTGATGAATTGTGAGCCTTACTAACACGTCTACCTCCAGGCCGAGACTACACATGTTCTACGGGCAGCGTGTCATGGACGTGCCAGACGGACTTCCCAAGTGGACTGGTCTGAACGAGGGCGAAGGCTCCAACCTCATCGAGGACAGCCCGCCAGACATGGTCAAGGAGCTTGAGCGGAAGCGCGTGCAGGAGCAGAAGGACCGTGTTGAGAAGGGTGAGAACAAGGCTTGACTGCCCAAATTGTGATGAGTTGTCTGGCATTAGGAAAACAGAACCGATGAGATGTTACGAGATGATGAGTGAACGGAACAGACTTGGAAGCGTGGAGTTGAGGAGTCGAACCTGCTGAGGAAAGCAGCATTGGTGGCATAACGAGCTTTCGAGAAGCTCCAAAAGCCATCGCGTCGTGTGCAGCCACAGCGCAGAATCGCAGAATGTGAATAGAAACACCACAATATGAGGCGTTTCTCATTGGCTTTACAATAGCGCCATTGTTGCGCAGCTCCTTCACTTGACGTACTATTGTCACTTGCAGCTGCCTCTCTTGACTTCAGAATCCTTTCCGTGGCACTCTAGAACACTCACTGATTACCATCTCGTTCTCAGCTTTCCTGACATAACACATCTTACAATCATTCTTCATCAAGTCGTCCACATCGTGCGCTTTCGGATCTGCGCAGACACATATCCCCACGTTCTCCACGGCCGACCACAACGCCAAGCCCGTGTCGACTTGCCGTAAGTTCAACCTCCAATCTACTTGCGCTCAGACAGTAGATCGCGTCCATTCACAGACCAAAGAATAACCTGACCATGGCAGCTTACACTATCATCAATACCTGGTCGACGCGCAACCAGTATGACTGGTAGGCGCGGTAAGAAACGTTCTCTGCCAGAAGATTCCGGACTACCGAGAGGTCGTCCTCCGAAGAAACGCGCCACAGGCCAAGGCAAAGCACCAGAACAGCAGTCTACACAAGAAAGCGTGGACTCTCAGCAAGAGTATAGAGCACGATCGATTATCGCTGAGAAAGGGAACAAGTACCAAATTGATTGGGAACCCGATTCACAGACTGGCCAGCAGTACCAACCTACGTGGGAACCAAAGGCAAACGCGAACGATCTATTGATTGCGGACTGGGAGAGGCAGAAGGCTGCGAGAAAAGCAAAAGAATTGACCTTAGTCGGTACGTGTGAATCCTTCACGTGTTTCTGCTGGGCTGCAACTGATGCGCCATAGGTTCCAGCAACTCCAGCGCACCCGCGCTACCACCAAAGAAGAGGGGCCGCACGCGCAAAATTGTCGAGAGCTCACCGCCTCGTTCTACAGCGCAAGACATTGCTACTGCGAGTCAGATTCAGCTCAGTCGAGAGTTTGCTGCAGCCATCGATTCTGGAGCGCAGACCACTGACGCGGAACCTGAGATCGCACCATCGCAGCAGACTGAAGGCGGCGCTGAACAAGTCGCGCCACGGGCAAAGGCATTCGTCGAACCCTCAAGTCCACCTTCAAGTTACCGGGCTGGACAGTATCAGAAGTTCTCTTCTTCTCCACCTACGACCAGGGACGAACCGGAACCGTCGCAGTCGCAGTCGCAGCATCAGGATCCATCTCTTGAGGTCGCTGAAAGCAGTGCGTTGAAAGACACTGCTCAGCATCCGCCTGCACAGTCCACTCAGAGGAGCAATAACGACACAAGTCTGGTCATCCCGGACTCGCAGAGTCAAGAGCAACTACTCGAAGAGTCTACCTTCAGAGGATTTTCACCTACTCAGACGCAGCGACCTGTGCCTACACAGGACTCTAACATTGGTGAACAGTCTGCGCAAGCGACCAAGAAAGTCATCAATCAAGCTGCGTGTGCTTCAGAGGCGCAAGAGACAGAGCCCGTATCTTCGCAGCATACTAGCCAGGACGCAGCGCCTGGCTTGGAATCGCAATCTCAACGACTGCAGTCAGGAGCAGATTTTCCTGTCGCAACATCTCCCAAGCACGATCAGGTTGCAGAGGAAGCTTCCGGGCAAGAGTCGCACCCACATCAGGCACATTTACATTCAGGCCGACGCACATCATCGATTGAGCAGGCCAGTCACCAATCAGCTGCTGATTCACTCGCCGAGCCACAAGCACAGTCTGGTGCATCAGAGCGGCCTCAAACTCAAGGCCAAAGGCATACGCAAGATTCTCGACATCGAAAGGAGCTCAACGGCACCGCTCCGTCTGAAGCTGATCCGAAGCCTTCCTCAATCGGAACAACATTTGGCCAGTTGAGCAGCAACAGCGAAGCAAGATCTGAACCTGTAGAGCCTTCACAGGTTAGCAGCGCAGGCGCAAACCAGGTCATTGTCATCTCAAGCGCTGAAAATACAAGCGGTCAATCTTCGCTGAATTTTGATTCGTCAGTTCGTCCAGCAGACTTCGAGCCACCTCCAGCTGCCCAGCGTCCACCTCTATCTTCGCCTGCAAAGGACGACAACAACCCTATACACGCCTCTGGTGACTCGCAAGCAGAAAGCCATCCTCCATTCACTCAGCAACAAAATCACGGCACTTCCCAGCTCGAAACGCCTGCAGGTCTTACTCAGAGCCAGCCACAAGTACGGACTAGGCACATTCACTACTACGGCACATCACAGTCAAGTCCTGGATTTTTGACGCAGATACCGCCGCACAGTCCGCCAAAGAAGTTTGAGTCGGCCAACGCAGACTTTAGTCCAGCAAGAGCGCGATCTGTCACGGAGAGCCCAGTCAGAGCCCGGTTCATCACCGCGAGTCCAGCGAGGTCACCTAGTGTCGTCTCTTCGCGCCAAGCTGATTCGACACCATTTCCATCTCTTCCATCGCATCCTCTTGGGCCGGTTGGCGAGAGCGCTCCACAACCTATAGTGACATCTTCCGACATGGACGGCTGTCCAATAGCAAAGCGAGAGACTCTCGCAGAGAAGATGAAACGGACGCGAGAAGCACGAGCTGCCTTACGCCAGTCCACCACTCCTGCTCCTAGCGCGAATGGCTCTGTGATAAGCAACGGCCAGCCAGTATCCGCACTGCCTCCGAATGTCGTCGCTCGCTTGGGCTCCCCTCTGCTCTCTGCACACGAAAGATCGCCTTCGACGATACCGGCTGTAGAAGCAGTCGCACCGATTACTCGGGAAGAGATGACGACCTCCGAGAGATATGACACGCTGTTACCAAAGGCTCAGAATGAGACTGTAAGCCATGTCAACAGCACTCTTGGAGCAAGCACTGCTTCAGAGACGCAGGCTGTCGCAGATCCGGAGACAGCAGGGATTCACCTGGTGCCTGTGGGTCCGTCGCCTCAGCAGCGAGACCAGTACCAGAACAACATCTACTTCGATCGCGAGCTTACTGCTAAGGTACTCGCAAAAGAAAGCCTGGATCATGAGCTTCTGGATCGTGCAAACGCCTTTTTGCAGCGCTTGAGAAACACCGCTACGCACCCGGACCTGATTAACCCTGAGACTCTATCTCAGAAGGCTGAGAACGAAGTCCAAGCTAGATGGGATATTTCTTGCAGTGCAAAGTTTGGGTTTCTAAACGAGTTCATTGCCAATCTCTCAGACCGGAACCTTCACATTGCGGTTGTAGCACATGGAGACAGGATTCCGAAGATGCTTCAAAACTTCTTGCAAGGCATCAAAGTGCCCTGCAAGCGATGGGCGCATCCTACAGAAGAGGATCCTGATGTTGGTCCGGCCAATCTTGGTCTTAAGGTCTCCATCGTAGATCTGGACTCGCAAATCGCCCAGCAGGTCCTGCAGCCAGCCGATGTAGTCATTGCGATGGATCCTCTGGTTGACCACCAGCATCCTTTGGTTCGTGCAGCACGTAAGCGAACCTCAGTCGGCGACGACAATGCCAAGTGGGTGATGCTACTGGTTCTGGTTATGCCACGCACCATCGAACACTTGGAGAAATGCCTGCAAGCAGATATGTCGCCTGCCGCTCGGACGAAACTGCTTGTAAAAGCGACGCACGAAATGAGAAAGGAAGCAGGGAGACTCGAGAGCACCCAGGCGTCAGTCAGAGATGCTGCATCTGCTATCGCTGAGTATATGGAGGATACTACAGGTGCGGCAGAGTGGCCGATCGCAGGTCTCAGTCAACTCGAGGAACTGGAGAGTCAGACGGAAAGTGACATCCAGCCCGAGTCTCATGGTGTGAAGAGAGCTCTCGAGCAGATGGATGTTGACGACGACACTGCAGCAAAGAAACAACGTCAGACTCCTGCACCACTGGAAGGGACGATCAATCCTTTCGACCTTGACATCACTCACGTCAGTGACTCCCTTGAAAAAGGCACACAAGGACAGGCAGATCCCGACTTCGCTAGTCAGACTGCGACCGAGCAAAAGCTGCGTCAGCTTCTGCAAGACATGCAAGAGCGCCTCGATGAACACGTCAAAGCCCTTAGCGAACTGCAATACAGACACGAGGACCAACGCAAGGAGCTGGTGGAAGTCAAAAAGGAACGCGACAGCGCGATCACAACTGCAGAAAGGGCCGTCGCTCGGATGACCAGCGTTGAGGCAGACAACACTGCCCTACGCACCGAACGAACAGAGTTGAAAGAGGCACTCGGGGCAGCTCGGCAACAGCTTCTCAGTCATACTGTACCTGAGGTTCGTGAGCTTCAAGAACTACGTATGCAAGCTCAACAGTCCAAACTCGAAGAAGAAAAGGCTGTGAAGAGAGCTGCAGCTACAGAGAAAGATCTCGAATGGACGAGGTCTATGTACCAAGATGCCTCCAATCGGGTCCGCGAGCTAGCACAGAACAACAACGAACTGGAAACCCGTCTCGCGGAGGCCACCGTCATCGCACAAGGCGAACAAGCCCGTGCTCGACAGGCTTCTTCCCAAGGCCACAACAAGATTCTTGAGCAGGAGAACAAGAAACTCCGCATGATGGTAGACAACATGAAATCGGGGATGAAGAATAAGGATGAGCAGATTGCGCAGTTGAAGGAGGGGAGGGGGAGAATGGGTACTCGGCAGAGTTCTGTGCCGAGAAGCCCAAGAATGGGGAGCCCGATGAAGGGGAGGATGAGTCGACAGGGGAGTCCTGCGGCTTCTGATACGAGGGGTAGAGGTGCGCATTTGCATCCTTTGAGAAATAGTGCGGGTGGCTAGAAGATGGGATAGATCTTGTAGAGGTAGAGAGGAAGATAGTGGAATGAGAGATGATGTTGTTATGATGTTGATTTTGGAACTATCAAGAACTTTTGTGGTGAGAAGCTTCAGAGCTACTCGAATTGCCCAGGTGCTCGGTGGTGAGTGCATGGCGTTGTGCTGAAACCCGCAACTCATGCGAAGCATTCAGTCGCTGCTCCTCCAAGATTCGCTTTCTTCGAGGCTCAGGTGTTGACCTCGGACTCCTGCTTCTGCTGATACACGTACATGTAGGGAGTCTCGCTGGCCTTCGGGCTGACCCTGGTCGAAAAGATGCAGTGCGGATCTGACTACAAGTCTCAGTTAGTGCGGGTCGCTGAGAAAGTTCGATCCAGCTTACGGTCCAAGGAACTTGCTTTGTGTTACGCGTGGAGCGTAGACTGAGAAATGTGGCTTCGCATATGATTGAGGAGGTTTTTCTCGAACCAAGTCTCCATCCTCCTCCGCGCCACTCCCAGGTCTGCCAGCTTGAGCTACGGAGTCTTGTCCTGGGTGCGACTGCGGGCTACTTCGAAAGTGGCCTGGATTTCTTCTTCAAGCGTTTTCGGATCATCCTCGAACTCATAGCTGTCAGAGAAATCCGGGTACTCAATTTCGTCGTCAATTGATTGCGTCAACTTGACCGAGCAGTCACGGTTAGGGCCGCCGAGCTCAATGCGGAAGTGGAACAAGTCTGTGTCGATACGGGAGCCGCGGCCACGAAAGTCTTCTCTGACAGTGATGTTGATCTTGCGCAACATGGCGAGACTGCTCGGTTCCAAACTCTTGACGAAGTAATCGGTTCCTTTGTCCCATCGCAAGTCGTAGTCTTTCTCGGCGTCGAAAGTCATCTTGAGGAGGATTTCGTGATTGGTGTAGAACACTGGAAGAAATTCCTTTCGAATCTGCTGGTTGGTCCTGGCAAGCGGTGGCTGAGTCGGCTCGTGAAGCTCTTCGGAGAAGTCACAGATATAGAACTCGTAGATGTTGAGGCGGAGTTCAGCTGGAAGATCCATAATCCTATGGAACGAAAGTTCAGTGTCTCCTTTCTCGAGGGCGCGTTCGAGACTGGTCCGCTCCTTCTCCCGATGGGTCTCGACTTCCAGGCCGCGAGCCTGAACAAAGATTCGCAGCTCTCCGATTGAGCATGCGTCGTAGCAAAGAAGTCGCCTGATGACTCGCTGGTACCGCGCTCGCAAAGATACTTTGGACAGCCAATGGAGCGGATGGTTGGAGTCGCCAGCATCACGGAGTGCGTTAACGAGTGTCCCGCTCGACACATTCTTGTAGCTGTCGAGCCGCCAATACGAGTCCAAGCCATCTGGAAGGCGGCCTTCTTCTCTGTCACTGCCCTCAATCATGTCTTCTCGCCACAGGGAGTGGGAAGGCATACTGTCTATGCTGTTCGTCTGATCGAAGTCCAGGTTGGGTAATTGTTGTGACTGGTATGAAAACCTTGCGAGGACCAGCTTTCCTGTTGTCTGGGTGGGGGTGACTATGACGCGGCAACTGAACAATGCGGATCAACGTGTCATTTCACAACACAGTGTCACATGCTGACATTCCAGCTCACATGCATCAGCATGTGTCATGTGTGGCTTCACTTTGTAACTTGACGCTTGGAGGTGAGAGGTGACGGCTTTGAAAAGAACACGTGAGAAGCAACAAAACTTTTGGGACCTAGCTTTACTAGGCAGCTTCAAAGTGCCAACTCGTAGTGAGCTGGCTGAGAAGCCAACAACGTGTGATAACGTGATGAATTGGCGAGGCGCTGGACTCAATGAAGACAGCAGCACGCATCGAAGGAGTGAGAAACTGTGCAATTGTCAGTGCACCATGCGTGAAAAGAGTGTGCTCGTACTTACAATCAGAAAACAGTAAAAGCAGTTTGTAAGCTCGTGGTCCTCGAGACCTGTGGTAGAACTTTCAGATTCCAGAGTCTCGCGCCTATCGTGGAGGTTGAGGCGATAGAATGTTCGGCGGCTTCGATGTCCGAATCTCGCCATGACTCAATCTGGGCCTCAATTTCATCCAATTCTTGCTTCCATCGTTCTGCGAGCAGCCCAGAGATCTTTGATCATCAGCTTCGAAGTCTGTTCGCCAGATTGGTCGTCTACGCGATGACCAGCGACCTCGAATACAGCTTTGATCTCTTCCTCCAGCGCTTCCAGGTTGTCGTTCCAGCGACTGAAGACCACCGAGTGTACATAGGTCGGAATGTGTGGGCGTCCGACGAGCTCTACTGCGTACGGGCTTCTGTTGTTTCCAAGTCGAACTTCGAACACGAATGGAGCAGCCTCGTCTCTCACAAGTGCGAGGCCAATATGGGTTACGACTTGGATATGGAAGCTGCGCATCAAAGCGAGATTTTCCGGCAGCAGGCTTTTGAGGTAAAAGTCGGTGTCCTCATGCCACTTCAAGTGCCACCCACGACCGGCGACTCCTTGTTGCGGTTGCTTATGGTGGACGACTAGCGCAAGTCCGAAAGTGCATGTGTTGTAGAAGATTGGCAGAGTTTCCTCACGAATTTGCCGGGACACTTTGGTCAGGGGAGGCTGTGTGGGCGACTGGAGGACACTGCCAAAGCTTGACATGTAGCACTCGTAGATTCGGTTGCGAAGCTCGGGTGGAAGGTCGAGCAGGTGTTCGAACGAGGGGTTTGCATCCGCGGTCTCGAGTGCTGTAAGGAGCTTGTTGGTCAAGGACCTGCGAGATTGTTCGAGCTCTAGACCACGTGCTTTTACGTACTGTTGAAGCTCAGCCACAGAACAGCCGAAGTAGCAGGGAAGCTGTCTGTCGCGCCGCTGGAGGTAGTGCGCGAGTGTACGACGGTCGGGGCGATAGATTGGGATGTGGTGGTTAGACGCCTCAAGTTGCTGAGTGAGTGCGGCGTTGGAGGGACCGATGTAGTCGGCAAGGCGCCAGTACTTGTCGTGTCGATATGCCACCCCTCCGTCCATCAGACCGCTGCTGTAAGGATTCGGGATGTCCTCCTCCGTTCTGTCAATCTGACGAGGCATAGTCAGCCTGCTAGCTCTCTGCGTTGCGCTGCTGAACTGGTAGTCGAAGTGTTTGGTGTATGAGAACTGCCTGTGGACAGTTCTCGAGGTTTCCAGCGGAAGGTGTTTGCGATGTGCGCAGAAAAGCTGTGCGCAGAAAAGCTGTGCGAAGCACAAAGGGTAGTGCAAGGACGTTCAATATTAGGTAAGGTTAACCGAGCTGGTGGAGCACCCTGCGCTCAGGTTCAATGCCGACAAGATCTTCCATGGGCCGCTTACACAGTCGGTGCCTTGAGGCCTGGTAAAAACTGATCGGACTTGGTAATAACCTACGGCAGTATACAGGCCACGGCGATGGATCCCATTCGGAAACAATCGTGGATTGCTTAGCAGCTCTGTTTCGATCTCGTTCATCCAGTTCATACAAATTGCAAGCTGTCTCTCGTCCTGAAGACCGTGGTATCGACAAGGGATAATCAGTTGCTCCAAATTCTCTCAGTGCAGGAGGGATTTTGGGATAAACAAGTCTTTTGTCCTGGTCATCGAGGCGTGGCATCTTGGAAAGGTTTTCATCATGCTTGTGAGCCCTCTAAATGAGTGAACTGCCAGGCCCAGTATTGCGGCCACTCCATCGATCTATGGTTTTCTTGGATATGCTCCTTCTTGACTAGCATGACTTGGCCCAGCATTGGCCGGAAATGGGGGGAGGGCTCGAGTCATCGAAGTGTACCGGCATCCAACGACGGAACGGTTGTCATATCTCGCGATGCTTCACACTGATTTGCCGAGCGACCAGGTCGAGGTCAAGTAGATCTGTGTGAAGTGAAGTGCATCGGTCAGACGTTGCTTAATCCCGTCCCGTGCGGGCGGTGCGGGTAGAAGCTGACTAAGATAACCTCAGGCATCACATTTCATAACGCGAACCGATGCGTCTGCTCTCGAATCTGTTCCTACATGGACACAGGATATTCTTCCGCACATGATTATAGCGCTTCTGCGTGTAAACGCGGTGTAAGGTTCGCGTTGTACTTTGGCGCCTCGAAGTGAGAAGAGAATGAATTTGAGCCCGTCTATCTAAAGCTCTCAGGAAACAGGATGAAACAACTCCATTTGTAGAATACAGCTCTGCCGCGAAGCCTCGAGGTGTCGATTCGTGATGATTTGAACCAAACAGAAGATTCATGTCTACGACATAAGCCTGCGCAGCGACTAAAATATGCTATAAGGCGCCAACAATGCCATGCGTGTATCAGCATCCTCCGCAGTCTCGCGCTGTGCTCATGCTTGCAGTTGGGAAAGCACCAAAGCTGTCATTGGGCTTCCGTGCGTCACGCAGCTCATGCGAATTGGTGATGCAAGTTGCGATGAACTCCGACGCCTGGCTCGCGCTTGCGCTTACACGTACTTGACGAAGCTTGGCTCCATCTTTCGGCGTGCTGTCCAAAGGTCTTCGATTGTCAAGCTGAGGACCCGTTCGCCCGTTTGACTGTTGACACGGCGGCTGACGGCTTCAAATACAGCTTTGACATCATTCTCGAGCGCCTCAACCTCTTTCTCAAAGTCTTTGTAGTCGTCCCATCGCTCCTTGTCAGCCTTCAAAAGTTCGAGTAGGTCCACAGTGCAAGGTTTTCTGCCGTTTCCAAGTTGAATGTCGATTGCGAAGTTGTACATCCCATTGTACAGATCGTCGGGCATGATTGCGTCGCGGCCGAAGATCTGGAACTGGATGTTGCGGACCATGGCCAGGCTGCTGGGCTGCAGGCTTTTGATGAAGCGATCGGAATCCTCGTCCCATTTCAATCCGTAACAGCTGACGTGTTTCAGTGCGAGCGTGAACTTACAAGTCTTGTAGAACATAGGCAGTGCCTCTTGGCGGACCAGCGAAGACGCTCGAGTGAGGGGAGGCTGGGTAGGTGCGAGGAGGACATTGTTGTTGAATTCTGACATGTAGAAAGCGTATACGCGGTTCCGAAGCTCCGGGGCAAGATCCATGAACTTGTGGAATGGACGCTGCGCATCTGCATGTTCAAGAGCCGTCCTTAGCTTGGTAGCTCGCGCTCTGCGAGATGACTCGACCTCGAGACCTCGAGCGGTAACGAATTTCTGGAGCTCATCGGTTGTGCAGGTGAAGTAGCATGGACAGCCTTGATCGGATCGCTGGAGGTACGTTGCAAGGGAACTCTGGTAACTGTGAGAACGCGGAATGTAGTGGCCGACTGCGTCGAGTCGCTTGACTAGCTCAGCCTTGGAGACTCGAGCATAAGTGTCCTGGCGCCAGTAGTCATTGAAGCAGTCTGAGATGTCTCCCCTGTCTCTGTCGCTGCCTTTGATGATCATGTCCTCTGGCGATTCGCCAGGAAGTGTTTGAGCCATGACTGTTGTATCGTGCCTTGTTGAGTCTTTTCTGCGTTGAGTTGTGAAGAGGGTGATTGAATTGACAGCCAAAGGTGGCTGAGTAAGGGAAGTGAATCAGGCTAGACGACGGGAGTGAACAGTAATCCACTGTCACGTGAGTTCATTCTGACTTCCTGACATTTCTTCTACGCACAGAATCTCGCGAACTCTCATCTCAGGTAAACCAGTGCGTAGTTGTTTCGAGATGCAGCTACGCTGCGCTTAAAGTGCTCTGGAGGCTAGTAGTGGCCCAAGTTCTCAATGTCTGGGTCGACATCTGGCATTCCAAGCTTCACGTTGCTCCTCATCCTGCGCACAGCCAATCTTGACATGCCGTAATAGCTGTCGGGTGAGAGCATGGGCGCTTGGGGTGTTCTGGAAGAGACAGACGGCACAATGACGATGTTGCTCAGAGACATTGTAGGAGCCCGAGACTTGGCTAGCAGTATCCGTAAATCCTTTCATGTCCTCCTTGGGCTTCTGTGTTCTCCTCATACACTGTGGTCACGTTCTCAGGTTTTTGCCACTGGTAACACTCCTGGTTTTCGGCTGGCATATTGACCGGAGGTAGATGACCACTTCGCTTGTTGTAATGTCCGAGATCTTGGTAACAAGCTACTGCCGATGTTCAGATGTTTTCGTTGCTCAAATAGACGCCTTGAGCTGCAAATGCACGCAATGAGATGAAGTGAAGTAGAAGACTCCAAAAGTCCGACAGCCTGGAGGTTTGTTTGATGGCGTCCGTGTGGGGGCTTACTAAGCTGACCTCAGGCATCAATTGCATTCCACTCCACTCCTCGAACGCGAAACAACGCGTCCAGTCTGGTTTTGATCATCGTACAGTATCACATGAACATGGACCGTTTTTCCTTGCCATAGTTGTGTCCGCCAGACTGCGCGACGAGATTTCACTCACGATGTCTCTACCATCCGCCAGGCAGGTTCCTGCTGCCACTCACACCGGAACCAGCTGAAGAACTTTAGCTGGCGCGGCAGCAGCAATAGTCGAAATGCCGCATCGTGCTCCCGTTAACCAAACCGCTTAGTCTCAGCCCAAGGGAACCTGGTACGCACCCTGTTCGGGAGCAATGACCCCTAAGGAGACTTCTCAGTCGAAGCCGAACAACTCGGACCAAAATACCCGGAATGTCCGAAGGTAGTAGCAGCAGCATAAGGACGACCTTCTCCACGCCTCACAGTAGATTCTGACCACAGGTGCCGCCTTCATACATTCCACCCACCCCAAATGGCATCGAAATCGGTAGAAGCTACGCTGACCTACTTCGGTAAGCCCCACCCCCGCTGTGGAGGCTCCGGCCACGACTAATGAAGAGAAAGGAACAACGACGTTTCGGTTGGACATCAATGGTCTGACCATATTCCTCGATACTTGGCTGGAGCGATCGAAAGCCCACAAGAAATACATCAACATCGACGATGTGGAGAAAGCCGATTACATTTGCATTTCTCATGCCCATTTTGATCAGTAAGCCCATCTGTCCATGCAACAGGTTGATCAAGATCTAAGAGAGATGAAAGCCTGCCTGGAGCAGACAAACTCGCCATCAGGACAGGTGCCCGAGTTATTGGAAACCCGGAGACGATTCGAATCCTTCGTGATGCCGGCGTACCGGAAGATCAGCTGATATGTGTCGCTGGTGGAGAACGAGTTCCTCTGTTTTCGAAAGAAGTCTGGTCAAAGGCAGCCGAAGGCGAAGGTCTTGCACCTGGTCCGCGTTTTCCAGGCGCACCTCCACGCCCAGATCCTGCTCTCGCATCTGCGGCCGTCGACATCTGGCCCTCGTTGCACTGCTTGATCACTCCCGGTTCGCACAAAGATGAATTTGATCTCACAGATCCACAACCCAAGCCTGCCAATGAATGGAAGTCCACTCTCGACATGAACTATGCCATGCGATGGGGACTCCTCCGACTAGGCAAAATTCTTCCGCCTGAAGCACAGCAGGACCCTGGCATGAAGGCCATGATAGAGTATTTCGAGGATCCAGAGAACAAATTCTCCCACTGCGATGGTGGCCAGCTGATGTACAACTTTCGCGCCGGTGGCCCGTCGCATAATGCGAAGGCGATTCTCTGGAACGCACATCTGGGGTGCTATGATGGAATCATGAAGACAGTGCGGCCAAAGCCGGATGTTGCTATTCTCGGAGCTGCTGGAGAAGTGAACTTGAATGGTCGGCCTTACGAAGGCAGTGCGGCGGATTTTCTTGTCGAAGAGTGTGAATGGCTAGGATATCCAAAAACTGTCATTTGGTGCTTGCACGACGAGAGGTATCCACCTCCATTGACAAAGGCTTCCTGTGAGATCGCGCTAATTAGTCAACAGTCCAATACCACCATATCGATCGAACACATCTGGTGCGAAGGACTTGATAGAGAGCAAGTCCAGGTGCCGAGTATTGGATATGGAGCCAGCTCGAGGCTACGAGCTCTTCTGATATATTGCAATCCAATTTCTCATCCAAGCCCTCTAAGGTCAAAATCAGCATTTGAATGATAGACTGATACTCGGAAACCGCCTACTATTCTACCATCTTAGATCGGTCAACTCTTTCCCGACCACGTGTGACAAAGCGACCGACCACAAAATACAGAGGGCTACCTCAGTTCTCCAGCTCAGGCGGGACAGCCGGCTGTATGTCAACAAAGACCCCAACCACAGCATACACAGCCCGCAACAGCAGTACCCCAAGATTGATCGCACGAAACATCAGCCTCGTCGTGAGCTTACCGCTGTCGAAGGCATGCGACAATTGACTGCTTTTCCGGACCCATGGGAAGACCCTTGGTATAACCTGCCTTTCGCAATCATTGCATGCTTTCCTGATTCGTGACTCAGGAAGGTAAGATGTCGATTCTTCGGCGAGTTGTTTTAGGAGCGGAAGCATGACGGATGTGTCCAGGATGGCTTGGTTGCCTCCCATGCCTCTGTGGAGAGCGTCAGTCGGAGACTGTTCGCGCAATGATGGCTACGGTGTGTGCGACTTACCGTCCTGGAAGCATTGCATGAATCGCATCTCCCAACAACCACACACGAGGATGTCCGCGTTCCGGTATCTCAGGGTTCGCTACTTGGTCTCTGCAACCTAATGCAGGTTCTGAGCTCTCTCGTGGGGTGAAGCAGTAGATGTCTTCGCCTTTCACTGCGTTCATCGCCTCGGTGCTAGAAGTTCGTCAGCTTCGATTGCAGGAAATCTGAAGGAACATACTAGTAAGGTGACCAATTGGCGATCTTCTTTCGCATGAACTCCCACTTCTCCTCGCTTGAAGCTGAGGCAATGCCTTCTGGAACGACTTTCGACAGGAAGGTCATGACGAGCATGCATGAAGACATCTCATCGTCGACAGGTATGTCTTTTTGGTATTGGCGAATGGCTTCGGCATTGGAGGTGTCGACTTTGTCTGGCAAATATGCTGCGATCGATCAGTACGACAGCCCACGAAGAAATTTTGCGGTGGTACAACTGCGAAGCAAAACTTACTAGCCCAAAACAACACCATCTCATCATCCATTGTTGCAAGAGAAGTCTGCAGAATCTCATGACTCATGGTCAAGAGCTGTGCAGTCTTCAGATCACTCTTGACGATAAACGAGATCTTGTCGTCCATAGCTCTAAGATTCTTGAGTCCAAGCGTAGCATTAACCTGTCATATTGTCAGTCACAGAATCACACCAACTCCAGCAGGCAGTTTCCTGACCCTCGAATGCGACCCATCGGCCCCAATCAAAATATCACAGATCTCACTCGTCCCATCCCCAAACACAACTCTCACCCGTTCCCCATGATCCTCCTTCACAATTCCATACCTCTCAAACTGCTTCTCGTACACCATCCTCCCCGCCCTCTCAACCGGCTCCGCCAAAACATCCCTCAGCACTCCCCGGTTAATCGGCGCACTCTTGGGATAAGCCGGCAACTTGCTCAAATCACAAAGTTTCTCAAACCCAGTCGAATAAATCACAGGAGCCAAATCTCGTTTTCCTCCGTGGCGGCCCATTTTGCTTATGACGCGGGAGAGGACTTCTTGGGGGAGACAGGCCCGCATGCCGATTAGGGCGTTTTCTCCGAGCCGGATTTGGTAGCCTTCGCGACGGCTGTGTTGGGACATTCGTTCGTAGACTTGGACTTCGATGTTGGATTGCATGAGGCCGTTGGCGAGGACGTTGCCGGAGAGGCCGCCGCCGATTATGATGACTTTGAAGGTGGACATTCTGGGTGGTCGGTGTTGATGAAGAGTGTGCTGAAATTCGAAGTCTAAAGCAGGTTGTAAGGTTCTGATCGAGAGTGCTGTGGTAATTGTCAGGAGTCCCGTCAGGTATACTGTATATTTGGTCGGCGATGGTTGCAGGCTCTCGAGCTAAACCGAATATTGAGCAGGAGCAATGCTCAAACAAGCTGGAGAATTTCGATGAAATGGAATCTGATATGCTCGACATCCAGCCACTTCTCTCACCTGCTCTTATACATGCATTACGCTCTGCAGTCCTCCAGGTAACAGGGGCTAGGTGAGGCGGTGTTGTCGAAACTGTGCAGGGTATGAAACATCTAAAGACCGAATGCTGCCGGCAGCAAGTGCCGGAGCCCTAAGCCCCAATTCCCCTGATCACTCTTTCTGTGCGATCCCTGCTTCGTGTCGTACTGAACGGGGCAATGCAGCTTGCCAGCTCTCGGTTATTCCTGCACCGTTTGTGAGATCACGGTCCCACGAATCTGGCCGCACAATAACGTGTGGAATGCACTCAGACGCGTGCTTGTCACAGATCTTGGCAAAGTGCTCGTATTGCTGTACGAAGAGCGTGTATTCGTTTGCATACAGTAGTTTGCTGTGAGCAACATCTTCAGAGATAGATGTCTTGCTCAACTCTGCGGGATTGTAGACCAGGGGCAACATCTTTGCTTCAGCTCCATCGCTTGCGGCAGCCGGCGCCTTCTCCACGGGTTGATGCATGTAAAACACTTCGCCTTCGAATCTGGCAGCCTCCGGAGACTGCTCTGTGCTATCGGGAACATCATTAGATAGAACTTGTTCTCGAGTAGACAACGACTGCCAGCCTTCGAAGTACTCGTTACAAGAATGCCTTCTGACGAGGATCCGCCCAGACTGGTAGTAATACCGCTTGACTCACACCATTGCGTAGCGATAGCTTCTGTAATTCGGTGTTGAGTAGATCCTGTGCCGCGGCGATAACACCCTCTCCGCCTTTACATCTCGTCCCAGCATAAGTGATGGGCCTGATGCCAATCGAAAGGTTATCTCGCCTGAGGCCATATCCCTAAGAGGGCTCGAAAAGCGCTATCTTCACTTGTGCACAGAATCACCAGTATTGAAATGTCGAAACCCTGCTGCAACAGCTTGGCGAACTTCTTTGCTGCTATCGGTTGGGAGTGGGCGCGTGTGGCCTTCGTTCCGTCGCATCAAGGAGCCTGTGCCGAACACGAGACGTGGCACCTCTATCTCATCGATGATCTTGACCGCAGCGACTTCATATGTCGCGTCTCCAGGTTCACGCTTGGTGGCCGCTCAAGTCAGATCCGCGGCGCGTGGCCGAGCTTTACGATGGCGCGTTGGAGACGCAGGCATTGACGGTGTTTCGGAGCAGCAGTGAAAGTCCATCACGCCCATGGTATTGCGCAGCAGTCTGCCAACCACGGCAGATGGGATCGGGGACTGGGAGTATATGTATGTTCCACAGAAGTTGCGATGTCTTGGACTCGGAGGACGGGTACGCGCTCGGAGTCGGAAGCCATGTTTTGCCTGTCGGGACGCGTCAGGGTTGTTTGTCAGTGCTTAGGGTTTCGTGAGACAAAAGTGGTGGGACGACGGTGAGGTGTCCGAAAGAGCTCCAGTCCCTCTGATACCTCTTAGGGCACATCTTGGATATCATTCAATAATGCTTGCGAGCTTTTGAGTTGTTCGGTTGACCGATGCGTCCAGTATGACGGTATCTCCGATTGATGACTTTCTGGAAAATGTTGAAATCGTCGGAGGCGTGTGTCCTCTCACATAGCGTCCACTCCATCTTCGCAATGACAGACGACACAACATCTTCAAAATCGCTCCGTTGAATCTGCTTCTGTCAATACCGGCTCATGGAAGGTACATGTAGCTGAACCAATAAGACATCAAAGTAGCGAGCCGAGAAGAAGTGAAGTCTGAAGTGGAAGTCTCGATGCCCCTCCACAACTCCGTCATCGGCCATGTTCCGACGACATTTCTAAGCACCAGCGAAGAACATCCAAACACATTTCCCACAATCCGCCACACGACATCTCTGCACCTCAACGACACGCCGCAGAGATGTCACTGAGCGACATCAAGAAGATCGTGCTCGTCCTATCGGGCAAAGGCGGCGTCGGGAAATCCAGCGTCACCACCCAGCTTGCCCTCTCGCTGTCCCTCCAAGGCCACTCCGTCGGCGTCCTCGATGTCGATCTCACCGGACCTTCGATACCCCGATTCCTCGGCATAGAAAACTCGAAAGTCACGCAGGCGCCTGGAGGTTGGCTTCCGGTGCCGATACATGAAGCAAGAGAGCAGCAAAATGGGAGCAATGGCGAACAGACAAATGTACAAGCAACGAGGGTAGGGAAGCTGGGAGCAATGTCCCTCGGCTTCCTCCTCGCGAACAGAGGCGATGCAGTCGTATGGCGCGGACCGAAAAAGACAGCCATGATTCGACAATTCCTCACAGATGTACAATGGGGACAACTCGATTACCTCCTCATCGATACTCCACCGGGCACAAGCGACGAGCACATCTCTCTTGTCGAGACACTACTCAAATCTGCGACACAAGAACAACTAGCCGGCGCAGTAATCGTCACAACCCCACAAGCAATCAGCGTCAGCGACGTCAAAAAAGAAATCAACTTCTGCCGAAAAGTCAGCGTGAAAATCCTCGGAGTCATAGAAAACATGGCAGGCTTCGTATGTCCGAATTGCTCCGAATGCACAAATGTCTTCTCCAAAGGTGGAGGACAAGCCATGGCGCAAGAGTTCAACGTCGATTTCCTTGGAAGTATTCCTATCGACCCGATGTTCATTCGCCTAATCGAGGAAGGCAAGCGACCGAGTTATCCTCAAGGCACGATTATCCAAGGACGCGATATGCAAGCTGAAGAGGAAGCGAGTACGGAAGGATTGTTGGTAGACAAGTATACTGCTTGCTCTCTACAGCCTCTTTTCGAGACGATTACGAAAGATCTAATTACCAAGATCGGAACATGAGAGCTCGCCCGCTTCTCTGAATATCCGCCCAACGCCGCGCTTGCGAAAGACCAGCTCCATGAAGAGCACTGTACACTATACAAGATTCGCATCACGACCTGTCCAAGTCCTATATGCAGTTGAGGCCCAGCAGCCCACAATCCCTCCGGGTTGATGTGGTAGCTGTGGAGCTCCGTGTGCTGGATGTCGGAGTTGGAGTTCGTACTACCACTGTCGAGATACAAGATGTGAAGTTGTTCGGCCCAACGTTGCAGTACGTGAATGTCGAGGTGGTTGTCACTGTCGTCACTGGAAGGACTGTGGTGAGCTGGGAGTAACTCGTGCTTCGAGTTGTGCTAGTCGTGATCGACGCAGGCAGAGGTGTGACGGCGACCGTCTGTGCACCGCCCGATGCTGTGCTCGGAGATGGAGCATTATTGCCACCACCTTGGTTTCCGCCAATACAGTTGAGACCCAGAAGGCCACAGTCTCGCGAAGTTGAGCTACTTGCGGCTACAGGTGGGGAATTCGACGCTGCGGTTGGTGTCGAAGTTGGAGCGTTATTACCTCCACCTGGGTTGTTGCCACCAATGCAATTGAGACCAAGGAGGCCACAATCCCGACTAGTTGAGCTACTAGCTGCTGCTGGGCCAGAAGCGGATGTGGTTGGGCTCGCACCTGGAGGATATGCCGAGATGGCTCCACCAGCACCTGTTGAAGCTGAGGCGGGCGCTGCAGTAGATTGCGAGCGAGTTGGACCACAGTTCAGACCTAGCAGACCACAATCCTGTGATGTCGCCGAATTGGCTGGCGGCAGCAATGTCGGCAGCGGAGGCAAAACAGCTGTCGTCGTAGTCGTAGTCGTCGGAGCATTGTTGATCGCAGAAGCCTGCCTCGTGCTCGCTTGAGTAGGAATTCCAGTCACAACCGAAGTACTCGTAGCTCCAGAGCCATCATTGATCTGTCTTCCAACCAAGACCACAGAATCTGCGATAGTCGATCCAGTCGCTGAGTTGCCTAGATTGGAGATGAAGACACATTCGTTGTTCTGCTGCGTCACTGCCTCGCAGTCTTCCATGACAGAGCACTGAATACTGCAGCGAATGATGTCCGGCACTCCTGGCGCTGCTGGCACAGCCACAGCAGCCTGTCTTGCTCGATGCATAAGTGACTCTCCTCTCGCAGTGATGGCGCCTCCAGCATTGATATTTGAAGTAACATTCGTACTCGCCGGAAACGTAACATTACAGAAAACCTGATAATTCGCTCCGGAGAAGTCCGTATATGTCAATCCGTTTCCAGCCGGACAATCCAAGTTCACAGGCGCAGCGCCATCTGTTATCAAGCTCGGAGTTCCGGATCCGACACTAGATTTGTAGAAGCAGAGAGATGTTTGAGCGTCGTAGCTCACGCCGGAACAACCTGGAACGAATGCACAGGAGTTTGCGCAGGAGAAGAGGTTGGGTTGAGGGGAAGAGGCGAGGTCGTAGCCGATGTAGTTTGTGCGGCAGCGGATTGTGAAGGCTTGGCCGGAGGGGGCGACGTAGCTGAGGCCGTTGTCTGCGGGGCAGTTGAAGACTGGGCGGCGAGTTGAGGTGGGGAGGGAGAGTTCGGGGATGGTAGAGCTTGATGCTGCTGCTGCTGATGATCGGGATGATACAAGGCCTGGAAGGTTGGTGAAGGGGTTGCCGGGAGAGCTGAGGGAAGGTGCGCTGAGCGAGGGTACGCTCAATGATGGGGCGCTGAGTGATGGTACACTCAATGATGGCGCACTGAGCGATGGCGCACTCAGCGTTGGTACGCTGAGTGATGGTCCACTGAGAGATGGTGCACTCAGTGATGGCACAGTGAGCGAAGGCACGCTGAGCGACGGCAAACCAGATGATGGAACGCTGAGTGATGGGATGCTCAGCGACGGTACAGCAGTCGTCAACGGCAAGCCAGATGGTACGGAGATGCTTGGCGTTGACAGAGGCAAAGTCGGACGGACTGTTGGAAGACCAGACAGCTGCGAGCAGATATTACCCGTAGGTCCGGCGAGGATGGCAGACACTATGGAGTCGTTGCCCGAGAGGCCAAGAGCCGTAAGAAGGGCATTGACATTGCAACCCAAGCCGCTGATGATGGATGACAGAGCATCTGGTAATGGAGCCAAGGCTGTTGTGACTGGCAAGGCTGTTGGCAGTACGCCATCCAGCAAAGACGTCAAACCTGGTACGAGGTTCGTGAGGTCGCTCAGTGGCAATTCGGAGGGAAGAGGCAAGTTTGTAGGCAGCAATGTAGTCAGACCTGGAATAAGGTTGGTCAGGTCGCTGATTGGGAGCGCAGTTGGCAGCGGCAAGTCTGTTGGCAGCAGTGTAGTCAAGCCCGGGATAAGATTTGTGAGTTCGCTCAATGGCAGCTCAGTCGGAAGAGGCAAGCCTGTTGGTAGCAATGTAGTCAATCCAGGTATGAGACCCGTCAGATCGCTCAACGGGAGCTCAGTCGGTAGGGGCAAGTCTGGGTTGAGCAATGAAGTCAAGCCAGGCACCAAGTTGGTCAAGTCGCTGAGTGGAAGTCCCGTCGGCACGACCTCGCCCAGCAGGGATGTCAGTCCTGGCACCACATTCGTCAAGTCACTCAATGGAAGTCCTGTGGGTATAACTTCGCCCAACAAGCTCGTCAGACCCGGAACCACATTCGTCAAATCGCTCAGAGGGAGTCCTGTAGGCAGCAAGGATTCCAATCCAGGCACCAAGTCTGTGAGAGGAGGCAACGCCGTCGTCAATTGCAGAATGTCCGACGGAAGAGGTGGTAGGCTGAGCGGCAAAGACGGAATCGGGAGTGTAGGCAGTCCTGTTGGAATGGTCAAGCCGGCAGGTATGGACACTATGATGCTGCTCGCGGAGTCCAGTAGAGGAATTGGCGACAAACCTCCAACAATGTAATTGAGCAGTCGTGCAGCACTGATGTACCCTCGAGCAACCTGGAAGCTCTGAGCGACGCTGTTCTGCAGGTAACATGTTCCTGGGCCATCGCCATTGGGTGTTCCAACGTAGTAGAAGGCGGTGCAGAAATTTGCTAGACCGGTCACACTGGCTTGATCACATTCCCGGAAGCAGTCGTTGAAGGAGGATGAGGCGACTCGAGTGCCGAAGACATCACCAGTCGAGGCGCCATTGCAGTTGAGAACATAAGGTAGTCCATTTTCGATGATGACCTGGCCATTGTCTCGCGGGCAAGCGAAGGAGACTGGTGTTTGAGTTGGGAGCTGTGAAGTTGGCAGGACGGCTGATACGATGTCCAAAACTCCTGATACCAAAGGCGGAAGGGTAATCGATGGGATTGGCACCAGTTGCGATAAATCGGGCACGAGATCGGTCGGGTTCACAATCTCTGATAGTAAGGAGGAGACATCGAGCGGTAAAGTGGGTGTAGGTAGTGCGTCGCCAATGTTTGAGATTAATGACTCAAGACCGGCTGCGTTCGTGGGAACAACCCCGCCGATGTCCGATAGGAGAGATGACAGTCCGCCAGGGAGGTTGGTGGGAAGCACATCGCCAATCTCAGACACCAGCGATGATAGTCCAAGGTCAGGCAACCCAGTTGGCAATGTCAAAGGCGGTAATGTTGTCAATGGAATACCGGGTATCGTCAAACTGGCAAAAATCCCCGTATAATCCGGCGGAAAAACAGTGACCGTGACGGCATTTAGACAAGCTTCATCAAGTCAGTATAATGTGGATGAAACTTTGGTGTACGACCGAGACTTACGTGGTAACCCAGTGCCGTCCACCCCACCGCCAGCAACCAGACTGGCTTGCGGTAGTTGTGCTTGAGCAAGTCTTGCTGTGAAAAGAAGGGACAAAAAGAGATCTCTGGCCATTGACTGGCCAGGTCTCAGGGACACCAAGCCCGAGAACATGGTGATCACCAAAGCGGGTCGAAAAGGGAAAAGAATGAGGGCCTTCCACGGCAACGATCTGACACTTTCGTCGCTGAGGAGAATCCCGCTCAAGACGGCAAGTTGCGATGGTGATGGAGATACTGAGAACGCGTTTCCATCGCGACGCCGAGCAATATGAACGTGAAGCTCTCTCAAATCTAAAATTTGTTTGTGTTGATGGTCACTGGCAGGCATGAGAGTGTGGCAACAAACAAGATTGGGCATTTATTGTCGGGCCTGCATCTCGACCTTCGATCTGTGCGTTGACTGATTTGGATTCGATTCTTGTTCTCTGTGTATAATTGGGATGAGCAAGGGGTCAAGGACATCTGCAAGCTCACATGGCTCTGTCCGACCTTGTACGAGTACGAGTGCACGAGAATGCCGCTGCGATTGGCAGCAGTCGCAGTCATTCGGGAATCGGCACAGAATGTCTCAGTCGCTGGTGTCAGCGATCGAGTTAGCCGTAGGTGGTGATAATATCTGTCGTGAGCAGGAAGCTTCCCTCAATCCTGGTGTGCACCATTGCTGAGTGTGCGAGTCTGCTCGTGGTGCAGCGCAATTTGATCGCAGTCTGCCTACGTTGCATTCATGCTCAGTGCTGTGCAAACCGCAATCGCTCCAGAGTGTGTCTCATTGGATGCCGCGTGAGGTCGGCACAGCTCGGTAAGCCGACACGGAGAGTCCGAATGTCAGCATTCCTCGTCGTGATTTCTGTATGCTTCACTCTCCCGATCGACCACGCTGGAATGCTGCAAAGCTCGGCCCGGTATGCGTGTTGGCCGTGTGTCCATCGGCGTGCCCGAGTGCTAGTATATTACCGGATTTGAGGACTCGTGCTTTTGGCAACATTACACGCGGTGCATGGCCCATTCCAAAAGGTGCGGTGCGCACTTGCACTTTGGATCGCAAAAGAAACGTTCTGGCCAGAGCAAAAGAATGCAACATCTGCATGCGCTCGGTCAAGGACTTGAACCAAGATCTTCCGCGTTCTCGTCGACGCAGCGAAGACGAGCGGAACTGTGTGTGGTGTTAGCCTCAGCTCGGATGCACCGGAAATCCTAGTGAGAACTCACATCCTAACCACTTTGCCAATCAGTTCGATCCTTCTGTTTTTGTAGGGGGGAGCCGATGCTTACATTGGACCAACCGAGCTCACCGATGGTCAGACGTCTTGTTTTCGCCATTGTATAGCTTCAGCAGTGGCCAAGCGCAATCCAAGTTTCAGATTCGCAGAGTTCCTGCTACAGTGTGGACGGCTTCGAAACCTGCTTTTTGACTCCAACTAGCGTGAGCTTGCGTCTCTGCCGCGATCATCGTCCGAGTCAACGAGCGTTTCGTTAGCTGAGTCAACTTCGGGCGCGTTGCTGTCGCGATATATCCAGAACTGAACAAAGACCGCGAAGTCCAGGAAGAGAGTGCCCAAGCTGCCGATGAGCCAGCTCAAGTTGACCAGGATGTATCGGCCATAGATACTTGAAGCCTCTCCGGGCTGGCATTGACTGGACTGCCAATGGCCATGGCGGTGCCGGCTGCAGATCGGGTTGAAAGCAAAGATGGAGCAAACATAGGTCAGGTTTCCGATGCATGCGAAGAGGAAGAAGAGCGCGTTCAAGCCTTCGGTAGACTTCCTTCGGTAGTTGAGCAAGAGCTGAGGAACGCGACTGCCGAGATACAGAACAGCGCAGATGTAGCCAAAGACTTGTCCCCATGTGCTGAATTGAAGGCTGTCGGCTTGCTCTTTCGCAGGATTTCCGCGCTTGTCCTCGGGAGTGGATGGAGTGAGGTAGTAGCCCGCAATACCGGCTAGGACAACGAGCAGAATTGCAGTGCCATTGAACAGAACTGATTGAAGTAAGGTCCTTGGCTGATGTGGCTTGAGCGCATCAGCGTCTTTGGCGTTCTTTGGTTGTGCGTGAATTGGCACGGCTGGCGAAGAGTGCGTAAAATCGAGGCTGGCAAGGCGCTCTCTGAAAGCAGAGCTTGAGCGAGCGCGCACTTCGACATCAGCCGCACTCGCATGCCTTCTCGTAGGGCTCGTATGGCCATTCGCAGTTCCATTAGAAATCAACGGCGACCTCTCCGTAGGCCCTCCAACACCATCCTCCACCGTTCCATTCCCACCCTTCACAGGCTTCGGATCCCTCAATCGAAAACCCGTATAATAAAAATACTGCGCCAACAGCACAACATCCGCCAAAGTATAATAAATCGCCAAAATCAACATCGTAGCCAAAACATTTTGCAGGACAGCGCCAAGAATATTGAAGATATCTCCGAGAAGCCAGATGATGATGAATTCGACACTCAAGCCTTCAGCAGAACTTCTTCGGAAATTTTCGATAATTTGAGGAGAGAAGACGACGACCCAGCAGGCGATGGAAATGGAACCGCAGATTCCCGAGATGGCTTCAATGTCTACGCTGTAGCTGCCGGATGGCGGAAACATTGTCGCGAGGTGTGGCGGACGCGTTTCGCGTCCTGTGGGTGAAATTTGGACCTCTGGCTGTTGATTGCGGCTTGGGTTGCTTCAGAGTGAGCGCGTATGATGAGCAGCAATAGTAGTGATTTCTTGATGTGAGTAGAGATGATGTCGTTGGAGTCACCAACATAGTTTTCCTGGGTGCACAGGGTGCGTTACCTAATAATGATCCAGGCACGAGTCAATGCGGCTCAAATTTTAGGTTGGCAACTAGCGAATTAGGGCCAAGCAGGTACGATGCAGCTGCAGCTGCAGGCGATGAGACACGATCACGCGACACGGTGTAACATACGAAGCTAGAAGGAGAAAAAAGAACAGCTTATGCATACTCAACTACGCACTATCATCGCTATGCTAGAAATGCGCCATCATCACTTCATACCCCATTGCTGTTCTCATCTAACAAGTCGTTCCACAAAGCTCCCGGCTCCAGGAAACCATGATGAATCACACTGACCAACCAGTAGTCCTTGCGAATGCGCTCAAGTAGCTTGCTGCTCTCCGATCCGGGCTTGTAAACCCGTTGCCATTCATTCCATATGCCAAAAGCTTCCTCACACCAAGCTTTGAATGACACCGCCTCGATAATCGTGGGGGTAATGATCTCTTTGCCCGTGAAAGTGCCCCAGGTTACCGGGTTCACAGAGTCGGTATCGTTGCTGAAGAATTCGTGCTTTGCGTTACCGGCAAAGTATGTGATCTGAGGGTTCTCGATCAGTCTTGTCTGCAACTTCTGCCATTCATCATTTGGAATGAAGAACTCCACGAAAGGCTTCTGGAAGATAAATCCGTTTCTAGGACCCCATCCGAAAACAGGATCCGTAGATCGGATGCCGTTCACTGCTGGCTGAGAAGCGACAGTCCACCATCCTTTGTTGATCAAGCTGAGAAGCTCGTTCTTGATCGTCAACGTCTCCGGTTGTAAAGTTTCCTCAGACCAAGGCATGCTGTCAATCTCGCCCTCGAGATGTCGACGGAAACATGCTGAGATGTCTTCCACAGACTTCGGCTCGCCCCATAGCTTCCTGGCCTCTGGCACGCTGACATGGAGACTGACACCATATCCATCTATCTGCCCGTACGCGGGCGATCTCGCATCACCCCATCTGCCGTTGGGGAACTCGTCCCAGGTGGCTTCCCGCCCCAAAGCGCCTTCCCCTTCTGAGATGGCAAGAGTGTTGGCGCGGCTGTTGATCTTTTCTTTGGGCACACCAGCTTCGTCATCAAACGCCTCATAAGCGGAAGCAGGTCGATTACTGCTCGTACTTGATGCCCGCGTATGCGATATGATGACTCGATTCCGAGGATTTGAATTAGCCATTGATGACTTCCTGCGATGCTGCTGCTTCTTGGCGTCTTCGACAATGACAAAATCATCTGTCTCCTCTACCGCAACAGCTTGGTTTTCCAGATTTAGCTCCACCTCCGGCGTAGATGGTGGGATGAGATCATTCCGTTCCAGAATCTGCGTGACCACTTTCTCCAGGTTCAATGTGTAGAAGTGGAATCCGCGAGGGCCTGCAAATTCGGAATGCTTCATCGTGTCCACAATTTCACTGAGCACATCGACACCTACTCTCTTGACAGCCTCGTCATCACCCTTGACTGCTTCAAATCGTTTGAGGATCTCCTGCGGCAGCGCAGCGTGACTGAGCTTCGTCGTGCGACGCAGGATCTGGTAGCTCTGCACTGGCATGAGACCAGGTATGATTGGTATCTTCTTGAACAGGCCCGACTCGTGCTCTCGCAATCGCTTTTCGTACTTCTGGTATGCGCCAACATCGTAGAAAAGTTGAGTCATTATAAAATCTGCGCCAGCCGCCGTCTTCTCCACGAGATAGGGCAGGTCATGCTCGACAGATTGATGTTCTGGGTGTGACTGGTCTGAGTGTCCCTCTGGGTATCCTGCTACACCAACACAGAAGTAGTCGCCGTACTGCTTCCGTATGTAGCGCACGAGATCTACAGCCCATGTGAAGTCCTTGTTGCTGTCGTCCTCACCAGCATCTGGCAAGCTGTCGTCCCTGTATTCATCACTTCTGGGTGGATCACCACGCAGAGCCAGTATGTTTCGGATGCCCAGCACTTTCGCCTGGTCCAATGCCTCATCAATGAGTTTCCTCGACATATTCGTGCATGTCAGGTGCAAACATGTTGTCAAGCCCAACTCCCGCTGCGTGACCTCTGCCAGAGCCAGCGACTTGACAGATGTGCTGCCGCCAGCACCCCATGTTACATTGACGAAGAGCGGGCGCAGCGAATGCGCCATGCGCGAGAGGCGGGCATTGAGGTTAGAAAAGCCCTGCTGGGTTTTCGGCGGGAAGAACTCGAGCGAGAAGTAGGTGGCGTCGGGCGGGAGGGCGGCGATCTTGTCGGTGAGTTTATCCATTGTCGCGGTGGAGCAGGAGGAGATGTCTGCTCGGTGTGGTGGTGGTGGGCGGATCGGGCATGATGTAGTGGAACAAAGTGAGGTTCCCGAAGCGCTCTATCGACACAAGTGCCCACCACACGCACGGCACTTGCACGCCATCATCAAAGACCGGATCTCGCCGGTTTTAGGCGACATGGCCTGCTCAAACTCTTCACTCGTCATACATTCGAAGTTGCACACCATTCATCAACAACAACAGTCGGTGGCAGCACAATGGTATAGAAGGGACTTCGCCATGGATCCGGCTAGGTTCTACAGTAAACGAAGACACGCTCTGCACAGCAACATCCAGGGCGATCATCTCCCGACAGCAAACCCATCTCTACACGGGTAGAACGAGCCTAGTACCAGTATTTGCGACCTACCGAGTCGATGAGTATCTCTGCGAATAGATTGCGCAGTTGGCGCTGTCGTCCAGATGTCACTGCGCCATGTCGAAGCGACAGAATGGTCAAGTTCGCGGCCAGAGCAGTAATTGGCAAAAGAGCATGCGATTCAACACGACGTCGAGCCGAATCGCTGAGACTGAGCTCGACTGAACTGGCAAGTCCAGAATATACTGCACATTGCGAAGTCGCGTCGCCAGACATGTTGTCACTGATCGAAATATTCGTATCGTAGTCCGCAGAGCCAAGCCATTGCTGAAGTTATAACTGAAGAAGCGAAGAGCCTGCGGGTTATTTGCCAGAGCGAAAGGGACATCGATCACAGATACAAGCGCTGCCCGTGTTCTGGAAGAAGTGATGTATGAAGGATGTGCAATTTTGGCTCACTTCGTCACAGGGAAAATCAGTGATGTGCACTTTAGCGTCATGGTTTGCTCATTGCGTACACCACATGAACGGGCCCAGGCCAGCACCCTTATTTTGAAACGTACCTCAGCTTACGGTTGCACGCATGACGCTAGCCTGCTGAACAAGGGACAAACGAAGAGGCACATGCACGCGTGGCACGTAAGGACACCCAGGCGGCTCTGAAGAAGCACAGAAAGAGCTAGGTCCATTTCTGGCGAAAGAGCTCTCATTTCAGAGCAGTGTAACCGACCTGACATGGAGACAATGCGTTCATTGCTGGTCACTGTGAGCACTTATCGCGGCTATCATCTTCGATGAGCGTCGGAAATGGGGCACCGGGCAACTGCACGCGGCCCACGCAAGCTGTGCAAGCAATATAGACGGCTGCGACAATGCAAAGGCGATCATATCTCGGTCGCATGACGTGCGGCTGAGAGTCGCTGATGGCCTTTGTTGATGGACCACAATCGATGGGTGATGTGGAGGGGCCGAATTGTGTATGCGGCGAGAGCACGCGTGCTGCTCCAAAACAAGATGGCAGTTGTTACGTTGAAGGAGCATGACAAGACACTGATGAGCGACGAGCCGCTGTTTTTGAGGAATGAGTCCTGACAACGACGTCTTACATCAGTCGCAAGTGTTGTACAGGGCATCGTGATTGGGCGCCATTACGATAAGATCGAACAAGCTTTCCATCTTGCCCGGTGGGCACCTTTCGAGGACCTTACGCACAGCTTCGATATGAAATTTGTGGGAAGCTGGAGTGGATGGCCGGTTCCGCGCCCTATGTGGAACAGCTGGACACATTTTTCTTGGTGAGCGGCTAATGAGTGTGACGGATGACATTGCCGTTCGGTAAGGCTGTTGAACTTGGCGAGCACACGCTAATGGCATGTTGGTGCTACACGATGCGTTATGGCGTGACTGTGTCCGGATGTGCTACACGCATCAGCAATGAGACTTACCACCATGACACTGGACTGCTGGACAGTAACAATTTGCGTCTCACTGGCGCACCGAATGGCGGGCGAGACACTGCCTACCTCGGCTCGCTCGGTTTCTGCATTCCAGGATATGTGAAGAAAGTGGCGCCCTGGGTCGACTAGTTGTGGTGCCACGGTGCGTAAGGAAATAAAAATCTGGACGGAATCTTGCGTCGTCAAGCATCACGAGCCAAGCGACGTGCCATCTCCCCTAACTAGTTAGGATTCTCCACACCAACGTTCCGACTCGTCGGTGCTTCGAACGTCAGCGGGACTTATTGCAGATCCACACTGACTTCATCTGCAAGACAGCTCCTCCTGCGACCATTCACGTTACTCTGAATGCGATTGTGCGAACGTACTGTATACAATATGCGTTCGCCAAGCGATTATCAAAAGTCTGCTGATGTGCAGAGTTCCAGAACAATTTCCAAGAGAGACAATTGTCATGCACATGCATACCATAGCCAGACCATGAGACAAGTGCAGGGCTGAACCCTCGTCGTCATGATTCGAAAAGTGTCGTTGCCACGGGCGCAGAAAAACGCCCACCGTTGCAGAGCCGCAGGGTCTTCAGGGTGCAAGTTCTCCGCAGCCGGCGTCATGCGATCTGCAATTCATGCATGACGGCGATGGAGACTTTCCCCCTTCCGGCTCTCGATGGGCGGCCTCGTCCGTTGGGACTCACTATCGAGCCAGTCAACAGCCTGCTCACCGAAACTAAGGATCGTGTGCTCGGAACTCCTGCTCTGTCGCCTCGTCACTTTCCAGCAGTCCCACCAAGCAATCCTTCACCTCGTGCGGCTCAACCAGAGAGTGCTGGGATAGTCAGAGCTCCTGCTTCGCTTGGGACAGGTGGGTGGCGCCAATTACATCGTGCTAGGCAGATCTGTCTGCCGCTCTGACGCAGGGTCCCCGCTATACTGTTATCCAATCAACGGGGGACTGCACTCTCCCTTCCTCTGAACTGATATACATAGCTGAGCTCCCAGAGTGTTTTCTGACTAGCATCAATTCGAAATCGCACCTCAGATACAGTCAAAGCATCGCAGAGCCTCAAGACAACTTCTGTTCGTCCGAAACACCCATATCAAGACACGAACACAAGTTTCATCAAACTACCTCCACAATGTCTGCTGCCACCTATCAAACCAACGGCTTCGTCGATGCCACCAGGGCAGAGGACCATTTCGCGCAGCAATTCGATCTCTCCAACCCAGACGACGCACGATGCTCATATCAAAGGTGAGCTCGAACATATTCTCCGTTCCGTGAACATGACTAATCCATCCTCCCAGACTCATGCACCAACACACCAAGCAACAATTCGAAATGGCCACCGCCTCATCACGACGCCGATCCGCCGCTTCATCATCAACAGAGCCCGCTTCTTTATCAACTGAGTCAAGTCGAGGCTCCGTCAGCTCGACATCATCATAGTCGACCGCTTGTAATACGATTTCAAGGACGCAATTACACACCACTCTTGTCCCACTTAGCGAGCGTTCTCTTATTTCCTTATCATCTGAATGGAACTGGCGCTCTTGGACTCCACACACATCAAACATGCTTGATACAATAGCACTGGGACCTACACATCTTCACCTCACGATAACGAGCGACGTGACGGAGCATTGGGTCGGCGCCACATGGGTCGGCGTCGCATGTCATGAAGAACATCCTTATCTCGTACGAAACGCTGGAAATCTTGTTCCCACGGAGGTAAACAGTACTTCGACAATAGCGATATATCGACAGAGCTCTAGGAATGAAGTATCAGAGGGAGTTTTGATGAGGTCTCCTTTGGGGTGTTCAGATATCGGCGACATGTTTTTGTACTTCTAGTTTGCAGCGTATGCACATTCAGCGTGCGTGAAATTCAAGCATTTTTTAAACATTATCCTCGCTGATCATCTCCTCATCAACTGCGACCATGAATGAACGCTAGTTGTTGCATTCTGCGTCATCATTCATTCGACAGCGCTGCACATCTGCATGGTCGTGCCGTGTTTTTTGTCGATACGACATTATCATGGGGCAGCGTCGCGCATTCGCGAACTTGACTCGATCCTACAAGCAGTCGGCGACAAGGTAGTTGAGCGCAATTTGAACCTATGTACTACTTCGAGCCGGAATGGACGGACTCTCAGCACAACAGACGGCGTGAGCCACACGAGCATCGTGCATCGACATTCAGGTCATCGCAGTGGAAGAAGCATTCACAAGACGCCAGCACAGGCCATTCGCTGGGACGATTTCATCAGCTGAGCAGAATCACTGCGCAGCCCTTGCATGCCCCTTCCTTCCCACTGCATCTCACGCTCATGTGCGATGGCTTGCAAGTTCTCTTTGTCCAGAGACATAGAAGAGTAGACCAGGGATGAAAGAAAGCGTCCTTTGTATAACAAAGACATTGTCCTTCCGAACTTATCAAAGCCATTGGTAAAGTACATATTGCTCATCAAGCCTTTTATGCAAATTCCTCGTCTCAGCGCAATCCTAAGACGGTACTCTCAAGCCCGCTCGACGCTCTTCGATCTACATCCAAAGACGCAAGAAGACAGAGTGAAAGCTTGAAAGACCATCTCGAAAACCAATGTCTCCAATGCCGTCCCTGCTGGTCAGGAAACAAACCACGGTAAGCACCACGCTTTCATCCACATCTGACATGGCACAGTCTTATCAGGCTCAATCCGCAAGGGGCCAATCGTTCATTGGGTCAGCCTCCAAGGCGCTGTTAAAGACAATTCGCTCGCTGACCCCAACCTCGAACGTCCTCGGGAGAACGCCAACCTCCACGATCGTGGCGTTGTACAAGGAGCACACAGCAACCTACACCACCCCACCTCTCTCCTCCGAAAAGGCATCCGAAATCCTCCAAGAGTCGTCCGGCGGGCAAGTATACCTCTCTCACCATCCCAAGACTGATAAGTCCTACGTCGTGAAGCATACTGAGCCAGCTCCGCCTTCAGAACGTTCCCATCCTCCAACGGAGTCGTATGTCATTGAAAGCGTCTTGCAACCGCATCCGAACATCATCTTCCACCACGAAGCCATCCATGACTCGTCGAACCCGGGTCGACACTACATCGTTCTCGAATACTGTTCTGGCGGCGATCTCTTCAACCAACTATCGCACTGGTGGCTAACTCGTGAAACCCACGTTCCCGTACTCTTCCTCCTCCACACAATCGTCGAACTCTTTGACGCCTGTGCGTATATCCACCACGGATTACGCCATGTCGGCGGAGGAAAATACACCCAAGACCCAAAATTTCGCCCTGTCATACACAACGATATAAAGGGCGAGAACATTTTCTTGAAGAACTCCACAGATTCAATTGGTGGATTACCGTCTCTAGTCTTGGCAGATTTTGGCCACGCTCGCGTCGTAGGTGAGACTTTATACGAAACAGGAGCCGGAACGCCAAATTACTTCGCTCCAGAAGACCAGAAACTGACCCAGCAGGCGCAAGATGCCGGAAAATTAGAAGCCGACGAAGACATAACCGAAGTCTACTACACCATCAGTCGCAACCGGACCACAGCGGCAGACATCTACTCCCTGGGTCATGTTCTATACATCATGGCCGCGAACAGCGGTTTCAACAGAGAAACAATCTCGAGATGGGCGATCGGAAAAGATCCGCTCAAAATGAAAATCTCGCCTGAGTATCTTGAGGTTGATGGACTTCTGGAGATCATGCAAAAGTGTCTGATTCCTGAAGTCGAGAACCGTGCTTCTGCTGATTTCGATCCAAAGACCGGTGTATTGCCCCTTGTGCATCAGATTCGAAAGGTGAGAGATGAGATGATTCGAAAAGGTGAGCGTTTGCCTCGTGTCGAATGGCTACAGCCCCCGAGCGACTGGTCTTGAGGTCCGATGCCGTCTTCCCGTCATAGATAATTGATTGATTCGTTCCGGGTGCTTTCATGTAGGTCATAGGTAAGAGAAATGTTCTTTCGCGCTCACATCACTGTTCCAATCACTCGAATACTGAGTAAAACCATCGCTTTGCCAGAAGAAATCGAAGCTCTTGACCTGACTGAATGTACTAGATCATGCCATCAAATACAAAAGGAGCATACTTTATGTTTCCCGCATGAGGAGAGCAATTCTGCTCGACTGGTCTAGTGTCTTTTCGAGGGGTTTTTGGCACTTCAGGTCTTGTGCAAGCGAGGGTATGCTGTTCTGGCTTCGCTTCCTCGACGGTCGAGCGCTCTGCGAGATGTGAGTTCCAACTGTAGGAAATGGTATCTGACATTGTACAAAAAAACACGTCCTAAACGATGGCCGAACAAGGCATCAACACTATTTGTTTTGCCTTCAAAAGGGTGAGAGTCTAGCGTACTCATATACCACGTCAGACATGCTTGCTGTAGTGCCAGTATACCTGAAGCTCCTCCACACAGAGAGGTGACCGCCCCAGGACATGCCGCGCCCCATCAACGCGAACATCTGAACCTCGCTCGCCACTTTTTCAATTTCCCTCCCCGCAAGTCTTATAAGAAGAGGCTACATAATTGCCACATTGCAGACCAGGGCAACAATTCTGGCCTTGATCACAGCGGCCTGAAAGGTATCAGAGTGGCACCGTCAATTACTTATATGCTTAGCTTACCGCCTTTGTTTTGACAATGGTGACAATGATATCTACTCTCTCCAGCTAACTGCAGACAGCCCGTACCTGCACAACAGTCGCTGGTTCCCGGAAGGCACTTCGCTGTACAGTAGCAATTAGATATCGGTCTGGTATGAGCTGGACTGCGATCAACGAGCCATTGAATTGGAGACACGCGAGAACTTCCCCAACTAGTGCTAAAGATGTTATCATGATAGATGGACGCATGATGTTGCTGAGAGTCGAAATGTGTGCAAGAGAGTGGTCAAGTGAATCACATGGGAAACGGCTGCTCCGTCTCCGTATATACAACACGCATTGCGGAATTGCTCCGGGATCTATTCTCAAAAGAATTCTCGTATTGAGTCGGTTATCTGCATTTGGAGTATGCATGGTAGGGCACATCTCGCTTTTTCCGCATTTGCAGCTTTGTTGACAGGCGGTTCAGCGCAGTCGACTTAGGGCAGCTTATTAGAGTTAGCAGGAGAGCCCTGAAGGGCCTGGACCTCATTTTCTTTGAATCCGTGGTTGCAGGTAATAGATTGTAGATCATCAATACCTCACGCTTTGTTTCAGGATCTCTGTGCTCGCCTTACTGTCTCGATTATTTCCAACCTTCCTGTCGTTAGGTATCAGTACTTCTCTCAACTATCTTAGGACCGTTGAACTCGGCGGAAGAATGGACTCAGCGAATAACATTTTATATCGATTCTGTGTGCTGATCGTATCATCTAGCTTGCGCATTGCTCTCTTCTACAGGTCTTCTAGTCGTAACAGTTGTCGGTCGCACAATAAAGAATACCTGCACGCTGGTCAGTTCAGCCTGTCCAACAGAGTTTGTACCACTTGGCTGATACTCACATATACACGTTTCGATTCATCTCACGATTCCTGGAACATGTGCGTGGGGATGTTATAGTCGGCATAGTCCATATGCACGAAAGCTCGGTCGACTGCAACACCACATTAGCATATGGTCGTGATCAAGTGTCAAATGAATAGGGACTTACCACTCGGTACACTCTCCAGCACATACTGCAACGACTCTCCCAAATCGTGCGAATCCCTCAAACTAATCTCCTCATCCAACACAATATCCACCTCCACATTCAACTTATCACCCGAATGATAAGCCTGCAGACCTTGAATCTTCTGAATCGTCTTTGCGAAGCGCATCGTCAGATACAACAGGATGTTTCTCTCATCGGCACTCGCCGACGCGCCTGTCAGATTTCGAATGTGCTCATTCGCAGTCCGAGACCAGTTGACAATGACGTATAACGACAGAACAATACCGCCGACAGGATCGAGCCACCAGATATTGGCGTAGTAGCCCACGAGAGGGAAAATGATGGAGAAAGTGTTGAACACGACATCGGTCATGGCGTCTTGAGCGAGAGCTTGGACGGAACTGTTTTTGATGAGGCGACACCAAGCCCAGCAGGCGCCTTTGATGAGGACTGTCGAGGCCATGATGGCGATGGCAGGGGCGGTGAGTTGAACGGGTTTGTGGTCGCCGTTTGTGAGGCTGGAAAGTGCTTCCCACATAACTTGGATGAAGGCTGTGATCATGATGACGGAGAAGACGAGAACTCCGACCGGTTCGAGACGTCGGCGGCCGATCGGGTAGGCGTACTGATCAGTCCGAGAGATGAGGCGGGTAGTGATGCCGACGATGGCAGTGGAGAGGAAGTCGAGCGCTGCGTCGACCAAGGAGGCCAGCACAGAGACGGATGAGGAGAGGATCACGACGATGATCTTCATGATCAGCAGAGCGGTATTGGCTACCAAGTTGACAATAATTGCCACTGTGACGATCCGCGATTGGGATGAGGCCTCCTCTTCCAATTCGAGATCGGGCGGCATTTCTTGCGCCTCGATATCACCGTTTGAAGACGCGAGGAGAGGTTCTGATTCGTTCGAGTCGTGATTCGTATTGGCCTTCTTCACATTGTACAGATCCTTCGTTCTGATGACCTTTTGTGGTGGAGGGTAACCTTCGGTGTAGAAATCGCCATCGTCGAAGATACTGTCCTGCGACCCAGCGCGTTCATGGTAGATGTGTGGAGGGGAGGTGCTCTCCTCGTCTGCTCCCTCATCAATGGTCTCGGGTAGGTCTTTCTGCCAAGACTTCTTCCTCATTGCGCGAACGTGTGTCGCTTGGTATTCCTGAATAAGGTCATGAGGCAGACTACTGTCCAACAAGCGATCGATGTACATGTAGTGCTGGATAAGGTAGTTATTCCGCTCATAGTACTTTCGGATCGCTTTGCTCTTGATCGTTTTGAGCTGGTCTTCCGATTTCCAGTACTGTTCCCATCGATATCGCGGATTTGTGGATCCGATCAGACGCTGGCTGCGTACTTGTGGTGTATTGAGGATGCTGGCAGCATAGCTCATCCGCCGACTGTCATTGTCTCCTCCTCCCCATCCTGCTGCCGAAGAGTGTGCAATCTCCAGCATATCATCGCTCGTCTCGCTGTCTCGTCTCTTCCGGAGGAGCGGCATCTCTGCTGCCGAGACTGAGTTGGTCCGCTTCGTCCATGGACTCTTGGGTCGTTGGAGGCCGGCTACGCTAGCCGATGATCGTGACTGTATGAGTGAAGGCAGATGCGAGCCCCGGGTGGAATAGGGCGAGGCGATGCCATCGGCGGTGGTGTGCAGGGCATCGGCATGGTTGAGGGGTAGAAAGTCTTTCAGCGTACTGATGCGGTAGACGTTGCCTGCTGGCCGAACAACCTCCGCGTTCTGAGACCGCGTTCGTTGCAGGTTGTTGGCGTTGCTGTTTTCATTGTCGCTCGGGAGCGACACGTGGGCACACATTGTGGAATGGCCTCGGGAGGGAGTAAGGAAATGAATGAGTTATCAAAGGAACGACATAGCCAGAAATGTATTGTTGCTTTTCTGGTGAGGCAATGCTCCAGCTCTCCCATGTGCTGCAGCTTTCAACCACCTGCAGGGTTTGCCCACATCGTGCATCTCGGCCTCATTTGCCGACCTCGCCTAATTTGATTGCCGAGGCCGCACCGCACCACTTCACCTCATCTTTCACGTTCATGCTTTGGAATACTCTGGGCCAACATACGAGCAACATCCACGCCTGCAGTCATTAGACAAAGCTTTCGGAAGAATACCACGAGCTTGCTATGCTGATCATGCATGAGCTCCGACACCGCGTTAGGCATGGCCGCCACGAGGCCGACGCAATCCTGCATAATCCAATACATGACCACGAGTTACACGACAGCTCATTGCGGGCACTTACTTAGCTCTTACTCTGCAGCAGTAATACTCAATAGGCAACACTTGATTTTTGGGCATCTGCTATACACCGGGACCACACAATCATGCCAACCTCATGTCTCACCAATTGAACTCTTGGCATCACCATAATGGTCCCATCCTTCTCAGTCGGACCGCAGCTCCCTCGCATTCTGGGAGTCAGATTTTTCGCCCACCACTCAAGTGGCATCTCAATGTCTCTGCTTCCGTGACGCTTCCCTTCTGCTCTATAATGCCTCAAATCGGCGAAATCAGGCAAGCTGTGACCTGATTCAACCCGAAACGGAGCCTTGGCCTTGCACGTGCGGCTGTTCAATCTCCACCGACTCTCTACACTCTTGAGCAACCAGGCTACAATCGTCATGATATCGACTGAATCGAGGAGAAGGCCTACTCTGACCACGTAACGGCTTCACAGGTCAGATACTGGAACACTCCGAGAGGCCGTGATGAGATTGATGTGCATGGTACCAGCCTATTGAACTTCTTGCACTGTTCACCAATACTTCTGTTCGAGGTTTTGCGTTCCGCAAGGCCGCGATGAAACGTTGATGTCTGTGGTCTGTCTGTCCCCAGGCCTGAAGGACATCCCGATGATTTTGGTCTTGCCTGTCTGCTTTGGGACCGCGCGGTCGGTAAATCAGGCCAAGCCAACAAATAGAGTCTTGCTGGCGCAGACGAATGCACTCATCTGACGCCCGTATGTGGTCGGACAATGGGAATGCGAGGAGCGATGCCATCGTTCAAGTCTGCCGAGCCATTTTTTGATCTCGGCACAAATAAGACGGGCCTGCGACCAGAGTTGTGGACGCGGGTGATGCGCACACGCCCACTGATGGCCCAAGCCAGCGATTTGTCTAGCAGGTGACCAGCTTCCAGCAACTTGGCATGTTGCTTTCGTCTTCACTCCGTCGCCGTCTTAGACGCCCGAAGCGACACTATGACTGGAATGTGCTTGATCAAACATCCTGGGGAACCAAGTAAGGGTACGGGTTGCTCCAGAAGAAAGTTGAGTATAGAAATTCGATGATCGTCGTATACGTGGAAACATATGCTGATGCGAGAGAAAAACTGCATACACGCATGCCAGCTTCGTTTCGTATGTGCCGGACATTGCTGGCAGGAGCGATATAGAGGATTTTGAAACTGGAGAGATCAGTCAACTGTGATTGCAAGAGCCATATGCACCCGAATCAACTTACTGTGTCTTGACACAATAATTGAGATCTCGGAAATTCGAGAAAGGGAGGAAGACGCTTGCTGTGGAAAGCCGAAAGAGCGGCAACTGGTGGGCGCAATCTTGAGAGCCAGAAATGGAGACATTGGACCAATATCGCGTGGGCCTTAGAAGCTGCAACGGTGGTCTATTGTCATCGAAGGCGTGTGTATGTCGAGGAAGCTGTCGATATCCATGATCACCGGAGCTGAGTCATTGCGCGAAGCCGGGATCTCATCGATACCATCGACGTGGTCGTCATCGAAGCAGGACCTGACTTTTAATAAGCTTTGACACAATTTGAACGGGATGGAAGTAATATGGAAAAGAGAATTGAGAGTGAGGAGGATTCTGTCAAACGACAAGACTTACTCATCTGGACAAATGCAAATATCAACGATTCGGCAAACACTATTTCGGTCGGTCAGCAACATGCGAGTGCACAACATTGTCGATGCCAGCCAGCAGCTTTGGAGAGGTGCTTACCGGACATGCCGCCCTCGCGGCGGAGGCACAGCCCATTCCGTCGGTCCAGGAATTCGCCTTGCGCCGATGAGCTTGTCCCGAGCTTCTCGCATCACATGGACCTGTGCCAAAATACCCTTCGTCGGATGAAAGGACGCCTCTGCACGCTCGGCCGGATTGATTGCCAGCATGCTCCGGATCAGCTCCAGCACGCCCGGGGTCTCATATTCGCGAGAGATTCGCAAGCCACTCGACTCTGTACCAATGTTCGCCGGCTTTTTCTCCCTGGATGCGAACATGTACATCATCAGCCCGAAGGCATAGATGTCTGAAGCTGTCGTTCGAGCATCGCTCATTGCGTGAAAGGCCCAAGCGTTCTCCTTGATGGGCTGCAGGCCACCAATGCATGCGACATCCTCGGGAGCCAAGTAACATAGAGTCCCAGCGAGTCCGTTCGCTCGCGGTTGCCCTGAGAACTTTGCGGTGCCGAAATCAGCAAGCTTGATCTCAGGCAAAGGGAACAACCCCCAGCTAAGAAGGAACTGTTCTTCTTTTACATCGGCATGTACAATGGGCAGATGCTCCGGGTCTTGCGTGTATTGGCCCTTGCCGACGTACCTGAGGCCACTGTGGAGGTATGCAAGAGCTTCCATTCCTTGGACCAAGACGTGGAGCAGGAAAACTACTGGCATTGGGCTCCTGACACGCGAAAGCCAGTGCGTGTACTGCTGCGATAGCGAACCCGCATTGCAGTACTCCATGTAGATCTTGTGGCGCCCTGGCGCAGCGAGATCTGGCAGACAATCAAAAGCTGCAACGATACGAGGATGTGGCAAGACCATCCTGAGCAGCATATTCGCTTCGTGAGGCAGCTCATCGTGCTTGGCTTGCTCTTTCGACAATTTGGTCGCCTTCGTGTGCTTGACGGCAAAGACTTCGGGCTTATCAACATTGCTGAGCAGGTATACCTCTGCCTCCGTTCCTTGGCCTATCTGTTCCTCGCGGAAGGTGTGGTGCTTGAAGTAGTTCTTTTGATAGGTCTTCTTCAAGTTGTAGACCGCCGAGTTGGGAGATGGGCCAATGATTGGATTGCCTGTGCCGATGACACTGGTGACAGCACTGGAGATTGCGGTTGCGACTCGAGACATGATTCTTGGTCGCGCCGATTTTTGCTGTACGACTTTCAAGGAAGGAACTGCTGTTGACTTGTTCGGAATCTCTGTGCCGGCTTGCTTCTTGGAAGGTCTGTTCAGTGTAGCGGCGTGATCGTCCAAGAAAGGCGGAAAGATAACAAGCTCTGATGCTTGCGCTGGTGAATGCGAAGTCTTCGGCCTGCTAGGTGAATTGGTGTTTGGCTCAGTCACGACAAAGGACTTAACAGTCAGCTGCTTGCTTGTGAATGCCGACATCTTTGATCAACAGAGACGGAGGGTGGCAAGAAGTGGGTTCTGCCTAGTCTTCGCTTGTGACTGGTTCGATGTGAGGAGGGTCTTGTTTGAGAAGGAGAAGACATCTTGACAGATCGCCACGATATGTATTGCTCGAGCATGGAGGGCGACGACTTGCGCACAATGGCTTGGTGCAGCAGAGATAAAGAACAAAGGTGGACACAATGCCTTTGTGCGTATAGGGTGGGTGAAAGGAAAGGAAAGTACTGCACGCCAAGAAAAGATCAGGAGGCAGTGTGATGAGGGTGAGATGGAAAGAGAAGGGAGAATGGAACGAATAGAAACCGAGCTGCTTTTGAAGGAGTTTGCAACTGCAGCACAGGCGGGGAGGTGGGTCAAGACAGGAGATGTCATTCTCTTTGACATACGGGATATTGTGGAAATGGAATCCCCACTTTCTGCAGGAAGCCGCTGCTCGCACCCACCTCCACCTCTATAAGCCAGATTTCATCGGAGGCGCGATTCCCGCAAACATGATCGGAGATTCAACAGCATTGATCAACAGCGAATTATGGCACGTGGTAACACGGAATAGGATGAGTTCCACTTCAGAATTTGCCTGGAAATTTTTCTTCATTCAGTGTGAATACCAGACTCTACACAAACTGCCATCGATGAAGCGACATGCAAGAGGCCGCAGAAGACGTCAGCACAGCTCATTCCGTTCCATCCAACTTCTTCCTCAATTAAGTTGGCATCATCTAAAACCTTCACCTCCCTACGACGACCCCTCCCTTTGCGCCTCCCAAAGCCTCCGAAACCCCTCAGAAGATCCCCCATCATCTCGTTCCAACAACTCCCTCGGCCGTCCCGTTTCCACAACTCTCCCATTAGCCAAAACAACCACCAGATCAAAATCCACCACCTCATCAAGCCGATGCGCCACAACAACAACCGTCTTGTCAGCAAACTCCTCGCGAATCACAGCATTAACAACAGCGGCCGTTTGCTCATCGAGACCACTCGTAGGTTCATCCAAAAGAATGATGTTGCTGCTGCAAGATTTGATCAATGCGCGTCCGAGGCAGAACAGTCGACGTTGTCCGAAGGAGAGCTGGTGGTCTTGTATTTTGGCGTCGAGCCCAGCAGTACCATTACCATTTTCACCACCATCATGGTCGTGGCCATTATGATCACCATCACCATCGCCTTCGCCATCGCTGCTGCTACGCGCAGCAGCAGCAAAATGCTCACGCCATAGGTGAACCTTTTGCAAAATCTGAATACACCGCTCATCAGTCGCTTGGCCCATCGGATGAAGATTTTCGCGCACGGAACCTTGAAAGAAAAAAGGTTCTTGGGGTAGGACGTTAAGCGTTCTTCTGATATCTTCGCGAGGGAGGGACGAGATGTCGATGTCATCGATTGTCAGAGTTCCCGATGAGATTTCTGTGATGCGGAGGAGAGTTGCGATGAGAGAAGATTTGCCGCTGCCAGTGCGGCCACAAATGGCCACTTTTTGGCCCGAGGGGATGTGCAATGTGAGATTATGGAGGACAGGCGGGTTGTCTGGACCATAAGATGCTGTGAGATTTGTGCAGTTGATGGAGCCGTTGGTGGGCCAGTTTTGGGGTGGACTGCTTTTCTCGCTGGGACAATGCTCGCTTCCGACATTGCGCTCATACGCTTGAATTCTGTTGATGGCGCCGAGAGCTTGCTCGACTTGGGTCCATTCGGTTACCAAACTCTGCAATGTTGAAGAGAAGATGACGATGTTGAATAGCGCGACGCCAAGGAATGCTGTTGATGCATTGCGTATCGTCGTTGCGATTCCTACTAGCATGACTGCGAGGCCGGCGTTAAATAGATCCAGCACCAAGGTGAGCCATTGCTGAACACAAAACAGGAGGTAATACGGACGCTGAGAGAGATCGATGGCCTTGCGATTCCGCTCGCTGTACTCGGCTGTCCAAGCGTATGCGCGAATTGATTCAAGGCCGTTGATCGTTTCGAGGAAATGCGAGAACAGAGGTGCTTTGGCTTCAATGTCCAGTAGTCTTAACTGCCTGGATGTCCGGAGATAGAAGAGCGCAATTAAAATGAGCACCACGAAGCAGACCGGAATAGCAGCGGCGATGTATCCGGAGCCCATGAACACAAAGATCGCGGATGCGATTGTAGATAGGAATTGAAATACAAATTGGTTGATAGCCTGTGGGAGGTCGTTGTCGATCAATTCCAAGTCCTGACTGAATCGATTCAAAGTGGTTCCAGCATCGGTCGAGGTGTGAAAGGTCACTGGAGCGCTTGTATTTATCAGGCATTGTTAAACATGTGCGTGGGACGAACAACATACTTCATGGTTGTTGTCAACAGTACCTCGTGGAACTTCCTTGATGTCGTTGGGAGCACGATCAGGTTGAATGTTCTGTGCAACACAATGAGCGGTGTCTGAAAACGTACGCTAACGCGTCAGTACTTACGAATCCGCCACTGCACACCCCATGAGGGCCAACACCCCCAAAGTGGCGAATATGCCAAGCCAATATCCGATGTTTTGATTGGGGCTGGTGGCATTTGCATTGGTCCACCATTGGAGCCAGATTGCTAATGAACAATCAACTTGGACGTCTTTCTTCCCTGAGTGCAGGACGACTTACATGGAAAAGTGATGCCGAAGACAAGGACAGCACACGCGGAAAGATAGACAATAGTCATTGGCCATCCCGCCATCCGCACATAGTAATACCAGACCCGCAAATCGCCCTTGTGACGATGTTTCTCGGGCTCTGGGTCGAGGAGTAAGTCCAAGTCCCGCTCGGCATTACTGAATTCATCCTCCAATTCACGGTCCGACGACAGCTCTGCATGTGGGTTCGTTGGCGCCGATTTCTCTCCATAGACAGTGTCATCCTCGGCTGTAGAGCCACCTTTGACCATGCATCCGCTCATGTCCAAGTGAATAATGTGATCTGCGAGGCACAGATGATGAGCGGATGAGGTGGCAAAGACCACCGTGGTCTCGAACTGGGTCAAAATGCCCTTTTTGCCGAAGACCTCGCGCAAGATGTGCTGTTCGGTGGCAGGATCAAGACCTGTAAGCACACCGTCCAGCAGCACGCACCGATTCCGAGAATAGATGGCACGTGCGAGCGAGACACGGGCTTGTTGACCACCACTGACTTGGGAACCTTTCGCACCGATTGGAGTCTGATCGCCCATGCGCAGTTCTTGGAAGTCGGCAACCAAAGCACATGCTGAGATGACTTTGAGGTACCACTCTCTATCCCAGTCAGATTTTCCAACGATGTTGTTCTGAATTGTGCCCCAGCTGCACCACCCTTTCTGAGAGCAATATGCAGCCTGTGGGAACGCCGCTTCGATCTCTCCCGATGTGACAGGCAGTTCGCCGAGCAGAAGCTTAAGCAAAGTGGATTTCCCACTTCCCACTGGGCCGTATATAATTGTCATTCGGTTCTGCGGAACTGAGAACGTGAGCTCGTGAAGCACATCGCGGTCATCATTTTCATATCGGACTGATGCACTTTCTACCCTGTAGGCGTTTACGTGCATGCCGAGATCTGCTTTGTGTTCATCTGATCGCGTTGAAGGGCAAGTGGATTTTGGGGACAACACGGCCCGTGTATCCAGGCGTTCTGGTGACATGAGGTACTCTTGAATTCGTCGGAACGAGTTGACAATCGTTTGGATGTCTTCCATTCCGTCCACGGCGTACTGCACAGGCTGTTGAAGTAATTCGAAAATACTCAAAGCGCCGAAGGCGACGCCCTCTGTCAGCGTGCGTTCCGGAGTGTCTGATTGTGCAATGAGTATATATGCTAGGAAGCCCCATACTGGAGCTATGGCCAAGTACATAAAAGCTATGGATGACGGCAGCGGTCAGTACACAATCTCTCCAACAAGTTTAGTCACTCACTGGACATGAAAACGAAGATGTTCAAGATGCGGTGGCGTCGCGAAGCCCGGATTTCTGCAACTCTGAGCCATGCCAACTGTTTTGAAGCAAATTCGACCATTCCTATCATCTTGATGAATTTGATGGAAGAAAGGGTCTTGGCTGTTGCAGCCAACCGAGCCTCTATTGCTTCAAGCCATGGTACCTGTGCGTTACCGGAGGCTCTTGCGATGGGAATACCCGCGAACACACAAGCTGCGCGTACATTAGTGAAGCATCGGACATGTGATAAGTGGTGTGTACATTACCACCCATCCACGCCACCGCAGGCACCATGGCGAGTCCCAGGAAATCATACAGGAGCCAGAGACCCAGGCCAGCTTCGATGAAGCTGGCGTAGAGTTCGTGAAGGACGTGCATACTGCTCGTGATTCGATCGATATCTGCACTCATCAGAGTCACGGCCTCGGCATTGTCGAGATGAGCCGTCGGCATGCGAAGGGTTTTGTCAAAGATCAGAGCCACGAGGCTACCACGATAGAGGGTGATTAATCTGTAGGTCTTCTGCTGATAGACGGCGTTGGTCACAGCTATGCCGACAAGAACAATTGCATATGCGCCGATGAGCCCATACGCAGTCGTGCGATTGTCTTGGCGATCAGACGTCGAGGTGAAGTCCAGGACTCGCTGGATGAGGTAGGGCTGGACAAAGGTGAAGGCCGCAGATGCGAGACGAGGGAGCACGCCGGCCAGAGCGGGCCACTTGTAGTGTGTGATGAACAGGCACAAGAGACGATGCTCGGACTTGGTGACTGTGTCGGCAGTCAGCGTCATTCCTGCCGAGTTCACTGGCGATCACTGACCTTGTGCCCATTTCTGCTTCAATTCGGCTGGTCGAGAAGCTGCGAGAAGGTCATCGTCGAGCGGAGGAAGCGTGTTGGTGGTCAGCATGGTGCGATAGCCCTTGGCGAAGACGGCATTGAGCCATAGAAAGGTCGCACGATTCACCACGCCACTTGCTGCCTCGGGCGATGGAGGTCGGGCTCCATGCCGCAGCATCGAACGCTTTTCGACATTCTCGAGGGCGAATGTACATACCTTCGCCAGCAAGCCCCCCGCATTCACCCAGGCGATGGTCCTTCCTTGCGTGGTGAAGAACAGGGTGCGGGTGCGTGCGAGGTCGAGAATGAGGGCGAGGCCCAAGTACAGCACGAGGGTCGTGGAAGGGCGGAAGGCGCGACGATGCTCGAGAGTGGAAGTCAGTGCCAGCAGGACGGTGCCGGCCAGCAGGAGCGACAGGCATGCCACCGTCAGTCGTGTTTTGGGGACGGCATCGGGCGACGCCAAGACGAGGAGCGTGATCTGGACGGCGGCGTAGGCCAGATAGGTCATCTGGAGGGAGCGTCCGGGTCAGCTTCATGCGTGCGTCGAGCACTCCCCATTGATTGTACCGCACCAGCTTGCATGGCAGCAACCACGACCCGCGGATCAGGACGCGTTCATGTCGGAGACGGAGCAGCCTCCACACCGCCCACGCAGCTGTCCCGAAGGAAGGTCAGTTCCGCTGGGCAAGAGGGAGCGTCAATGGCGATACGTACCGGCAATGGCCAGCGGAGCAAGAGTCAAGATGGCCTCTTCGAAGAGGAGGGTGAAGTCGAAGCCGCCCAGACAGTCGCGCGACACCACCGGTCCCCAAGTGTCTTCGGCGGCGGGAGAGCAAGACATGGCGGCATCGCACGCAGAATACAGCGGACGAGACTTCCAGCCCAAACGATGCAGCAGCAGCACGAGTCTTTTCGATGCCGGCGGTGCACGGGGCGCTAGGCCCATAGAATAGCAGCCAATGCAGTGATCGGCATGCTTTTCAACGTCGGAGCCAATGCAATACTGCTGCTGCAGCAGCGTGAAAAGCGTGCATTTTCCACGCCTGACATGCTCGCCATCCTGCTCTCTCCTCCTCCTCCACGCCGTCATGGACTTTTTCCTGTCTCCGCAGTGCGGCGCGCGTGTCAGCAGACTGCTAGCCGATCATCACGTCGTCGGTCTGGCCGTGTCGCTGGTCCAAGGCCGACGACTCGAGAGCAGGGCATATGGCAGGGCGGCACTGGATCCGCCACGAGACTTCACCGCTGACACCGCTGTGCCCGTCGGCTCGGCGGCCAAGTGTCTGACTGCCGCCGCCGTCGCGCTCCTGGTCGCCGACGACGACGCTCACCCGGATGTGCAGTGGGAGGCGGAGATGCGGCACCTGCTACCCGCTGACTTCGCGCTGCCGGGCGCCAGCGACGTCGCTGTGTCCGATCTGCTATGCCATCGCACCGGCCTGCCACGGTGAGGGCGCGTCACGACGTACACCGCACATGAACGAAACGGACTGATCACCGCGTAGGCACGAGCTGGCGTTGCTCGGGAGCGGAGCGGCGCGACCGGACGATGCACGGTCAATCACACGCAAGCTTCGACACTTGGCTCTCGCCGCCCCGCCGCGCCACTCCTTCATCTACTGCAACCTCACCTACACCGTGGCCAGCTATCTCGTCGAGGCCAAGAGCGGCGATCCCTTTGCCGCCTATCTCGAGCGCCGTCTGTTTGAGCCGCTGCACATGCACTCGACATGTCTGGGCCACGCGCGGGCGAAGGCGAAGGCCTTGCGCATCGCCGAAGGCTACTCCTGGGATCGCAAGTCCAAGCAGCATTGTGTGATGCCTCACATTGATGGTGCTGAGCTTCAGGGAGCCGGCAATATCTTCTCCACGGCCGGAGACTATGCGAAGTGGATTCGTGCCATGATGCAGCGCGAAGACCCAATCACTGAACACGTCTTCAATGCCCTCACCGAGAGCCGCATCTGCCAAGACGCTGACCTAGATCTTTTCTACGCATTTGGCTGGGACGTCCGCCGCTACCAAGGCCATACGCTCCTTCTGCACAACGGAGGAGAGGCAGGAAGCGCGACAGTTCACTTCTTCATCGCCGACCTCCAGTTCGGAGGTGCCATCGTGAGTAATTCAGCGCATGCTGACAGCCTCCTCGGCCAGCTCATGTACCTATTCATCGATGAGGCCCAGCGTAGCACATCGTCTCCGTCCGTCCACGACATGTCGCAGCTAGCGCTGGAAGAAGAGTGGCCCGACACCGCATCCGAGTGTGGGTCGGTGGCATCGAGCGAGGATCACGTGTATTCTATAGATGACGCTATGAGAGAGGAAGAACAGATCGTGCAACATCTCTGTCCAGGCATTAAGACTTTTCAGCCCTTGCTGCTGCCACTCGAAGTATATACCGGACGATACTGGAACCCCGGCTACCAACAAATCATTCTACAGGCTCGAGCTGATCAATTGTTTGCAGATTGTTCGGAGCGGTCCTGCGGCTTCACCTTAACGTACAAGCACATCTGCGACAATACCAAGTTCATCGCTTACATGAGAATGGCCGAAGGAGGCAATGACATCCCGCTCTCCGCTGTGTTCGAGATTGAGAATAACAGGGCGTGGAAAGTGGGCATCAGACTGGAGGATATGCTGCCCCAACACATCTGGTTCTCGCGACTTGAAGACTCATCGATCGATGGCATCTGATATGCTCTATAAGCACTAGCTCTCTCCCCGCAATTGTGTCCCAGGTGTTCGCTGCCCACCGCCATTCTGAAATAATTTGCTTGTGCTCACCACTGTCTTTCCGCTCCCTGCGAATTCGCCAGCTAGGAGGTGCTTTGGGCTAGGAAAGCAACGCACGCTGTAACCCGATAGCAAAGGTTCTGCTAATGAAACGGTTATGCGAGCAAACGTCTCTGCCAGAAATGCTTGCTGACGTGTCTTGTCACGATCTACAAACGCTTGCCTTAGCGCGAAACCATATTCTCTAATGAGACGTTGCACAACACTGTATACGACAGTCAAAGACGATCTCGATCCGGACATGGTTGAGACAAGCAATGTTCACGCTCGTTGCCGAAGCGGAGGGCATACTTGTAGGTCCTTCACAAATCCTGTGCCACCCAGCAGATCCATAGCGTGCTCGCCTTTTGGCCAGAAATCACTTCGAAATGGGCGGACTTTCAGTCACAGACGGCTTCAGACACCATGATCGGACTCCAGAGGAGAATGCTTGCATCGACCTCGTGAAGAGGCCTTCTCCTCATGTCCCGGTGCCCCCGGCGGACGATGAATGTAACACGGGCGCTGCTTATTCCCCGTTCTCTCTGCTGCCGTCCTCTGGCAATACCTCCGATACCATCGCCCATGCTGCAAATCTCTGCGGTGTTAATCCATCCAGCGTGGCCGACATCCTACCATGTACTCCGCTCCAAGAGGGCCTTATGGCGCTCGGAGTGAAGAATCCAGACAATTACGTGGTTCAGTTCTCGTATCAGATCGGGCCAGACGTCGACCTCGACCACTTAACGCGGGCTTGGAAAGAGGTTGCTATGTCAAATCCGATTTTACGAACAAGAATACTCAGCCTGGCGACCGCAACTGAGTCTGGACTCTGGCAGGCAATTCTTGATGAGCCGTTGGAATGCAATATCGTGGATACGCTCGACGATTGTGCTAGTCGCAACCTCCACATGGGTCTTTCAGATCCACTTTCAAGAATAACTATCATTCGAAAGCAGAATGCCTCAGGACATCGTCATGTTCATTGGCAAATCCATCACGCCATTTTCGATGGCTGGAGTCTGGATCTCCTCCTCGACGACGTCGAACGCGCATACTATCAACAACCGCGCACGCCACTTCAGCCAATGCAATATTTCATCAATCATTTGCACTCCCAGGACCAAGGGGCCCGAAAGCTGTTTTGGAGAGAGTACTTCAACGACACTCGGGGCGTACATTTCCCCTCGTCGCCACTAGGACTGCAGGCATTTCCCGACAGCCAACTGGAAAGTACGTTGACAGCGATCTCGTGGGAGAAGTGCGACTACACGAAAGCCACCATCATCGCAGCGGCCTGGGCCTTGGCAGTGGCGAATGAATCGGGCGGGCATGAAGCTCTTTTCGGGCTCACTGTGAATGGTCGCCAAGGACAACTTGAAGAACTTGGTCTTGTTGCTGGACCGACTATTGCCACTGTGCCAAAAAGAATAGTGATGGGTTCTAGCTGGTGCTACAATGATCTACTTAGCTTCGTCCAGCGTGATTCCGTTGCCATGCTTCCTTTCGAGCAGACTGGACTTCAAAATATCCGCGCCGTGAGCGATGAAGCTGCGATCGGCTGCAGGTTTCAATCACTTCTCGTGGTGCAACCTCAGCTGTTCAAGGCTGATTCCACTGCTTCAAGTCGCCTGCTGCAAGAGTTGGACACAGACGAGGATTCACGGTCGCCATCCACATCCGACACATACGCAGTCGTTGTTCAATGTTGGCCAGACAAGGATTCCTTGCGTGTACGAATCGCATTCGACTCCAATCTGGTCCCCGAGAAGCAGATTGAATTCGTAGCTGCAAGCTTCAGGCACGCGGTCATGGAGTTGTCTGATCACAATCGCGCTGCATCGCAAATTCAAGATGCTCAAATGGCATCCTGGAGCCTTCATCAGATTTGGGAGTGGAATGATGCTTTGCCCGAGAAAACACCGTTGTGCGTGCACGATGTGATTGCGTCGCGAGCCCGGGAACGTCCTTTAGCATGTGCAATCAACGCTTGGGATGGCGATTTCACTTATGGAGAGCTGGAGGGTGCGACAACAAAACTCGCTCTTCACCTCCGACCCAAACTGGTCGCCGGCGAGACCATAGTGCCAATTCTGTTTGAGCGGTCGAAATGGCAGACAGTCGCTGCACTCGGCGTTATCAAAGCAGGCGCGGCATGCCTTTGTCTGGATTCGAGACAACCGGTAGCCCGCTTACGCACTATCATCGCTCAGGTCGGCACTGAAATACTTCTTTGTTCGAGCAGCAATGTCTCTCTCGCGAGCAAAGTTGGTGCTGAACGCCTCGTCGTGGTGGGATCAGACTCCATGTGGCTCAGAGAGGAACCCAGCGGCGCATTGCCCCTGGTCAAACCCTCAGACACGCTCTATGTGAATTTCACATCTGGAAGTACGGGCGTGCCCAAGGGAGCGATGAACACACATCAAAGTTTCTGTTCCGCTATAACTCATCAACAAAAGTTGCTTCAATTCTCTGAGGAATCTCGCGTTCTCGACTTTGCGGCTTGCTCCTTTGACGCATGGTGGACCAATTGTCTGCACAGCCTCACATCTGGCGGCTGCCTCTGCATACCTTCGCAAGAAGAACGTGACAACGATCTTGCTGGCTGCTTGGAACGATACAACATCAACTCTGTCGATCTGACTCCTTCCGTTGCGCGAATCGTCGGCCGATCTGCGCTCTCCCGTCTTTCCACTCTCATTCTCGGCGGAGAGCCTGTCATCCCCGAGGATGCCCATCTAGCAGGCCCACAGACCCGAATCTTCAATGTTTACGGTCCGGCAGAGTGCACTATTACCGCAACGATCGCTGAAATCCGGCCCGATGACATTAGCATCGGACACGGACGAGGCGTGTGCACTTGGGTTGTTGACCCAGATTCGCAAACTTTGAGTCGAATTGGAGCTGTGGGTGAGCTCTGGCTTGAAGGACCGTTGGTCGGCCAGGGGTATCTTCACGATCCGGTTCGTACGAAAGAATGCTTCATGGAGAATCCTGCGTGGTTGGAAAAGGGTATACCTTCTACCGTCACAAGTTCAAGCAGAACTGGCCGCCAAGGACGTGTGTATCGCACTGGAGATCTCGTGCGGTACAGATTGGATGGATCACTAGAGTACATCGGCCGAAAGGACAGGCAAGCCAAGATTCGTGGGCAAAGGCTGGAACTCAGTGAAGTCGAACACCACGTCAAAGAGGCGCTGTCATTGTCAGTCTCGGCGATTGTGACTGCGGAAATTATTCAGTCGTCGAATGGTGGAAGTGCAGTGCTGGTTGCTTTTGTCACGTTGAAGCACGATGCAGAGAGCGCAAAAGAACAATCTTTGCACGATAGCGTGGTTCAGAACGCTGTGCGTGGGCTTTCTGCAAAACTCCTGGAGAAGGTTCCATCGTATTTGGTACCGTCTGCATTCTTTCCATTGATGACCATTCCCAGCATGGCGTCAGATAAGATCGATCGAAATGCGCTTCAAGAGCTAGGAAAGACTCTCTGGTCCCAACATCAAGAGAATGAAAATACGATCGATACAGAACCTACCACACAGCCTCAGGGTACGACTCAGTCAATTCTCCAAGAAATCTGGATGTCCGTGCTCAACCTATCGCAGACCGACGTGACAGTGGACAAAGCCTTCACAAGGCTCGGCGGAGACTCCATCTCCGCCATGCAAGTCGTCGCACAGGGAAAGCTCCGCAACCTCCTGTTCACCGTCACGGACATTTTGGAAACTGCAACGATTCGAAGACTGGCCAGTCGCTGTCGGATCGCAACGACGCATGACGTGGGTAAAGCCACCTCGAGCGAGGAGGAGGAGAAAGAGCTCGAACGGGAAGACAAATTCTTCGGACTCTCTCCCATTCAGCAAATTTTCTTCGATCTATATCCCGATGGCCTTAATCATTGGAACCAAAGTTTCCTTCTCGAGCTCAACAAACCCGTGAGCAAAGAGGTGCTCGCCGCTGCTTTGGAAGCTGTTGTGGCGAGACATGAAATGCTTCGCTGCTATTTCGACAGGGAATCGAAAGTTCATTGCTGGAAGCAACGTATCATGCCGATGTCTGAATGCCCGTATCCTATCCTGGTCGAGCATGTGGTTGAATCACACGAAGCAGTGCAGAATATCTGTCAATCACGGCAAAAGTCCTTCGATCTTCGCCGCGGTGGATTGTTCGTTGGGGATTTATTCCATGTCGAATCAAGCAACACCCAGCTATTACTTCTCTCGGCGCACCACGCGATTATCGACTTGGTTTCGTGGCGCATTCTCTGGGCGGATATAGAAGACTTTGTTGAACATGGTAGCTTAAGATCTCACGCTACAGCTTCGTTTCAGCACTGGCTTCAGCGGCAGCATACTGTGGGGGCGACTCTTTCGCCACTTGCAGTTTTGCCATATGCGGTCCCGAAGCCACAAATGGATTTTTGGGGTCTGACTGCAAATGAGAATACGTTCGAGGGCTGCGAGGCTTTCAGTCTTGTCTTTGATGCAGAGCTTACGGCTTCTTTGTTTGGAGAGGCGAATGAGGCTTTGCGAACTGAGCCGATTGATATTATTATTACTGCTTTGACACGCTCCTTTTGGCAGACTTTTCCTGAGAGAGAGCCGATTGTTGTTTGGCTCGAAGGGCATGGACGAGAGTCATCTGATGACTTATCACTGGACATCACGAACACTGTGGGGTGGTTCACTACTCTTTGCCCCTGTCCTCTTTCCATGTCATCTGAAAGCACCTTGCTCGAGCTGGTTCGCTTGGCAAAGGATAATCGGCGACGGGTACCTGGCAAGGGACAGCCGTATTTTTCTTGTCGTTATCAAAGCAAGTCTGGGCAGGAAGCCTTTGGAACTCATGACTTTCCCGAACTGGTCCTCAATTTCTCTGGGCAGTTTCAACAGTTGGAAGCCGAGACGGGTTTGTTCAAGCGTCCGGAGAGTTTAGACACTGCAGATCTGGACTTGTGCGAAATGTCACCCACAGCGCAGCGAAGCAGTGCAATCGAGATCAGCGCCGAAAGGTGTGAAGATGAATTTCTGGTCACATTTCACATCCACAAGGACATGCGCCATCAGGAAAGACTCCAGTCTTGGACGAAGTCTTTCGCTCAGGCGCTCAAAACTCTCACGCAGGAACTACAGAAGACGCCTCCGTCTTTTACGTTGACAGATTTGCCTTTGCTGTCTTTGTCATATGAGAGTCTTGACGTGATGCTCCGGCAACAGCTCCCGCGAGCCGGAATTCCTGTGAACCAAGTGCTTGATATGTACCCTTGCCTGCCTGCTCAAGAGGGCATGCGTGTCAGCATCCAGAGTGGGTCCGCATCGTATACCACTTCGAACATCTGGAGTTGTGTACGAAGTCCTGGCGCTACTTCTCCATTGTCAAGCGCGAAACTTGAACAGGCGTGGGGAACGGTGGTCAAACGACATAGTATCCTGCAGACTGTTTTCATGCCGCACCCGGAAAACGGTGGCTTCATCCAAATATTACTTCGAGACCCAGAAATCCTTGTCAAACACATCCGTGCCGCCAGCGACACTCACCAAAGCGCAACAGCAACTTTGGCAACCCTCAACCCGCCACACTTCCTCCCGCATCAAGTCGAGCATACTTTCACGATTTGCGAAGATCCTTCCAGTGGCGAACTCGCCTGTCGACTCGACGCCAACCATAGTCTCATCGACGCCGCAAGCCTGGGTCTGATCGTCGCCGAACTGGTGAAAACTTACGATGGTGCAGCCTCGAGTTTCGCGACCGTTACGGCCGCCGCACCTCCATTTCGCGACATCGTCCGCCATGTCGTGAGCATTCCTCAAGCGCAACGTCTATCTGCGTGGGAACGACTTCTACAAAATGTCAAGCCTTGCATCTTCCCCACTCAACGGAGCGAGGATCTTCGCGGAGAACTTCTTCGTGATGAACGCTTCGCTGTTCTCGAAGTCCCACGGAGCGAAATGCACGGCGTGGCGGAGTTTTGCGCTACACGAGGTCTCACACGTTTCGTCTTCGTGCAGTTGGTCTGGGCGCTCGTCCTCGCACAATTCACCGGTCATCGTGAAGTTTGCTTTGGATATCTTTCTCACGGACGAGATATCCCCGTCGATGGAATCGAAATGATGGTAGGCCCTTTGGTTAGCTTACTCGTGAGTCGCATCGATGTGAGAGCTTCTGCTGAGGAAGTGTTTCGTCGGGTTTCACGGGATACGATTGAGCATCGGAATATTCAACATACGTCGTTGGCCGAGATTTTGCATGTTTTGGCGATTCGTGGACAACAGCATGGGCTGTTCAATTCTACGGTTTCGGTACGTGGTGCGGATCTGGCGATGAGTTCGGGGAGTTTCTCGCTTCAAGAGATGGGTGGGGAGGATCGACATGAGTTTGATATTGGGCTGAGTGTTGCGTTGGAGCGGGAGGCGATGGCTGTGGTTGTTGAGTATCGTGAGGCCACGATTCCGGTTCAGACGGCCCAGGCGGTGGCTCAGATGTTGAAGCTGGCGGTGCGGTATTTGCTGAAAACACCTGGGGAAGAAGGTTTCTGCTACGGGCTTGAAAACGAAACGAATGGCCTCTGGCACGGTTTCTTCCGGTATGTCGTTGGCTGCGAGGAGCATCTGGCAGAGTCAATATGGCGGGAGCAGCTCGATGGTCTGCAGGCCACTCACTTCCCTCTATCATCGGACGGCGCTGCGGAGACTGCATCTGTTTGTCGAGTGGAAGCCGACATTCCGGAGGTCACGATGCACCATATGGAACCTGAAGTTACGCTGAGGACCGCATGGGCTCTGCTGTCTTCACGCATGACAGGATCTGACGAAGCAGTCTTTGGCGTTCTACCCGCGGCTGGAACTGAAATCGTCGATCCGTTGCCTATGCGTCTTGCAATTGACCCGTCCAGCAGCTTGTCTACACTCACACGTCAAGTCGAATGTCGGGGTGCAACCATTCGCAAATTGCAGCGAACACCCTACGATTGGCTTAGGCTGATGAGTGATGATGCGGCTTTCGCGTGTGACTTTCACGTCGTACTGGAAGTGGGAAGCGAGAAGTCTTTCCATGGGCCGCTGACTATCGCCGCGCCATTGAGATGTACACTGGATGTTCAGCATCAGAAACTTTACTTGTCATGCAACAACGGGACATTGACTACGGCACAGGCCGAGCGGTTAGTGAACCAACTACGCCATGTCATCAGCCAAGTGCTAGACCAGGATTTACAAGACACGAAGCTAGCTGGCTTGAATTTGACCGATTTGCAAGATATTCAGCAGATTTGGAAGTGGAATGCGAACGTTCCCGAGGCCGTGAGCACCTGCGTTCATTCGCTGGTAACGCTCAAAGTCCACGAACAGCCTTCGTGTCCTGCTGTCTGCGCCTGGGACGGTAGCCTTACATACAAGGAACTGGATGATCTTTCGACACAAGTTGCGAAACAGCTCATAAGCAGGGGAACAGTTCATGGTACCGCTGTTTTGCTACTTTTGGAGAAGTCCATGTGGATGCCGGTCGCTGCACTCGCCGTGATGAAATGTGGCGCCGCTGCAGTGGCGACAGATCCTTCTACGCAGCCTGAAGAGCGACTCGCGGCCATGGCGAGACAGGCACAATGCACGATCTGCTTATCTTCCGCCTCAAATATCGAATTGGCGCAGCGAATCTGTGACACAGCTATGATCGTGGGATCGAATCTGCTCATCGAGTCGTCGCAAATCGCAGACCAGGAACTCTCCATGGTGAGTCCGTGCGATTTGCTGTACATACAATTCACCTCGGGAACCACAGGCGATCCCAAGGGTGTCATGATCACGCATCAGAATATGTGCTCTGCGCTGGAATACCAGAGGGTGAGTCTGAACTATCAGCGAACCTCGAGAGTGTTGGATTTTGCGTCCTACGCGTTCGATGTCTTTTGGTCGAATCTGGTGCATACTTTGACAATCGGTAAGTACAGTACAGTGCTAACTTTTCGGTGATCCCGTCCACGAGACTATGTGCTGATAAGAACCAGGGGCATGCTTTTGTATTCCCTCACCAGATGAACGGATGAATGATCTCTCTGGGGCACTTTTGAAATACGACATTACGCTCGCCGATCTCACGCCTTCTATCGCCAGGCATCTATCTGGTATTGAAAGACTTTCCACGCTCATTCTAGGTGGAGAGGTTGTGCTTCCCAGTGATTGGCACACGCTAACAGAGCATGTCGAGGTTCGAAATGCTTATGGACCGGCAGAGTGTACTCCGACAGCGACGGTGTTGAAGGTTACGGCAAACACGAAGGGCCGTAGTATCGGTCGGCCTGTCGGAATATGTGCTTGGATTGTGTCTCAAGAGGATTCCACGCAGCTCTGTCCTATAGGCGCCGTCGGAGAGCTCTACTTGGAAGGTCCACTCGTAGGTGAAGGATATGTGGGCAATGCAAGTTTAACGAGCAAGTCATTTATACTTGATCTACAATGGCTCACCTCTGAAATTCCCGGCCTCCAAGCAGGTCGCCCTGGAAGGCTGTATAAAACCGGAGATCTGGCTCGGTTCGACGAAGATGGAAGCATCGTGTTTCTTGGGCGTAAAGACACCATGGTCAAGATTCGTGGCCAGCGTGTAGAGCTTGAGGAGGTTGAGCACGGTATACGGTCTGTGCTGGAGACAATGAATGTGGCGACAAAGCGCTTCAAAGGCGCAGAGGTCGTGGCTGAGGTCGTTGACGCTCAACTTGTGGCTTTTGTCTCGTTACAACAACCAACAGGAGATCACGAAGCGACTATTCGCCGCCTATCGCCGATTGCGACCGAGAAACTGGCATCCCGACTACCCACTTACATGCTTCCCTCAGAATTAGTATCTTTGCAAGATATTCCACGAACAGCGACAGGCAAGATTGATCGCCCTGCACTACGCGCCTTTCATCAACGTTCACAAAGCGAGTTCGAGGACGAAGTCACCAAACAGCTAACTGCACGCCGCGAACCTTGCACCAAGGCTGAAAAGCTGGTGCAAAAAATTTGGGCCGAGATTCTGGAGATCAGTCCAGACGCCATTGGACTTGACGATAGCTTTTTCCGGCTTGGTGGGGATTCGATTGGGGCGATGCGGTTCGTTGGGCTTGCTCAACGGCATGGAATCTCGCAACTTACTGTGCGAGATGTTTTTCAGAATCCGGTGCTTGCGGATCTCGCTTCGTTGGCTGTGGAGGGCTCGATGGGTTGTTCTCCTCAGCTGGTGTAGAGATAGTGGTACATCATGACTTGGTTTGGAAGTTGTGCGAGGCAGAGAGAAGGTTCTTCAAAGTGCACAGATTGCTGTGTGTCCTTCTCCCTAGAATCCAACCCTGCACGTTCTTTGGCCTGACAGTGTTAGAACAAGTGCGTTAGCTGGCATCAAGCCTTTGCAGTAGCGGCTACATCGAGGATGGAGTGTTCAATTGGGCCGACAATTGGGTTGAGGGTAGCACTCATACCACGAACGGTGCTCTATGCTGCTGCAAAAATTCGGCATGCTTGCGGTATCAGTCAATTGATCATTTAGTGCCACTACAAGAAACTACACAAACGTGCCTGCCATCGATCAGCCAACATGCAAGAACCCGCAAAAGTCGTCAGCATAGCTCATTCCGTTCCAGCCAACTTCTTCCTCAATTTGTTTGGCATCGTCGCCCATTGCGCAGAATCGATCGGCCCACGAGCAGCAATCATCTGATCCCTAGCCTTGCGAAGCTCGTGGATCGCCGGCAGAATGCCTCTCTCCGCGTCAAAGTTGGCAAGAGCACGTTCCACACGAGATATAGTGACTGCAAATGTTGATTAAGGAACGAACTACGGAGGTACGAGAATCTACGTGTAAGGCACGCGAGTGAATGCCAAGAACGGATGACTGCCTCAGGCACCGCTGTGCATCAAGTATTCCTGATGGGACTGGGATCGGAAACCATGCCACGAATGGCATTGAATGCTGCTGCAAACATGCCGCTCATAATTGCGGTGGTGAGGATGATCGGGATGGGTGTATGACGCGGATGTTGTGGTGTCTGCACTTACTTCGGATGTGTCTGGTTCGATTCGACAGAACTTATCGATCAGCGACAAGAGAGTACGGTCGCGGAATATGGAAGCTCAATCAAGCTGACGAGGTTCGATGGTGAATATGACTTTGCACAGATCGTGACCCCTGCATTCTCAGTCGAGAATCGTTAGAGCATGGCTTCTGGCATTGTTTGTGAAATGTGTCAATGGGTAAGCCACACTCCTATTCATTGTTCCGAAAGACATGAAAGACCGTACTGACATTTTACAATGAAGGCCAATTAATCATGTGCCTAATTCAGAGGATTTGCGCAATTCCTCCACCACAAATTCGCGGTCTATGCTTCTAACCTGCTTTCGAGTCAGGCAACCAAGTTGGCCGGCCTTCCAATTCCACAGTGGCAGGAAAAATGTCGCAGCTGTGCGCGAAACTGCGAAAGCTCTGCCATGGAGGACAAAGGCACAACACCAGTCAAAGACATGCCGCCACTACGAGGCTGCAGACCTCGAACAAAGCATCTTTCATGCAAGCCCAACAAGGCATTGTTCGGGAGTCGATATATGTCCTCTCGTCTCGCCCCATCGACAATGGTTCTGTGTGCCCTCCCCTCGTCACCAAATTCAACCCATTGCATCGGGTGTCCCAGCAACGATATTGTGTCGGAAAAGAAACACGCTGGTTCGTGTACACTGAAGTCTGCTTAAATACTAGCGGACTACCGACATTCGATCGATGCCTGGAGTCACTCGACAACCAAGCCGCGATACTGCTGCCATCATCTTATTCATCTACATTATCGTGATCGCTGCGCTGATCATGACTCTGGTGGATTTTTGGCAGAACCGCAATCGTGGTATGCTTCCACGCAGTGTGTCAAGCAGAACACGATTGACACGACGCAAGCGAACACCCAAGGCTGAACGAAAGCCTTGGTACAGCTTTGCTCGTGGCGGAGCTGAGCTGGACCTTGAGCACGCTTTTACTCAGTCCACATTGTCGCAATACGGTCGCAATGGCTATGGCACCATTTCTCCTACTTTGGGCAGTTTCGATGGAACATATGAGGCAGCTTCTACTGGCCCGCAAAGCAACATGCCTTCTGAGCCTCGTCAAGCACACTCGCAAGCACCCGGACTCAGCTCTGCTTCAACTCTGAGCGCTTCCTCGTCCTCTTCGTTCATGCTGACATCTTTGACCCCAGTTTCGGCCCCAGTCGATCTCCCGCCAATGCCAGCCGCTGCCGTCCCTCAGCCAATTGCTGACTTCAGCTTTTCGCATACCTACGAACACGTCCGCACTCTTACCTACTGCTCCGAAGGACCTGTCCACTTGGTCAAACACCGCGGAACTGGCAAAGAGTTCATCATCAAGCAGGTCGCGCCTACAGTCGAGCTGCCTAACGAAGTCGCCATCCTTGACAAGATTGGAAAGCATCCAAACATCATCGAGATCGCCGACGTTCTCGAAGGACACACAGATCAACGACTATCGAACGATATTGTCACCCCCTTCGCTGACCTCGGCGACCTCTACAATCTGATCGACCACTTCGCCGGCAACAACTCCGCATGCTACATTCCGAGAGAGTTCGTCCTACTCTTCGTCTCCAGCATGATCGATGCGCTCGCTTACATTCACAACGGCGATGTCTATTACGATGCTGGAACGGACACAATTCACAGCGTGAGCTTCCGTCAGCCATCGATCGTCCACCGCGACATCAAGCCAAACAACATTTTCTTGTCTATGTCCGCTAACAGATTTCCTCAGATCAGATTGGCCGACTTCGGCCTTGCCTGTACCTCTGACGAGAACTACGGCATAGCTGGTACCGATGGCTACTTCGCACCAGAAGTTCTCAGACGCGAGAAGGAGCTCAAAACTCCAGGCTTCCCCAACACCTTTGCCTATCGTCGGAACATTTGCACCAAAGCTTCGGACATGTACTCCTTCGGCTGCTCGCTTTATCAGCTTATCTTCCTTCGACCCTACGACTGTGACGCTGATATTGACGATGAACTCCAGTACACGCCAATGAGGAATGACCGAGCGATCAGGAACTTACTGCAGAACTGTCTCGCATACAACCCAAATGAACGACCGTCTGCAAGCGATCTTCACAGACTATCTGCCAACATCAAAGCTGAGCTGACGCACTGGGCCAAGAACGGCGGTAAGTTTCCTGAGAGTATGTGGCCTGATCCGATGGGCTACGACAAGAAGCGAGAGGTGAGAGAGGCAGAACGAAGGCAACGCAAGGCTGAAGCTCAAGCTGCCGCTGAAGCCAACGCTGATGCTATGGCTGTCAACGCCGCGATCAACGCTGAGTTTGCCTCCCAGCCTGACGCTCAGGCCATTGCCGGCGCAGAATCTTCTGCTTTTTCAGCCGATGCGTACTTGGCCAAGTCCGAAGCTAATCAACAGGTCGAAAGCGCGGCAAATCTGGATACTGCGGAACTGCTTGCCCGGAAGACCAGTTCTTCACCCGTCCGCATGCCTCCGGCAATCTCTGTCGTACTCAGCCGCTTTATTGGTCAAGCTCCTTGAAGTAACTGATTTTGTGTAGCACTCACCTTCATGAGCAACAAAGTAAGTCATTTGCATGTACGCTGACAACAAGCAGAACTTTGACAATAGCATCATAGCGTGTTCAGACTGATCATAGTATCTCTATCATAGAATGACAATGAATAACAAAGTTTGCGGCTTGCAGCGGAGCAACGAAATTCTGAAGGACACTTTTTCGTAAACCTTGGTCGTGGCTGTGGCTGATCCGGACTTTCTAATTCACGACATTTGTGCGTCTACAATTTGATCGCACGAGACCACCTTCCTATTTCACAATTCATGAACAACATTTCGCCTCAATTCAACGAGGCTAGTGACGACGCCTCTTTCAAGCCCCAGCCAGGAGACGTAGACTGCACTCAACATTCAAACCAACAAGTTCCAGTTCCTCACAGACTCATTCGGGCCACTCATGGGTTGAGATGGGTTAGCGACCGATCGCTCGACGAAGATCGAGATCGTTTACCTGCTGGAACGCCTCCTCCTAGATTGCATCTCTGAAGAACGACCACGGCAAGGCCATCAACCTCATTTCAAGGACCAGCAACGACACTCGCCTGGAGCAAGCCTCCAAGCATGCCATCAAATCCTCCACCCTAAGAGAGACCAACAGCAATACCACCCACCATGGCCCCTCTACCCCTTCCAGGGGACACCTCCCCAAACTTGACCTACACTGAAGCCAAAGCTCGCCTTTTTCTCCTCCCTTGTACCGTCCTCCTCTTCTTCATGTACTCGGGCCTGACCATGACTACCAAGCAACTCATCCTCGAATACCGGGACAAGCTTTTGCAAGGCAGGCACTGGTCACCAACCTTCAATTTCCGGCCCAAACCTTTCGAACGCATCCCCGTCAAATTCAGAGGACGTCCACGGACTTATTGCACGATTCAGCCGGAACAGATTCCCCGCGAGACTGAAGGACTCCTGCCAAAGGACTGGAAAATCTACGGTCTAGGATGGGTAGCATTCGTGCTTCTGACGGGAATTCTGTTCTGGTATGGGGAGATTTCTTTGGAAAAGGATGCTACGCTGAGGTTTCTGCTAGCGGAGACTTTCGCGGCTGCCGCGATGGTATTGTGTGATGCGGTTATTCTAGCGGGAATGTGGGTTTGGTGTGCAAAGTTTGAGGAGATTGTGGAGTGGTGGGAGAGGGAGGGGGAGGGCGCAGGTTTTGATTGTGTAAGTGGTGTTGGATAATGGAAATGGGACCTGTTGCAAAAGCTATAAGAAGTTCAATAATTGTGCTACTCATTGCTCTCGACCTAGGCAAATTAGACGAGAATTATCATCACATTTTCAATCTCTCCAATCAAGTCTCGCTCGCACAATCTATCCCATCCGCCTCCAAAGGGCCTTGACTCCGGGAACTCACTCAGAGCCACCAGCTCCCTCTCCCCTTCCTACAACACCTCCTCACTCCCACCCCTCCCAACTCTCTCCACCACCAATCCCCCTCCTCCCACAAATCCCCTCCCCAACCCTCAGTCCTCCCAAAATCCTACACTCTCCCACCCCCTCATCCCAATAAACCCCCAACTTCCCCTCCTTCTGCAACTCACTCGCCCAAACTCCCAACCCGGTAATCAACAGCACCGGCACAATAACTCCAAAAGCCGCAAGACAAACCGACTTGGGGAATCTGGGTCTCCAGCGCCTCGCAGAAACCTTCTTGCGCTGAGAGACAGGCATCTGGGACTCGATATCCCGACGTGAAGTCATTCCATCCGGGTAAAAAGGATCGACAAGTGGAGAGGGAACATATCGCGAAGCTTCCGCGATATGTGGGTACGTTGAGTACCGAGCGGCGAGTCTCTCAGCTGCGCGGTTTGTGCGAGAGCGGGAGAGAAAAGCGGGAGGAGGGACAGGGACGGGGAGGATAGCCGGTTTTACTTGGCGGATTTCTCCAGTGTGGATCGTGTCCAGCTCAATAGGTGCCTGGTCGAATCCGTTGGCTGAGTCCTCGAAAGAATTCGAGAGAGAGGAGGAGGAGGGGGAAGGGGCTGCTCCCATCACCTCGTACGCGAGAGACGAGGGTACTCCGGCCAACTCGTAGGGGCTCTCGAGGCCTTGGAGGGAGGCTTGGTAGCGTTGTTGGCGGTCTGTGGTTGGAGACATCTTGCTATGTGTATGTCTTTTCTCTGATTTGAGCGAAGGATGTCGTGGTGATGGGTCTGCAGTCAGCGTAGCGTCAGATGTAGAGATGAGTGTAGAGATGGGAGACGTGTAGAATTTATTATGTGAAGAGGCTTGTCCTCAGCATTCAAAAAAGTGCTCGATTTTTTGGTAGTAAGCGGGCCTGAGATTAGACTTCACTGACTATGATCAGTGGTAAAGTTGGTAGCTTCTGGCCTCGGACTGGGACTCGCGGCACTCGAGAAGGATACGCGTAGTTCAGCAAGGACATTTTTCCAGCAGAGCGACGCCACTGATGTGTCAGCTTAGCTGGTGCACATTCGCTGGATGCTAGGACTGTATCAACCACGTTGCGAAATACGTTGATTCGGCGCCGGGTTCGCGTCAGGAGGTAACGTGACAATTGTCCGTCCGCGTGGCGCGCGCCATCTGTGCTGCAAGCGGCATCATTCAGCGAGGTGTATCAGGAATAATGACAACGATATCTTGGCCACGCTGGGAACAATTAGCATTGCTTGCTTACTTGCCAGACAGTCAGCCCTCTTCTGCCAACCACTCTCTGCAGCGTAGGCAGCACTCCGTCATCGCCAAAATCGAGATCGTCCAAGCCAACATGCTGTCGATGCTGCCAAAGTTTCGTGAACACCAGATCGTGCTTCGTGTCTGATGGCCACGTGTAAGCGTCAAGAGCAGTAGCGCTGCTGGGCGCAACCAAAAGAGTTCTGTTCTGTGCAGTCTCGCACTGCGCTGCCATGCCAAGCTGTTCAATCATCTTGTCAATTTTCATGCCCATCAGATCTGTCGTTTCCACATCTTCATTTCTTCCATCAAGGAGCCACCGTGGTGGGCTGTACGTCTTCCACCATATCGCGTGGTTGATATCGGGCTGCTGGGCGATCCACGTCTGCGCAGGAACGACGCCTCCTTGATGATACACTCCAAATAGTACTCCTGCTAGGATGTTGAAAATGGTCCAGATGGCAATCCAGTGAGGTCGTACGAGCCGTGGAATCCTCACGCTGGCCAAAAGAAGTGGAACTGCGGGCAGGAGAAATCTTGCCTCTTGGTGCGGAAAGCATGAGAGCGCGACAGTGCCTGCTATCGCCGACCAGAACAGTGTGCCCCTTCTTGCTGACAGTAACACGAGCGGGAATGCCGGACCGATCAACTGGGGAAGGTTGGCGACGAAATGTTGCCAGAACGGGTGAAGACCATGCTTTGCCAGATTGGCGGCATCGGCATTGTAAGTCAAGTTGTTGAGAGGCGTGAACACGGCAGTATTGAAAAGGTCTCTGAGATGCGGCCTGTAGCCGCTGTAAAATTCGGTGTCCATGGTGATCGCCACAGCCATGGTGAGCAGACCGGCTGCGAGCATGGCGGGGATGCGAAGCGGTTGAAGATAAAGCCCATGCAAAAGCTGGGAGAGGGGTATCATAAGGTATGCTGGGAAAGTGATGCGATTGAAGACACCGACAACACCAACAAATGCGAATGCGCAAGATGCCTGAGCCTGCACCGCGTCATTGTTGTCGGAGAGTCTTCGAATGAGCACGAGGGACCAGAGCACAGCTATGGTCTCGATGCTGTTGGAGAAGGTGTGTGTCTGCAAGGTCCAGGTCACGTAGGAGGATGCAACCAGCATGATGGCCGTTCGGCGATTCTCGATGGCTGGCAGCAGTTCGTGTAATGCCCAGTCACCCAGCACGAAGCTGATGAGGAACATGAGGCATCGTAGGCAGTAGAAGGCAGTCGCGGGCTGGACAGGACCATACCCAAGACCTTCGTGAACCCATTTGAGAACAGTGAGTGGCCAGCCGTAGATCAGCCAGAAAGGGAAAATGCTGCGAATGGGGTGGTCGGTGGTGAACTCCCATGTTTTGTAGATGGGATACCCGAACACTTCTCCTGTCGTGGAGCATCAGTACTGATGGCAGAAGCGATGAACGATGTTTGTCGACTTACCGGCGATGATTTCGGGCCCTTGAAAGTGCTCATCGGGATGAATGTAGCTCGGCGATAGCGCAAAGTAAAGCCTCACCAGCACAAGCAGCAGATAGATTCTGCGCCACATTTTCGCCGTGGATGTCGTTTCGCGCGGTGTCTTTGGAAGGACATGTGTATGGTGATGAAGGAGCGACTGAGAGGAGAAATAGGATTACAGCATTACGATGATTGCGGTGGGTGACGTGGAAGAGAGCGATGCAGCATACAAAGTGAGACAGAACGCAGCGCGACACGTCGCGGCGCGTGGGACGACTTGCCCGCGTGAGCGCAGCGCAGCCGTGAAAGGAGCGTGGCAGCCTCAGGCAGCAGCAGCATGGAACATTTCATTGTGCTGCATTCGGGGACAAAGTGGCGTCGTTCATGCAAGCGGGCGTGCATAAAGCAGATGTTTGGGAACACCGCCTTGCTTGCCTGCCTGACATGTGCTCCATTCACTTCTGCATTCACCGCTGCAGTTGCCTGATTGCTCCGCATTGTCGGTGATTGAGTCACGCACAAACTGAAGGACACTGTGATTGTGGACCCTTGTGCGCGGCCCTTCCCGCGACTGCAGCCTACCCACCTCCATCATTACCACTTAAACCTCCAGCTTTCCGACTCCCACCAGACCCAACTCACCAACCTCGACCACTTCCGCAACCACCACCGCGCAACCTCCCGCCTCGATCAACGCATCGCAACACCAATACATCCATCAATCCAATCACACAAATATCCGCAAACATGTCTGCCGAAGCAGAGCAGAACATCAAGCTCGTCTCGAGCGATAATGTCGAGCTCCAGACCAGTAAGTCACCCACCACCTAACTATTGCGCTTCATGTACTGACTTCCTTCGCAGCGCGCAAAGTCGCCGAGCGCTCAATGCTCATCAAGAACATGATCGAGGATCTCGGCTCTCCAGGCGATGAGCCTATCCCGATTATGAACGTAAGTACCATGCCCCGCCTCGTCGCGCATCTAAGACAGTCGCTAATCTGAAACTCGCAGGTCTCCGAGGCGGTCCTCCGCAAGGTCCTCGAGTGGTGCGAGCACCACAAGAACGATCCCGCCCCGTCGCAAGACGATGACGCCGATTCCCGCAAGAAGACAACCGACATCGATGACTGGGACCAGAAGTTCATGCAGGTGGACCAAGAGATGCTTTTCGAAATCATCCTCGCAGCGAACTACATGGACATTAAGGCACTGCTCGACGTCGGCTGCAAGACTGTCGCGAATATGATCAAGGGCAAGTCGCCAGAAGAGATCCGCAAGACGTTCAACATCCAGAACGACTTCACGCCAGAGGAGGAGGACCAGATCCGCCGAGAGAACGAGTGGGCTGAGGACCGCTAAACATCACCTCCTCCGCTTCTCTGAACTCTCCGTCCGCACACTCTCTTCCTCTCTGAGTACCCTGCACCTTCCCCATTCTTGCGCATTTAAGGCGGCACATTTCTACCACAACTGGATCTGGCTGCTTGGAGTTGGGCGCAATAAATGGGCATGGGATTGACATGGCTGGGCTTCACACATCTCGATACGAACAATCACGACTACGATGAGCCACGATGCTACCACTGCTCCTCTTCCGGCGTCTGCGAGCGGCCTGTTACTAATAGGCGGCGGCGGCTGGATTTGAGCGAGCGGTACAGGAATAAAAGCACGTGAGTGGGCAGAAAGGTGTCGGCCATGCGACACCAGGCGCTGCAAAAACGCTGTCTCTTGGGCTTAGACAGCTGGAATGAATATCTTATCAAAACATCCTGTGCACTTCTCACTTCCCTGTTCGTAACATTCTCGTCGTGCATGCTCGCCCTGCTCTTTCCCCTCGGTGCTGACTTCTCAGGTGGCAGCTGCTCCGAAAGCTTCCGCCGTGACCTCACATGCCAGAGCGCCCGCGAAAGGCGCATCTGCTGTTGCTGCGCGGCCACTCATACCACGCGGTGGCTCCATGGCGAGACTTGAAAATCTTTCGTAGACCGGAACACAGCTGCAACTCGAGTACTGATGACAGCCTTAAACCCATCGAATCCTCCCTGCTGTACGCCCCCCACCACGCCGCAGAGCCTCATTGAGGAAGGAGCGAGCACTTGAGCACCTCACCTCAATGTCACGCTCTGCTTTGACGACCACGCAGATATCGGAACTTTATAGATGGATGGAAAGGCATACGCCCTGACTACATACCTCCTAGCTAAGACCACGAATTCTCAGTCAAATGCATATTTCCAGCTAAGTTTCCCAGAACCAAAATTCGCTGTGCAGAAACCAAGGGCTTCAAGCTTTCATTCCTCTATCGGATGCTACCTCAGACTGCCTGATTCAGGCCCCTCAATCGAGAGCACCTGGCAGGCATTCCAAGGCCAGAAAGGACAATAACTCCATCGCTTATGCTTGCTTCCCTTGTTGCTCCAAAAATGCATCACCACAAGTAAAGACTAGCAACCACGCTCATAGGTATTGAGGACAGTCTACAGCTTTGCATTTGAGCCGCCGTTCCCCTTCCACCTGACGCAGCCTTTAGGCAAAGCGAGTCTGTTCTCTGACTGCATGTGCTGCACACCAGCGCTCGCTCCGTAGTCTCTTCAATCCCGTCCATATAGCTCACGGCCCGGAGTCCGTAGCTACCACACACACCTCAAAATCGCTCTCGATCATCGCCTCAATGCCACTGATTCGCGTCATTCGCACTCAACGCACTTCTCTTCATCGGCGGTGGAGGCGGAGGTTTCGGCTTGCTCGCTCTGCTCGGCGGAGGAGGCGGCGGGGCCTTCTTCGCTGATGACACCGCATCCTGTCCGTAGCTCGCTGTCCTATGCAAATCATTGTATCGATCGTAGCCATTGTACTGCTCGTCATCTCCGAAAACCCCTTCATTGTGATGTGAAGGAGGCGGCTGGCTGCTCTCTCGGCTCTTCGTGATACGCAGATTCGAGCGCGCGCCGAGGAGAGTGCTGGGTTCGGTTGGGACACGAGCAAGGCGGGGCATGGTGTTCGCTGAGGGACTTTCCGAGCGGCCATTGTAGGAGGAGGACATTGGACCTTCGAAGCCGGAGTTGCTGCGACCGATGGGACGGGCGGGGATGTCGAAGCCTGGGAGTTCTTTCATGGGAGAGTTGGCGCCGGAGGGGACGCGCGAGGAGGAGATCGTGGGCCTTCGTGGAGGAGGCAGAGGCTCGTCTTCATCGATGGTGTTGAAGCGGTCGTTAATGCTACTAGCACGGGAGCGGTTGCTGCGACCTGCTGAGAGGTTTGTGCTGCGGCCGTTGGCGGGTGATTCTGTGTTGGAGCGAGAGAAGTTCCCGGAGCTGGAGAGATGTCAGTATTGTGGTTTAGTAAAAGTTGCACAATCGAACTCACGCTGGCCAGTCGCGCTTCAGCTGCAACAGAACCTCCCTGCAGCGGTCGTAGTATGTCAACTCGGCCTCCAAGAAGCTGGTCAAATCTTGCACGGAGTCCACCTCTGCCTCCTTAATGTCCAGCATCCGTCGGTAGACGTCCTCGCTGCTCTCCTCGTACTTCATCTTCTGGTTCCGCAGCTCTTCTTCCATTCGAAAGTCCTCCTTCTTGCTCTTTTGCATCTTCTGACTCGCAGTATCGTATGCCAATCTCCTGTTCTCCAGCTGCTTCCTCGCCTTCTCATACTCCTTCATCTGCACCAAGCTCCTCTCCAGCGACTCCAGCCAGTTGCTAGTGGCATTGGCGCAGTACGTCTCTTGCATGCGGGCGATCCGCTCATTAGCTCGGCCAAGCATGGAAAGGCATTGACCAAATTCGGAATCTGGTTCGAAGTCATCGCCGTGAGCGACCATTGTGCTACCGAAATAGGCAACGGGTAGTTGCTGATCTTTCTCTTGGTATCGGTCTCGTTTCGCCATGTGCTGCACGTAGACATCGGCCGACTTCTTCATCTTGCCCATACCTGTGCCCCCGTTAGCAATGCCCTCCCTACCCGCCAATGCCGTGTCGTACCTGTGTGCCTCAGCACCATCTCCTGCTCAAGCGCCTTGAACTCTTCATTTGTGTCAGACAGCTTCTCCCCGCCCATGCGCTCCTTGCTCCATTGCTTCATGCGATCGAACTTCTTATTGATATTCATCTTGTCGGCTGCTGCTCCGGGGCAGTCGGCTTGCTGATACGAGTGGAAGGGATGAGGACCTCGAGATCACCAGGACTCGACAAGGTGGATGTTGTTGTTGATGTTGTGGTGGGACGTAATCGTGAACGCCCCAAAAGCTGCCGGGATGCGTCGGCAACAACCTGTTTCTTGCTCACGCGACGTGGTTGACGACCAGGTTGCTCAGGATCGAGCAGAGAAATGTGAGCACGGCAGATTCGGAAGAGGCCTCGTTCCGCCGATTAGAGTCTGCCTTAACCACTCGACAATAGGACAATAGCGAGATGTCTCGAACAATTGCAGTTTGGTGTCACAAGATTTTACCCCTCCAGTTGTTAGAGGAAGTGGGATAGAAAAGAGGTTCAGTGAGAACAAAGAAGTCCAGCCAGGAATTATGCCAGAATGTCCCCTGCTGTCGTTGTTTCGTCGGCGCACAGCAACAAGAGATCAGTGATGATCGAGAGAAAAGTAGACGACCAACTGTCGGCGGGTGAGGGTGATGAGTGTGACGTTTTCTATCGTTTCGCCCGCTCTCTCCTGGATGCACGAGCAACAAGCAGTGACGAACAGCGCCGTTTCGGATCCACGTCAGCTCTCTGACACTCGACGCTTTGCTGCACGTTCGAGGATGGGCCAATGGGGCTTAGACGAACAAAATTCTCAAGTTTCAGAAACGAGTGTGAGAAAGACAGCTGTCTGGACGTGAACGAAAGAGCGAGATGTGGTGAGCGAATGCTGAGGCAAGTTGCATGCGTTTATTTCTGGAGTTTCGTCTCCCTCGCTCGCGTTGCTTGTGAAAGGAGGGGTCCGAGTGCCTCCACTGGTTCGCCTCTACTTTGTCTAGACCGAAACAAGCGCCTGAACCGCGTGGCGTTTCTGCGCCGACAATTTGGAGGAATCGTCTGATGCCGATTCTACGCGAGAGCGGCAAATTTCACTGATTGCTGGGGGAGGTGGTCCCGTCACTGATTGTGGTGTTGAGCACGAGGGACGTTGCTGGAGCCCAGCAATTCACAATTTGCAGCACGCATCACGAACACGCAGAAATCACAAAGATAGCCCGAATACGAAATTTGGAGCCTTCCTGCATTGTGAAGATGAACTTGATAACGTAGCTTTTCGACAGCCGTCCTCTCCACCTGGTCCCTACGCAGTCCCTTGAACACTCGTTATTGTTCAGGTCTGGCCCGATGTTATACATGACCTGCAAAGTGCTCATTCGTGCCATGGAGAGTGGGAAGAGGGCGTGGATTCTTTCGAACGTGAACTCATTTGATCTGCTCATGAATCCTGGTATGTAGCGCTTCGCTTGCATAGCCACGCTTGAACCCATGCCACAGCTGCGCATATCGCAGTTCAAACCCATTGCAACGCCAACACCACTACTGCCCCAGATGCATCTAGTCCTTGGTCTTTTGAGTACCACGCAACAGACCAGTTCTCCGGGCAGCAATGAGACCAGCCTTTTGACCTTGTGCGGCGTAGCGAGAGATGGTCGAGGCCTTACCAATATGCTGGTGGTTACCACCACCGTGAGGCTACGACGATTGTTAGCACTTGTCCTGCACTCTATTCTCTGAGCATCTCTTACGTGATCGACGGGGTTCATGGCAACACCACGAGTCTTTGGCCATGAGTTGCGCTTGACAGCGAACTTGTGCTTGGCGCGCGAGGCCTTGAGGAGAGGCTTGTCGGTACGTCCACCACCAGCGACGATACCAATCATACCACGGACGGAGCTCTTGACCACCTTCTTCGCACCAGATGGAAGCTTGACACGGGTCTTGCCCTCGTCTGGGTTGTGTCCAATGACGGTCACGTAGTTTCCAGACGTCCTGCCGAGCGCACCTCTGTCGCCAACCTTCTCCTCCACGTTGCTGACCACGGTACCTTCTGGGACGGAGCCGAGTGGGAGGACGTTTCCGATCGTGAGCGAGGCGTTCTTTCCGGCGTAGATGAACTGGCCAGTGTACATGCCCTCGTTGGCGATGAAGGTCTCGGTGTGGAGCTTGTAGCGGTATGGGTCACGGAAGACGACCTTTGCGAGAGGTGCGCCACGGCCTGCATCGTGGACAATCTCCTTCACAACACCGCGAATGTAGCCCTGGCGCTCGGCAAAGTCGTGGGTTCGGAATTTCGCTGGGGCCTTGTTGAGGCGGGTGTTGGCCGTGAAGATCGAGCCGCGACCTTTTCTCTGGTTGCCTGCACTGCTGTAAGTATGTGTTCGTCGCCAATGGAGGCAAGAGGTCGGCAGTGGAAACAAGGCGAGGATTGCAGTCGCATTGAGCGTCGGCTGTATGCATTTTCGTCCTCGTAGTTTCCGCTGTCCACCTCCTGTTGTATCGGTGTCACTCACGAATGACACGACCCATGGTGGCGGTTGTTGTTGTCTTGGTCGATGGGTGTAGACAGTCGTGAAGTTGACTGCGCTTAATTCTGCTCGTGTGGAAAGAATGCCAAGCGCGATCGGCGAGAAAGTGCGTTCTTCGCGCCTCAGGCAGCAAGATTTGGTGCATCACCACAACTTCCTACTCCTCCACCAAACTCTTTCTCGCATCTCATCGCGTCTTGACTTCCACACACACTCATCTTCACCGTCTATGCAGGCTTCCATTGTCTCCCGATAACTCACGCGAAACTTTTGATGCTAATATTGATAGACTCGCCTACTCACCCGCCATGATATCGCACCGCTCAGGCTATACATGAAGAACGCGGCCAAAATATCATCAAGATGTCACCATTATATGGTATCCGTGATTATTGCGAAGTTTCGCGAAGTTTTCCGTGTGAACTTCATGCTTCTGCATCTGCAAACACAAGCTTGTGGCCAACGCGAGGCGAAAGTTCAGGATCGGCGTTTTCGCATCATGAGCTGGGGAGCCAGACGCGATACCTCAAACGCATCAAATATCAAGACTCCATCGACGCATCGATAGAAGATGGACAGCAGCCACGATGATTCCATGCCCAAACTACTGAATGGCGTGCAGAAGCCCCCCGAGGCCTGGAGCTCTGCTCGCGTGCATCCATCAGGGCTGATGGAGCTTAAAAATGTTTCTCATATGCTTCAAAGATTAGACTCCCTTGGCTATGGAATTCTTTCAAACCTCAAGCCCAGTGGTGGCAATTGAGCCAAAGACTGCTGCAACGCGCAGTCTGGCAAGCACTCCAAGACACTTGGATCTCGTTCGATGAGCGCGAGGGCCTTTCAAGGAAACAGAAGCCTTCAGCTGTGTGACCGGAGCTTCACGATGCTCAGCAGTAATGACCCAACGTTCAGCTTGGCATCCGCAGTATACTTCATGAGCATCTCCACGAAACTCATACTGCATGACCATTGCGACAGGACGTCAATCGAGATCGCAACAAATCGCTTTTGCGAAATCGACCGCCCTTTGTAATCTCTATTTCCATAGCCATTCGACTAGCAAACAATCACGTTCTCGTTCACTACTTCCTGCCTTGCTGCCGCGCTGTCATTGGCTCGGAAGTCTCCTTGAGTCGTTCAGAAATGTGACGTTCTCTCCCTTGATCTCCAACTTCAAAGCCCAACTTCGGCTTCGCGACATCTCGTCTTCATCCAACACAACCACCACCCACAACACAACACCTCCCACGATGGACTCCGACAGTGACAGCAGCCTGTCAGAGGCGCCAGAAGAGGAGGTCAAGAAGCTCGCGCCCATTTTCCTCAAAGCGAAAAAGGCGACCAAGTTGGCTGCTCCTCCGCCAAAGGCCTCACCTCCCAGGCCAAAGAGAGAGCCTTCGCCGCCGCATGAAGAAGTACTAGCAGATAACCCGGACATTGCAGTACGTTGGCGACCACTTTGACGCGAATTGGCGCGTTCAAAACGCGTGCGAAGCCTCTCTGTCGCGCTCACTAATATTTCTTGTAGTTCATCGTAATGTTCCGCTCACGCTTCAACGAAGCCTTTCCTGGCAAATGCCCGCAGTTTGGACCGCAGGATATTGAACGAGGAGTGGTCGACAGCATTCCGAGCCCAGAAATACAGCACTTGCTTTGTGCATTGCTAGGCTTGGTGCTGAACAGAAAGAAGCCGGTCGAGTAGGTCCCACCCAGACACGAGATGGAAAAGTCAAGAGCAAGAAGGGAAACAAACTACAACGGAGTACGGACAATGGCTAACGAGAATGCTCGCGCGTAGGCGAACCTCATACGGACGCGCACTAGAGGAAGCAATGCTTTCGCACAAGAGCCAGTGGCCGCACAAGTGGGAGGGACACAACCCGCTGCATGGCGGCAAGGACTTCAATAACATGTCGCCCAGCGAGCGAGTACGTTATTCTTGACACGAGAAGCCATTCCATGTTACTAATGTTACTCTAGCTCAATCTGCTCCGCACATTGATCATCTGGGCTCTTGGATCCTCTGAGCTGATCTCAGGAATCATCAAGGATAAATACAAGCAACAGCGCCATAACGACGATCAGAACCAGCCCCTCTCCGTGCAGCCTTGGGGCAACGACGGGGACAACAGACGCTACTTCCTGGTGCAAGGTCTGGACGACACGAGCTTCAGGATCTACAGGGAGGGCAGCAGGCATACTAGGAATGCACATTGGTACAGCCAAGCAGGCACGATAGACGAGGCGAAGGCATTGGCAGAGAAGCTGGAGAAGATTGATGGAACACAAAAGGCTCGCACGCTGGCAGTGAAGATCAACAATGCTGTGCCCATGTTCGAGGCCACGGAAGAGAAGCGAAACCGCCGCATATATCGGCAACAGCGTCGCGCTGCGTTCACGAGACCAGAGCCTGGGTTTGGCATCTACGAAGGTCGGACACGCGGCAAGCGGATGCGGTATACCTATGACGAAGATGTCGAAGACGACTCAGACGCTACCTCTACACGTCGATCGACCCGGCATCAGTCGGCCAGGAGCACGCCTTTCGAAAGTGGTCCACAGTACACTGCCTCTGGTCGTCAGATCAACAAACCGCAGCGTGGGGAATACGGCGAATCTTTGCTAAGCACGAATGTCATGAGTACTGACGAGCTCGGCCCTGAGTATGATACCGAAGGGCGGTCTCAGCGTGCCGGAACGGACGACTCTGATCCTGTCAAACCGAATGGCAGACCATCACGGGGAAACCGCAATGTCAACTATGCTGTCACGAATCCAAGAAAGCGAAAGCACATCGAGGGGTACAACGACATTGACGAGATGAGTGATGAAGACGATGCCGCAGCAAGCGGCGAAGAATGGAATTCGGACCAAAACGAGGACGAAGACATGGACGACGCTCCAGACGCCCCAGACGCCGATTCGGAACGTAGTGAGGACGATGAAGAGGACGATGGTGACGATTCGACCAGAAGCCTGGTGGTGAAGCTGAAGCTACCGCACAGCACACTCGGCCGCTCGCGTGATACGCCACCAACTAGTCCACCTAGGCCTCAGGAGGATGGGCTAACATGCGAGCGTCTTGAAGCGCCAGAGGAGAAAGCAGGCAATGGTGTCGCAGCGGCATCTATTGCTACTACGAATGGCGATGCCATCGAAGGAGCTGCGGAGTCCAAGGTCATCACCACTGCACCGCCATCGTCTGGTGCCATCCACACTTTGACGCCAGTCTCGCCCAAGAAGTCTCCGCAAGTCCTCGTCCCGGCAGTGGAACAACCCAGTCTTGCATCAGCTCCACTGGAGAACGGAGTGCTGAATCCAGGCGCAGCGGCTGTGATCAATGCAGTCAATGGAGGCGATGTTCGTGCCGGCCAAACTTTGTAATGTACGGAGACGTGATCGATGGACAGCGAGCAACATATTGAGCGGGAAGAAATGTTTCGAGCGCTGTTGAGTATAGATCAACAATATGCCGCGCTCAATGGTAGGACTTGGATTCTACATGAGCGAAGCCATGGCGAAGAGCATGCTCAGGAACTAGTTGCATGGCAGTTGAAAGCGTGCAAGAATAGCGAACGTAATTTTGAACGATGGCGAGGTCGTTACCTCAAGCCTGCGTTTCATCTTTGAATTGCATTGTTCTGTCTCTCATGCCAGTCTGAATCTATGAAAAACGAAATGGAAAAGAGAGTGTGGTGTTCCATGACCATCCCACAAGCAGTTCCCTCACTGCCTTCCGGGCTGAATAAACACTCGTCTTCCCCGCCCCTTCCGAACGCCATGCTCTCGCCCAAAGGCAGAGAGACTTGTATATTCCATTTTCATTATTTGTGGGTATCGTTGTAGAAGAAGAAAAAGGTAGAAGCTGCTACTTTTGAGTCGTAGTGGTTGTAGCTTCCTGTTCCCAGGTGTCGTTGTCGTGTCCAGTGGTAGTCGTGGTGTCCAGTTTCATCGGAGGGTGTGGTGTTGTACAAATCTAGCCTTGAAAGAGAAGACTGCTGCTCGAGCGATGTAGTCTACTGCTTGATGTCGTCCGCGTCTTCGAGCTGGCTAACGCTGCTGGCGGTGCGGGAGAAGAGGGAGCGGGCTGTTGGTTTGGAGTTGTTGGATCTGGGAAATTGTGTTAGTCTTGCTTCTGGAAAGGAGATTTTGAGAATGCGTACTGCTTGTTGATCTGTCTCTGCTTGAAGCCTGCGAGTTTCTGGCTGGCTGGGCTGAGGATGGCGTCTGAAGGTGAGACGTATGTGCCGCTGGCTTTGCTGTTGTGTAACTTTGGTCAGATTTCTTGTGTCGAGATCCTGGTGTTATGCATGTTTTCCGTACCCATTCAATCCAGAAACAGCCTTATGCTGTTCGCCTTGCATCTTCTCGTTCTGGGCATTGCCGCCGTTGGAGTTGATTTGAGTGTTGACATCGCGGTCAGTCAGAGCGGCGAATTGTGGTTGAGACATTTTTGATTTTATTTTCCGAGGTGCTTCGTGATGCTTCTGAAAACAGTTGTGCTGTAAACGTTAGGTCTTGTTTTCTGACATTTCATTCTTTCAAAAAGACCTGGAGCACTATGACATCGGCCCAAATAGTGCCGGTCGCGATGGACAACGAGCAAAACGTTGGCGCCTTGTTGCCTGAAAAGCGCGCACAGACTTTTCGGCTGGCAGTTGCCGGCTTGGCCACATCCAAATCCATCTGTCGAAGAAGCGACCACGAAGTTGACGACACACGCCCAGCGAAGGAAAAAGGCACAACACCGTCAAGATGCCTGTACGTACTGCGCCGAATGCAGTGACAGTGTTCATCGCATGCTAACGAGACCGCCCGACAGTCCCACAAGACTTTCCGCACGAAGCAGAAGCTCGCAAAGGCGCAGAAGCAAAACCGCCCAATTCCTCAGTGGATCCGTTTGAGGACTGGCAACACCATCCGGTACGATTACCCTCACCGATACGAGAGCGCCGAGCGCAGGAGATAGCGATGGAGGGCGGACTTGATACCCAGGACAATGACTAACATCTCCCAGCTACAACGCCAAGCGACGACACTGGCGCAAGACTCGCATTGGTATCTAAGCGACTCGCCCCCGTCACGACCGAAGCCGCTCTCTCTCAGCGGAAACGACAAAGCGGCATTTTGCGATTACACCAACGACTCATCACGATCGCGAGGAGGATGCTGGTGGCTTCACCTTTTGGGGAAGCTGCTCTGAAAATGGGGCTACAGCGGACTCTGACAGAACGAAAATGAAGGAGCTTTCTGCATTGCGTTACCAGGGAACATCGGGCGTTAGATTACATATCGCGTCGGGCGCGATGGAATGCTGCCTTCGAATGCTGGCTATGGCATGAGTCGTTTGCTGGAGATAGCGGACTTGCAATGAGAAAGCTTCGAAAAGGATCTGGGATTTCGTGATACTTTGTGCCTTCTCGCATCGTGGACTGAGGCATACGTGCTGTGAAGGTCGGGGGATGGGACAAGTACCGGTGTCCAGTGACCGCGCGCTCCCATGTCCTGTCTGCTGTTGCCTCAACGTATCTGTTTGCACAGTATGGACATACTTCGTGCCGCTCGCCCTCTCGTCTGGACATGATCGCCGATGGCGTGCACTTCTCAACGAGGTCGGGCACTTCAATCCTGACTAACTGGACTCGCCGTTGCACTCTGTCTGAAGAAGCAATTGCAAACGAAGTACAGTAGGCACGACCCTTGGTCAATCACGCCAGCACCAACGCCTTCGCTAAATGAAGCACACTGGTCTGTCTTCCACGTTCAAGCACCGCCCTTCTGCTGCAGCAAGAAACTGGCCTGAATACCAGTATCAACCACTAGTACACCCTCCTCTCCCTTCCCCAGCAACCCAACATCACCCTTCCCCTTCCCATCAGCCCTCTCCCACAACTTCACAGTCCCGTCTTGAAACCTCATCACACAACTCGACCCCGCATACGCCACGCGATCCCCCATCTCAATCGTCTCGCCGTGCTCCATCTTCATCAAACCCTTCCCACTCCCCTCACTCCCACACCGATTCGCAAACACAACCACAATCGGTTCCTGTGGCGCACTATCCACAAACGGCCAGAATCTCTCCAACCAATATGCCACAGTCTCCATATCCGGACTTTCTGGACTCGTCGCAGTATCTTCGGGCGTCAGACGTGTCAGCCACGCCATGCTCAATATGACCAGCCGGCATTGATTCTTGAGCATCGTCGTGGCGAATTCGTAGTTTGTCCAAGGGGATTCGAAGCGGTAGGGATTGATGTCCATGCAAATTCCATGTCCAACTTGCCCGAGTGCTGGAAGATGTGATGCATAGAATGGCATACCGGTTGCAGCGGAGCGGAATCCTTCAGTCGCCCAAGTCTCGTCTGTATAGTAGAGGAAGGATTTGCGGTAGGTGGCTATGACCTTGCCAGTGGGCGATACCGTGACTGTGGCGTTGAAATTTTGGGATGCTGTTCCAAGAGGATCGTTGGGCGAGGGAACTGTCTTCTCGGGATAGCCTACTATTACGTGACATTGTCGTTCTTGGGCGGTCTTAATTGCCCATTGCGTTGTTGGGCCGCTGGTTGTGGGTTCCAGATATGGCGATATGGCTTCGGTTGAGGGGAAGTTGTAGCCTGTGAAGGCCATCTCAGGAAGGACCAGGAGCTCTATGTTGGCGAGACATCTTGAGAGTAGTTCGTTGGCGTGGCTGATGTTGGCTTCTACTTCGCCGAGGCGAGGATTGAATTGCAGGATGGCTACCTTCATGTCGTTGGATGGAGTTGTGGTTCGTGAAGTTTGGTGAGGTTCAGCTTCGCATTTGTGGTCCTCTTTCTACAGCACAACGCTCTTTCGTACTTGTCATGAATTGGAACACGTAGCATCCATTTTGTTGTTTGCGAGATAGCGGGTGTGCGATGCTCGGGGTGAACGTACGTTTGTGCGGCTACTTATGCCGCATCGTTCGTGCTTCCCACGACATTGTTGATGCTGTGTTGGTCAGCTTCACCAAGCCAATTCTACGATGTTGTGCACACCTTTGCACCCACAATTGCCGTTTTCCAACTATCTTTCCAAGACACAATGGACATGACATTATTGCTCTTGACTACACGTCCATGAGCTGCCTGAGCTTGCAGCTTCCAGATTCTGGGCTGCTCCACTCGCGGCTTCGTCGCACTGTCTACAACCCTAACCCTAACCGTCCTCCTTGGAAGCTGCTTCTCAAGACAAGACTGCATCCGTGGATATAATGAATGCAACGACCTCTGAGTGCAAGCGCCTAACTAGATTGGCTCTCGATCCATGAAAAGCTTTGCTGATTGGCTAGCGACCTGCGGTTGCACTCAGAGGTGGTTGCATTCAGAGGTATCCACGGTTATCTAGTCAGAGACGACGCTCATGGTCAGCACATGAAACAGGCTTCGAATTTTCAACATCTTCCAAAGTGTGCCGTCAGTCGCGCTGCGAGACCAGCCGAAAAGAGAAGGACGTCAGAGAAGTGTCTGGATTCTGACACCAGAACCGAGCAAGAAACGCCTCTCGAGATCCCGAATCCGTCTAATCATACTGTCTGTTTCTCTATAGCACGATCTGGTTACAGGTATTAAATCGTCAAGCCTCTTTCTCTAGAAATTGTGTTGGCTTCCCACGTGTTATAAAGCAGCTTGCAACAACTTCATCTGGTCTAGCGTTCAAGCCTCGTGGCGTCTCGACCCTTCCAGATGCGATCGCATGGAAAGCCAGCCGCGATGCGAAACATATTCATTGGTCGGTACAAGAGCGACAAGACTGCCACGAAGGATACATTTCCCCATGCGTCCAGACACGATTCATTTTGCCCGACGCCATCCACGGTCGGAGGCCATGGCAAGATGTCAAGAATGTAAACCTCGTCGTTCCTGGAATGCGTCTCTGCATCTCTCTTACTTGTACTTGTTTTCGTGATGACTTCCGTGGCTCTCTTCTTTGTTTGTTTGCTTGCGTCGGTGGTGCACGCTCAGCAATGGAGATATCTTTTCACATTGTAGGTGACCTGTTTGTCATCAGACACTTTCCGAGCAAGAATTAGCTCAATTAACCAAAGGCGTTGTACAGCGGCGATTCATATACAGCAACAGGCTTCAGCCTCTCTCAACAATCACAGCCTTCCCCAGGCAATCCTTTCGGTAACCCGATATATCCAGGAGGTACACAAAATCCCCATCAACCGAATCCAAACCTCATGCTAACAACTCTTACTTTCCCCAGCCCGACAATCCGGCGGCAACATCTACCTTGACATAGTCTCCTCTAACGTCCTCCGCAACCAAACCCCAATCTACAATTCCGCGGTCGGCGCCAACCCGGTAAACTACAGCCGAGCTCAATTCTCCCAACAATACATCGTCCAAGGCCCCGTCAAAGACTTCCGCGACCAACAAGCACAATTCGAAATCCTGAATCGAAATAAAAGTTCTCTAGGATGGAATTCCACGAACAGTCTATTCATCAGCTTTTTCGGCATTAATGATGTCGCTGTGCAGATTTACTCTGGAAGGAATAGTGCGAGTGTTTATGAACCGATTTTGAGGGCGGATGTGGCGGATTATTGGGGACTGGTTGAGAGGCAGTATCGTTTGGGTGCGAGGAGGTTTCTGACTGTTTTAGTGCCTCGTGAGTTTTCTTCTTACTTGTTCAATTTCCGAAACAAGAGTGCTGATTGTGAATGATAGCCATCAACCGCGCCCCCGTCTTCGACTACGGCAACTCCAGCAACGCAGCTGACGTTGCCCGAGCTATCTCTTATTGGAACTCACAAATGATCGCAGGCAATCAGACTTTCGCTCAGAGGTTCCCGGCCGCCCGATCACGAATTTTCGATCACACGTCGACGTTCAATCAGTACTTGGATAATCCGAGGACTTTTGGGGTGCCGAATGCGACTTGTTTCAGCTCACCAGATGGACAGCCATGTCTATGGAGAGACTTCATTCATCCTGGAATCAGAATTCAGAGGGCGTTGGGACTGGCGATTGGGAGGATTGTCGCGGCATTTTGACTATCGGAGAGCGACAAAAGTGGTAATGACGACGGGGAACATTATGCTTTGGTCATGAGTTCTGAACAGCAAGCGTTGTAGACTGCATTTACACTGTGCGCCAATCTATGCGTCAATCTATGCATGGCAGCGGAGGTCAAGGGCGACCTTGCCTCAAAGTAGTGCCGCGAATATCTCTCATCTATGCTTTAAGGGCTCTGCGCGTACCCAAGCCACTCTCTTCTCCAAAACAAACACCAATACTGCCAACGAGTCGCAAGACAACGAACAACGCAGCTTGGCCAAAAACTAGAAGCTCGCCTTTGCGCTACTCCTGTTCCAACAGCAACTTCACACCCTTTCCAGTGACCATCGCGATCTTCTTCTCGAACAACCCAGCAATCTTCGCCAAAGCCTCCTTTCCTCCGACGCAGTTGCCACTCTCGAGATGCATCGCGAAGCCGCTGATCGTCTTGAACACCTGTTCGTGCTCTTTGCCCTCCATGACCAGACTCGTAGGGCAGTGAAAGATCTTCGGAGCGTGGAAAGGCGAGTAGAGGTGCTGTTGGAGACGCTGCTCGTTCTTGAAGGACTTGATGCAGCCGGAGACATAGCAAGGCCACAAGCCAGTCTTCGGGTCGAGGGCGATACGGCTCTCGGTTTGAACGTCGGAAGTCGAAGGCGTGAAGGACTTGTCGGGCTTGTTGTGGTTGACGAAGGACCACTCGCTTGCAGAACCGCTTGGGGTGAGAACGACGCCACCCGTGACAGAGGAAGCACGGCTCCGTAACGGAGTGGGAATGAGAACGCCACTGGTGGTGCTTTCCATATCGGAGACATCCTCAACAATGATTCCACTGCGAGAGTCCTGTAGATCGGCTTGCAAGGACTGTGAGGCAATACCCATACCCGCCAGCGAGAGAGCTTCGAGGCCCATAGCGAGTTCTGAGGCAGTTGGCATAGCACCAGCAGCGCCAGCATCCGCAATGACACTACCCGAGTTCTTGCTGCGAGTGATCTGGCGTGCGGTGTCGTGTTGGTGGATGAGCACATTGAGCTTCAGTCTGTTCATTCCGCTCTTGCATGCACCGCTCTCGAGATGGAGGAGTAGGGCCGAAGGAGAGGTGAAGTGCTTGTTGCACTTAGCGGACAACGGACATCCGAGCTTGCTGAGAGGCTTGTGTTTCACAGAGGCCTTATGGTCCTTGAAGCCTTGTAGACTCCTGAAGTCTCTCTGACATTCCTCGCATCTCAAGCTCTCCTCTTCTTTGGCTGCAGCCAGAGCTTGGGCAGCAGCGGCGCTCTCCGTCTCATTGGCACGGTCCAGGGCCGCCAATGTTGTAGCAGCATGTCCGGCGCTCTCGAGATGATGATCGAGTGCACGCTGGCTGGCGAAAGCGCGATCACAGTCGACACACTCATAACTCTTGACATGTTCAGAGTCGCCCTCGTGCTTGGTGTATGCCTCCACACTTGCGAAGAGTACGCGATGCTCATCACAGTAGGAGTGGCCTGTAACGATCTGGTGCCCATCGCGCTGTGGTCGTGATGCAAAGTGCTGCTGGCAAGTTGGGCATGCGGGATGCTTGTCAGACTCGTGCGCCTTGCGGCCATCTTCATTGGCGCACTTCTTGTTGCAGATCGGACAGACATTGCGTGGTGGTGGCGGAGGCTTCACCTCGAGACCAGCATAAGTCTTCTGGCCTGAGTGTGAAGTGTCGAGCTGATGCTGCTTCAGGGAGTTCCTATTCTTGAATGGGCGGGTGCAGGAGCAGAACAAGATATGACCTCGAGTCTGTTGGTGGTTGTGCCGGTCTTGAGGGGTGGCGAAAGTACTACCACACAGGCACTTGAGTGCCACATCGGTCGCGTCCATCTTGAGCGGCTTGTCGGAGTGGATGGTTGGTCGAACAAGCTTAGTGACAGCTGCGATTTTGAATGCAGAGCAAACAGACGACGACTGCCAAGCCAAGCCATGCGAATGTCACTAGTGTCACGTCTTTCTGCCGGCTGCCAGTCTCGCGTCGTCTCTAGCGAATGTTCATCAACTGTTTTTCACGCAAAGAACGTGGGCTGTCAGTATGGAAGTTCCTGTCAGTGGGTTTCACCGTCATCTGCGAGCACAGTTCCCGGAAGAAGAAAGGGGCCAGATCAGTGAGCACTTACTGTGCTAGAACTTTCTATTCAGTCTAGTCTCGCCTTTCCACTAGGCGTTGCAGGAGAGGCGGACCTACTGATTCTCGACCTCTCTGTGTGTTCGCCTGGCATCTCATGGACCTCCATATCCATGCCGACCCAGAACTTCTTGCCCCTCCACTCGACTTGAGAGCCGCCCCAGAACGCCCATAGCCAGATAGGGAGACAAAGCGATTCACGACCCAGCCATGACAAGAGCCACTCGCCGAAAGGTCGCTGGACTTTGTTCCTTCTTGCGAAGAATGGTGTGTCGTCATCGACCTCGATAGACGCGCTGGAGTTCAGCTTGCGGTACAGCATCCAGTCCAATGCACACCAGACCGAGATACTGGCTAGCCAGACCAGGGCAAACGCAGACCATGTTTGTGGGATGCCCGCCGCAGTTTCGAACCACGGCAGTGTGGTTGCGGCGAAGGCACCGTACGCTGAGCAGAGGAAGCTCTCAGTCCCAGGCTCTACCCAAGTTGCAAGAATCACTGTCCACTTGCGTACGCGTAACCATCGCACTCTTCTCGACCAATACTCGTACACACTCATGTTGGCCATGGGCTGGATAGCAAGGTCGCCAAAGCATTGAGCATGTTTGCCAATCTTCTCCCCGCGCAACTCCTCTGGTACTTTGTTCTTCCACAGTAGATCACCAATGAGGTGATCTTCGCAGATGTTTCGGCTGAAGTAGTCGATCCCAGCGTCATTGGTTAGGCTGTTGAGGTGTGACTTGCGAAACATGGTGCTCTTGCCCACAATGCAGGGTGCGATTGCGACTGTGTTGATGGCTGTGTAGAACTTGGGGTGTGCAGAGGACATAAATGCTTCTTCCAAACGGCCACCGCCAATTGTCGAAGCGTTGCGTTGGAAGCCTTCCTGGAAGGAGGCAGACGCAGAGCTGGTGGTCCGAATTTGATACGTGCTGTCAGCGTCGCCATTCAGCAAGCCAGCTGTCTCATCACCTTTCGTAGAACCAAGGATGTCTACCACCAAGGGCAGTTGATGCACCAGCTTGTACTTAGTCTTCCCGCCGTAGCCCTCAAGTCTGGCTACCATGCGCCCCACGACGCCCTTTGCTACCCAAACATTGCAGTCAATGACCCATATGATATCTCCCACCGCCTCCCGGTATGCCCTACTCATGTTTCTGATCTTGGGATTTGGTCCGAAAGATCCGGCACGTGTCTTCAGGACCTCGTCCTCTTCCTCCACAAGGAGCTGCGCATCATGATCGGGAAAGTCTTGCAACACTCTTTGAATTACCGCATACGACGGATCATTGCGGTCACTGATACAGAAGCGAACATGCAGCCTGTCTCTGGCATAGTTCTGTCGAAGCGTGGAAGCGAGGCAATCGTAGAGTCGTGGTTCGAGGCCCTTCACGGGTCGGATGACAGTGACATGGGGAGCGGTAGAAGGATCAATGTCTGCTGGACGCTCTGGAGAAGAGTAATGTCGCCATCTGCTTTAATTAGATTGTGCTTGCAGACAGGGGACTGATCACATACATTTGAGTATTGCCAATGGCACAGACCAGTTGCACCACAGCGTACCAAATGAGACACGCTGTGGCGATGGCCAGTACTATCGTGGAACGTTCATGATGATCGGACAATTCGGCTGCCTCAGCGACAGCATCCGCAGGCGGCATCAAGAAGAAGAGAAGGAATGTTGATGGTCTTGGCTTGCAGTCAGGAAGTGAACTTGTTCCGCCAATCTTCACGTGCTGACGCGCCCCGCCCGTCCCACTCCGCGAACCGAGTAAACATTGGACTCCAACATCACCACAACCACAACCACATTGACAACCATTCTTCTTCACCAAGCAAAGATCTTCATGATTGGCATGCTCTCGGGTGTTCGGCGTTCTAATTGATTGCTTCTTCAATTCGCAACATGGACAGCACAATGCAGTCTAGTCCGCCCGTACGCGCGTGGACAGCAACGCGACGCGACTCGCAGCCAGAGTCGGAATACTCGCTCGATTTGGCTGCGTTGGACCTGGATGATGCAGAAGATACGGACACGCGTATTCCAGAGCCCAAGGTCGATCGTATCTTTTCCGAGGACATTGACGGACCGAGTGACTTCACACAGAATATGGACGCGTGGATGAGAGGAGGATCGATGAAGAGAGGCACATTGAAGAAGAACAAGAAAAATAGCGGCATTGACACGAGCCAGACGATACTGGAGCGAAGTGAGCATCTCGATCGGGAAGAGGTTCTGCAGCGTGACGAGATGGAGCGCGACGAGCGGCGAGATCAGATGGAGGCGAAGGACCGCAAGGGTTCTCTGCTGCGACACCAGATGCGTGTTGACGAGCAAGCGGAGCGCGAAAGTTCAGTTCGACGAAGTGCAGATCTAATACAGCACGAGGTGCTTACTCGCGACTTTTCGAAAGATCAAAATATCGCGACACATGACTTTTTACAAGTCCCAGGGAGAGATGAGGTCGAGCTGGAGGGCGACATTACCGAAAGCCACCACACGCCGGAGAACAGCCCGCCAAAGGTATCGATCTTGGAGAGAAGTCAGTATGAGGAAGGCTTCAGCTCAGAGTGGCAGACCGATGGAGAGGGCTCTCCGCCTCAACCTCCAAACCACAAGCACTTCTACCAACCGACTGTTGAAGATTACTACAGCGAACTTAGTCCGGCGCGGCAGGGTCTTCACCAGTCGTTCCGAGGGCGAAGCGTGCACAACAGTACATATTCGGCACAGAAGCATTCGCCCACTAAGAATGGGAGCCGCAGCCCTGGTCGAGCTTCCAGTCCAACACTCTCGCCAGTGAGATCACCAACACTGCAGCGAACCTCGACACATGGCACATACTCTGGGAACATGGACCATGAGTCACGGCTTGAGCTGGAGGATCAATTCAAACAGCTTGACGCAAAGTGTGCCCAGCTCGAGCAATTGAATGTGGCGCTGGGACAGGCGTTGGAGGAAGAAAAGAAGGTTCGAAAGCAAGAGCAGTCTAGCCACGAGTCTTTTGCCGCAGAAGCTGCACGACGTGAGCAAGACCTGGTCGACATGAAAGAATTGGCACATCGACACAACGCAGAGTTCAGACGCGAGTTTGGCGAGTTGAAGGAACAGCTACTTAACCAGCAGAAGTTGACCGACTTGGCTCGTTCAGGTGAGGATGGCAGGAAGAAGAGCCACGACGCTGAAATTGATCAGCTGCGCAAACAAATAGACTCACAGAAAGCTGAACACGAGAAGCGATGCAAGGCTTTCGAAGCTGATCTCGCTGCCGTAAGGCGCGGTCGCGACCAGGCTGAGAAGGCAGCATTGGACCTCCGTGAGGAACTCGAAGCAGAGCGGGAACACCACGAGGCAGAGAGACAGCGGTTCCGGACGGAGCTGCAGTCAGCACACGATGACGAGGCCGCTATCAGCGAACTCGAAAGAGAGTTGCTGCAGTCCAAGTCCGAGATCGAGAATCACAAGACTGCCAAGATTGAGGCAGAGGAAGAGACCAGATCGCTTCGAGAGCAACTCGCTTCAGCCAAGCAAACGAATGAAGACGATGTTTCCCGATCTTCCAATGAGCGAACACGCGCAGTTGAGCTGGCTGCCAGTCTGCAGCGCCAGATGCAAGAACTTAAGCAACAGCTTCGTGATCAGCAAAGCACGCACCAGACTGAGCTTGAACGCCTCCGATTACAGCAAAACTCATCCTCTCAGACCTCTACCCAAGAGCTCGACGTCATCCGTAATCAACTGGAAGCCAAGCAATCCGAACTCAACATGGCTGTTATCGAGCGCGATGAAGCACGAGATGCACTTGCTGGCGCAGAATCAGAAAAAGAAGCTCTCCAGACCAAGATCACCAACCTCGAATCTGTCAACGTGGCACTTGACGCCAAAGTCTCCGAGACTATTCGCAAGCGGGAGAGGTATTGGAAGTCGAAGCTGGAAGAGGCTACTCGCGAGCGTGAGCTAATGGCTAGGACCCTGATGCATCAGTGGGGAAGACAGGAGGCCGGGGTGGACTCGCCACAGATGTATGCGTATAAGTATTCGAGTAAGAAGGGAGCGGAGGAGGGAAAGGAGAATAGTGAGCCGAGGACTGCTTCGTAGGAGTTTCGCGACTCCTCTTAGGCTTGGATGATAATGAATGAATGACGAATGACAGATACGCTTTTTCCGGGCTGATAACCACTGGCCACTACGCTATCCTCTATCGCTTCGCGCTTCGCGCTTTTCCGTGCCCTGACTGCATCACAGTCGCCAGTCTATGCTCTACTTACCCCATTTACCTCTCTATACAACCGCGCCACATTCTTAAGCCTTCCCATCAAAAAAGCTCACAACAGCCCACTTCCCACTCCAAGCCCACTTCCTCTTATCCCCATCCACACCCCCATCCTGCCCCCTCAACTCCTCATCCTTCCCCTCCGGCAGCCCCACCACAACATCCGCCTTACAAGTCCTCAACGCCAAAACTCTAACACCACTCCCGACTCCCATCGGCCCAATCGCCTCACTAAAAGGCGTCGTAGGATCCCACATCCCATCCGCAGTAAGTTTCCTATAATTCAAATCACCTTTGAAAATCACCAATTCCGAACTCTTCAAATCTTCGTATAGTGCTGGCGCGGTACTGGGTAAACGCCAATACGATCCGCCTTCTGTCCAGAAAGTGTTAGGCCGGAGGACGATTTGGCCTTCTTGGTAGAGGTGTGACCAGTTCTGGAATAAGGCTTGGAGGTCTGCGCTTTCTTTTTGGGAGATGGGTTGGGGTGTTACGCCGCGGGCTTGATCGTCTTCGGAGGGAGTTTCGTAGAAGTGTTTCGCATTTACGAGGACAGAAAGTAAATCTGCGAAGTCTTTGGGTACGACGTCGGAGACGAACCAGGGGATATTCTTTGGGTGGAGGACGATGTGGGTTGCGAGGCCGGACTGCAGGAGGTAGCCGGCGAGGATTAGGTCGACGAAGAGTTCGAAGCCGGCGTTGTCGAGAACGATATCGACTCTGCGTTCTTTGGCGCCGGAGGTTTGGGCCTGTTTGAGGATGGAGAAGGCTTTGTCGAAGTCGTTGACGAGGATTTTGTCTTCGTTTGCTTTGCGGGCGTTGGAGCCTTGGAGTTTTTGGATATCGTCGTAGCTCAGATTTGTGAGTAGACTGAGATCTGTTGCGTTGCCCCAGAGGCAGATCTCGGACATTTCGACGAAGAGTAGTTTTTCCGCCTGTGTGCGTTCTTCCTCTGATGCTGTTGCCAGTGCTGACTTGTTCGACTCAAGCTGCTTTGTCAGGTCATTGTACCTGGCTGCAAGCTCAAGGACCGCAGGTCGAGAAGAGCGGAACGTGGCGGTCTTCTGCTTTGAGAAGACATCGTAGCTCTTCCAATGCTTTGAGAGAGCGAAGATGGTTGCCATGCGGCGGTACAGGTAGCATTCGGCGTACAGCCAGGCGACATCGTGCCATTTGGGATTGCCTCGCTGTTGAAGTTCGTGGTTGTAGGCTGCAATATCTGAGCCGCCATCATCGGCGAGGGGTCTGCTGGAAATCAGTGATGCTCACAGTATTACTTCAGCTTTTGCACTTAAGTCAATTGTCGGTTATGCTGCAACTCATATTTCAAAGTCGCGAGCTCATTTGTGATTTTCTTGCCCTCCTCTAGCTTGGCGGCATCTGTCTCTTTCGACACAGCCTTGTGCACATCATCAATGGCTCCGGTCTAGTATACCAAAGTTAGCTGCCATTTATTCCATTCGTTTCTGCTCATTGGCTCTTACCAAAATCACCGGCCATCGCTCCCTGGCAGAGGTCCAGGCGAAGGAGTTGGGATCTGCTGTCGAGGACTGTTCTGATGTGAAGTCAGCCAGATCTTCGTAAGTCCAGAGTCATGCAGTCTACTCACTAACTTTGGCGTCGGTCTCCATCTTCAGCGCTTGTCTGTGTCTATGTTTATATTGCTGCTGGAAGCGACAAACTAGAGACGTTGAAATATTGAAGCCGACATCGGAATTCCTATCTCGGTCTGCCGACTGGTGGGGGTGGTGGGGGTTCAGCCAGAGCAAATGATGACATGGCAAGCCAAGATGCAGCATTGGAAGTTGCAACCATTGGCGACATTTTCTTCGTACGGAACCAGAGTATTTATTACAACCTGGGCAGAATGATTCTTCCTGTCGCTAAGGTCGATTTTGAGCTTGCATGGCGCGGCGTGAGAAACACAGCCAACGCCGCCTTCAAGAAATTGCTTCGTCCACTATCAAACGAGAGACTAGGCCATGAATACAATAACGATCGCTCAGCAGGTCTCAAACGAAATTCATAGTCTAGGTCGATTTCACTCTATGCTGCTCCGTCCCAGTCAAAGGCGTCTCACGAAGCAGAAGTCCTATCTGCTCCTTCCCAAGACTTATCCCATCCTCCGAATCCACAAGCAACCTCTCAAGCAAATCGATCGTCTGCGCTGCACAGCGTAAAGCTCTCTCTTCAGCACTTCTCTGGAAGTCGACTCTTATAACGAAGGCATCCCTTTCGAAACTTTGACTGCCCTATTTCCCTCCATGTCAGTATCAAACCGCCCGCTCATTCCAATAAGCGCAGTAGGTTGGGATAGGGCAGAACTCACCTCATGCATATGCACATCCCTCCCCCTAGCCCTCTCATCCTCCCCCACCATCCCCTTCCTTCTCCCTCCCTCATCCCTCCCCAGCAAAACCGAAACCCTCCAATACAACCCCTCCAACCAAATCCAATCCACACACATACAAAACAAATCGCTCACATCCTCAATCCAATGCATACATTGAACCTTGAACTCCGGCGTCCAAGCTGGGAATTTCACAATAAAACCCCTCATAATGATGGGTAGGAGTTCGCGTCGGATTTGTTGCGATGTGGAAGCTATGGCGTCGATGGCGAGTTGTTGCTCGGAGCGGTAGTCGAGCGGTGAGAGAGGCCATGCGAGGCGGAATTGGAGACGGCCGGAGTGCAGGCGGACGAGGGAGGAGCCGATGAGGTTGGAGGTTGCGTGGGAGTAGATTTGGAGGCGGAGTTCGGGTGGAAGGGTGAGGAGGCTGGCACGTGGTGGTGGTTCTGGTTTGGGTGTGTCGTTTGGCTTGTTTTCTGGTTGCAGTGGTTGGTCGGTCTCTTCTGCTTGTAAGTTGACCTGTGAAAGCGTTGTTGCTAGATCGGAGGATTCCATAATTGTGATAGCTTCCTGCAGGTAGACTTGATAATTCCAGTAGGTAGACTTGGTATTAGCGATAGTATCTCTAGAGAGGGTTATATGCTGAGCAGCAGGTTTGTGATTTGCTAAAGAGAGAATGGTATGCTGCAAGTCAACATGGAATTCGAGGATGTAAACAGTCAACTACCATGCATGCACGACAGGTTAGTCAGGAACAGACTTCAGTGCCTGATGGTCCTTGTCTCGTCGGTCTAGCGTTAGGTGTGTAAGTTGCGAAGCCATGGTTCTGAACTTCATGGTATGTCGAGGCGGCGTGTGCTAGCACCAAGCTGACCAGTCTGGCTCACGTATGATATGTTGACGTGATCATACGAGCAACGCCGCACAAACTTCCATGCTTGGCTCATGGTATGTAATCAGTCGATAGTGCCAACCCTCTTTGCAATGTGTTTGGAACTCAGGTGATCAGGGATAGTATAAGTCCATTTCATACATTCGCTCGAATAAGGTTCATGGTCGCTTCCAGACCGGTCAAACGTAGTCTTTCATTCTGCCGTACACTTCATGATACTCGTGTCATTCCTCAAGCCACTGCCATCCATCTCCACTATCGCAACGCATTGTAGTTCGCTTCAGGGAACTGGAGGTGGCCGTTCGGATTTGCTGGATCATAGCCTGTCGGACTCAAGGCGGACGGAGCCATGTGGTCGTCATAGCTCGCTGGTGCATAGGCGGTCTGCGTGGTCGAGTGGTAGCTCGTTCTCCTTCCAGGATGCGCCATGCCCTCGGCATCTGTGTGCGAGTATGTATCCGAATCTCCTCTTCTGTGACCTCCTGTTCCCAGCAAGCCTTCTCGGTCGGCGGTCGGTGCAGTCTGCCCAAGGCCGAACCTGTCGGTGTTGCTGCCGTTCAGGTCTTCGGTATCCGTTGACCATGGGTCTGCTGTCTTGTCCGTGATCGAGTCCGAATCTCTTGCACTTCCCGCCGGGTTTCTCTTGAACTCATTTATGGGCACGGCACCTGTCTTCTTGTGCTGCTTGATGGCGTATATCGCAATCGCAGCTGTGAGCGCAAAGAGCAGGAACATGACGACTCCCAACCCGACGGTGGCTTTGCTGACGTTGCATTTGCTGACACTGCCATATGCGAATGACTTGCAACTTCCATCCTTGATCACTTCGTCGGCGCGTTTCGGTGTGTCCGTGTTCGAATCGGGCTTCGTTTCGGTCTTCGTCTTGCCCTTGGAGATCGCTTGGCCATTCCATACTGCCACAGCGATGGCAGCCGCGAACCATAAGATGGCAAAGAGCACGTCAACGGTTGCGATTGCCCAGACATTGTTGAAGCGCCAGGCACGCGACCACATTGGCACCATGACCTGGTAGATGACTGCTGGGATGGTGAAGAAGCACTATGACCTGGTCAGCCTGTTCAATGTAGGCTTGTTGAAAGCTGCAGTACGTACCAGTGCGAAGTAGAAAGCACTCTGCCCACCATAGCCGCCCGACTTGGTCATGACGGCCAAAGTCAGGCATCCTGCCACGAAGACCAGCACACTCTGGAACAGGTGAGTACCTGCCTTCACCCGCTGAAGCTTTGTCTGTGGTATCCGCATTTTGATGTTCGAGTTGCTCGAGGCAGCAACGTAGCAAACTGGGAGAAGGCAATTGGAATTGCAGGAGAGGTGGGCAACGGAACTCGCTCTTCTATAAGGCTACTGTCTCAGACATAAGCAGTAAACAGTTCGAGACAGATTCGGCGCCTCGGACAGGGAAGCGCTTCTCAGCTTGCGTGGCTCCAAGGCTTGTTGCTGAGCCACTTTCGGTGCCAAAAGCTGCGATGGGGCTATGGATCCTCTGTTCTCGTCCTCGGAATGAATGGCGTGTGCAATTTCGCTCACGGAGGCTTTGGTGTATGTTTTGTATCGTTGATACTGAGTGTGGCCATGATGAAAAGGCCGCCGGCGCGTGCGAAATGGTGACGCTCGAAAAGTCGCGGTGTTGTGGGGATGTCGTGAAGAGCAACCACCCGGACATGGGTCGCGGCCCGCCAAACTTCGACCAGGATGATGGCGACGACCTCACCTCATGTTTCTCCAGCACCGACTTCTTGCTGCCACCAACATCATCATCATCTATATCGCATCTTGTTTCGCCCGCCGCCGAGCCACGGTCTTTGTTTGGCATGCTCCGCCTTCGTGGCGCGTGTCTTCTCTCGCACAAGACGATCCTGAGGCATCAGCGCGCAATGGAAGCGAAGAGTCTCGTAAGGCTACCAAAGAGCGCCCGGGTATCAGTGCTCTCGAGGCAGCTCTTGTCACATACGTGATTCAAGCCGAAAAGAATTCCCAAGGGAGAACAACTGCGCTCAACATGTTTCACCAGACGACGCCTCAAGCATAGCAAGGCGTAGGAAGGCGTGGAGTCCAACCGATTGAGACGTCTGACTCTCGCGTACTGCTGCGGAGATTGAGGTTTCTGGAATCATGCTTCGTGCGTTTGATGATGCAGAGGCGCATTCACGACTCCGCGGACCAGCTCGATGTCGGACGTGCCAGATTTCGGTGACATTTCACGCTGCTCTTTCGTAAAGCCCTGGGTGCTGCTGAACTCCCTTTCGACTGCCTTCTCTGCTTCTGCGGCTTCCTCATGTTGCGACTCTGTTCGTTATGTCTGCAGCGAGCATTTTGGCTGTGGTGAGTGGTGGGTAGTGAGTGAGCAGCACCGATCGCGAGCTGCATTCCACTCTTCGCGTCGTTCCGCCTCTGGAATGTAGTTCATGCAACCACTTCTCAAATTTCACCTATCAGGGTAAGCACGCTGCGACGCGATGGCTGGTCAAGGAACCACGACCCGACCGACCGCTATACCGACCATATGCAGCATGACTTTCAACTGCCACTGCATTTGCCTAGCCTACCTCTCACCCACAGCATCATTAACAGCAGCAGTCAGAAACCCGTGCAGCAAGAACACAACAACTTTCCGACAGCGAAAAATCACGAACTTTCGGTCATCATTGCGGACCTCGACGGTTGGCCTCGGACATGGGTGTGTCAGAATCACGCGACTTGCAACGACTACAACCGGCACGAGCACGAAGGAAACAGTTTGGACGGATCACGATTGTAGCCTGTCAGAATGCACTTCTGTGGGCGGCCTTGTATGTCGTCGCAAGCACGATATTCCTCCTGGTCATCGGAGCTATAGACACACAAGCGATTCCTTCTGCGGTGATGTATTTGGTGGCAGTAAGAGCTTCTTGACCAGTGCCGTTGGACGAGACGTCTGACATATCCTGCAGGGCATCTTATCCCTTTTCTACCTTGTTCTGCAAAATATCGCAACTCATCTGCGGACGAGGGCTCGGAACATGATCGATGGCGAACGAGTTGATGGCTATCAGTCACTTGCTGCGCATACATTGCCTATACTGGTCACGATATGGACGATAGCTAGTGGGCTGTGCATTACGTTCACTGCGGCGAGGCAACCTCTGTGCACTTTCGGGTCCAACTCATCGAAGATGAATTTGGTGGACAATGGCCACGTGTGTGTCATCAATCGGGTCGCCATACTGACGGGCCTTGTCGGCATGTAAGTCGATACACAGCGGATCAAGCGCTTGTGCGCATGCTGATAGTTTGGATAGGATTGCTACGCTGATTCTCATCCTGCTCATGCGGCGAGTAAGCGGAGCGAATCGATGCCATCTGCTCGGAATAGTGCCAGAACACAAACTGCTACCCTTGTTCCTGGCCCACAAGGAGCGAGCTCTTCGAACCATGCCTTCCGAGATGTCATTCAAGTGCCGCTCATCAACATCGATCTCGACTAAAGCGATGGCTTCAAGAGACGTAGAGCATGAACCTATGCCGGTGGTCACCGAACCATGGCTGCCGCCGAAGCCAACGAAGCCGGATATCAGTTGCAGCAAAGCTGCCGTACCTCCCTCGCTGTTGCAAGCACGACCATCAATGTCTTCAATCCGCTCCCACACAAGCTTGTACCTGCCGCCGCCACCCGCCTCCCCTCTACCACCTCTGCCAGCTTACCTTCCCAATCGCTTGCATGCTGGCAGCACGATGCACAGAGCTATATACCCCCCTCGCTCATTCTCCCGCCCTGTGCCTGTTCGGCCTAGTCGAAGCGATGATACGCTCGATCTACTGCCACCACCACCTGTAGCCCTCTCTTCCGCCAACCTTGCCGTCCTCTCACGAAGACGGGCGTCCTTCTCAAGCATATACAGTCGCGACACAACAGGCGAATCCCAAGTTTTACCCAAGGCAAACCCCCTACCTTCGCTCACTTCCAGCAGTCGAAGTTCAAGCTCAGGCAGCGTATCGACAATCCAAAACACTACCGTGACAACAAATCTGCAGCACCAACCCCGTTCGAAAATGAGCTTCGACTCATCCACCGGCAGCGCTGCCAATACACATTCCCTCAGCAGCGAATGCAACACGGTGCTCAGCTTCGAGCCTGTAGCTCCTCTTCAGATCAGGAAATCGACTGTGCCGCCTCAGAGTGCCTTGGAACAGAAATTGAGACAGTATGCGGAGAGCCAGAGTCGGATTCGACAGACGAGTTATACCCCTTTGATGCAGAATGGAATAAGGTGTCCGGAGAGGTTTCGGTTTGAGTAGGGAATGTCAAGAAGGAAGACTGGGGGAAGAAATGGATGGGTGAGATTCTGTTCAAAATGTACTGTCCATAGGCTGTGATGAATGCAGATAAGCAGGCTACATGTTCTACGCGCTTCCATGTCTCAGACGGCTTTCTGCAGCGCTAACTAACCGCTTCGCTCGGCAAAAGCGCAGAGAACTCATTCCAATTTGGAGAGCAAGCTGACATTTCGCGACCAGCTCCCTCCTGGGCAGTCAGATTGCCGAAAGCTTCGCATATCATGCTGCTGCTGGTATAAAATACAAAAGCTGAGAAGATGCTATGCCATCGGGGAGACGTGTGCTTTTTTGCGACCGTTGGTAGCTGAGTTGCATTCACGTTTCCAGCGAAAGGTATGCTTCTCAGCAATTCGATATCAGCAATAAGCCCAGACGGAATCTTGTTAGGCCTTGGAAGGACAAACTGAATATATTCTGAGGTTTCATCACAATTCGAACATGTTCCTCAGGCGACTTGCTCAGGATACACCTGGGTCATTCTCTCATCGATCGTTGACCGTCTCCGATGTGACTTGAACGTCGAACCCCAAATCTTCGAACAATTTGGTTGACTTTGCCACCTGTTCCAGACTGTATGCTTCCGGATCTGTGCCTGCTCGACGCATTACACGCATCAAAGATCCCCAATACTGAAACACGAGATGGACGTGAATGGTGCACTTGAACTTGTTCTTCTGCTCGCCTTTGCCTCCATAGCCATAACCCAGTAATATTTCCGCCAAGTCCTGCCACTCTGAGTCGCCATCAAGACAACAATCAGAGTACTCCCCGCACACGATAAGCAAGTTTCGAATAGCTGCGCGGTTCTTCTCGGTTGAACATTCTAGCCATCGCTCAATCTCACACGATCGGTCGGTGATGTCGCATTCGGGGTCTCCCCAGCATTCCGCGGAAACAACCTCGAAGACAAAGTCGTTGCAGTGATAGAAAATTCCCAGACTCTCGTCGCGAATCTGGCGGCAAACGCGGGTAATCGGTGGTTGAATAGCTTTGTGGTATCCAGGGGACTGAGCGCAGACTGTGAGAGGTTTGTCGGCTGAGACTACTAATCGGTAGATCTCGTTTCGTAGCTCGGCGGGGAGCTTCTCGGGTGGTGAGTTTTCCATCGTGTTCGGAGGCAGTAGAAGTGACCGAGGAGGGAGAGGGTAGCGGAAGGATCGTGGGACTCGACTTGGTGTGCTGAGGCTCGAGAACGAGACGAATGACCCCTTGGACCTTTGCTCAGGATTAGCCCGTGGAGTACGAAGGTGTCAGTCGAAATGAAGTACAAGAAGAATTTTCGTGAATGTCTCTGTTTGATTTGGAAGATTCATGTCGCTAAAGGTGAATGGCCAGATAAGGCAGCACGATTCACTCACGTGCCTCAAGCAATTCTGCCGTGCCATGGCAGCTCCCTTTCTTGTGTCTGAATCGTCTTATACAGAATTTCAAGTCACCTCGTCCGAACCCCCAAGCCAAGCTATTCATAACTCCGCGTTGTAACAGTTGGCGAGGTCTCACATATGGAAGACGGCTCAATTCTCGTTCGCATTTCTGACACCCGTGGAACGTGAATGTTCAATATCATTCATATGATCGCTCCAGGTGCCTGAGCTGTCTGTTTGGGATGATTTTGGCGAGTTCATGATTGTATCATTCGCCTTCTGAGTTGCTCAGCTCTTCCACCATACCTTGGCAACTCAGGCAGTGCCCGAAGCGTAGAGTATGCAGCCAGGTCAGATTGACCTTGACATTCAGTCCTGATGCGTCAAAAAGCTCGCTCGCTTCATCTTTCATCTCTTGAATGAACTCGCGAACGCGACCATAAGTGACTCGATCGTAGGAATACGCGAAATTCTCACAGTTAGCCTCGTCGGAGATGATATGCACAGTGACCTTGAGCTTCTGCTCTTCCTCGCTGTTCCGACCGTAGCCACATGCCTTCAGCGCCTTCATTAGTGGCTCCCAGTCAACGTACTTGAGCCTTTCGCACACATGCACACAAATCATCAGTACTGGATGTTTGGTACTGTCGTGATTCTTCTGATTTGTACATTGCAGCCATGCCGTGACTTCCTTCGTTCTCTCGTGGATGTCGTCCCAGTCCGGGTGATGGCCCCAAAACGTGGTTGAGATGAGTTCCATGATGAAGATGTTGCCGTGATAGAACATTCCAAGCGATTCTTCGCGAATCTGGCGACAGACTCGAGTAATTGGTGGCTGTGTGGCGCTTGATTCGGGCGTGGAGTGGTTCTTGCAGACCGCGAGGGGCTTGTCGGCTAGCACTAGCAATTGGTAGATCTCGTTTCGCAGTTCGGCGGAGAGCCTTCCCAGGGGCGACTTGTCCATGCTGTCGAGCGGCCATAGGTTGGTTGGGGCAAGGAGAGGTTGATGGGGTGTGATTCGACGTGCTCAAAGCTGAGAGCAGCCGGGATGGTGTCTATAGTCTTTGCTGATACCTGTGGCGAGCTGTGGCGACAGTGATCTGGAGTTGTACTCGGCGATGAGGTTTGAAAGGCATGGTGTTGTTGCTGTTGTGGTGACGATGCGAAAGTGAAAAGGAAAGAGTTCAGTGCGAGAGAAAGTGCGCCCAAGCTTCGATATTTCATGTGACTAGAACTGCAGATACTCGCTACATGTCTCACTTCTCCTATCACGGCTTCGTCTATCTTTCCCATCACTGCAGTTTATCGAGACATGGTCTAAAAAGTTGTCTTCATCCTCTAACTAATCAAGACTCCCAATCAAACAACGATTGCCAAGACGCCTGGAGAACTACCAACCACCCCTGTCCGGCGCTGAGAATGTTAAAGCCAGGCTCAGTCACACTTGTCAAGTACACGACGACTTTCATGTTCCCTTTAACTATGATGCCCACCTTCGCACCAGCCCCAACGAGTCCCAGTTATCATACTGTTTGAATTGATAACATCCAGTTACTTCTACTGTGCGAATGATTCCAATCATTGGGCGAGACTGTCACGGGGCCCATATTTTGGTCAGTAAGTTCGAATCCATGCGGTGAGATCATTCTCCAATTGCACCGGGCTTGGGAGAGAACATCGATGTTACAACCACCGAACATGCTATCATTCAGCACCAGGTCCCGTCCATTTTCTCCCAAACGACCTCGACCTCAAACTCAAGGCTATCGAAGAACGCCTTCGTCTCCCTCTTGCGCCTCTCACGGAAGTCTTTGAAGTCACGGGATGTTGCGCGCAGGCATGCGATCACTTTCATCTTAGGGTTCGCGCCACCTCCAACCAGACCGAGTCGTGTCAGCTCCTGGTTCAAGCCTTCCCAATCATCCTCGGCGTCTTCGAAGTAGCAGTAGTCAGGTAGGGTCATCACAAGCCGCAGATCTTGGACATTGGCGAGGTTCTGGGCAGTCGTGCACTGGAGCCAATGCTCGATTTTGTCGATTTTGTCAATGACCCATCTGTCGGGGTCGGGAGTCCAGTTCGTGTGCGCCGATATTTCTGCGACAAAGGTGTTGCAGTGGTAGAACATTTGTAGGGTTTCTTCACGGATCTGGCTGCAGACTCGAGTTATTGGTGGCTGCCTGGCTTTACGGAGCTCGGAGGGCCCGGAGCAAATCGCCAGTGATCTGTCGGCTGAGAGTACGCGCTTGTAGATGTCGTTCCGTAGTTCTGCGGAGAGCTTGCCGAAGAGTGAGTTCTCCATGGCGGCGAGAAAAGCCGGCTTGATGAGGAGAGGTCTGCTGAGCTGGGTCGGATGGCTTGAACGCCTTTTCCTTAGATTGAGTGTTGATGGGCAGTGCTGCGATGGGTCGATACTATTGAGATGTTAGTGCGAAGGTATGCAAAGTGGAAGAGTAGTATTGAAGAAGGATATCAGTGCCTGGTGAAGCCTCAGAGCAAGTGATGTGCGAAAGTGAACGACCTTTCTTCGGCTGCATAATCTCTTTGTTACGACTTGGTGCAGTGTTCTGTAGAGAAGGTTTTCGTCTCTCAGTCGTTGACTCCACCAGCATGATCATCCACACAGCTCATCCAACCAGTCCTGGGGCCTACCTCTTTGACAGACCATACATTGTATTCGTGACACATTCATTGTGCCTCCTGCAAAGGGGCACGACAGTGTTTGCAGTTACTCACTTCGTGAGACCACATCTTCTTCCAAGTCACCTCGACCTCTAGACCCAGATCTTCGAAGAACTTTCTCGCCTTTGCCTTCATTTCGTCGGCAGACCCTCCGTATACCCATACCAGCTCATCATCAGTGGTATACTCAGAGACCAGGTGTACGGTCGCTTTGAGTTCCTGCTGCCCTTCAATTCCACCATAATCACATTCTCTCAACTTCTTCACCAGAGGTTCGATGCTGTATGTTCCGATGTCTTCCCCCTCATAGTTTCCCCAATCTTCTGCGTATGTAGAGACCATGACTTCTACGTTCTTGATGATGTCGTGGTGCTTTTGGGTGGTACATTCTAACCATTCTGAGACCTCATACGTTCTTCTTTCGAGTATTTCGCACTGGCTGCAAGGTACCGGCATGTGATATTCGCCCTGGGTCTCGTATTCGGGTTCTTAGGGAAAGTTCCACGATGTATAGTCGCTCCAGTCCCATAACCGGGACGAAATCATTTTCATCACAAAGGTGTTGCAGTGATAAAACATGCCGAGGGCTTCGTCGCGGATTTGCCGACAAACGCGGGTGAGTGGTGGTTGTACAGCCGTTGAGTCAGGATCTGGGTGTCCTTTACAGACTACTAGAGGATTTTCCTGTTGAAGCGCGAGTTCGTAGATCTTGTTACGCAGTTCGGCGGAAAGCTTGTTAAGTGGCGAGTTCTCCATTTCGCGAGACTCAGGCGCTGCGGCCGAGGAGGTTGTTCCAGGCGCGATTGAACGTGATGGTGGGGTGGCGTGGTGATGCCGGCTTGATGATGCGAGCGCGCATGCACGACGATCAGCTTCTGATGGGGCGGTGTTGTGTTGTGTTGGTAATGTCGAGGTACTGGCGAGAAGTCAAGTAGGGAGCTCAGCGACAAAGTGCGCACAAGCTTGAAATCTAGGAACTGCGACTCGCCACTGCAAACGCCCCCTCAATACAAACGCTTATTTTACTCAATAAAGTCAACAGTCGATCGAATGCGTAGAAGCACCTCGAGATCACCTCTCAGGATGCAGTCCTCTCGCGAAGCCCACGGCTATCCACTTCCCCATTTCTCGCCGTCCCTACGACTATTCGCCAATTGCACACCTTCAAGTCGTCATGCCCGATGCCCAAAACACATCAATCTCCAGACCTTCAGCTTCGAAGAACTCGAACGCATCCTTCTCCATTTGCTCAGCGTGCGCAGCAGCCTCATCCGCTGCACCCAAGCGTGACTTCCAATCAACTCCGTCTTTGTTCAAGCGCACAGTCACTCTCATTTTCTGCTCCTCCATATGCTTGCCATGATAGTGGAAGCTTTCCAGTACACCCATCAAACCTCGCCAGTCCGGCGAGTACCTGCTTGCGATCAAGGACATGTCGATTGTCAAATGCAGATTGCGAATCGATGCATGATGCTTGCGCTCCAGCCCAAAAAGCCAAGCCACTACTTCCTTCTGCTCGCGCGCGAGGTTTGGGCTTGCCCCGGTTGCGCGAGGTCCGCAGGCCTCGATGAGGAAAGTGTTGGTATGATAGAACATCGTGAGCGTTTCTTTGCGAACCTGACGGCAGACTTTGGTGAGAGCTGGTTGGACTCCTGTTGGCGCATGTCGAATTTCACCTGGGTGTGAAATCTTGGAGCAAATGGTGAGTGGCCCGTCAGCCGTGAGGGCTAACTCGTAGATCTCGTTGCGCAATTCGGACGAGAGTCTATCGAGGGGCGAGTTCTCCATTGGAACGGCTGCGTGCTGGAAGTGATCTGGTCGAGTCTGGTCTAGTGCGCTGGTGCTTATGCGAATGCTGATGTATGCCGAATTCTTTGTTCGGGTGAAGTGATAAATGGTTGACCGGTTGCCAGAACTTTGCTGTCGAGTATTGCCTGTGAATCAGCAAGGCAGTGTGTGACCAAGAGCGGAAAGTAGTGCACTGGTGAACAATAAGAAAAACACTTTTCCGAAAACCTGCCGCCGCACTTTAGTCTTGGCAGTGAGGCACGAAGTGAAGCAGACGCCGTAGCACTTCACGATCTACATGACTGTCGCTCAAAATTGCGTATCATTTGCTCACGGGCTGTGTCCAAGACACGTTTCCGACGACATACTGATTTCCCATGTGGTTGTACAGCACATCCTAGCTTTTCCAGGCGAACGCCAAAACTCCATCGCTAATCCCACACAGCGAGATTGTATCATCTCTTCAGCTATCCGTCTATTGTCCGAGCACAGTCTTATCTTCTGTTCCATTGTCAGCAGCGTCCTTTGTTGCTCCATCTCCTTTATTACTCACTCTGCTGGGTGAGGAGCAGACCGTATCGCTTCTTCAAAGTGACTCTGTGTCTATTTGATCGCATTAGCATCGCGTTCTATCCCATTGTTCTCGCACTCAAGCGCTTTCTTCATACCTCGAGTACTTGTCATCTGGCGAAAATCTGGCTGGGTGGGCAGACTTGGTGACTTCGCTGCCGACGACCTTCTTCAAGGTGTAGACGCGCTTGCCATTGGCATCGAGGGTGTACATAAGATGCATGGTGACTGATGTCGTAGATTTGTCCCGTGGAAATGTTCGTTCGGTCTGCGATTGTGAGGTGCTGTCGCCGTTGCTGTCGTCGCAAAAAGTCAGAAGTGAAGCTCAAGAAATCTCGAGGAGAGCTAGGATCTTGGCTCTGCATGTCGGCCCGACTATTCCTCCGGCGCTCATGAACAGCTCGCAACTACGCAACTTCACCCTGCGTTCGTTCCATTGCGCTGCACACGACACGCGCCGCTGAACAAGATGCACTTTCAATCGATCCTTGGAGCTCTCTTGCTCCTCGTTGCTCCGGGAATGTCGCAATTCTTCAACTTCGGCAACATGTTCGGCCAGCAACAACAACATCAAGAGCCACAGAATATGGGGAGCGACAGCGACTGGTACCAGCAGAACTATGAAGGAGGTAAGCGCATTCGAGACTGCACAGTTCGTTGTCGTCTCGCGGATTTTGAAAGCTGACCCCTTTCTGCCAGCCCGCTGCGACAAATACCTCTGCCCACACACCCTCTCTTGCGTCCACTTCCCACACCACTGTCCCTGCGCATTCCCCAAAACCGAAGACAAAATCGAGTTCGGAGAAGGCAGCATGGCGTGCGTTAGCAAAGGCGGATTCAAGGAAGGCGAGTCGCTGAGGAAGATCGAATTGGCGAGGAAAGGACTGTTATAATAGCGTGATTGAGCGAAGGCGTTTTGGAGAGCACTAGATGGGGAAGCATTGTGTCACGATACCCAGAATCTGAAATGATACGAGATTTTTGAATCTTTCGTCTCCAGCCAGCGCTGTGGTTCCAGGGGAAACCCACCTTACGCACATCATTCGCTTATGTGGCCGTACCGATACTGGGACATCCGCTGCGAACAAGGCTAGGAAGGGCATGAGTGACGTGCTAGTCGCATTCAACACTCTGGCGCAGGACGATATGGTCGTCCGCGGCTCGCTGGGCCTCTCGCGAGTCCACGCCGCTCTGGAAGTCAGGTGCAACAGCTAAGCCCAACTCGGCTTCCCACTGGACTGAAATACGTGCTTCTACCTGCATCATGAAAATGAATGTCATTACTGTGAATGACCGACCGATATTTCCCGACCCTTACGCCATGCTAGAACGCTCCTTATTCTCATTCAGACTCCATGTCTGCATCGACTTCGTGCCAAATGCAATTATTTTTGCCGTCCTTGCCTTCCTCACAACACGCGTTCAACCCCATCCGAAGCATTTCTTCGATGCCTTCAGAAGGCTGTTCGTTGCCGATTGGTACTCCGCCTTCGTGTTGCTCCTACTTCCACGGCTTGGCCTCCATACCATCGGGCGGAGTAGTCTCGACTGGGCCTTTGGACACTTCTTCCCAGTTAGTGGACAGCGCAGTGCCGTTGGACTCGGTGTATGACTTCATCATGGCACGCTGTGCCTCCGGACTGGCTCCCTTGAAGAGCTTCTTGAAGAAGTGGTTGGCCTCGTCTCCGCCTTCATAGTCGTCATCATCTTCGACCGCGCCAGGCTTCTCACTCTTCGGCATCGCCTCTTTCGCAACCTTGTCCCAGTCTTTCGGTCCTCTCTTTGACGAGGTCGGGTACGAAGGGCCCTTCGGAGGTTCCGACAAGACTGCGTGCCTAACTGCATCGTCGGCGTTATTATCGCCACCAGCGACACTGTCAGCCTTAGGAGCGTCCTTTTGTGGCTCATCGCTTTCCAGCTTCCGCCATTTAACACCGGGCTGTGCTTTGGTGAGAATGATTTCGACCTTGCTAGGGAGGACACGCGTTATGCACCTCTCTGGATCGACTGGTGCGAACAGTGGCTCAATATGAAGGTCATAGCTTGAATTCGAGCCTGTAGGGAAGGTCACACTGAAGGAGCGCTCCTCAAAATGAACGACACATTGATTTTTTGGGACACCCTTTGCCATAAGGGTGAAGTAGATGTTCTCCGTATTCTGATACCAGTCGTAGCGAATTTTGTCTGCTGGCGTCTGCTGGGGTGCGACAGCGGCTGCAGGAGGTACGGGTAGGCCAGCCGGTCTTGCTGCTGGCTTGCTAGGTATTTCAGCAATGGTAAGCTTCCGCTTGTCGTCGTGTTGGTCGAGCTTGGCCAGATCCATCTTGGTCTTGTTAATCCACATTTCGGCTTGCTTGTGCTTCTCATCACGCTGCTTGACCAGATCGAGGATGAACTGAGCGTCGCCGAGGCGCCCGAGTTTGTAGAGCGCTACTCCACGACGAAATTGAGCTTCTGTTATGAGCTCTTTCCTCGCACGTTCCACTGCGTTCAGTACTCCCTGCTCGGCATCCGCAAGAGCCGCGTCGAAGTTTCCCGCTCTCTGATAGGCCATGGAGCGTTGGATGTAGAAGTCTGGCGAAGTTGGGGATTCGTCGATCGCGGCAGTATAGTCCTTGATAGCTTCTTCATACTTTCCAGCTTCCAGGGCCTTTTTGCCACGCGCAGCACTGGCTGCCATGATTGCGCAAGTCTCTGCAAGGTCGATGAGGTATTCTCTCTCGAATGCAGCTTGATACTCCCTCTCCTCTTGTCTTAGTGCTTCAGCTTGCTCTCTGCGTTGCTGGTCTAGCTGGAACCGGTATCTTGCTCTGACCTTGCGTGCCTGCTGAAGCCAAGGCACAGGATTGATAAATAGATGTGCCCTAGGTGCGAGATTACACCTGATGCCCGCGTGTATGATTGCGAGCTGGTAGTCCTGCCGCTCTCGTTGCTGTCGAGCTCGCGTGACTGCGTAAATCCAGAGAGGGTGCTTTTCCGATCGCTCAGCCAGAGGATGCTCCTACGAAAACTCTATCTTGGCGTTGGAATTCTCTTTTGGATAAACGATGACTGAAAATGAATTGATCGTGAGGTGTGGGTCGTGAAAGATGTAGGTTAGGAAGATGGAATCGAAGTTGGACTTCTAGAAGCTAGAAGGTGCAGCCACAGGCGCCACTTCACAATCCCTGCAGGCGGCGCAGCTGCTGCCTCAGGTTTCACGTGCAACCAGTCACCTCACTTGCCAAATTCGTTCACATTCAATCGAGACAAGCCTTCAGCATGTCTCGCATGTCAATACGGACCTTTCTGGTCACAGCCAAGAGATGTTTACAGCAAGCAATCAAGGATCAAACGCCCACCTCATTCGTCATCGGCAATGAATCCGCAGATCTCGACTCCATCACCTCTGCCCTTGTATACGGTTACATACAATCAAGTCAACTCGAATCGAAACGCACTGGAAGGCTATGGATACCCGTGACCAACATTCCAGCCTCAGACCTCGCTCTCAGACCCGAGCTCACTGCTCTTCTCAAGCACGCAGACATCAAGCCATCCGAGCTTATCACTCTCGATGATCTAGGGCCTGAGCCACTCCCAGCAGAGAAGACCGAATGGACACTCGTCGACCACAATTCGTTCCTGGGTGATTTGGGCAAAATCTACTCTTCTCGCGTAGTCGCCGTAATCGACCACCACGAAGATGAGAGCAAAGTCCCGGCCAGCGCTTCCCCACGCGTGATAAACAAATCCGCCAGCTGCAATAGCCTCGTCATTAATCATCTCCGTCCCAGCTGGCAAAGTCTCGACTCCATGGTCTCATCCACGATCGGCTCCGCACAAGCAGACTCGCGCCTCATCGACGACTTTCCCTACGCCTCAACCTGGGACGCTCAAGTCGCCAAATTGGCTCTTGGCTCCATTCTCATCGACAGCATCAACATAAAAGCTAAAGAAAAGATTACTGAGCATGATACCAAAGCTGTGAGATTTCTGGAAGCGAAGATCAATATCTCGCATAAGTTTGGGAAGGACTATGATCGAGATCGGTTCTTTAATGAGATCAATGACGCCAAGTCGAATATTGATGAGCTGTCGCTGCGAGATATCCTTAGGAAGGATTATAAGCAGTGGCGAGAAGGTGATCTGGAGTTGGGTATCAGCAGTGTTGTACAAAACGTGCAGTATCTGTGGAAGCGAGACGAGGAGCTTGATGAGGTTGTGGAGAAGTGGGCGCAGGAAAGAAAACTCAATCTTTTCGCGATCATGACTGCATACAATAATGACGAAGGCTTCCATCGACAATTAGTCCTGTATGCGCTAGACGAGAAGGGAAAGGAGGCTGCTGAGAAGTTTGCGGACAGTGCGAAGGACCTGCAACTAGAGGACGCGAAGGATGGCGATGGGAAGCAGCCTAAGGAAGGCTTCGTGCACTGCCACCTTTGGGATCAGCACAATCTTGCAGCGAGCAGAAAGCAAGTCGCGCCGTTGCTACGACAGACTATGAGCTAGTTGGAGAAAAGCCAATGCTCAGACTAATTATTGCCACGCCTATCGATGGACATCGGCGGTATCAGAACACACAGTGTAGCTTGGGCGAAACAACAGCTGTGAATTTGATAGTTGATCAGTTTGTCCGATGTTTCCATCCACGCTCTCCCGCAAAGCTGATCGCGACATAGCCCGTCTTAGCCCTTGGGAGCATCGCTTTGAAGCGGCGAAGCAGCCTCGTCATCAATCTTGATCAGCACAGTCTTATGCTCCAAATGTTCTTCAATGCTGTAGCCATATCCTTCTCTACCTTGACCAGAGCCCTTGTAACCACCGAAAGGCATATCCATCGCCATTGTGGGGCTCGAACAGTTGATGCCAACGGTACCAGACTCGAAAGCTTTGGCCACGCGGAGTGCACGATTGATGTCTTTCGTGAACACTGCAGCATATAAACCGTACTCTGTCGCGTTGGCCTTCTCGAGAGCCTCGGACTCGGTCTTGAATGTGTTGATATTGACGAAGGGGCCGAAGACTTCTTCCTGCTGCATGTGTTAATTTTGAAACGGTTTGAGCTTTGTGTGGTAATGCTTACTTTTTGAGTCTTCTCGTTCTCGTCCACATTGGAGTAGACGGTGGGCTCAATGAAGTAGCCCTTCCCATCAACCTGTGCAGGTTTGCCTCCAGACTCCAGCTTACCCTTGCCCTCAGTCGCAGCCTGCAAGAATGTTTGTATCCTCTCATGTTGAAGCTGATCGGCTTGAGGACCTTGCTGAGTCTCCGGCAGGAGAGGGTCACCTTTCTTTGCAGCTTTGAACATGGCGATGAAAGCCTCCTTGAACTTATCTGCGACAGACTCTTGCACGTAAATTCTGCTGTTTGCGACACAAGCTTGGCCCATGAGCATTTGCATCGAAGCTGAAGTCGCCGTGGCGGCCTTAACGATGTCGGCATCTTCGAAGATGATGGCTGGTGACTTGCCACCCAGTTCGAGCACCACCTTCTTGAGGTTGCTACCTGCAGCCATTTGCTGAATCTTCTTGCCAGTCATGGTCGACCCTGTGAAGTTCACCATGCGGATGTCCATGTGGCTGGCCAGAGTGGCGCCGGAAGGTGTTCCGTGGCCGTTGAGAACATTGATCACGCCAGGTGGGAATCCAACCTCATGAGCGAACTTGGCGCACAGTGTGGGCTGTACACACGTTAACACTAACAAGTCATATTGGAAATAACGAGCCTACTGTAAGGGGAGCCTTCTCCGACGTCTTGAGCACAATTGTACAGCCTGCTGCTACAGCTGGTGCGATCTTCATGGCGAAAGACAGTGTTCTGTTGGAGGCATTAGAAGGCAGGTATGTCTTGTAAGAGCTTTCGAGTGCATTCTGATCAAGCAGCCGGAGAGAAAGTCTTACGGGATGTTCCATGGTATGATTGCCGCTACAGGACCGATTGGCTGCCTGAAGGTCATGTTGATATAGCCAGGCGAGTTCAGACTTGTCTCTCCCTTGGCCGTATAGGCTGACTCCGCGTAGTGCTCAAACAGTGACGCTGCAAAGTAGCCGTCGAAGTAGGTAGAAATCTGGCGAACTCCAGTCAGGCGTGTGCAACGATTCCCAAGTCAGTGAATTTACCGGACGTCCCATATCCATAGCATTGAGTTGTGCGAGCTCGTTGTGTGCTTCTCTGATCTTGCCAGCCAGTGCTTTCATAAGAGCGCCACGTTCGGCGGGGCTCTTTGCAGACCATGCTGGGAATGCTTCCTTGGCTGCTGCTACAGCACGATTTGTATCATCGACAGATGCCTCACAAATGTCGGTGATCTTTTCGTGGCTGTATGGCGACTTCAGCTCGAATTTGCCGCTGTCGGATGATTCGACAAATTCGCCATTGATGTAATGCCTGTATTCGATCTTTTCCGAGGGAATTGGGAAGCCCATGATGTGCGATGAGTAATACAGTGTTCAAAGGAGATTGATGATGAGATGGATGGGGAGCAAGGGTGGAAGTCGACGGGAAGAACATATACTTATGGATTGCTTATAATGGATGCGAGCTTCTGCAATCTTCAGGCCTGCCACTGCATGTAACATCAGCCCAGACTGGCATCCGGTACGACATATTCCTGCTAGCTTATGCACAAAGCCAGACCATCGGAGTTTCTGGTCAGCTAAAGGATCAATAGCCTCCGCTTTGCAATTGGTGTCGAGACCTGCCAGCCATACAGGCAGCAAATGCATGTACGCGTATTTGGCACTGCTAAGCTCGCTCATTGTTCCAGCGTTCAGACGTCCCATTCTGGGTTTGTTGTATCACATTGGCGTAGGCGAGGCCCTGCAGTGGTGCATTTCTTTAACCGTGAGTTCTCTCATTGCCCGCAGACGACAGCTGAAGGATTTTGCCTGGAGCTGAGTGGATCTTGCTTGTCACTTTGGAGGGGAACGGCCTTGCGAGATGCGTATATGCGGAGCCGGAAGATATGAAGTGCATGTGCTTGCGAGCTTGCCTGCTCGCAGCAGGATGAACGCACAGTTGCATTACCGATGGTGGGCACATTGTTTGAAAGAGAGGAGAAAGATCTTGGCTGGCGATGGAGTTGCAGGCGAGTGCCACGACTTTAGGCAACAATAGTTCACATCGACCTCGTCTGTACATCCACCGCCTTTGATCATTGTCACGACCCCGAGGTGTATTTCTTCCCAATGGCGAATGCATGCGGCCGCTTACATCGAGCGATTGGACCTGAGCCAGTATGACGGGCGCCAGCGGCCGAGCCTGGAACGCTCTCATCCGCACGCACCACATTCGATCTCAGAAGAAAGTTGCCAAACTCCGGCAGGCTGCATCAGCTGAAGATGTCTACGCCTTGATTCGCCCAGGCGCGCCTGGGATCATGTACGTGGAAGGCCATAGAGCCGGAGTCGAGAACTGGACAAGCGCTGTGTCTGTAGGTCAGACTCCTTCGCGTGGCTCCGGCTAGCTGCTCATCAATGCTGACTGATGTTTGTGCGTAGCGCCTTCGTTACAAAGACTTCCACTACGTTGCGAAACCTGCCGAGATGCGACATGAGAACGACGCTCCTGGCAGCATTTCCGGATCAACTGGTCTGCATGAAGCCGAGACGGTGAAAGAGTTCGCTGCTGAAATGCAAGCCCGTGGTGTGTTAAAGTGGTTCAGGAAGGGCATGGGCTATGATGAGGATCCCGATCGCTTATAAGAGCTTGGTTCCTGGCGCTTTCGACTCTGGCAAAAGTCTGGCCCGGCTTGAACATGTCGACATCCAGACAGCAAGAATTTCCCGCAACACAGCTCGATATCGACACCTGACGACAACCCAAAATATCCGCTGGTCCATATCCTCGAAGAGCCTTGCAGCGAAGGAGATATCGGGGCCTGAATTGATCGACGCCACGACCTGTCTACCTTGCGGTACGAACGCCCGGTAAAAAGAAGAAAAGAGAATACCCAGGGACAGAATCGAACTGTCGACCTACAGCTTATCAGACTGTCGCTCTTCCGCTGAGCTACCAAGGCTTGATGAGATTGATGGAGTGGTAGAGATATAATGGTATATGACTGTTGTGTTTGTCGAGGTGAGTCATATTGTGATGGGCCGCATGTCTGAGGCCACACAGCTCGCGCCAAGGGACCAATCCAGTATTACGCTGAATGACTACGGCCGGGCGACTTGCGGATCTGGATGAAAACGACTGGCCATGGCCAAGCGTATCCTTCACACAGGCCCCATGGTCGTCATCTGGACCTCGGTCCGTAAACGCGGAGACATGAACTGTCCCTTGCGAATGTTGACCTACCGTAATATAACGGCACTCCAATCGTCAGGATTGATTTCACGAAGTTGCCAGACTGCGATGATGCCAGAGTGCGACAATCCTTCAATGCTATCGATGACCAAAAATCCAGCATGTCGCTGCTGACATATTTGCGAAAGAGACGGCAAAAGAAATGGCAAAAGAAATGGCAAAAAATGAAGGCCACTTTAGCATCGGTAGGTTTCGATCCTACGCCCTCCGGGTTTCATTTTATTGCATTTGCAACGATATGAGCCCGGCGATCTTCCGCTGATCTACGAAGCTTTGTTTCTATTGGATGGCAGAAGACTGTCGCTGAAGCTTTATGAGTGTTCAAGTGAAGGATCCGTGAGTCACATGCGGTTCGCACGGTCTCTAGCCGGCACTCCACTATTCACGGCGGCGTATGCGGCATCCTATGAACAACGATGGCGTGGATTGGCCTTGTCGCAGGCCTCTTGAAAGCCGTTATGAAACTCATGAGCTGCGGGAGCATTGCCTGGCCAGCGGCTTTGTTCACTACAGCACTTGTAGGTACTCGACCTTCTAATTGATCATGTTCATACCGAGCTATCGATGACTCCCGAAGTCCCAGAACATCGTGAAGTGTCTCGATGGTATCCTTTCAGGAGTCCGGAGGACTTCATCCTGGACATATCGCTCCATTTGGTAAATTTATTAGAGCCTTGGGCTTGCAGCATGCAGCATGCAGCATACGCAATGGGCACTATATACATTTTCTGCATGCACTTCTTCTTCGCGTGCCATTTCCCAGCTTTCAATGTAGAACCAATTATTTTCTTCGCAGCACCTCCTGACGTCCCTTCGCCTTTCATGACGTGCATGTAAGCTCGGCATAAGCTTGCAGCTCATTGGCTGAAAAAGATGGCAGCTCTTCAAGCTCAAGATCTTCCTTGCTTGGAAAGATCGCGTGGCAGACATTGTCGCAGTAGGTAGAATAGCATTGTATCACGCGAATAGTCGTAAATAACACTCATCAACACATCGCCGTCGTGTTGTCGGCGACGTGCAATCAAAAGGCCGGAATCTAGCCGAGCGCCTTGGCAAGGACCAGCGGGAAGGTTAGGAGCAAGCTGGATTGAGAACGACGACACAGACTTTTGGTTGCCAGCGCCAGCAACATCACCACCACCACCGCCGTCAACACACTCAATCCCCTCTCCACTCCTCGCCGATACAATGTCTTCCGCCGTCCTCGCTCGTGTAGCGCGGGCATCGCGCTTCAGTGCGCAGTCCTGCCGCGTCCGCCCAATGCGCAGCTTCCAGGTCTCACAGTTCCGCCCTACCACCTCTGCCTTTTCCACCGCGACCACAAAATTCGCCGATCACGACGCGCATGACCCACACCACGAGGAGAGCTTCGAGGAGTTCACCGCCAGGTAAGATGCAGAGTTGCGGCCGGGGCCATTCCGGATGTCAATGGCTGGAGGGGAGTGGACAGAGCGTGGAAAACGCCCGCAAACTGCCTCATCCATCGGACCAGGTCATGAGATGCGATAGTTTGGGATACACACGTGCTAACCATGCATCTAATGCAGGTACGAGAAGGAGTTCGAGCAAGTCCAGGATGTTTTCGAGCTGCAGCGCAACCTCAACAATGCTTTCGCCTACGATTTGGTCCCATCGCCTTCCGTCATCACCGCTGCATTGAGGGCTGCGCGGAGGGTTGATGACTACCCAACTGCCGTGAGAATATTTGAGGGTAAATCATACCATATGCCGAGGGAATGCGAGGCGTGGAGCTGACTATGTTCGCTACAGGAATCAAGGCCAAGGTTGAGAACAAGGGACAGTATGATGAGTACATTCAGGAGCTCAGTGGTATCCGGGAAGAGCTTGGAATCAACCTTAAGGAGACCATGTACCCAGAGAGCTCGTGAAGAACACGATAAGATGAGAACTGGATAGAGTGGTGAGGATCACAGGATGGGGTGTGATGTGTGGAGAAAGCAATACAGAAGGGTGTTGGAGAGACGGAGGCGTGGTTCAGCGCGCTCTGGTATGCTACAATAGCCTCGCTCAGCAGATTTGTACAGGTTTTGCTCTACTCGGGTCTCGTTCACACGCGCAGGGGAGTGGTAAGCGGGTGGTACGAGGATTGTGAGAGAGTATGGCGTTTTCACTAATGATTGAGTACTGATCCATTCTGCGACTTACATTTTTAGCTGAAGGTCTCCGGACACGACCAACGCAGAGCGACCCTCGGAAGCACTTGGAAACCCCGTACACCTGAGATGCGGACCACGCCTTGAGAGAACCACTCCAGCGGACAGTACCGAGCAAGACGTGAATCACCAAGACGAATCGACAAGTGCAAGTAAAGCTTCAGGCAGCAACTCCGATACCTAGCGAACGTTTGCCCTTAGTCAAGTGGGGTTCTTCTAGGTCTTTTCGAATTCCTTCTTTCTGTTCTCAGCAATGATCGCTACCAGCTTCCAGAATCATCGCTTTTCGACCTAGTTAGTGAAGGTCGGCAGGTTCACGCAACGTCGAGAGGTGCAAACAGCCAATATCACCAGACTTCGCAGACCACGAGACAACTTACCCAGACTAACTCGCAGCCCACGTTCGTGGCCTGTTGACACAGCTCTCCTGATCGACCTGGCGAAGGCCAACTGCGCAACAAACCTCCCCAGAAACATCAAGGTGTACACTCCCTCGATTTGTCGCGCAACGATTGAATTTGAACGCCAGAAAGTACATCTTTCTCCAGAGGCTTACTTCCGCACAGCAAACAGAGACTCCGAGATCCTCCTCGCTGTGTGGTTTCTCGTCGCAAGCTTCGTGCTACGCTTGCGTCGCTTCTCGAGGCAGGGTGCCCCAGAGACGCTGCTCGAACCAGAGATACGAGGATCGGAAGAGCGTATCCCAGGCAGAGCACGGAGCGCACATCCATCTCAGACCCACGAAGCGAAGGCGAGACTATCATCATCCGGGAAAGACGCGCAGATATCCAGCCTCTAGCTCAGCGAAACGGCACGACACAGCGATACCTGGGCCACTCGTCCACGGAGCATCTGTCGACAACTCTGAGTGAAGTTCGCGAGAAGGAAAGGAACTTGCCACCAGGTGCATCAAGCCCTCATCCATGTCTTCCACTGCTGAACGCACTGTCCCATATGTTGTGGCGATGCACCTGGCGAATTGTGCTATGCAGCTACGAACGGACCATCAAAAAGCGAAAGATGCTTGGCAGCAAGAAAGAGAGGAATTGTTACACGAGCGAGCACGCCTCTTATCTGAGAACGTCGATCTCAAAGTAGAGCAAGTGCGCTTTCATAACTCTAGCGAGGAGTTGAAGATGGTTAACGGCGATCTCCAAGCTATTATCGAAGACCTGCAAGCGGAAATCAGATTTTTGCACCTTGAACGACCTCTGTGCAAAGAGCCTCTGCATACTTCAGCGGCTCATCGCGTATTCGCCATTCCGGAGCTGCTGGAACACATCCTGTTGCAGGTAACTCATACCTTGACGTTGCAAGACCAGACCGCTTACACCAATTTTCTCATCCCTGAACGGCCGGTCACGCAGCTTTTCCAACTACAACGAGTGAACCATGCATTTGCCGCGATGATCGCGACGTCGCCAGCATTGCAGAGGCGCATGGGACTGCTAGAACTTACCGAAAGAGATGACATTCTGGTCGCAACCCAAGCTGTCCCGCTCTTCGACGTTACTGGCTTCATATATGCGGAATCCTTGGGGTTCCTCGTTGATAGAGCCATTGAGAAGCCTTTAAGGAAGCTCGATATTCTATTGCACCATCGCAAATTGTGGCCGGGTAACATCGAAGTGGTCGGCTCTTGGACTCAGATCAAGGTGGCGTTGCAGGCGGATCGCTTGCCTTCTCGGCTCACAGAAGAACTTACCTTCATGGAATTCGGCAGCGCGTTCTTTCACCGCCCATTAAGGATTGCCGCCTTTCGCCGGGCATATGACTATGAGACTGGGCGAGAGACCACATGGGGAGAGCTGGTTCAGTGGATGTTGTTGGCGAGGAAAGATTTTCGGGAGCGTCGTATGTGCTGGCAGGCACTGAAGTCGATCTCGCCCGATGTCTTTGCTTGAAAGATGGCGCAAAGGGGAAAACATATGGTGAGGCTTGGTTGCCCCGAGAATGCAGCGCTCAGACTGACACATTTGCATAGCGCTTGAACAAGGACATGCTTTCAATGCTGAGATCGGACTCCAACATCAAGACCTCTACAGGCTGCACTCCATAGTGGCGACACGCATTTCCATTTTCGAGCAGCATCGGAACTCTGCAGTCGGAAAACAAGTTATCGGACGAATAGTCCGAACAGCAGCCTAGAGCAAGCACGAGAGGGCATCGTAGTGCTTTTTCTCGTCAATGACAATTTCGGAGCGATAGAAGATAGCATTTCCAGAAGTTCGCCTGAGCTCGTTGCAAACTACCCCTTTATCGACTGCCTTACAACAAGTCATTACCGCAGAGATACAGCACGCATGCAGTATGTCTCGGGCCGTCCGCTTGAGCCCAGTCCAGGCTATCGTTACGATGACTGCCTCGGAATCAGCTATTATTGCAGAGATACAGGAAGCACAGAGTGAGTCGTTGCATCTTCATTGTTCCGTTCCGTAGCTTACGTCACCCATACTTCGGAGGTGCAGTCTGAGAAGGAGAAAGGATTGAGCATAGCAATGCAGAGCGTCAGATACATGTATTGACAGCGAGGGCTCCAATTTCTACCAAAGCATGGAGGGTATCAGCACGCCGGCCTGGTCACGAACAAGAGCGCAACGCGGATAACCGCTTGAGACATAAGCACCTTCCGCCACCGACCATCACAGTATACGAAAAAAGAGAACGAAACAATCGCGCCAAATCACACCTATCTCCGGAGATTGGCTCTCGGCTCACTTGAGTGGCCCTGGGCGAGACGTTGCCTCGAAGAGTCGTCTTGAGGTGCACCCGAACTTTGCTATTAACGTTGGACAAGAGAAGAGCAATCGCACAGATATACCACAGTCTCCGAAGCCAAAGATGAGTCTCAGCTCGTCCACTTTCTTTTGGGCAAGAGTGTGCTGCAGGTGACCAGCTGGAGCAAGACTGTTGAGCGTCAGGTTAGTCAGCTGTCATGCAGTGTTTCTGGTGATCTTGCTGGACACTGTTCATATATCACACTGCCAGTACGTTCCTCGGTGAACGATCAAGATTATTGATTCCAATATGCTACAAGTCGCTTGTTGAAGCCACGTGCAGAGAAACGAGAATACAGCTTCATCCACGAGTTTCACAATGAGGATGTCGCACCGTTCTCTTCGAAAAGGAACGCAAGTCGAGGAGCGACCCTACAAAACCTTGCCGTGCTCCTCACTCACCACTGCTCACTGCGGTAACGCTGCTTCCTTGTTTGAAAGCATGATGAAGCCAACGAATGTCAACCAGCTGGAGAGTGTCCACACGTGGGCCATCGGAGAGCACATATAGTTCGACTCGGTCAAGACAGTGTCGAACCACGTGCACGAGGTTTCCAAACTACACACAGAAGAGCTTGCTCATAGTTTATCGGTGCACGAACGCCTCCGGCCGACCATTATTCCAACAGCCTCGCTTGACGAAAGTTGCTAAGGCACGGAAGCCGGACGAGAATTTGGAGTGGTATTATGTGCGTTGTTCTCTTCGAGCTCGAGGACCACTCACTGACGCACAAGCAGGTTGCAGTTGACGGAAACAACGCATTCAAAGACAACCTAGAACTGGCTCGACGCATCCGCGAGAAGATCGTGGAGATTACGGCGACTGAGGAAATCCCGAGGGATCGATCGAGCACGAGACCAGCCACGGAGTAGGATCCATGCAAGTTCATCCACAACGACCATTCTGCGTTTCAGGAAGCTGACCTTTCATCCAGCTTCTGCGTACCAGCCGGCCCAGATGTGCAGATGAGCGAGAACTGCGGCGACTTCGCCGGTCGCATCCTGCTCAAGAAACTCGTGCCCAGCACCACGATTCGCCCCGAGCCCCTGAAGCGCGATCGCCCAGCTGGCACGAGGAATAGAGGAGGTCTGGGCCGCGCACGCGACTGCCACATGCCTGCCTTTTCTCACCTGGGCACTGTGCTCGTTCCGGACCATTGTTACCCTTGTTGCCTTGCATTTGACAGATTGAAGAGAGATACAAGACATACCATGTACCTCTCGAATGTTTTGCTTGACCCCATTCCAGGCCATTGTCACTGGGATTGCCTCACAGATTTATTCGATGTTACAGAGATGCAGGAGGCACGCTACATATCTCCAGCGGGTCGTCCGAGTCTGTTCCAGACCATTCTTATACTGACCGCCTCGCATCCGGCCGGTGCTGTGGAGGTACAGGAGGAATACTGCTTGTCTCCGACACTTGGAATCAGCGCCGTCCAGCTTCATCGTCATTCTGACTGCCTTGCTACCAGCCAATGTGGCAGAGATACCAGCAGTCGATGGGTTTGGGAGCTGATCGATGAGGCCTTGGAGGTATCCATTTGCGATACGGATCGGAATCTCTTCGTAGTCTGTATTCGGTACGATTCAAGTGCGGTAGGCTACGTCCATGCCGTACGCCCAGTACTTCTTCACGAAGCGATATGGCAAATTACTGTTGTCTACGTTGTTTTCTTGGACCATGACGAGCATCGGGTCGACTGCCGGTCTCGACGGCGCCAGAACTGGTACCACATGTCTTCGAATTTCTCGTTCATGATGTCCTCACGCTCGTTTGGGTGTAGGTACTTCTATGGGAGCTTGATCGCACCAGGCTGCTCCCCAGCGGCAAGATGGCGGCAAGAGTCCGGTCGTGTGGAAAATCTGTCTTGAAGGAGCTGCAAGCGTGCCATCTCCTTGTTCGCGTGGATCTGGAATCTGTTGAAGTTGCCATCGAGGCGCGGTCGGTAGACAGCCACCGCTGCTCCGCCTTGTCGGTAGCTCTCAATGATGGCCTCAAACTTCGTGACCATGCGCTCAGTGCAATCGTCTATCGCGGCAAGCAACTGGGTGCTCTCAACCTCGAGTGCTGCTCGCTCGGCTTGGCTCTCGCCTTGGATTTGGAGGCCCTTGCGGGCAGCTTCACACCCGATATTCCAGACGTGCACATCATAGTCGTATACTTCCACATGCTCTCGGATCGCGCTGTAGGTAATGGAGTCTGGGTTGGTCACCTCCCACAACTGTCCAGAAAGTCGCGACGCCGTGTTCTCCATCTTGAGGAGGTCTTCCGCTTCCAGAGCCTAAGTCGCGAACTTGAACGGGACATCACGAGGGCCAGCATTGCTGTGAGTAACAGTAAGAGCTTTGATCTGGTTCATTATTTCGTCTGTAGATTGCTTCGTGCGCGGCAACCTGCTCCCATTGTACTGTCCACCTGCTTGCTGGTCGGTAGCGCGAACGCCGAGCACTGTTGGACGCACGAAGTTTAGGTCTGCGGTATGGTACCATGATCTCTGTGCGATGTGGGGCACTTCTTGGCTACGAAGCCCGTTCTGTGTGATTGCTCGGTTGTTCATGTTGACCCTTGGTGGTGTTGTGCAACTTGTCGGATATGGGGAAATCGAAAGCTCTCGTCCTGTCTCCACCTCAGACGCACCTTCCAAAGCCAATCGAATGCGTGGAAGGAGCAATGTAGGTAGCTACGTCTGAAAGGAGACAGTTCTTGCCGCGACAAATTCGTGAGGCACGTTCAGGTGAGAACGTCCTCCAGACATGGCGAAAACTTCTTCATGTCATTCTCATCGATCGTCGACTGTTCCTGTATATTAGCTGCTCGAACACTGCCACTCAACCTGAGTTATGGTCTGAAGCAGCGGAGAACTCCTATAGGTTAGTAGAACAACAAGGCGCACGTACATCACATCGAAACAACACTGACATCAACATAACACCAGACTCACACTTATGACAGGGACGGAGTCTCAAGACGACAGGATTTTCGAAGTTTTCATTTTCATTACTACTAGGAGGCTCACTGGCCTCGTCTGCGGTCGGAAGCTGGCGGTATCATCTGTCCTCGAAGGTCTGTGAATCCTCTTATCTAGTTGCTGCTGAGCATGTTCTCAAGCCAACTCTGGCATGCACAAGCTCAGATTATTCCGGCCCGTTGCCACTGATATCCCCTACTTGGTGGGGCGACTGTGTGGACCCTACGAAGTCTTGGTGGTGCATCTTGTCTCTTTACTGCAGCCTCTTCCGCACTCATTCCTCAAAACCTCTCTTTGCGCCCTGCTTGAATGGATGGGTACTCATGCCGTCAGATGACTTGCGCTGCTCTTGCTCTGGACGGGCACCGGTTCCTTGTGCCTGATACTTGGGCTCAGCCGCGAAAGACTCTGGAAATCGGCCAGTCTCCCGACGTGAGACCGGTTTGAGCATGTGTCGAGGTGGTAGTGGTCCATCAGTAGAATGATCAGCTCCCTAAGCTGCTACTCTACCAATCGGAGCACCCTGGAGAGCTGGAAGTTGAGACTGAGAAGCTGCACTTGCCACCGGCGATTGGCTGACATTTGACCCGCGATTTGCGGATGCATGTGCACGAGCGACAATAGGGGCCATGAACGCAGGCACTGAAGCGGGACCACGATCTGTTTGATAGGCTCGAGATGGAGGGAGAGGCTCAAGATCTGGGCCCTCGGTCAGGTCTTGCGGGACCGGAATCTGCAATTCTTCCATTTGCTCAACGATCTTGGAGACCACAGTCTTGTCATCAATCTCGATGTGTCCGTTATCATATGGTACTTGTCGCTCCCAGGTCCTCAACATCGTCCAGACTTCTCCATTCTTCTCTCCTGTGCCCGCTCGCGACACGGCACGAAACCACTTCTGCACTCTTGCCGTACCAGGTTCCTCTTGTGTCGTGATAGGCAGCTCTAGGCAGCAGATGTTCGGGTTGTTCACGAATTGGATGGCCGACGACATGTAGGTTGCGACTAGGGTACAGCACGGGTTGTCTGGATCTTGGAACTTCCTGAACCCATTGTCGCGAGGTGATTTGCCCTCCTCCGTGCCAGACACTAGGACGCCATACATTCTAGCCACAAAAGTTGCTGCATAGTTCTTGCTGTTCTTATGCTCCTGTAGAAGCTGTTTCAGCTCCCATGCGACGCTGTCGACCTGATTGTTGTTGGCGACGTATATGACCAGTTTCTTATTGCCGTGGTCGCTGAATGGGCCGGTCGCCATCCACTGGTCAAAGAATCGCTTCAAGGTAGCGGAGCCCTTCGTGTTTGGCGGCACATGGTCGAAATGGAAATTGATTCGGCGCAGTGCATGTTGCACGTTGACGGTTTGCGCGAGACGAAGACACTGATAGGGAATCATGTGCGTGGTGACAGTGTCTCTGAGAGCTTCGGTTGCTTCTCCCATCGTACATATCATGAAGCGCATCTCAGCTTCGTGCAAGCTTTGGGCGTCACCGACAAGAGGCCACAGCCCAGCTTGAAGGAGATCGTCGAATTTGTTTGTATTCAACATGCTGCCAGAGTCGTCTACGAAGACATACTTGAGCTGCGACCCCGAGACCACCCCTCTCTCGACAGCTCGCATTAGCCCGCGAGGAGTCGCGACGCAAAATTTGCCGCTCATTTTCTCCTCATCAGCTCTGGTGATCTCTTCGTGCAGGACTTCGAGGAGCTCTTCCTTATCGTCGAGCAGTGTGCGCAGCGTGGTGTTGATGTGACGAGTGAGGTCGCGCGTGTGCACAAGGATAAGAGCGTATGGAGTGTAGGGAGATGGCCGACCGTCTGCCGCAGTGATCGAGGTTGGATTTGCGAATGGCAAAAGGCCATTGCGAACATCACTCAGCACACGATGGGCAATGACTATGAGAGCGCCAGTGGTACGGCCTGCGGAATACACCGCTTTGTTGGCGCAAATGTTCACATTACCATCATTGAGACCAAGATCGATGATCTGTGCCTGAAGCGTCGTTGCTTTGGACCATCCGAGCTTCTCCACGAGCACAGAGCGCATCTTGTCACTCAACGCGTCAGGCCACTCACCGTTCGCAGCCATGGTCACGTCGAGCGCGACTTTGAATGTTTGAAAATGCTTGACGCGTGTCAAAGCATCAATGTTGGATTGGTTTTGAGAACTGCGGGACTGAGGTCCGACGCAGTGGGTGGTGGAGAGAATAAACCGTGGCACACGCCGCCGGCGAAGTGTAGTGATGAGGGAAGTGGTTGGAACCGCGGGACTTATCGTCGCCGGGCTTGGTTGGGAGTGCAGATAGCAGGGCGGCCTGCTTCGTTGAAAGTTTGGAAATTCGAGGGAACAATCGCCTCGTTGGTTTGGTTTGAAATCGCAGCGAGCGTTCACTTACGTTTGGTTGACATTGGGCAGAAGGTGTGGAGAGAAAGTGCACTGTGTTGTAGGGGATGAATTTCGGGATGCGCTAGTCAGCGGGCCGTACCGTGGTCTTGGCTTGACTTCGCACTCCATCCCGTCCACCCCTCCACGAAGTCGAGGTCACTGAAGGAGATCGGAGATCGGACCAGGAGGTTCATGCTTCGACCACACATGCTCGTCGCTTCGGCAAGCGGCAAGAAGAGACCAGGGATGTGACCTTGCATTCGAAGAAGCTCAGCCATACTCCACAGGACGTACTGCGACCTCTCTGCGAACGAAGTCCATTTCAGCGGGTCTGGAATGAAAATCGGGCGTTTTGAGGCCAGAGGCTGGACTGAGCAAAAGGCGATGCCGAGAAAAGGACTTTTTTTTGCATTGTGGAATGTTGGAGCTTCCAGGTGCAAGACCAAAGTGCTTGCTTCTATGGAGTTGACGTCTTGATCCTGGCCCGTACCCATCAAGATTAGGACCATTCGGTATGCGCTAAAGTGATGGACACCGATCAAGCATCTATTGCATCCCGGAGAAGCGAAACGGCAATCGTTGGCAACTACGTTTCCCAAGATAGGGATTGCTCGCAACTCCTTCAGCTCGTGATCCCCAAACATGAATGCTACAGGTGTCAGGGCATCGGCACTATCTGTAGAGCTGAGTTGTGACAAATCTTCGAATCGCAAACATGCTGGAATCAGAATTGCTCCAGGCGAACTCTTTCACCGCAGGTGGCACAGGGGCTGCAAGTGGTCACTTGCGCTCTGCCGCATGAACCTGTTTGCTGGAGCGTGCGTTCAGGACCGTTGTTGCCGCACTTGTTATAAGGTGTGCCTCATCTTCCGAGCGTTCTATTTATTCACTGGTGAATCGATGAACCGCTCCCTTAATGCAGGGACACCCATTCACTCCTTGGCAGGACCAGAAGCTGAAAGTCATCAGTACTTCAATCACTCGATCCCTTGCACTACTTGATAGCAGTCTACCACGACAGCAAAGCTCGAGTCGAGCTTCAAAGCCTCTAATCGGCAACTTACTGTGACAGGTATACTGCTCTGGTATCGAGTTCAGCGAGCAAGTCACCCCAAACAACCAAAACTGCCAACAAAGCTTGACGAACACAATGGCCGGAATCAGACCTGGTGCAGTCGTTGCAGCGAAAGCTGCCGTCGCCGCTATTCTTGCCTTGTTGCTTTCTCAGTCTCGGCCGACAACGGGCCCACGCTTCAAGCCCACGCCCCAGCCACGACCTTTGAAGGATGAAGTTGAAGAGCTAGTGCGACCATGGCGCCAAAGCAAGAATGAGCCGCCATTTACCACACAGGAGTTGATTGTCATCATTCTCGTCCTGAACGACCTCAAGCCTCAATATCTTTCGACGATCCATGACGAAATTCTGTCGGTCTTTCCATACTACAACCGCCAAGCTCTAATGGCATTCGTAGAGTGGCACGACGATCAAGCAAACCCGTACTTTGATTGGACTACCCTCACGCAAGTCCTTCCTGGCTTGTATGAGGCTGCGAGAGATTTCGAACATCCGTTGACGTGCATTCGGAGCTTTGATCCGTCTGATGACATAAACATCTGCGAAAACGAGTACACGGTTTGTGCCAAGGCTGCACACATCTATTTACGTGACAAACTCGAACGCCCGAGGCGAGGATCCTTCAATTTTATGGACTTGCCTGCTGAATTGCGCGAAAAGATCTACAAGATGCTCTTGGTGTATCCGAAACCCGGTCTGACACTTGCCAAGCGCGATCGCCAACCGGATGAATTCAAGGTTCGTTTTGGAGTCTGGTCTCGCACGGACCTGGAGGTTCCCACGTACAGCGAGGCTCAGGAGGTGCCGGAGAATGAGTTCGCCGTGGATAGCCTTACCAAGCTACTCGCGATCTTGAGTGTCTCGAAGCAGGTCCGTCACGAGGCACTCCCTGTGTTCTACGGCCGCAATGCCCTCAACTTCGGCTCGCTAGATGTCCTCGCTCGCGCTCTCGGACAGATCTCGTACGGGACTGCTCAACAAATACAAGTTCTTCGAGTCGTTGTGGACCGCAGCGACTCAAAGCTGGTAGGGAGCCCATTACCTGCACTGGCAAAATTGCGGGCCCTTGAGGCTCCCAGAAAGCTCATTCTGACTCTGCCACGCCACTCGGCCTTCTGGAGGCATTTCCGCTCCGACGACATCGAGAATCAGGCTTTGAAACCCAGCGAGCTGAGCAGAATCAACGACTTCCGCGAGCTGAGCGGGATCGTCTCTCTGGCGAAACGCGCGAAACATGTCGAGTTCGTGGGTAATGGGTTCTTGGGAGACTACATCCGCCAGCAGACCGAACAGACGAAGAAAGCGAAGTGAGTGGTCGAACATTATGGCAGAGGGAATAATGATGAACGCGGAGGCAATGAGACTATGGTTGCTGCGTTCATCGCAAGAAATATAATGCGTTATGGGATGCGAAAGCATGCCTCGTGCGTATGCTGTGTTTCCCGGATAACGTGTGCGCCCTCCATGGCAAATCACGATCCTCAAATACAACGGAGAAAGATGCTCCTTCTGTCATCAACAGTCTACTTGGATCCTGATACCACTATCAGATCTCACGCCCCCAGTCCTACGGTCTAAGTCGTTCGCTTTCACATCTCCTTGTGCCTGCTACCTTTTGCAAGACCAACATATCGCTTCCAGTGATCATTCGACTTCGAACCACTCCCAATCGTGACGTCCGGATCAATATTACCTCCTGTGTATCCAGTCTGTGGACCTCGATCAACGCCGCCATGTGGTCTTGGCGGATGGGGACGAGGATGTTTGCGGTAAGGCGAGGGATTGGCTCCGCCTCTCAGCCGAGGACGTCCTGGAGGCCCTTCTGGAGCATCTCTGTTGATTGGTCGAGCATTGGCTGCGACGGCGCAGACGCAAAAGACAAGGAGGGTGATGACGCCCGTTGTGAGGTGGGCGAGGACGGTGCTGGTGCTAGACATGATCAGTGCGTGATAGTGACTTCTTTACTGTGATACTGCGAAAACTACTGCTACTACTTCTTTTCTACTTCTGATGGTGAAGATTGATCGCAGAGGATCGCAAAGGATCTCGGATCTTGATCGGTGACCAGTTCATTCACGACGTGATCATCTACGAGGATCACAACCGATCGCCAATCCATCTTTAGGCCCGGTACCCGCCGTTCTAGCGAAGCGCGATCTTGCCTTTTGCAAGCAATTTCGTCGGTAATTCATCGACATTCGTCTTTGCGCAAACTGCCCTCGGAAGAGAAATCACGCGAACAGGTCAGGCGATATCTCTGAAAGTGCTTGCAGGGCCATCCATCGCTCGAAATAGTCCTTTCTGATCGATACCATCCACTGAACAACTTCTGCCCATGTGGTCTTTCGCTCTGTCCAAAACTCGTACCTACGGGTGATGTCCCATCGCCCGTCAAAGAAGCAAGTATCCCACAACACCTTCGGCGCTGCAGTTACCTTCAGATTGACCTTGGTGCGAGTCCAAGAGCCGAGCAAGCTGAGACGATCATGAGGCCATGTCTCAAGACTGGGCAGTCCGCTGTCGAGCTTCTGGAAAGGATCTGTAGCAGCCGATTTGAGTCTGAGACCAGAGCGATCAGCTTGGTAGCTGGGATGTTCAAGATAAGCATCATAGGAGTATTCAGCATCACGGCCGTTCAAAACCTCGATTAGACCCACGCGCCTCTGTACTGCGGATGAACCTTGGATCGTGGCCGCAAATTGATGATTGACGCGTTGCATTTCGAAAAGCTGTGGCACCGGTCTTTCCAAGAAATACCAGAGGTCGTCCGGCGCACAGTAGTGGTTCTCCTCTTGTAATGGATGCGGCACCTGCAACAAAATCTGCTCTAGCAGCTCGGGAACCGCAAAAACTCTGTGCGCGGCTGAAATGTGCAGCGGCTCTTTGCAGAGAGGTTCTTTGGTGCGTAAGTATATATTCTCTGCTCGCAGCTTCTCAACGATAGCTCGGAGGTCTGCTTTCTCCTTCTTGAGCTTCTCGTTAGCAGTATAGAGTACTGCTTTGTCGATCCCGAGATCGACTTTCTCGCACAGCAGACGTGTCCTCTCGTTAAGAAAATCTGATCTCTCCATTTCCCAGGCGGCCTCGGCACGATCTCTGTCGTTCAGGAAGTCCGACTTCTCTGTTGCCCAGGCGGCCTCCGCTCTCTGATGCTCCGCTTGCAGCTGAATGGCACGGTCCGCAAGCTGGACAGCAGCGAGATAAGGAACACTGTGCGCTGGAGTGGAAGTCATATTTGATGACTCTGTGCGCGTTGGCCAGGTGTGTCGATGTCCGCGGAGCTCTGGAAACTCAGGCGTTTGAGGACGGCCCTCGAGAGTGCGCCCCTGAACTTTTCGGAGGCAGTGGCGCCGCACCTCGAAGGCGGTATCACTAGAGGCGGAGGCGGAGGCGGAGGCGGAGACTGGTGAGGTCTTGAGGCGAGTCGCCTCGCGGATTGAAATTTTTTGATAATCAGGCGTCGCGTGACGGCTTGACAAAGTGCGCACTCAAGTGCACGCCAGTGAGGTGCGTGGGGAATGTCTCGCTTTGCGCGGACTTTGGTTCTAGCAGAGACCACACGGCGCTCTGGAGATGTGCACCTTTAGATGCGTCTTGCAAGGTGCAAGTTGATGTTGAGAAAAGGAAAAGGAGTTCGGTGGGGTTCGGAAGACTTCTGAGCGTTGCACAGCAAACAGTGCCAAGCTTTGCTGCCTCCCTCTCCCTATGCGGCCCGACATTATCCTCTGCATACTGTAACGATTGATCAAGCGGTCTTGCGGGCCTGTCCGCGAGTTAATAATCCTCCTGCTACTCCTCCTCCGCCGCCTCTACAGGAGGTGGTGGGTTGAAAGGCAAGCTCGTACGCGATTTCTACGTGTAAACACGGTGGTGAAAGTGGAAGTGACATCAAAAGTTTGGAATCAACGAACCTTTTTTTCCGAAGGAGCCTGAGAGGCAGCTCAATACATGTATCTCACGCTCTGCGTTGCTATGCTCAGACGTGCCAACCAAGTATGTGGTGCCTCAAGTTCTGATCTCTGCTCCTCTTGTCGCTCAGGACTGTCCAGAAGTTCTTCCTGCGGCTCCTCCTCCACTCGCACTCCAGAGTTCCCGTGCTGCTGCAATTGCGCGCTCTCAATCGCAACTTCGTCGCTAACAACCGCCTGTGGCTTCTCCAAGGTCATGCGGAGAGCCATCAGTGCATCTGGCTCCTTGCTGCGGTCACGTCGCTCGTCCTCAGAGTCCCACTCGTCACATGCGGCATGGTACTGGTCCTCCTCCATGCACTCCTCATCATCCTCATCATCGTATGGCCAGAGATCATGCTCCTCTCCTTCCTGGACTTCGTACTCTTGTTCTTCACTCTTCGGAGGTGGATTGCATTTCTCACGCTGCTGCTCCTGGTCTTCTTTCAGTCTCTCGAAACTGGAGCGGCAAGATGGTGGCCATTTGTCGATTTCTTCGCCAAGTTCAGCGCGAGCGGCCTCCCACAACTCCTCGGTGATATCAATGTAGGTCTGTCTGTCCGTCAGCGTCCTGCCATTCAAGTAGTAAGCGGCTCCAATAGCGCTCTTGAGCGCCCATACGTACCTGCGCCTCATTCCAATTATCCTCACTGCTGATGATGATGATGCAGTTCTTGATCTGCCAGAGGCGAGGCAACCAAAGGTCCATGAGATTGAGCTTTGCTTGGTATCCCGCTCGCGCCCATTTTTTCTCTCGCAGAAGATCTGCTGCCAAGCCAAACCTGCCACTGTACGTCTTAGGCTCTGGCGGGCCATCGAATTCCACGTCGTAGATCTCCAATTCTTCCGCCATGATTTTTAGTGGTCGAGTTCGGGTTGCAGGAGTTCGAATTCGCGGTGTTGGGTGGAAGAGCGGCGATAGCAGCGGATGCTCGCCTCGGAGCTTCACGCAAACACTGGCCTTGGCAAGCACTGGCCGGCCCTCACCAACACTGGCCCCACAGTAGAGGTACGTCCCAGCTCGATCACCTCTGCTCTCGTGCGCTCCGATCCCCTGCAGGATCTTTCAAATCTCGTTTCTCCTTCTACTTGCCCGTCTGCCGAAACGGGCAAGTCAGAAAATGCTTGTCGTACAACAACGCTCTTCCGGGGCGACATCGAGCGCTTGCGTATGCCTGTCTTGTGCAGCGCGGGAATACTCCCAGCGGAAGAGGAATCGCTTCATATGGCTTGCGTACAAGCAGTGTTCGACCTCTCATTTCGACCGAGGGCCACATATGGAGATCTCCTCGACATGCTGCACCAACAGCACGCTCTGCAGCAAGCGGTCACCATCATCGAATCCTGGCATGTTGAAGGACACCTACTCGTGCCATGTGCAGAGCGCCAGCCCTACTTTCTTCTTGACTCGACGTCTTCGTCATATGGATCCATGTCGTCCTCCGCGGTGTGCACTTGTCAAGCTGGTGGTATGAGGTTGGGGTGGGCCTGGTTGGGTCAGGTGTAAGTGCGCTGGTCCTCACAAACACCGGCGCTGCGGCATCAGCATTCACTCGATCGCTCATTCAGTCTCAGACTCACTGGCCTATTCCCTCACTTGCTCACACAATTGTTTGCAGCGACCTTCATTTGAAGGCTCCTATTTCCCGAGCCACGCAAAGTGGCCTCGCACGTCTCCCACGTACGCCATAGTAAGTCCTTCACAGTTGCTTCATTATGCTTCCGCGCCACCGGCCTTCGCCTTCCTATTTTGTTGGCATTGCACACAGATGGACACTGTCCATATATTGCACTGCCAAAACGTTACTCGCTAGCGGTCATTATCATTGCTCCTGGCATCCTCACAAGTGGTCTGCTGAAGCCATGTGTAGATGACTAAGGCCACTCTTCGAAAAGCATCCCAATTCTGGAAGGTCACGGAAGTTTTCAGCTCGTAGGCCTGTCTCCGGGCATGCTAACAACATCCGGCAGCATGCTTCCCATGTCCAGTTTCGTGCTTGGTAACATTATTGTATGGCTCTCGCAAAGAGTCTATTAGATAGGAGCATATCTTTCGTAGCCAAGTAGAGGTTCGGTATTTGTTTTGTGGTGATGCAAGTAGAATAGAACAAAAGTAGTCGTGGGTATGCGGTATGCGAATAGATGCAAATAGAGCGTGTAGTCAAGCCGAGAATGGCAATGCTAGGTAGTATTTCGGATGTTGTAGTGAAATTTGTCGTGAGTCGTATTGGTGCTGTGGCCAGAGTTCTCTAATGTCGACCGTACTGCTAGACGCAGGTGGGTCGTACTTCCACAGGCGAAGACACACGGCCTTACTCTCCAATATCTGGCTTCGTCGTCGTCGGAGTCATCCTCCACAACGGCACCTCGGGTGTGGAGGTTCTCGTTGAGTGTCTTGACACTACCAACGCCCTTATCACGGCTGAAGGGACGGACGTAGAGCCATCCCTCGTCTTGCACATCCCTGAGGGGCGTTGCTGGGTTGCTTTCGCGAAATTTGGCGATCTTCGAGTTGTATCTGTCGCGGAACAATTTAATGGACTTGCGGAACGCATCCGTAGATGGTTTGGGGAGCTGGCCGACGAGGCCTGGACGCAGCCGCTCACAATGAGGATCGGGATCTCCTTGTATTCCGTATCGGGCAAGCCACGTCCACCGGAGAATCAATCGTCTTGACATGCGACCAGAAAATTCTCAGCCGCGTTTCTGACCAGTCATCTGTGGCGAAATCTTGCCGGCTCCAAGTAAAGGAGCTGACAACCATCCTCGTCCTCGGAGCTAGTGCTGGGTGGAACTGGTTGCTCTATATCTCTTTCAATGTTGGCAAGTAAAAGATCGCCGTGCCTCAAGCCGAATCTCTGTCGGTCAGGTCTTGCTCATGGCCACAATCATGAGCTGGGAGGCCTTCCATGCTTTCGGAAATACAGACGCTGTGCCATTATTCAAAGAATTATCGTTCTTTCAGCTCTTTCAGCTGGTATGCATCAAACTGCGAACTCAGGCGATATTTGGCAGATCGGTAGGTACCAACCAAGTTAGAGTGTTGACGAGATGAGGTCAAAGCAGAATGCAAAGCCAAGATTTTGCGGCAAAAAAAGCCAAACTTCGAACCTTCGACCCGCGGACAACTTACAATCGCGAAATCTTGGCTTTGCATTCTGCTTTGACCTCAGAAAGTCCAAAAAATTTGAAGCACTCTTTGTTTGCATGTGTCATCCTTAGTCTGTTGATTTGTTAGTTGTTGTGATGATATCAAGGTGTAGGAAGATGCTTACGCAGGGGCCACTGTTGTATGTTAGTGGTGGTCGATTTGACGGAACGTCGATGAAGCTTACTGCTAATCTTCTCTGTATTGTTTCAAACTGTTGCGAATTAGTGGGAGCCACCAGTCAAATGTTAGAGTACACTTACTTGACCAAATGCCCCCTTGCGGGGGCGAAGGATAATATTTTGGAATACATTATATTCCTTCACCGACTTTCGGGCCACTCCCGCAGCATTGCCGAGGGCGACGACGTTGACCGCTGGTCCCCACTGTCCGTGTGCATGCTCTTTCATCATGGTACAATACATGATAGTCTTTGCATCTCGTTCCAGACGGCGATGAGCTCTTTGGTGATGACCTTTGAAATTCTTGGTGGCATCGAGTGTGTTCCAGCCAAGACTGGTGGACGACGATGAGATGGGTAAGATCAGGTGCGCAGGGCAAAGCCTCCAGCGTACAATCCGGAATGGTATGCCATTCGCCTGCATGTTTCGTGCATCTCACAGGCCTGAGAATGATTCAGCCGGCGACGATGGTGGCAGCAGCAGTATGGACCGAGTCCTTCAAGCGACGGCGACGAGGACGACCACGAGTTTGACATGATCCGGATCTGCCACAAGAGAGACTGCCGCCGAACACAGATAAGTCCGCAACCTCGACTATGGCTTGTCTTGTTTCCCAGTACGGCAATGCAAGGCCCGGACCTTGCACCATTCGAACCGGCTGCAGCGCGACGACCATGACTCCAGAACAGATCCCTCCAGACGTCCAGAAGAGGCGCTACAGTCAACAACGTATCAAGAACCTCACTCACGTTCAACAGGCATCAACAGCGCAATGCGACAGCAACACGCCCTTGCAAACCGACAGCATAACGGTATAGGACTCATACTTGAATCGCGACGAGAACAGGAAACTACCAATTGAAGCTGAGCATTTGCATACAAGTGGCTATATGTTCATACATGATCAACTTACTCTGTATCGCATCGCGACGACAGTCCAGCCGCGCAATGCCGTCCAAATATTGTAGGCGTAGCCGTGAGAGTGACGAAGTGGGATGTGAATTCAAAGTGCGCAACAAAGAGAGATGAGGGGTGAAATTGGGTAAGTCGCAATGCGAAAAGCCAACCCCACCATCCCAGTCCTAGAGCTCAATACAACGACGAGAGGAAAGAACCGGCACAAGTCAAAAATTCACATATTCTCATGCTCAATAGAATTCATACACAGCGTAAACATCGTAACAAGAAGCAGTCTCCCGCTCACAATGACCCAGCAAAGAAACGCGGGCCCTCAAAGTAGTGAAATCCTGACTGGCACAGAATCAAAAACAGAAAACCCGCCATCCAAGTCGACAACAACATCTCTCAAACAACATCCTCATTCTCCCACACAATGATCTCCCCCTTGACATCCCCCTTGACATCGACGACCGGTACGTCAACAACCTCCTCAGCCTCCACAGCAGCAGCAGCAACAACAGCCACCGTCTTCTCCTCATCAACAACCACAAAAGACTCCTTACTCAGCCCCTCCGGAAAGAAACCCTCCGTCTCCAAGTCCGAAAGCGGCGACCTCGACCCATCATCCATTTCATCCTTCGCCAGAACCTTCTTCCTCACAATCTCCGTCGTCGTCGTGACAGCAGCACGTGGCGAAGAAGAAGAAGCAGTAGGAGCATCATACCCCTCCGGCGGCGTATTCTCTTTCCCACGATAAACTTCCTTCTTCCCCATTTCCCCTTCATCATCACTCGACAAGTCCAAGGTAAGAGTACTGTGCTCCATCAAATTCGCGGCTTCTTCTTCGGGAGTATCTTCGTAGATTTCGAAGAACCAGTTTTTGGGCATGCTTTCTGCGATGGTCGCGCCTGTGGAAGGAGGTGCCGCGACAGACATTTTCGAACTCGAGTTTGGAAGTGATCCACTGAGCGCCGCGTCGAGACTGAAAGGTAGTGCAGAAGCCGAAGAACTTCCAAAAGAAGGCGGATCAATACGAGTAAAAGGCGCAGAAATCCGTCGTGAAGCACCGCCGACACCGAGAAGTTTCCTCTTCGGGGATCTTCCAGCAGGTGCAGTCAGAGGCGCGCGCGGCGAGGACATTTTCCGGCGGAGAGGAGTTGAGAGTGCGCGCGGTGAAGGAGAAGCTGAAGGTGGGGCCATAATTGTCGTCGCCGGCATGGGTTTAGAAGTAGTCAAGCTGAAAGTGAATGACTTCTGCTGCTTAAGATCAAACGCGTTTCCTTTCGTCTTCTTTGATGGCGAATCAAACATTGCCGGGTCGACATTTTCGCTGTCGAATTCATCGAATGTGCAAGGTTCGTATGCACGTTTGTTGCTTGTGCTGCTGATGGTTGTCTTCATGTTGTTCATGTTTGTTTTGCCCGACTTTTGCGCCGCAGCGAGGTTGACGCCTTTGTTCACACAGCCCTGTCAGCGACTCGAACGCGTCGCGTAGCTTCACCGTACACATACCATTTTGACGGTTCTTCGCGCTCGCGAGATGTTGTAGACGCGGGTTGTCGAGTGGTGCAAAAGGCACTCTTGCCATTGGGACGTGAGCCGTCATTTTGCCAGGTCTTCCAGTAGACGATGAAATACGCGTCTCGGTCGGATTGCTGAGGTGCGACAAGCGCGGAGCGAGCACCCTGGACTAGTTCGCGGGCACGGTAGTCAAGGACAACAGTGAGCTGCGACTTCACGTCTTCTCTGCTTTGCTCTTGCACACAATAATGAACGTAAAAGAATGTGTGCAGTGTGAGAAGAGAAGTGCAAACGCGAAGGAGATTCAGCTGCGCTCTCATTCCCTTAGGTTACACACAGACGCTGCGCTCCGCGTGAGAGAAGAGGGGCTAATGCAAGGTGTGCGTGCTCAAGTCGTGTGAAGTTCGCGAGGAGCCTGAACGTGTCCGACGTGTTGCGCCAATCAAACCGTGATTGTGGCGTTGGCTGTGCCTCGATGCAACTCCACTTTCCATCGGATGGACCAGGTTCTCGACGGCGCTATATGACGTTGAAACGGCAGCACGTTGTGCGACTGCGAGCAATATACCATGTTGAGATGGACAGCTATTCGCATGGAGAGATGCTACGCATGCTGATACCTTCTTCGACCATGTCGAGCAGAGCAAACGCGTAGCATGCCCAGACGCGTCTCCCAGTTCAGCTTCAGCCTTCGCCTATCTTTGGCACATCGTCCCGCGCCTCCGATCCGGAGCCAGATTGAGCAAGAGCACAGGCGTCGTTTCAAGACGCGTGCAGAGTGCTCCGAACGGCGAAGATCAGTGCTTTTCGCGTCAACGATGATGCGATTCTCGTCGAAGCACAGCACAAGCATTAAAGAGATGGCTGTACACTGCGTCTCATCCATCTATCAGCTGTCTAATCCCTGCCTGCCTCCGTTTCAAGCGTTCGGGGTCACGTGCGCGTCACTTCCACTGCCGCTGCGACTTCCGCTGCTACTTCCGCTGCGACGACATCACCTTCCACGCATGGCATTCAACGGCCTCGGTGTATTTCAGGCAGGCAGTGACTCTCTTGTGCATCGCCTGACGGCATCTCAGGACATTCGTCGATTCTTGCAGCCAGCAAAACTAGCACCAGCGAATACCACTACCATTCTCCGGCACATATGCACACAAGCGCTACGTAGGATCCTGAAAACTAGGAGCAAACACCAAATGATCTTCTCGCATCGTCGCGACAGGCACAGTCGCGAATGTCATCGTCGTCCAAAGGCCTCGATGAATAGTCGATCCTTGCACGCGATCAGACTGATCTACGACCACCCCTCTGGAATGGGTAAAAGCCTACATGTTCAGAACATCCCAACTTTACGCTGAGGATCAGAACCGCATCCTCCGACTCCTCCAAAGTGTCGCGAAAATCGTGCGTTGTGCTTGAGAGCCATCTTGGCGCTGTGAAAGCAAATCACGACAAGCCAGCGCCACAGCGACAGCGACAGCGACAGCGACACCCTCTGGTTATGTCGAATTCGCTGTCTCTCAATCACCCAAGACAATCGCTCGAAATTTGTGGCTTCTTCTTGGCCTCTTCTTGGCCAGCAGTCTCGCTGCCTTGCTGTGTGGCTTGTTGCAATTTGGACCGCGTCCAGGCCACAGTGCGACAACGCAATGTCGCATACAGTTGATTCTTGATTCTTCAAACTTAGAAATAACCGCTCCATCTCAGTCACAACATGCTCATACAGAGGGCCATCCTGAGAATGCTCCAAACCCGACCGATCAGCTGATGTCTCAATCAGGTAGAGTTCACTAACATGTGCGCCACATGCGGGCAATCGATCATCTACCAAATCAAGGCAAAGACGAGAGAAATCCCCCTACGGCCTGGCGGCGGCGGCGGATCATTCCTCCTCACAACGCCCCTGCGGCGCATCACACCACCTACAAAATAAAAGCCCCCCAAGTACAGTCGCGCCATTCTCCTTCCACTTTCCTCCCCTCCCACCCTTCGCCCAACATGCAGAATCGCATCCTGCAAGCATTGCTATTACTTGGCATCGCCGCTGCACAAACCCCGGTGCAGCCTTGCGACGTGCAACAGTACTCTTTCGCTTATTGGTATTTGCACTTTCACGAGCAATGACCAACAACCAACGTGCCCCACTGACAGCAGTATAGTCTATCCGCTCAAGATCTTGGTCCTGGCAACATTGGTGGCGGGGCAAACTCCTTGGAAGAGTGTGCAAACAGGTGTCGCTTCCTAGGTATCTTTGTTGATGGCATGGATCGATATTTCTGGATTGGATCGCCCGCTGGCTCCTTCAATTGCGAATGCTCTCCAACTATTCGAGCAGGAGCTGATCCGGTGGATCCTGCACTCTGCAACAGGCCTTGCCCGGGCAATCATAATCAGATCTGCGGCGGCGTGGGTGTCGGTGTAGGTGACGACCCTATCGTTGCGTCGATCGTCTTTGCTAATCGAGGGTACAGTCGCTTTACGTGCAAAATTGCTTCAATCCCAACCCAAACCAAGCCCAAGTTCGTGGTGTTGGAGTCATATAGTGAGTCCGACTGAGTGTGGTTGAGGCAGCACTAACGTATCTGCACTAGCAACTATGCTGGCTGCTTTGAGGGACAATCCATTCCAGGACTCCAAAGACCGGAAACTGCATCAACACTGGAAGAATGTGCTAGCTTTTGCGGAAATTTCGGAGCCCCAGTATTCGGGATGGCCGTCGGGTCTACTGGTCCAGGTGTCTGCTCGTGCGGAGGTGTTCCCGGAGATAGGTATCAGGCTGCAGACGTACGATGCACAGCTCCGTGCACCAGCAATGACGAGCAGAGATGTGGAGGTACAAACGGCCTCAACTTGTACGCGCTACCCGGCGTGGCCGTTTCGACGGCAAGTCGGGTGTGTACGAGTGTAACCACCACGAGCACTACAACGGTCACGGACACCGCCACTGCCACGGCTACTGTACCAGAACGTACAGTCACCAGCGTCTGCACACAATCGACAATCACGGCCACTGGCAAAGCATCGACTACTACTATCACTGTCGTCCCTACGAAGCGTTATACTTCAACTTGCTACCGAACAACAACCAAGACCGTCTTATCGAAATGCCGTCCTCCAAAATCCCGCTACGCTCGGGAAACAGGACCTTTGGTGGCTCGCCAGGATCCTGAAACATGCACAGTACGTTAACCATATCCCTTCCCTGCTGAAAACATTCTAACTTTACCTACCATAGATTTCAAACGGTCAGGTCACTGTCACAACCACCACTACTACTGTGACTCCAATCACAGTAACTGCAACACCTCCTGATGTTACAGTGTGCTCTACTTCAACTGTGACTGTGACGAAGACGCCGACATCGACTGTGACGAAGACGAATACAAAAAGTCCGGTGAAGAAGTATTATACTACGACTTCTATGAAGACTGTTACGACGACGAAGTATCCGAAATATGCGCCGACGTGTAAGAAGAAGAGGTATTAAGCCGGCAGGAAACGCAGAACTGCGGAATGAGGTTCTTCTTTCTTGGCGCTAAGCATCGCATGTTATCGATGGGCCTAGATGATTCGGTGAACTACTGGCGGGAGGTTACAGTATCGTATCCTCCTCTCGAGCTACGCAACTGGTAGCTTCAGTGCTGTTTCCGACGGGAATGCCTACTGCTACGTACGTATGCTCTCTGATACGCTGATCAAATGCTAATGAGAGCTAAATAGTATCAGAGAGCTTGCTAGACAACGAGATCAAATCGCCAATGACCATTTCTTCCTACGCAAGGACTTTCTCGTCCGTATCTGCCGGACAGGCAGCTTCGAGCGATGCGCACTGAAGTCGTATCGATTTCCGGATCCGTTTAGCTGCTTGGTGTGCTAAAAAGCTCCTGTCGGCAGCTGTTTCTCGCCTTGGACTTCATGCTGCTAAGCTAAGACGTGGGCGCGTAGTGGGTTGTTGTCGGGAAATGGATGCCGGACAGTGTAGGTTAGCTGCTACTTGTTGCTGCTCGACCTGAGTTGAAGTTCTAGTTCGCTCGCTACTTCCTTTCGCTGGTTCTTTTTCTTGTCGTTGCTCTACGGATACTTAGCAAAGGATTCAAGGACAATCGTAGCAGTAGTAGGGAGATGTAGGCGGAAGAAAGGCTCTTGAACATCCTACAGACGAGATGGTGCGTCAATGTAATGACTTCAATCCGCCCAGTTCCTTAAGTGAATATGGAATAGATGAATTATGCGCTCTTCCGGGTCACATAGAGCCAAGATTTTCTATTTGGTGGGATACGATTGTGCAGCCCTCAAAGCGTCTCACTCATATGCCTCGCAATCCACTGCCCAGAAACAGGTTTCACCCAGCGTCTACACCACTTGACACAACCTTTCTTCGGATCCATAACACACGCGAAATGCGTTTCTTCATTCGTGGTGGGATACTTTTGCACTAATTCGACAATTTCTTCTTCTGTTACGAGGGGTTGGAAGGCTGCTTCCTCTGCTGTTGATGACCACCATCCACCTTTTTTCATTCGTATTCGTTGATAGTTGTCTTCTGCGCATTGTTGACGTTCGGTTGCTTCTTTTAAGAGTGCTGCCATGCCGGTTTGATCTGGGGGATGGCCGGGAGAGTTAGGTTTCTCTGTTGATACTTCTTGAGTTGTTGTTGTGCTGTTTTGGTGATTTCCAGCTCCGTTCAGTGGAGCTGTACTGTTCTGAGAGTCTGTACTGTCGGGCCTGTTCTGATCTGTATTCGTCACCACGATGATCTCTCTGCTGCTTCTCGAAACTGATGTCCTGTAGTCCTTCTCGATCACTGTTGTCTCGGTTCCATTACTGAAGCATAAATAACATGCCGTCGTCCTTTTCGGTTTCTGCTTCTTATCCATACATGACATCGTCCTCACAGTATCCTCATACGTCCATGATTCCCACTCTTCTCGCAGATTCGACCGCCAGCGATGCTTCTTCTTCCTCGGCAGCAGGAACTGTCGCAACTCACTCGATATGCTTCTCCTCTGCCCAATCAACACCATGAACAAATGCCAATAATACCTCGTATCCGGCCATAACTGCCCTTTCTCAACGCGATACGGCCGAAAATTCAAACTCATACTCAGCTCCTTCTTCACACCAGTCAACACACCCACATACCCAGCATACGTCAAACTCGAAGCCACAATCGGCCCACCCTTCTCCTTCTGAAAATCCAACTGCACAACAACTTTCCTCAAAGAAGGCATTCCCCAATCTAGTGTCCGAAAATGCAACATCTTACTTCCATCCCCGCTCTTCACCGCCGCTCCTCCACTACTACAACCCATGAACAAATCCAACAGCACATTGAAGCATACGAGCAAGTACATCGGCACACCAGCCGCCTGACTGATACCTTTTAATTCTCGATTCTCATCTTTCTCGTAGACTTTTCGCATTAATGTCCGGGAGACGAAGTGTACCCATTTCAGCGGTACACCGTAGAGGAAACCGCTAACTACTTCATCGAAAAGCGGTACGAGACCTTTCACTTCCTCTTCGAAAACTGCGCAGACTTCGAGATAGCGTTGTTCAGGCGGGAGCGATAAGTCGATGATGAATTTCGGGGGAGTATCCGGGTATCGTATTCGTAGCATGCGAATTGATTCGGTGCTCGATTTCGCACGACTTGTTTGAGAGGAAGTAGTTCGTTCGCGGATTGTGTCGTTGAGCTGTTGTGGGTCGGCGAGGTTGTGCTGTGGGAGATCAGTGCTTGTGGCGGCCGCTTCTCGCAGCGTTTGGCTGCGAGTTGCTGGCGCCATCGCGAGGCGAAGGTGAGAGTAGGAGAGAGAGTGAAGAGAGTGACGAAATCAGGATTGATGGTACTTGACCTGCGGGCCTGCAGAGGTGGATACCGATTGCTTTAGGCCCTGTTTACCTCGCGGGCATTATCGCAAGAATTATCAGAATTCTTGTCGTCTTGGCGATAATGGCATTCGATAATTCTGCTACTTACCTCGTAATAAGGCATTATTCGAAGGATTATTAAATTATCGCTAAGCGTAGCCGGAAGGCTTAAAAGAGTAAAGGAATCTATAATAATTATAAATTCCTATATTATAAGAATTATATCCGTATATAGCGGCTTAAACCGCTATTAAGCGCGTGTCGTAGAGTATAGCTATTCTAGTCGATTAGAGGTATATTCGCTATATATATTATTTATAATTAAAAAGTATTTCTCGTTTACTAATTAGCTACTATAGATATACTAGAAAAGATAGAGG